GTAATGTATCATGTGTCCAATAAGATAAGGAAAGATTGTTGCATGAAAAGGAAAGGAAAATTCGAACCATAACATACAGCATGATATCTAGTTGCAGATGGTGGTGTATGTGTGGTTACAGTATGCACCACGTCAGAAGAAATCAGTGGTTAGTTGGATAGATAGTGTAAGATACAAATGGCATTGTACCTATGCTCAGCCATGAAAGCCATTTAGACATCTAGGAGATCTTTTGCTATGCCATCAGTGTCTTATACACCTGAAGAAGTTTATGGAATGCCCTTATCAATAGAGGAGTCCCTTGTTCTCATCTCATCTATTGTCATATACCAGTCCTCACGCCCCCTTAGGGGTCCCCCCTACGCCCCTTTCGGATACTTGAACCTTCAGAGTCCCTCGGGCTCCACCCTCGCGGCCTATGCATGGTGTGCAGCACTTGGATTCATGTTAAGGACCGTGTTGAGGGGCCTCCTGACTCGTCCGCACAGGGGCGCGGGAGCGCGGACGCGCGGACAAGCGGAGCATACGGGACTTGACTTCAGCTTTGATGCTGCGCCCTCCTAGCCCTGCGGTGTCCCGATTTCAGAGAGGGCAAGGTGAGAGGTGGGCTCCGCAGAGGAGCCCGGAGCGAAGACTTAGAAAGACAAGTGACGGAGAAGGAACTAAGATTCAGAGTGGGGAATACATGTCTACTAGTGCTACTATAAATACTAACTAACACATGTATGTAGTGAGGCTTAGTATGTAAGTACACATGTGGGTGAAACATGTAACAAGTGAATCCAAGTGCTGCGCACCATGCATGGGCCGCGAGGGCGGAGCCCGAGGGGCTCCAAGGGTCCGAGTATCCGAAAGGGGCGTAGGGGGGGACCCCTAAGGGGGCGTGAGGACTGGTATATGACAATTCACTTGTTACATGTTTCACCTACATGTGTACTTACATACTAGCCTCACTACATACATGTGTTAGTCAGTATTTATAGTAGCACTAGTAGACATGTATTCTTCACTCTGAATCTTAGTTCCTATTCCGTCATCTTGTCTTCTAAGTCTTCACTGTGGGCTCCTCCGCAGAGCCCGCCTCTCACCTTACTCTCTCCGAAATCGGACACCACAGAGCTAGGAGGACGCAGCATCAAAGCTGAAGTCAAGTCCCGTGTGCTTCGCTTGTCCGCGCTCCCACGCTCCCCTCGCATTCCCGCGCCCCTGTACGGACAAGTCAGGAGGCCCCTTGACACGGTCCTTAACAGATGCTCAAGGAACACTTTATCTGCTGGACACTTTAATGGCTTAGGTTGCCTCAGTTGTTGCTCCTTGCCGGGAAAAATTTCTCTATGTTATCACAACCTCTGTGCTTGGCTCTTACTCTTTACAAGATGGGTTCTTTATGTTCTTTTTATTTGAATTCAATTATACTGAGGAATTTCACGACTGTGTGCTTTGGCCTCAATAACATTTCATGTGGTCTGATTACTCTGCCTCAGGAAGTCTTGGAGACACACCGTGCGCTGATCTACAGTGACTCAAAAAACCCTTTCTATGTTGGTCACTTTTGCACAAAACACTAAATAACAGGGGAACTACTGAAAATGGTAGCTCAGGGTCAGTGTAGCGTTTGTAGTGCCCCTTCTCCGCTAAGTGACAAATCTTGACTCAAGTCAATCGGATAAGTCTAGAATATTCTATAGAATTTCTAATCAAGGGATGCATTGAAAGGGTTTTTTGAGTGTACTATCTAATACTTGGTATTCCCCCCTTTGGCCTTGATAACGGCCTCAATCCTCCTGGGAAGGCTTGATATAAGGTTCTGGCATACCTCCACATCAATCCCATCCCATACCTCTGCAACCCTCTCCCATAGTTCATGTACTCCTCTAGATGGTGTACTGTAGGTGTTGAGTTGGTGTTTGATGTGCTCCCAGAGGTGTTCAATGGGATTAATATCAGGAGACTGGGCAGGCCAGTCCATGACCACAATCCCTTGATCCTCAAACCACTTCTGTGCCAATTTTGAGGTGTGCTTGGGGTCGTTATCCTGCTGAAAGATCACATCCTCTGCAGGAATGTCGCACTCCTCAATGGTGGGAAGGAGACCATGAGCTAGAATGTCCACATATTGCTGGGCATCCATCCTCCCCTCAACCTCAACCATTCTCCCCACCCCATTCCATCCCATCACCCCCCAGACCATAATATTTCCACCCCCATGCTTGACAGTTCCTTTAACCTCCCAATCCTGCAAAGGTGCCCCCTTCTGTTTCCACACCCATTTCCTACCATCTGACCCAAATCTGTTGATTTTAGTTTCATCTGACCACAATACCCTCTTGAAGTCCTCCACTGTCCAATTCCTGTACTTCAAAGCCCAAGCAAGATGTGCTTTCCGATGTTTGACCGATAGAAAGGGTTTTTTCTTCTTCACCACAGCCTTCATATTGTTTTTCTTGAGGACATTGCGCACAGTTTGTGTGGAGACAGGATCACTGAGGACTTTGTTCAAGTTTTTGGTGACCTGAACAGCATTCTCAGCTTTTCCAGAGTTGATTTGGCTGATGATTGCCCTCTCATCAGCCATAGTGAGCTTCTTAGGACGTCCACCCACCAGGTTTTCCTTGTTAGGAATTACCTGGCGAGCTACCCTAGAGACAGTAGCTGCACTACAACCCAACTTGAGAGCAATCTTGGCCTGAGAATGGCTGGTATTAAGAAGGGCAGAGGTGATATCGGTGCGAAGGGAGTTGGGAATGGACTTCATTGTTGTAGGGAAGATGAACAACTGACAGAGCTTATATATAGTGCCGGTTGTGCCTGGATGAGTAATAGATGACATCATATGTGTCATCCTGATGATACTGAGACTTTATGATGAGTAATAGCCAGGAACAAGGCATTCAGGAACCACACTCAAAAAACCCTTTCAATGCACCCCTTGATTAGAAATTCTGTAGAATATTCTAGACTTATCCGATTGACTTGAGTCAAGATTTGTCACTTAGCGGAGAAGGGGCACTACAAACGCTACACTGACCCTGAGCTACCATTTTCAGTAGTTCCCCCGTTATTTAGTGTTTTGTGAAAAAGTGACCAACATAGAAAGGGTTTTTTGAGTCACTGTATAATTTTACGCTGAGACTGATGAAAGTATGGTAAATGTATTCAGATTACTTTCTCCGGTACTTTTCGGCTCAATACTGGAAAAGTATTGATCAGAAATTTCCTTATTTGGCAATTTCCGCTCAATACTTGCCTAATACCAAGCCAGAAAGTACTAGAGAAAATAAACAGTTTACTTTCACCTTATTTTGACTGATTCTAGCTTAAATATATGGATCAGTGCTCAGTGTGAGATAATTCTGGCCGAGCTGGACTGGACGGACGTGCTTCGCGTACGCGCAGTGAGTACAAGTGTTACTGAACTTCTTTCTCTGTCTGACACTCTGAAGACATGCAAGTCACTGTGTTCTGCTTATCGCTCACAATCAGTATGGCGTGTCCAGTACCAACGGCTATTCAACTCTTACAACACCCCTTTGAACGCGAAGGATATAGCACGGCGACCTCTGCTGAGCTTGAGCGCGATACCCTGTGCTGGGCTCGAGTACAACACAGCTGGGCGTCCAATTTGAAACAGCCAACTCGATGCCTGTTGGGTAGGTGTCATGGGCTGGAAGCACACCTCATTGAAGGGGGCTGGTGGCTTCTAACGTATCCGATTGCTGGGACCCCTACCTTAGCATATACAATCTGAATACCAAGAATCAGGCTCATAAACCAGCACTCTATTTGAGATTATGATAAGTCGAGTAATCTGAGAAACCGAGAATGGTCGACACCACATCCTGATCCGCCCCCAAAACAAGCGAGAGAATCGAATTGAAACTTTTCTCGTTGACGAAGGAAATATGTTACCTAAAATTGAAGTTGTCATTGTCCTTGTTCGCAAACACCCTCGTACGTTTCATCGACATCGCGCGCTCACGTACTTTTTCTTTATGCTGGTGTCCCAGCCAAACACAATACCATCTATCAAATTCGACGTGACCCTCGGGAGCATGGACTCATATCAAACCTTTGCATCAGAGGTCCTCGTCTGGCACGTAAGTGTCATCGTCACGTGGCCGCTTGTTGCGTGGTTTGGAAATGTCTACTCTGCCTGAAGAGGGCACATAGGTGTTGTCATCACGTAGTCGCTTGTGTCGAGTTGGTTTAAACATCTATGAGAGAACTGGCGACAAATGGATGATGAGTCACCAGAGGGGTACCGCCCCACGTCGCCTGAGACATTTTGATTCGGTTGAAGAATTGAACAAACCAACGGTAAATGTCAATGTAGGATGTGATGTCGGTCAACTTTCTGTCCCTCCTGCGGTCTACATATGCAGCGTACAGTACCTGCCGCAACTTGTTTAAGGGGCGGGACAGTCCCTTGAGCGATGGGTGTAGACATAGTTGAAGGGGGGCCTCGATTTCTTCAAGTAAACATTGTGACCTGGCATTTGACAGTGTCATGGTTTTCTGAAATATCGGCGTCCCATACTCCACTGAAGCTTGATGGGGGACTCGGGAGAGTACGGTCCAAAGGAAAATCCACCAGACGGATTCCAAATCGTGCTGGAAGTTGTACACAAGTGGCAGTTCGGGGGGCTTGGGTTGACTGTCATCTGCGAAAATATCGGTGTTATCGTCCGTGTAATGGGAAGAGGAGGGGGGGAGAGGGATGTAGTTAGAGTACAGCATTTCGTGAGGCATGAAGTAGGGGGTCCCCTGCAAACTTGTCACTAAAGAGGTCGCGGGCAACAAAGAGGCTTACGGTTTTAAGATCAGCCCCCACGTTGCGGTCCGAATCAGAGAACAGCCTTGCATACTCCAGGTCGGATACTTTAGCTTGCCATGGAGTTACCGAGCTGCTGCGATGAGCCAGAATGTTGCCAGAACTTATATCTCTATGAACCCAGCCGGCGCAGTACATCAGGCGAAGCGCTGGAAAGCGGAATGAGGTTTCATCCATGAAAAGTGGAGGGAACCCTACCAACAACTGCCTGGCTGAGGACGTCCGCAACCTCGCCTACGGTCCCAAGGTCACCAACAGCCTCACATACTTCTCCAAAGATAACCCGATATTGTTTCCTCGGCGCAAATTCGCGAGGACCCTCATCGAAGGTGATCTTGCTTTCGGTCGGGCGGGGAGTCCCGCTACCACCCCGATTTGACGTCGTCGGAAGCGCTAACGGTGCAACAGCGGAGAATAGCCTGCGCTCTCTTTGCGAATTGGGAAAGCGTGGTTTAGTCCGCCTGCCTTCATAATCCGTCACGATTTGAAGGAAGTAATTCGTGTATGCGTCATTCTTCTCCAGGTCACTGATCGAAGGCTGCAACTTCTGGAAGTTAACATATCGCTCGCCCGGCTTCTCACGGAAGAACTCTTTGATACCCTCGAAGATCTGCGACTGAATCTGCGATTCAGTGAGTGCCGAATCTTCCAGCCAGACATCCTTCAACACGTGGGAAGGCTCACTGGGGGATAGTACATCGCCATTGGAGTGGCATTCGACTACCTTCCATACCCAAGCCATACGACCAGTGATATTGTTCGAACGATACTCGGCGATGGAAGCAGTAGTGCGGAAGAAACGGTCGCGTTGTTGTCCCTGTTCGGTAGAGGGGATTCTGTATATATAGTCCCCTTTGGCGTCTCGCGTGACCATCGGGTCATAGCCCAGCTCTTCCTCTGTGGCGAACAAGAAGGACATGAACACTTTGATCAGGAGTCGTGGGTTCTAGCGCACAAGGTCAGCCTGCGTACCGCATGGAGGAGACCTCACAGACTTTTACAAAACTGAAGGGTTGTGAAATCATCGAGTGCGACCGAGAATGATACCATAGAGTAACACGATCTTGGATAATAGTAATCTACTGCGGGTCAGACGAGACCAATATCACAGCAGCAGTGGGACCCACCCCATATGTGAACATGCGACGGACATCGTCATTCATAATCTGGACACTTGCCGACAGGGCTTGCTTGTTGTTCTACAAGGTCGCTTGAATTGAGTCGGAACAAGCTTAGATAAGACGTACCTCAACCTTCTGCAAGGGCTTCAGCTTGTATTCGAGGATACACGCAAGACGGGAGGTATCCAACGTCTTGCTCTCGGGATCCTCTGAGGTAAAGCATCCGTCGACCCTGTTGTCCGAGCCAGCAATTTGCGACTTGATGACGGTGTTGGGGCAAACACGGAAGCTGAATTCGTTGCGCTTCCGACCCTCGACAGGCACATAAGCTATCGCGCAGGAAATATCCTTGAGAGGTCTGTACGAGGGAGTCTCTGTCCCATTAGCATTGGAAGGGGGGACCGGGAATTCGTGAAAACGGAGATTTCCATCCACTTCAACCAAGATTTCCATCTTGGAAAGCGATTCCTCCGTTTTCTTGACATCGTCTTCGGCGGGCTCAAATGGTAGATAATGCGAGACAAATCCCTCAACGCTGACGATGCTAAATTCTCCCTCCATCTGTTCAGCAATGTCGTCTCGAAGTTTGGTTATCCGTGTATCCCCACCGGTGGTGCGAGCTGTTCTTGGGGTTATTTTGCTAAGAAAAGTTCACAAAGCTGACAGCACCGTGTTACTAGCGATACTCACATCTCACTCTCCTGTGGACCCCCAGCGGTGCTGGCGGACCTTGGAGTGGCGGAGCTGTCGATCTTGTGAACGGTCATCGCCTGCAGCGAGATGTTCAAAAACAAGCAACTCACCCGCTCGCTCGAACATCGCCCATAGGTTTCGATATCAAGGCTAGGAACGAGTTGTGGATAGTGCAAAGTTGAGCGCGCGGACTCAAATGGTTGCAAGTCAGCTGACCGCTTCTGAGGGGCTGGGATAAGATGGCTTTCTTCTTCCCACGCGAGGGCATCGGTGCTCTTTCACGAAGTGGGGAGTCCAGGAGGATGTAGTCCTATAGCGGACCAGCGTGACCGAGGGCCCTGTTTCCTTTTCTTTTCGAGTCGACCATACTGATGAACAGCCGGTGCGGTCTAACCGCCCTTCCTTCTAGCCGAGTTGGACTGGAGGGAGGTACTTTGCGTGCGCGCAGTGAGTTCAAGGGTTACAGCACTAGTCTTTCTTCTGGCTTCTTGCAGACATGTAAGCCACTGTGCTCTGGCCCCCGATCGCGATACGTATGGCGAGCACAGTGCCAACGGCTCTCTGACAGCTATGACACTCCCTTGAGCCCGAATTTAGACCCAATTCTTCTCGTCATTTGCCTTTGGGTTCCTTGTTGCTCGGGCAAGGTGCGGAATTTGTACTGCCAACTTCTCACCTTCGGCGAAGCTGGCGGTGGTCGTATGGAATAGGATCCATGTATAGCGCCGTTATTGTCCTCTTGATTGCTCTCATTGGCGAAGAAACGTGCGTGCGGCGGCATCAGACGATGTCTATTTTCTGATCATTAGCTTTCTGTAGAATCTACGATCGAACGGTTGTACCCATTCCTTCCCGACCAACAACAGGCCCGCGGTACCGCGTAGAAACTTTAGTGGGAATCACTGGTGTCAAGATGTCAAAGTACAGGGCGTCCTGGTCGCAGACCATCTTGTCTCCCTTCAATGTTTTATGGAGACCCCATCTGATTAGTATCCTTATTTTTGAGGTAAATCTACCTATTTCACTGAAAGGTAGAGCCAACTGACCTCCTGTGGCGAAGGCTATGGTATTCAGATTCGGAATTGGAATCAATGTCACCAATGCAGTCTTCCTGGCAAGCCCCCCGTATAGCTTCAGTCAAGACGCTATCGCAGGTGCATATGGGACGCCGATTGTACGTTGGTGATCTTTTATCCCTCGATGGCTCACCCTCTGAACAGCACCCAGGTGTCGGTAATCATTGGCGAGCTCATTGGCCATTACTTGAACGACTGGATCACGAACATTACCGTGCGACGCAACAAAGGCGTCTTTGAGGCGGAGAGCCGACTCCTGTGAGCGAGGTCTATCACCAATCCTTTTCGCCGTCACTCATTCTTCGATAGTGCTTGCTACATAGCTATGCCACTGTATATCTGTGGGTTTGTGCTGTTAGGCGCTTCCCTCCAAAACCATTTGAGCGTGGTCGCCTTGATCTTTGGCTGGGGAATAGCCCAATTGGGGATCATGATTGCCACCGTTTCTGTTTGTGAGTGCGGTTTAGTTCTTGTCGAGTATGGTCTCATCCGTCCGTTGCAGATGCGTACTGCAACGACTGCTTCCCACGACAACAGGTCTGTATTTCCTCTATTTCCTTTACCCTACACCTAATCTAGTTTTTATGACGTCTTTGCACGTTAGGGAGAAATCAGCGCTCTCCTTACTGTGTCTAGGATCTTGGGAGGTATGCAGTTTCGCGTCGTACCCGGTTGTTCTGATCATTCGTTCTGATCATATGTCTAGGCTTTTCTGTTGCGTACTATCAAGTCCCATGGGCGGAGAAACACGGCGCACTACAGACCTTCGGTGTTGAGGCTGCGTAAGTACACTCCGACTATTATGATTTCGAATTCTAATTTCGCCATGAAAGTATCGTTGTAGGATTGTTTATCCTCATTGTACCATTCCTTCAGTGGAAGGGTTCATCCCTCAGAGTAAGCGCGGGCTCCATCTGGCGAATCAGCGAGCACCGAGACTAACCAGATACATTCCACAGGCTCGCTACTCGTTGTAAGAAGTTTCATGCATCATGATTATTGTATACACCTAGTTTCCCCTCATGCCGCTCCATTTTCAGTAGATAGAACGTTGGAATGTTTAGATTTGGAGTTGTTCGCAGGTTAACACTGGCGAGAGAATGTCGATTGTTCTTGTTGTTCGGCATGATCCGACGACCCAAAGTTCGTTTGGTCAGGACGGCCATGCTCTGCGTCAGGCTGGTGACTGCCCTTGGAAGACGTCGCAGCCTCCATCATGGCTGCAGCCCCTTCTGAATCTAATGGAGAGTAAGCGGACCGTGTAGAAACCCACGTAGAGTGGAACGTACTCATGAGAGACTCTGTGATCTCCAATATGTCGACGACAAGTCGCTCAACGAGGTCTTCGCTCAAGGTCTCCCGCACTATTGACGGGATCGTGAGCTTGGGTGAATGCATGGGTCATGGTAGCAAGACTCACCAACTATGCGTAGGATTTCCACGTCCTCCGCCCCTTTAGGCCCCTAATGCCCGAGTTAGAAGTATTGTTATCGGAACAGTGGAAGGACTCGCGTTGTAGTTCGGTACAATCCAGCCTTTGGTCCTGAGCATAGACTAGCCCATGATTTAGTACACCGTAAGGCCAGAAACAGCGATTACGAGAGGTGCACCTGAATCCAGCTTTGTTTCACGTAGGGGTATTCCTTCATAAAATCATCAGATAACCTATACCTCTTTCAGTTTATCCTTCAACCATAAGGTAGGAGAAGAATACCTACCGGAAAGAGACCACCGGGAGGCCACGCTGGTACAGCTCAGGATCATCGCCCTTTTCCTCCGATTGGGTGCCGTTCGCAATAGCCGGCTTGTGGATGTTGCTCAAAACCTAGGTTGCACTCAGTGATTCAGTTGCACAGTCGCGCAAACAAGCACGTACCTTGAAGTATGTACGCTCTAGGGCTCTTGACAGTAGTCTAGCATTGCGCAGGTCTTTGATTGCTATCTTGGTATATCCGTCGACGCCAAGATTGAGGAAGTTGTACATCTGGGAAATTATTGGTGCAGCAGGTTTGGAGAAGTTCAGCGTGAACGAGAATTCCGTGCTTCCAAGATAATCTAATTGTTCGTGAGTAGGAATAGGGAGGACGAGGGAGGAAAGGTCCTTTACGAAGTTCGAAAATGAGGTCCTTGTGTAGCAGGCTTTCATCCTTCCAAAGCACCCAGCCCAAGCCTGGGTATACCTAAATAGCCAGGGCACGTAGGTTACTTGGTAACGTTAGATTATAAAATGCACTTACGAGGCCGAATTTATGACCGGATACATTGATGGACGCTACGCGAGGGACATCAAAGGCCCACTTGTAACTGGGATAGGCAAATGGTGCAAAGAATCCGCCAGACGCAGCGTCCACGTGAATAGGTATATCCAGCCCGGTATTGCTGTGAAGTTCAGTGACTAAGGGGCCCATTAAGTTAGAAACTCTGGTCATCCTAAGCGCGATACAGAACTCACGCAAATCATTCATTTCTTGGACATTTTCAAAATGTCCGGTGTATGTGCTTCCAAGAATGACCACGACGCCGATGGTGTTCTCGTCAATGAATTGGATCGCGTTCTTGGGATCCATGATGAAGTCACTTTCAACGCTAACCGGCACAATCCTGGCTTCGACATCCCAATAACTAGGGGCAACTCAAGGTGAGCATAGGGGAACATCGCTCGGCTTTAAACGCGACTCACCGAGCGAACTTCTCCACGCATACTTGGGCATTGGCCCCGAAGACTATGTTGGGATGGAAATAATCTTTTCCTGCGGCCTTTCGGCCCTCTTGCCACCGCTTCTTGAGAGCTAACCCTCCGAGCATCAAACCCTCGGATGATCCAGCTGTGGCCGTTCCCAAGACTTTGCTCCCCTTCGGAGCCTTCCAGAGATTGGCAACTGACAGCGCAATGAGTTAACGACTTGAGAGACGGCAGTAGCCAAAACATACTCATGGACACACATCGATTGTGGATATTTTGGGTGGCAGGGTATTCGTCGAGATCGACAGCGTTCTTGTTGATGTTCTCCATGATCAGCGCATTGGCTTCTTCCGGCATCCATGTATGAACGAAGCTAATTGAACGGCTCTCACTTAATGGTGTTTTAAATGAATATAACATGAACTGACGAGGCTAGATTCAACAACGGATTGCCGTCTAATGCAGTTTCATCGTGGATGATCTGGTATGCAGATTTCGAAGGTATTCCGTGGGCGGGGAGAGTGTACTTGGGCAAGCGGCGACCATCTTCGTCGCGACTCCAAGATTGATGAGCCACCCTACGACTCCCATAACTTGCGTGTTTGTGATGAGGATGGTCCTTGCATTTGTCGATGAGCTCGTCCGGGTCGACTGATAGCCGGCGTCTAATCAGTGAACGGCTATGGACGGGACCACGAGCAACTTACTGTGTCTAGAGAGGGACATAAGGAAAGAATATGAGGCAAGTCAGTCAGTCGTCGACGATTAATAGTCTATAGATAAATCTGTAGAGCGGCCGTTTTGTAGTTCACTCCACATAACGTCAGTGTTGCTCATATGATTCAAATGATGGAGACCCGGACCATGCACCATGCTGTTCAAAGACTGAAATATACCTGACACGAGTCGAGACCAGTGACTAAACGACCACGAAGGCACAGTTGGTGCTATTCTTGAACTGCTATTAACAATCCTGGGCCTCTTTGATCAAATCCGCAGCTCGCTCAGCAATCACGTAGGTTGGTGCTTGCGTGTGTACAGTAGGGATTCGCGGCTGTGAGAGGCGTTAGTGTGAATGATCCACCTGGTGATACATACCTACATAACATTGGGCATAAATTTAGAGGATAGGGAGCTCGCGATGAAGCGCTTTGCAATAAGGAGGATCCGGAAACTGGAAAATAGATTGCGGAAAGGGGAACTTGGATAAAAATATAGTAGCTAGTCGCATCAAGTTGCATCATGAAACGGACAGCACGTAGCAAATTCTGAACTCCCCTAGTACAACTCTTCTTCATCGGGCTTCCAGTTCTTCGCCTGGTCCCAGTACCCCTTCAATCTATCGCCGAGCACCTCCCTAGCCGCTCCGTCAGTGGGACAGCTCTTCGGCTTGAAGTTGTTGAACGCTCGGTCCCTCAGCTGGCCTTCCCAGACAAGCCAGCACTTATTCTCCTCCAGCGAGACGCCATCCCGTTCGCGGTCCTCGCTGGCCGCCTTCCCCTTCCCCTTCTCTTGCCCCTCCGCATCCGATCCCCCATCGTCGATCTCAACATCCTCGCCACCTCTGGGACGCGCGGACTCGGTCCAGGCGATACGATGCATCATCAACCGCTTGTACTGCTTGATGAACTTCGCCGCGCCTTCAACATATACCATGCTGCAGGCCGGATTGAAGATGCACACGCCCGTCAGGCTCATCTGCTCTGCATTCTTGCGCACTTTGAATTGATGCGCGGGGTCAGAAAGTGTCTTGATCCTAATAATGCAAATGTCAGCCAACGTAAACTAGCTACGAGGAGAGGAGAGGAGACGCACTTGAAGACAGCACCATAAATGCCCTTCTTCTCCTCTTCCAGCTTTTTATTCTCAACCTTTTCGCGTCGTTGCTCATCAGTCAGCTTGCGCTCGGCGTTCATCTTCTCGTGGCCGTGTTTACGGATCGCCACCTCACGCCGCACCCGAGCCTCCACGCGCGTCGGGTCTTGGACAGCATCTGACGTCAACACCTTCATAATGTTGGCAAGGCGAACTGGGATGATCAGGTTAATATGGTTTGTACCCGAACGAGTATATATAAGCATACCTTTAGGTGGATCAGGGGGGATGAGACCCATACGGATCCGGTCTCTCTTATCCTGCAATTCAGCTGCACGCCGTCTCTTCCGCATTTTCTTTTGCTCCTGAAAAACACTGTTAACCACGGTGTGTACGTGAGGGAAAATATAAGAACTTTTTTGGTGAGCATCAACGGCTTGAGCTCCAGCTTGTTCTTGTCACCAGGCGCGGGTATCGGTATCGGGTGCTGGATGTACAGCGATATTGGGGAGTCGTCCGTATGGATGTATAGATAGGAGAACCCGTATGTAAGGTCGTTGTAGGTCTTGTCCGGCAGTAGCGTCGCATCCCACCATTCGGCCTCTGGCGGTGGAGGGCGCTGCAGAAACACCGATTAGTACGCCGTAACGTGAGTAACGGGGGCACGTACCCGTATGTTCTTCTCAAGGGTATCAAACTCAGAGTCCAAACCAGCTTTCCGCGCACTCTCCGCAATCCTTTGCTTCAGCGCCTCGAGTTGCTGATCCTGCCTCATTTGGTTGCCCAGTTGCACGTACTTGCCCTTGGGATTAAACCGGAAGTTGCGGCCCATCCGTTCCTTCGGTGCGCCATCAAACCCAGTGTCCTTCGTAGACGCGGCGGCGACGGCGTATGGATTAGACGTGGTGGGGACAGCCACCGGAGGAGGGGGTGGGGGAGGCGTCGGCGCATTACGCACGTTGGCCTGTGCAAAGCAGCGCGTGAGTCAGAAGCTTGAGGGGATGGGAATGCACTCACCTTGATGGAAGCAAATTTGGGCTGCATCGGCTTGTACCGATCCTTCTTCGTCTGCGGTGCGGCGGGCGTCGTATCCAAGAGAAGAGGGTGCGCGGCCATCTTGAGGCCGGCGCCTTGCTGGGCTGTCTCTACCGGCTTATTCTTCTTTATCTGGGGGATGGTCTTGCACACACAAAATGAGCCGCGAGAGAGCCAATCAACGGGCGTACTGCGTACCATATACGGGTTATCCTTGACAGCCAGCTTCGTCTGTGCATCGGCAACACGCCGTTTGGCCTCTGCCACTCGACGAGACAAGTCATCCGACACTCCAGGCGTTCCCGGTGTACCTGGAGTTGATACTCCCGAGGGTGGCGTTGCGAGGGCAGGCGTCGCAGGCTTTGAGGGTGCTGGCAAAGCAGCACCTGAAGCTTTACTCTTCATAGCAGCGATCTTCGCCGCAATTTCAGCCCTCTTCTGGGCTATGATAGCTTCTTTCTGCAGCCGGACATAAGCTCAGAATGTGATAGAAAGAACTCGCGCAACATACCGATTTAACTGAATCCATTCCATCGGAGGCGCTCTGGTGGTACAAGAAGGTTATAGAGATAGTCAGAACATAGTTGGAACAGGCATATTCACCTTCAGGCAGACGGGAAATCACACTTACGTCGCTGTGAAGGACAACATGAGCTTGCAAGCGCGACGGGGGAAACATGAATCAGACCTTTTAGCTTTTTTGTTTGACGCCTCGACGGCGCCTTCAAAGGCGCGTTTCCTATCGCTCATAGCAGATAAGGGTGCGGAATAGGTCGACCGCGGTTGGGGAGGGTGTGAAGTTCGTTGGAAATTGGAAAGCGTCTCTATTTGGCCATGCTTGCCCCCCCGCCACATTTCCCGACATCCCGACGCCTTATGTAATTCCGTCGGGTTAGCCCAAGCAAGGCCAAACAGAAACCCACTCGTTCTAATTTGGTTCTAAATTCTAATGGTATTTAATTGTCATTGTACCCTTTATTTGGTTGCTTTTCACTTCGTTTCCCCTTTCCTCGCGTCGTTTGCGCGCGTTCTACCAGTGGACGTGCATATCGATCGATGTCAAAGCGAATTAGAATTTATGGACGGAGGGAGGTTGGAGGGAGGGCTCATTTTAGGTGGATGGTTGAATGATCTCCCTGAGCCTGTTTGTTTCGCATGTGTCGTCGACGCTACTTGTGTACTCTGTGGTGGGTATATGCAATTTGATCCTCCTTCTCCCATCATCCCCCCTGGCCCCGAGCGTGCGCGATAGGGTACCGTATCCATGGTGGGTGCACGTTATGATTTATCCTATCATTGGTCCGATACGTAGTTGAAGACGACGTTATTCAGATGTGCTTAGATTGCCTGCCGCACCGTCTCGCAAGCGAGGGGCTTTCGAGGTCCCATGATAATAAGATCGCCGATAAGGCTTGTTCGTCCTGCGGGCTGAACAATGTGCAGTTTTTGGTATGGCGTCTTATTGACGTTCCCAGTCCTTTGGAATGATATTCCGAACGGCCTTACTCGTGTTCGCACATCGTCCTACAACTCTCTTCCACGAAAGTGATTCTCACCGAACGCGGGTTTCCCTTCACTCCAAAAATCCATTCTCACCTCATTGTCGCTTCTCGTTCCCTGACTCGCGGGATATTTCACGGCTTCGTTCACGGCGCCGAAGGAGTATATTTGAAACTACTCGTGTCTTCGGTCCTCCGTTGGCGTGGCACGGAAGACCTAAACGTAGTTTCTGAGCACCCCTTCTCATACCATTTAGTGGCATGGCAATCCCTCAGTCGCTATATGGCTCCCTTGCATCTTCTGGCTATCTCCCTTGTCTGGCTCTTACTGCTGCAGACATGCACAGGCAGAATTTATTCCAAACTTAGTGATCTCCCCACCACCAGGTTCGACTTCGTGATTATTGGAAGTAAGTCCGATACATCCACACTTCTCGTTGGACTCGCTATAAGTATACTCACGTCTGAAAATGCGCGTATAGGTGGAGCAGCAGGAAATGTCCTGGCCAATCGCCTGACAGAGAATCCTCACATCTCTGTCTTGGTTCTGGAAGCAGGGGGCTCGTATGTTCAAACATCGTTCAAAATGCCAACACAAACTGTTACTCAATTCCTTTCGTCAGGAATGAGGGGGTGTTGGACTCAGAAGTTCCTTTCTTCTGCCCTAAGCTTTCCCCGGGCACACCATTTGATTGGAACTTCACCACAACGCCGCAGGCTGCATTGAACAATCATACTGTAGCCTTCCCTCGGGGTTTCATGCTAGGTGGAAGTACCTCTATCAGTAAGGGCACGAAGCTTGTGGCGTGACAGTCTTTTTGATGTTTTTGCCCTAGATTTCCTAGCGTATACACGAGGCTCCATGGACGATTGGAATCGGTTTGCGGCCATTACTGGAGACAAAGGGTGGTCCTGGCACCGCCTTCAACGATACTTCCGCAAGGTACCCACACTTCACCTCGTAATAATTTCTGCGATGTTCCAGCAATACTTTGCAGAACGAACACTTCACCCGTCCAGCCGACCACCATAATATCATTGGTGAATTCAATCCCCGGGTGCACAGTGGAAGAGGGATAAATTCCGTTAGTCTGGGAGGATTTCCTCGCCCCATCGACCAAATGGTGTTGCGAGCAATGCAAGAGCTCCCTGACGAATTTCCGTTCAACGTGGACATGAATTCTGGGAAGCAAATTGGGATAGGTTCTTCAGTTTCCTTTCTAATGACCAATGTAGAGGCTGATTAGCGTCGATGTCCAACCGTTGAAAGGTTGGACTCAAGGGACTATCAAAGGCGGTCGTCGCAGTAGCTCTGCAACTTCATATCTAGGTCCCAGGTTCATTCGACGTCGGAATCTCCACGTTTTATTACACGCAAGAGTGACAAGGCTTCTACAAGATGGTGTTACCGGGGGGGAAAAGTCCTTCCGCAAAGTAGAGTTCGCTCAGAACGCCCCTGGTTCTGGCGTAAACGGGCCATTCGGTCCCAGAAGAACTATACTCGCATCCAAGAGCGTCATCCTGTCAGCAGGCAGCGTCATGTCACCAAACATCCTCATGCACTCTGGAATTGGCGACGAGCAAATGCTTCGTCGCGTCGGTATCAAACCCCTACACAACCTACCTAGCGTCGGACAGAATTTGATTGACCACTCATTGACACGACTCGCCTGGAACGTGAACTCAACGGACACCTACGAAACGCATCTTAGGAACGCGACTATCGCGGCAGCCGATCTGGCAGAATGGAAGCGCTCCGAGACAGGATATTTGACGACAACACGATTTAGTTTCCTTGGTTGGCTTCGTCTTCCAAAGAACGCCACCATTTTCCAGCGATTCAAGGATCCCGCTGCTGGCCTTGACACAGCTCATATCGAGATGCTTATTGGGGTAAGTAGTGCCTTCACGGTCATGAAGTGCAACTCAGTCGTTGTCTCAAGAATGGCATGAATTTGGCACCACCGACTGGTAATTTCCTTAGTCTGAGCGTAGGAGTTGTCAGCCCCGCTTCAAGTAAGTACTTCATGTGCGCCTCGATACGAGTATATTGGACTGAAGGTTTGTCAAGGGGGCTCGATCACAATTAACAGTAGTAACCCCTTCGACCCACCTCTTATTGATCCTGGGTTAATGACGAGCGAATTCGATCTTTTCACCATGCGCGAGGCTATCCGAAGCGTGGCACGATTCCTATCTGCTCCGGCTTGGGCGGGTTATATCCTGTCGCCTGCGGGGGCTCTCGCAGATGTGGACCTCTCCAGCGACGAGCAGTTGAACGCTTACATTCGCAACAACACCGGGTCCTTGTTCCATCCTGTGGGCACATCAAGTATGGCACGCAGAGGCTCTTCCTCTGGCGTAGTAGATCCAGACTTAAAGGTCAAGGGAATCGAGGGGGTCCATGTTGTTGACGCTTCTGTGATGGTAAGTGTGGCGATGACCATCACGTTGAGAATGCACACTAATGTCTCCAAAGCCACGGGTCCCTGCTGCACATACGCAAGTACCGACCTACGTGGTTGCAGAGAGGGCTGCAGATTTGATCAAGGAGGCTTGGGATTGTTATTAGCATAAGACTTCATGGTAGTAGTAAAGTCGCTGATCTCGATGTCGTTCGGTAGTTTATCCCACGATCACAAATATATTCCCACAATCACAACGATATCATAATGCAAGACTCAGATACATGAGTGAACTCCACTAAAACCTTCTCAGCGGGACGCGTCGGACGACGATGAACGTTGCCAAACTAGCAAGCCAGTCGAGTGTCGCTCTCAACGAGGGCGTTGCGATAGTCCGAAAGGTCATCAAGGCCCTTCCTCCCTCGGCTAGTTTCACCACGTCCGAGTTGTACCAACTAGCACTGAAGGAATCACCTTCCCCTGGTTTCAAGCCTTTCCTGCGCAGGGGAACTAGACCTACTGTCCACGGCATTGGTCTCCCATCGTCGAAGCCAGGACCTAAGCCCCCTCACCCGGACCATCCAATATCCTCGAAAACGTGCGTGTCTTTGCAGAACCTGGTCTTCGCCCACTGACTAGTTGAACGGTAGATTTCTGAAGAGAGAGATACTCCCAGTGCTAGAGGGTAAACGCGAAATCAAGCTAGTCGCCGCGCCACGTCTTCCCAGTCGCCCACCCGCACCGCAAAACGGGAAGCAGGGAAAGACTGCACAGAAGCAAGCAAAGAACTCTGCGCCACCACTGCCAGCTTCGTCGGTGTCTGCATGGGTATGGAAGCCCGTTGACAAGACTGCACTGCCCGCAGCGCGTAAAGCGTCAGCTGGCTTGGACGGAATTTCTGCCCGGGAACGGGCGTTGGGTGCCGGAGAGGACTGGTCGCACTTGAGCAAACGGAGACAGAGGGCACGAGTTCGGAAAGTGCAGATGGATATTGATAAGCTATCGTTGTAGGCCTTCTAGAATCCATCCCTTGCTTTGAAATCATTCGTAGGAGCTCTAAGAAATTAATTCCTCTCACACATCGCTTACTGAGCACTTTTCCTCAAACCCCCACTTGCTATGGCTAACGACACCTTGTTGGCTCAGATACGCGGCCTTGTCACAGTCGATGTCGACTCGATGGACCCAGATGTCGCAACTAAACACACGTCCTCAGGGTATTCCTTCTCCGGTATGACATCCAACCAGGCGATCGTCCGCATCGAAGCGGTGAAACCAGAGCGAAAGCACCTGGTCACCCAAGCTATTGCCCTAGCGAAGTCAAAGCTCGGGGGTGCCAACGAGTCTGCATTGGTGGACGATGTGGTGGACATTCTGGTTGGTGATCCCCAACCATGCAGAACCCGTTAACTGATTTGAGTGGCGCAACCGTAGACAGTTTTACTCGCAAAAGAGGTCTATCCTATCATTACTGGAAACGTCCACGTGCAGACGTCTCCAGCAGCCGCGTACAATACAGAGGAGACTGTCAGACATGCCAAATCCCTCGTAGCATTATTCAATGATCAAGGAATACCAAAGTAAGTGATTTGATCATCATCGAGCGCCCACTATAATGCGCAACACGAAATATCAGACATCGTGTTTGCATCAAGATCCCAGCAACTCCCCAATCTTTGATTGCTTGTCGCATGCTCTCGGAGATGGGGATACAGACTCTCGCTACATGTTTGTTTTCTCTGCCTCAGGCCCTTGCCGCGGCGCAAGCAAACTGTATCTGCATCTCTCCCTACTTCAATGGTACGTCCGAAACTTTCTCCTTACTTCTCCTTTCATTGACTCGGACCGTGCAGAGTTACGCGTCCACTTTGAACCAACCATCCGGAAAGTGTATGATAATGCCGACGATGATCCCATGTGCGCGATTATCCACTCTATCGTGCAGCACTTCAAAGCCATCAAGACGAAGACGCTCGTCATGCCGGCGAGGTAATTTCCGATTCCCGTTTGTCGAATAGAAAAGTTATCTGATACAAATTACAGCATTGTGACAGTCGAGGAGGTACATCAGTTTCTCATCCATGGAGTCGAACAACGGTGGATGCTCACTCACCGTGCTATCTAGGTTCTCGCATTAGTTCGGTTGAAGCCAGACCACCTCACTTTATCCGGAGCCGTCCTTGATCAGTTAGCAGCACTCGAACCAGTAGAAGAATCGGTCTTGCAGCCCAAGCCTAGTGCTAACGACCACGAATCCTATGCAAAGCCAGACGGTATTGTTGATTCACACCTGCACCTCAGATTGCTATTTATTGACCGTCCGTCATATGTAGACTTCCTGGCCGACGGCGGGAAGCTGCTTGAAGAGGCGCTAGCTTTAGATACGGAGGTGACCAGGAAAGTGGCGGATGCGTTGAAGATTTTTGGCGAACAGGAGCTGTTGACGAAGGCGTTCGTGAAGCCCTTGTTAGGGTTATCGTGATTATCCCACAGGGCGGGGAGGGTTTGAGTCGTTCGTTTTAGCCCTGCATCCGCGTATAGATAGTGTCAACCTCTCCTCGAGGACTGAGGATTACAAACAGTGTAGCGGTGAAAAGATTGGATATAGTATATCTGGTGATGGTATGCCCGATGTCCGAATCCGGCTCTGTTACTAGATGTTAGACTCATCGCTCAGCAGATAGATGGTGATGACCATGTGGTCAATCAGTTGACGCGAAGCATCTGGGGTCCCAGCCAAACGTTTATTCGTGGATAATGGTTAGATTTCGATTAAGGAAGTAACTTGCTGACATCAGTGCTTGGTGGTCCGTTGCCAAACGCGCCGTACGAAGGGCCTTACATATACCAACCTAATACCGGATGTCCACCTCAATGTCCAGTAAACCGCGTTCCTTCAGTCTGGAGAGGCAACTTGTTGTCATACGAGTATAAATTTAAGGTGCTGTACTAAAATAAGTTAGTTGGGAAGATACCGTCATATCGCGAATCATTTGGCGATGATCGGATGAATAATCATGAACTGACGCCGCCTTGCGGTCTTGGCTGCGACGCTACTAGTTTCACTCGCTGGTGATTCGTCGCGGATGGATCAAGAACAGTTTGGGATGAGAGTACTATTCGGGTTGAGCCGCACCAATATGCTAACATTGGGGCCTACAAACATGGTATGGTGGCGAGGGCATATGTTGGATGGCTTTCTGGATGTGGAATGCCTCGCCAGTCACCAGTGCGCTATCGGACACGTCGTCTGGTCAACAGGAAGTTTAGAAACGCTTGGCATAGCTGGCGTCTTCGCCCAATCGATGATCTAGTTGATGTATAGTGAAACATAAAATCCATCCTCATCAGCAACATCAGCAAGATCGCAGTTTTCTGGAATCACTGGCCGACACCGGAAGTAGACTGGGAGGAACAGGGGTACTGGTGATCTGGACAGGTGGCATGGATTATGCGTGCCATGTCAATCATCTGACAGTGGGAAACTTCTTGAAGTTTTAAATAAGTACAAACAGTGACTTGATTCCGCAACCATCGTACGAATCGATCATCGACACTGCATCAACACCTATCGTCTCGCAATGCCCCGTACACTCTCACCATCACTTCCTTGCCGCATCTTCTCCCCAAGGAGACCCGATACTGTCAATGGGCAAGTTCAGCTCCGCCATCCCCTTTTGCGAGCTCTATTCTCCTTCATGAATCTCGCTTCTGGCTCTCGTCAACCCAGCATCACCCACACGACGCGCAGAGCATCCATTGATGCTGATGACTCGGAGGAGTCTCAGCCTGAATCGGAGGTGGATGGTAGCAGACCCCATAGCATTGCCGGTGGCCGCACCTGTGACGGTGTGTTCCTTGTCTGCTTCATTTTCCTAGTTTACTAAAAGGTTATCCCATTTTTCAGGGGGCATCAATTGTCACCACCTCAAGTTGTATGAACGCGACGTGCAGTATTTGCAACAAGTCCATGAGCAGCAGATGGTCGCTGTCTCGCGGCTTCTCCGGGAGAGCCAACAGCAAGTGCAGATGCTCTGCGATGTCTTGCGCACCAAAAAATCACCCTCCGATGCCGGTGACGTGGAGCTTGCGGAAACGGTTCAGGCCATGCTTCTTGCTCAAGAGCAAGTGCGGATGACTGAAGCGGCGGCGGCGGTGGACTTGGAGATCCGTGAGATGGATGCAGTTAGCATTGCGGAGACATTCTAAATACCACGCTATGTTGTATACGTTCTTGTTAAACAATCAAAACAGTCTTCATCTCCCGCAATTTGATCAATGTGTCAATAAGTTCATGTTAATACAGTAAGAGACCAACACCACTACAATAAAATCTCAAATGCATGGTGATCAATGTATCTATTGATATAGAAAGCCTTGAAAGCGTCAAGGGAGTGCGTATGAGAGAACGGCGAGGGTAGATATGCCGGTCCAAAGACAGGAAGAAGGTGCGCAAGGCGAAGCATGCTATCCAAGTGAACAACCGATAGGACAGGCGTGTCGTTCTGGCCAGTGGTCTCCGGTCGAACTATCCACATTCCGGTATTCGCATCGGGACGTTGGCCGTATCGTTTAAACCACCGGACCAAAGCGCAGGGAATCAACATGTCATCATATTTGAAAGAAAATAATAGAAGAACACGGACTACGGCCATGCCTTCAGAACCTGGGCGCTCCTGGTCCTCCACAACAAAAGCAGTGTCCCTCCGTTCTCCGCTGCCACGCCAGTCTGGAGTAGAGCGAATACGCTCACGGCGCATACCCCGGATACCTGACATGTCACTTGGTGCAAAGAATGTGGCGACGGCAGAGTGGTAAACAGATACTTTGGAATGGATCTCAGGGCAGTCGTCCAAGGTGATGTCGTTAGAGGAATAGTGCGCATGGGGATACAAGTGGTCGTATAGGAATCGCCGTGTGAGTCCATGAAGTTCGGGAACGTTGACGTGTTCAGCCAGAAGATCCATACGGCGAGGATAGTTGCGTACTAGTACAAACAGGATATCACTGTCAGTTTAAACCGGTGGTAGATTGGGGGTGGCACTGTACTTCTCGTCCTTGCAAGCATAACATTGCCCTCGACTAAATCATCTGTGGGAGCGCATCCTTCCGCCGAGTCATCTAGTGGATCAGATGGGACTGGCTTTGGCACTGCGTCACGAGAAATAGGCAGCATCCCACGGGTCTCGAAGTCAGTTCGCATTGCCGCAAGCTTGTCCAAACGTTGATTCGTGGTTAACATCTGACCAAGGGCATTCCAGCGACTGGATCGCCTCCAAGGCTTCTTGACTGCTGTGATGTGCCGCGATTCAGTAATCGATGAGCATAATCCATTTGGTGCTCCGAACTCTTGAATAAGGTGGGGATAATGGATGAGCGAGTGCTGTCGTGGCAATGAGAAGCCATCGGGACGAACTCCTAGATCACGGAAGACCTCACGAGATTGGTGAAACGCTGCCAGAGCTTGATTGACATGTTCGAGTGTTTGTGGCGTAAAGACTGGTCGTCGGACAAGGTAGCAGAAATCCAGGAAGTTTCGGAACGTCTTGATAATCTCAGATGGAACAAACCCCACAAGGGCGGGCAGATAAACCTGAATTCACCTTTGGTTAGCCCCCCATTGCAATACAGTATTTGAGTACATACTTTCATCAAGGCCTTTGAATCATCGCCTGTCCATTGTTTAAACCGACGACCATCTGGAAACCGACGAAGGCCAGGGAAGCTTGGCGCCGCCGCTATTCTGTAACATATTCACAATTTGGTATAAAACGGAGATGATACCTAAAGTTTGGGCCTCACCGATGATCAATTTCATCCATAATTCTTTTGGCCCCCGCTTGACCATGCTCAAGTTCTAGATATTCTCCCACCCAAGCTACCAGATGATCCTTGAAGGTACCTTTGATGATTTGATGGAGGAGATCAGGCGATATCATCTCATGAATATCAGCTCGAGGAAAATCATTCGTAAATGGCTGGCCATTAGCGAGCTAATAAGCGCGAGACCGTGGTTGAATAAGACATTAACTTACGATGATGTCATCATCCACTCCGTATTCGTTCCATAGGATTCCTGGATCGAATGTCCTAATCAATGTATTTGTATACTCTTTCTCTCGTCTTGCTGCAAATGTTGGATTATCCAGTTCGGTGCACAGTGCTGTACATCTACGGTACACTTCTGGTTCAGTAACTGCTGCAAATATATATAGCACGTACCGTGGACACCATCCTTGCACAATGGCTGCGAGCATTACTTGCTCTGGGTAGTCTCCAATAAACGCACCAAAGTCGAAGATTACCCGGCGAAAATGGCCATCGGGGCACCGTCGAACGACAGGAGTAGTCATATAGTTCTTGATTGAGGCGAAGATCGCCGAGATTGATGAATGGTAAAGTTGGCGCTTGAATTTCCGAAACGAAACATCAGTATCATAGCGGCGATCGGCTAGAAAATTGCGAAGCTACAGTGGACTAGAAGGCGAGGTGATACTGATAGACATACCTTTCGGAATGGCTAAAAAGGCAATTGGTATAACTCCTTGACGGTGCGCGCGACGAGTGCTGCCCCAAATGTTCCCAATAGAGAGGTACAATGGATGGTACTCGACTTGTCCAGTAGCAACAGATACCGTGGTCTTGTCACTTCCCAGGATAATAGGACAGTACATGGTGTGCTCATTTTGCTCGGGGTTTTCGTTATAGATCTCTGTCTAAGAAACGGGACCATTAATAACTCATCAAAGACCGAAGGTGCAAGACTTACTGCATGACGCCATGCATAATTAGCGGACATGGCATCACCCCAGCGTCTGTTATTCTTGTCATCGACTTCGACGTAAGGACTATAGTCGAATTCGCCATCAAAATCAGGGTTATCGAGCATGTTTTGCAGTACGATGTCCGGGTCTCGGAACCAAACTTCGTAGATCTTCTGTTTCCATAGTGGTTCTTCAGCCGTACCACAAGGGTCGACTTTCAGACATTGCCACGGAGCGTCACCAAGCTTCGAGGCATCAATGGTGTTATACATGTCATCGTGGTCCTTAAAGGGAGCACTGGCCTTGGGGTTTATGCCCATGTCACTGGCCGAGTCTTCAGAGTCAGAAGTGGCTGGTGGCGGTGGGTTGAGTCCCAAGAGAGTGAATAACTCGTCGAGATTGGAAGCCGACATCTCGTCTTTGCGAAAGAGAAGGTCGGCGATCTGGAATTGCGCGCTATAATCGAAAGGTGACCAATTATCGTTGCTAGGTTTGTCTCTTGGAGGTGGGGGAGAATCCGGTTCTAGCTGATCGCCGTCATGGCGGCATGGAGTGCCTAGAGACAAAGGTCAATTCAGCCTGAGACAAATACATAGAACTAACCTGTAAGTTGCGGGTGGGATGTCTTCTTGGTCTTAGGCTCGGCCCGAGGTACGTCCCCCTCATCGTTGTAACATACACTGTGGCTTGCTTGACTTGGATTATCCGAATCTGAAGTGTCACTGTTGTGGTCCGAACGCGCACTACTTCCACTGGCAATAGCATCTGGCGGTAGCGGGGAGCCACGTTGAACTGTGTTGCCATTATAATGCTTGCTGCGAACATGGTGAGTGCGACCGCGGTAGCTCTTAAACCTTCCAGCGCATCCTTCGAAGTCACAGCGGAGCCACCGTCCGGCCATGGCTAAGGATAGTGCTATTTGGGAATCAGATATCGTGCCAAACTGTGGCTCAGAGTAACGTGTGCTGACCAGGAATTTCAAACCCAACTAAGGGCAATTTCAAACAAGTTGAAAATGTCGGCCCTCAACGAACAAAATCGAGCAAAAGATACCTGTAAAATTTCACCGTTGAACTGTCCAATATCAACAACCAAAATCAACATGGCTCCGCCAAAAAAACGTACCGACACTCTGACCAAGGCCTTGCAATCTCGCATGCAGTCCACGACTCAGCCTACTCAGCCTGGGGGAGTAGAACTCCCAACAGAACAACAAGTTCCAGCCAGGCGCCGCACTGCATCAGCACGCAAGAGCAAACCCGACTCGCAGATGGCGCAGGCAGATCTTGAGGACCAGCCGGCTCGCACGATCAATACCCGTGCATCTAACAAGACAGCACATCCAGGTCAGATCATCCGTGACAATACCCAGAAACGCCGCTCATCAGCAGAGGTGCGAGCCGCGAACAACGCAAAAAAGGCCGACAAGCTTATGAAAAGTTTAATCAACGACCAGGCGCATCACGATGCCCTGGACAAAATCGCAGAGGAAGAGGAGCGCTTGTTTCTCGAGGATTTTGCAAGGCGCTGCGTTGCTGAGCGTCCAGACATCGATGTCGGTGGAGAGTCTGGTACCAATAGGGATGCGTCAGTAGGTTCGAAGGCATGTATCTCATTTACTGTCACTCACCTCGGAGATCATTGACGACATCCGAAAGTTCCAGTTGTCCAAGCATGCTATGAAGGCTAGCAAGCCTAAAAACGTCACCAGCAGAGTGGTGAATGTATCTGATGGTGAAGAAGGGGGCGCGAGCATGAGTGAGGGCCCATCGCTTCCAGACATCAATGCTCCAGACTTCACATGGGAGGATGTCGAAGTCCAGGAAGTAGATTCTGTCGCTGTTGTCGATGTATCAGATACAGATTCCCAAGACCATGAGTATCAGCCTACCAGAGACGAAGAGCGGAGCGACGTTGAAGATATGGATGTGATTGCGATTCCGGAGAAGAAAACTAGCTCGACCGCAAAGGGCAAAGCAGCTCAGGCTACCAGCGGGAAAAGGGTAAGTGCATTGTCAGCATATCTTGGGCAAATACTCACCGGCCATGTCTATTGCCAGGAGCGAGGGGTCGTTCGAGCAGACGTACTTGCTCAACGTGAGAGGCTGAGAGAGGCCACGTCGGTGGGAACAAAACGGAAAGCTCAAGGCGCTTCGACTGGTGGGAGTATCAAAGACCATGAAAGGTAAAGTTGAAGCCCTACTTCCATGTTCACTATTGATTCCGATGATTGCCAGCGGCAAGCGCGCCAAAACCATGGGGCTAGGTGGACTTAGAAAGGACTGGCGCCCACCCAATCAGTTGAAGCCTGAGCAACGAAGCTCTGCTTCCCATGCCACCAGCCGTGAACTTCCCACCAACTTGAACAATGGCCTGAGTGACCACGACGACGATGTTCAGACGGATGGGGAGTGGGATGCCGATGAAACCACCGACATGCTCGAAGCCGTTCGCACTAGCAAGACCGCGACTGTCCGACAAGCAGGGCTGCAAGCGAGTACCCAGGGCCCTGGCACCCGAACCACTGCTGCAAGAAATACTTCGCAGGTATGTTCGTCGTATTTGATTTACCATGCTTGCTGTGAGGCTGGTGGCCTTGCTCTCACACTGGGCTGGTTTAGCACGCGATGAGGCTGTCCATTGCCTCCACTCCAGCTCGTGCCGATTCACGGCGATCAGTAACTACTAATAGTAGTAGAAAGAACCTACCTGCGAGATCCAACCCAGCGTATCAAAGGCCCAGTGTCCCTCCCTTCACTCAAGACTACCAACCAGAGTCGACATCCGAGGACGTTGCCGCCATTGCCACTCCCAACACCCTAGCAATCGCCGGAAGCAGCGCTCGCCCCAACCAAAAAGTGGCCATCCGTGATCTCCCTTTCCCTAGGGGACAATGGTCAGCGTATATGCAAAAGTGGAAGGTATTGCGTGCCTCGCTAATAAACTGGAGCGGGACGTTGCCCGACATGTTCAGTGCCTCAAGCCACCCGGAATTCTTGCCCACCTTGAAGCAGCTGTGGATCGAGACGTTTCCTGAGCTTGCAGATGCTGCTGACGATAGAGCTCTGATAATCATAGTGAGGCCAATGATTTGACATCTACCAATAACTGACGAACTTTAACAGGCTGGAGCCACGATTGGGGATCACCGCAGCGCTATAGGGAAAGCCGCCGTTGCTGTGGTAGCCAACCTCATACCTGCAGATGCAACAACACCCCAAGAGGTACTGAACGCCCTCAAAAGCCGGTACTGCACTGTCCCTGAGTTCATCTACCGAGATCCCTCCGGCGCGGTGAGCATGTCCTAAATATACAAAATCTCCAAGCGACTGAGGCTCCGGACAAATAGCCCGGCAATAGAGGTTCATACCTCTCTGATCTCATCCTTAAAGTATTAGCGGTCCATATGGGAGTCGTATTACAAGCCCAGAAGGCGTTCGGTCGTCCAGCGGGTGCTCTTGCCCTTGTCTGTGCAGCGGTACGTCTAACAAGTCCTGAATATGATAATCGGTCTCTGATGTGTTCGAAATACAGATAGAACGCGCCTTGGATGGCTGGAAGGAGGGCGTGAATCAGATTGAAGAGGCTAAGAAAGATCCGAAGCGCAACAAGTCTCATGGGTTCAAGGCCGAGAGGTGGGGCCCCGTCGCCGCTCGCTGGCTCAAAGGTATCGACAAGAACATGACAGACAAGCGCTGGGAAATCCTTTTCCGTGATACGTCTGTCTTTATTCCCGACAGACTTTCAAACGACATCGACTGCGAACCATTCGCCGAGGGCGACATCCGTGACATTGACGGATCTGGTGACGAGTTCCTTGAGTAGTCATGGAACGAACTTTGAAGGTCTGTCCTGCCATTTATAGAACAAATCTGGCCGTATGCTTACTTTGATCAACGGCCGGAATCTACTTCAAGCTCGCTGGGTGGGGATTGATTGGTTACAAGTTTATCATTACCGTCGCTACTGTACAATAATAGCGGCCACGTATCCACCAATCCATGATGTTCGCACCCCAGCTTCCCCAGTTGTCCAGTCTCCCAGTAACTCGTCACTGGAAACGGGTAGGTCCTACTGGTGGCGGTTTCAACAACAGGAGCACCGGAATAACTGTCCGTACTGTCACAGATCATCCGGTGAAGTTGAATCTTCCTGATGCTATAGCGCATTCGGGGTCGTCATACGCTTGCCCGACGCGCAGGTCGATGGTGTACACAGCGCAACTCTGCCTAGACCAGGAGCTAATGACTTGGAGAAAGTGCTGATTAAGGTGCGGGCCATTGAAATGGGAAACAGTGTAGATATTTGCTGACGCAATGGCAAATACCTGCGGCTAAGAGCACAGGCATGTGGTTGAAGGATGTATCCCCTTGTAGGATTCTTGACAGCATGATAATGCGACACGCCATATGTCGACGATTGCGGGGGAATCATGAACAACTCCGGATGTTCATTATCTCGGTAGGTAGAAGAATACTGCCGAGAACAAGGGGGTACTAGTTGACAGAAGTTAGACCGCGTCCTTCGATACCCCTTGATCGTTGGACAGTGCTACGCGTATCTCGAACGGTTCCCTCGGTGTCATAGAGGTGGCTGCTGTCGACGTTGGCGCGTGGACATATTCAAACCAATCTACACTGTTCGCTACAGCACAAGTCGGTCAACGGGTTTCTCCCATAAACAATGCTACTGGATTCGTCCGAGCACTCACGATTTTGTAACTCCTGTCTCTGGCGCAACGGTCGTTCCAGAGTCGAAATCCCGTCCGAGCTGACCAATGAGCGAGGGGGATTCATTCAAGCCTTACTGTTCAGATGCCCATGCCTCACTGGTCCCTGCTTCGGCGACGATGTGATCTACTAGTAGGCCTCCGCACTTGGCTGTTCTTGCGTTAGGTATTGACCGTGGGGATGCGCATTGCGCTTATCATCGTGAGATCAAAAATCGAACTTGAAGTACCTCAGGCGCTTTGGCGATCTCCAACCAACCTACTACAAGGTTGCTAGTAACAACACCAACGATGGCTCTGGTTCGCCGAAACCTCCTGTATCTCGGAAGTAGCCCTCACCTATGATTCCTGCCGCGCGGCGTTGTCGATATAGTGTCATTTCGTATTCCGTGTGTACCATTGGAAACGGAACACACAGAAACGTCACCGACAAGGCAGTACTGATTGATGTAAAGATTTGAGACGGTTGGCCCTATTTGTTCTTTGTTACACGTATCCACCTTTGGCTCATTTCCCAGACCCGTATGGATCTGCGGAGTCTGCTAAGCAAGCCGAAGGATTCTGATACTTTAAAAGTGTTCTGTGAGTAAGTATCTCCTGCTTTCCATTAGAATTTATAGCGCCCTTCGCAAACTTTCGAGATGGATACATCAACCATGTATGTCCCATTGTTACTTGCTGAACGACTGCTAAGCACCTCTCTGATAGAACAGGCCCTTTGGTAATGAGTCTTTGCCCTGGCCCAAGATGCCATATCGTAAGGCATGACCCTGACAGAGGCTAGGCTTTAGGTTACATGCTCGGTTTTGTGCTCTTCGGTGTTTTGGTAACTCAGATATGTAGGGAGAATCTATTCTATCATGTTGCATCAGTGTATTAATGTTGCATCTCCTACTAGCCTTTTACACGACACATTTCCCGAACGATGCAAGAATCATCAAGGTGGTTGGTAAGCCTAATTCGCATCGACCTAACTCGCACTCTCATCGCCTTTAGTATGGTCCGTCGGCTTATTGGAGGCCCTCTTCACTGTATTCACCGTCGTCGCCGGATGGAACAACTTTGGCACGAATTGGGGTGACATGGACACTCTTCAAGAATTCCACTGGTCATGGCTAGTTCTACCACTGATGTCAGGACCAGGTGAGCACACCCACCGTGAATTTCTTGTACACGTCTAATCAAGGTCCCTGGGACGTAGTGATTTTTGCCACCCAGACATTCTTTGCCTGGAGAATTGCTAGAATCTCAGCCAAAATCTGGCTTGGCTTGCCATTTGTCGTGGTAAGCTCTTCCATCAAACAGCACATCCAATTCTAAAGCAACGTGGTTAGCTGGCCCTTCTACAATACTTCGCATATTTATACTGGTCAATTGGAGTATGTGGCACATGCACATCAACGATTGCTTTGCAACCCATACTCACGTCTATCAGACACTCGTACATGGTCGCACGGTTGACCAATTCCAAAGTTACAGACGGATCGTCGACGTGAGTGCCATATGTCAGGACATTGTTTCTCCCACCCCTTGAGCGCACCCATTTCCCCCCAGCTAGAGCTTGTTACTGGTTTGGTGTGCAATTTGTTGATAACGGTAGCAATGAGCACAATGGTGGGCCCGACATTGTCTCAGCGCTTCATGTTACTCATCGAGCCTCAGACGTTGATGATGCCAGAAATGTCGTATCGGTTGACCTACAACCAAATTGCTCAGCTCTCCGTTGAGACGAACGTTTTCCTAACCATAGGCTCTATGATAGAGCTCATCTTATGGCGCACGATGCCACATAATGGCTTCCATTTTATGTTGTATGTGATCCTTTCGTGACTACTACAAGCCTTCCACTGACATCTTTCTAGGTTTCTCATATTGGGAAGATTGTAAGTCAATAAATCATGCAAGCTGTCGAGTTCGTACTTAGCCTTCTAGGTATGCTAACATTCTACTCGCATCTCTGAATTCGCGCATCCATTATTCGACATCCCAAAACTCGAGCTTCGAATCACGTAACGGCGCAACCTTGTGGGCTGACATGTCTCGCCGTGAGATAGACATCAATACAATCCGGTCTGGCATCATGAATGTCCAAGCAAACGCAATCATCAATACCCATCACGACTCTGAGTACGGGTTCCAGCCTTCTGTACGTGCAAGATTTCCCTCCGGAGCAGCAGCTTTAAGTGCCTGACTGTCTTCCTATACTTTTAGTCGCTACCCGATTCAAAGCAGAATGCAGGGTTGCTACGGTTTAGCGACTGAGTAGGGTGTAAGATTTCTGTTTCTACAGTCATATGTATCGTTATTTATGTAATGCTCGTTCGACCTCGTAGTTGAGCGTATATCACCCGCAATGTGCGGTTTATCAGTAGGATAAGCCACCGTCGCCAATGTGTCATGGATGTAGTGTAGTCTTATTCTGTTAGACCAACAAGTCACGCGCACTATTTCACTTAGCGCCAACTATCATCTCCTCGAAATCGAGGCAATGAGTTCTTCCCTTCCTTTGAATCCGCAGAGTTCTTCGAAATCACATTCTTTTCATACAAAACCGTTAAGCTTGTCTCCTACAAACCCAACAACCTCACCTTCCCCGCATATTTCGCGGAAACACCGACCCCCTTCAATCAACGTGACTCCAAAACGAAGCCAACTCGCCAGACGACAATCTTCCATATCGTATATCGTTAGCCCACCTACGACATGCCCTTCGGCCCCTTTGACATGTGGTGCAGAATGGCTGAACAGAGGTGACCAGAGACACGGCGGCCAGCTTTCGAGGAGCATGTCATTAAGCAGCAGGGCTGTCCTGAAGGGGGATGTCAAGAGGGTATCTAGTCGCAATGCCTCTGAAGTCGACGACGGAATGGAAAATCAGAAGCGAGTACCATTGACGCCGGTTGAGAGGTGAGTTTTACGGTCTTCATAGTTGGCATCAATGAGCGAGCGTGACTAGGCACGCCGAACTGCTTCATATCATCGCGCAGAAGGAGTCCATATGTTTGGAATTACGCTCTCAGCTTGAAGCACACGAAGCGGAGTTGCTGCAACGTAAGTGCAGACCCAATCCCATCCTGGCTACATGCTTATTTTGTTCAGTGAAACGAAAGTGGGAGATTGTTGTCTCTCGTGGACTTGACATTCCGACACCTCTGAGTCTGGATCGCCTCCCTCCTACATCCCATGCCGTTGACAAAGGTTCCGCCGTCGTGCTTGAAGGGATCAAGGAAGGTGTACAAGGCGTCGGTCGCCTAATCCTCGGACAGCCAGCGACAACGTCGGGGAAAAGCCGGGCTCGAGGTGACCGCCATCGCACCATGAACACGCTCCATCTATCCCAATCTTCCGACATATCAGTTTCCTCAAACGCAAGTTCCCGGTCTAGTGTAATGACTGCTAGCACCAAACGGACGAGCGTATCATCTAGCGGCAGCGCAGGCGCTGACAAGGAGGCTCCGTTGGTGCGCAAGGACACAGGAGCAGCTCCTACAATGAGCCCGAGCTCAACATTCTCACCACTCTTGCAGCAGATAGAAGTTCCTGCTGGGACGACTGATACAAGGCGTGAAGAGTCACCCCTCGCCTCGTCTTCCCCTAGAATCAGTAACAAAACCCTTCGCAGACGTTCGGCTGGTACTGGTTTATCCCCTTCATTGTCTTCACGTCTAGATGACGATCATTCGGCCCTTTCCACTACAAACCAGCACGACGAACCTACCAAATCAAGCAAGAATCCCTCACTACCGCCTCCCGTGTCGATACCTGGATTAGGTGCCTTCTCTGCTGGCGTTGGTGCGGATACAACTGGGCTGGGTAAAAGATGGGAGGATGGGTGCGTACATGGTTCTCGTTTGCTTTCCCAATAGCTTAATGAGACGCGTATGGACTATGTTGGTCTAGGTTAATCAAGAGTCAGAGGCGAGCATCCACATTCTTGTCTGACCTTGTCTCTGCCTTCTCCCCACCGACTTCTTCATCCCTTTTGCTGCACTCGTCTCCGAGCGCTTCTCCTTCCTCGTCGGTGACGCCACTCAGGCGTTCTCATACGGCGCTCTCACCGTTGGCTAAGAGTCCTCCGGCTTCAAGATCTCTACTCGACGACTCAGACGATGATAGCACAATCGGAGGGTTAATGAGCACCGACGTCATGATACCAGTACAGTCGCGGACATATCCAGCCAAGAAGACGCCGTTGCGTAGGACATCCAGTCAGAAGGCTTCGAAACCCAGCAGCATCCTGCCGGACGACGAATGGAATTGGTAGACCGTTTCTCATCACTTTTCTTTATCAATTGTTACTATCTCTTCCTTCCTTCGGTTTGTCGCTCGTTATCGTTCACTCGCTATTAAGTTGCATTCTTCCCTACATTCTCATTTACATCGCGAAGTTTTGTATCACGGTTATCTCACACTCTATACCGGCTCGGCGATCCGGAGGGTCCTCCCGTTCAGACTCCTTGGTGCGTGTCTTCAGTCATTCTTGTTTTCTTTCCCTCATGTTCGTCCCCTCTGCCTTCCTTCAGCCAGGACCGATGGGACTATCTGATCTCCAATACACAGAACACTGTCGCCATTACCAAATCATCAAATTCCTACATCTGGAAAGCTTCATCACATATTGTACAGCACCCGAGTATTGTACATTATCATCATATATTCGCGTCGGCGAGACACATCTCAACATACTAAACACCAGTGATCCTGAGTTCTTCAGCGATGATCAAGGCAGCTTTCTCGCCGATCGCGAGAGCGGTAGAATAGGTGTTCTGTTTGCAACATGAGTGCAACATCTAGGTGATGGGGGTCATACTCACGGAATTTACGTTCGAAGGCGGAATAGATATATCTGTTATAGAGAGGTTAAGTTCCAATTCGTGTCGCGAAGTACGGATACTAACCTGCTACCTTTAAGTTCTTGACGCCGTAAACGTTCAATCGCGAGTCGACAACACCTCCGTCTTGGCGAGGTTTCATGGCACATGTTCCCAGCTACTCATCATGTCAGTCTCTTAAACTGAAGCAGTCCAATTGATACTTACAGAGTGCCAAGTCGTCGCAACTATTTCGTAGATGTAAGTTGATGTGTATACATATATTGAGATTCCGGCACTTACCGAACTTCTGGTGGAACTCATCAATGGCTTTGTCGTCTTCAGCTGAGTATACAAGATTAGGTGCGTCAAGGTCCACCGTAGTCGTGTCCTTCAGGGATGCTGAACTATCCTCGGCAAACGCTGGAGCGACAGGAGGGAACGCGCCCCGGAAGAGTGGGAGGCGCCTCACAAATTCGCGACTCTTCTTATAGCCCCATCGCAAGGCAGCGACATCGGCAGGGCTAGAATGTTTCAGTGAGAATATAGCAGGTCACAATGTGTTCGGGTCATACTGGTTCAAGAAGCCCGCATCGAAATCTTGAGGAGTATAGACGTTGTCATCCACAATGTGGACGCTCCCACGAGACGCCGGATATGCCTACGAAGATTGTCAATCAATCGCGGAATTTCATCTGTTGATAGGACATACGAGGTGATAACCACCGCAGATAAACTTCAAAGGTGGGAAACCGGTCTGGTCAGTAGGGAAGCTGAAACCATTAACTTAGACGAGCAGCCAATCACTAGATGCAAACAATTCGGGGGCGAACTCTTTCAGTTCGTCTTCAAACGGACGAACTTTAACGGCCGCGTCGACACCACTTAAGCCACAGTTTGAATACAACACTTAGAGATGAACATGGCAACCCACTTGGCACCCAGCTTTCCAGTCCCGTCAGTGGCCCATTGGGTAAGTTCCTCTGCAGCCATAAGTTAGCCAACTCTCTAACTTTTTTTTCGCAAACTCACTCGTCCACTCTGCAACATCGCCTTTGAAAAGCAAGTCGTATGTCTCAACTTCCGGGTCGGAGATGTACGGCACAACCCCAAACAAGTGGTCTGATCGTAGTCTCGTGTTACCGACGTTACACCCATGGTATTTGATGCTCACCTTGGTAATTAGCACCGACACCCGGGAGATCAACAAGGGGCGTAATGCCCGCCGCCTTGAGAATTTCCGGAGCACCAATACCGGACCTCTCCAAGACACCCGGTGACCCGAAGGCCCCAGCGGCTACGACCACGAGCTTCGTAGCCCGGACGGTATAGAGATCTTGGGGCGCCTCTGGGTGGACGCGATTGTCGAAGACGAATTCGACTCCGGTCGCCGTTTTGTCTCTGCCGCAAAAATGACAATATGGCCCAAGGGACATTGCGTGGTCTTACTCAAATAGAACGCGCTTCACACGTCCACCATGTACAAGGTCGAGCCCCGTACTTCCAATTTGATTGTACACAAAATGATGCTACCGCATTCCAGGTCAGGTCTTCGCGTCTTATCATGTTGAGTGGTGAAACTTTTGAAAACTCACTGGTACGTCCGATCGCTTGCCATCGACACTACACCATCTAAAATCAATTGTCATCAGCAGACGAGAATGATAGGATCATGGCTTTTTCTTACTTCGGCCAACGCTAATGATTGAGTTCACGTTAACATAGCAGCTCTCGGAAGGTCTTAACATTTGACTTACCGCAAAGGTATTGATGGAGCTCACGCCACATGCGTTGCCATCTTGCCCCAATACTCGGCGTTTGTCATATTTTGGGCCAATATCGAGGAACTGTTTTCCGGCTTCACTGAAGAAACCACCGTACGAAACTTTCAGAGGTCCGGAAGAGCCGTGCGTCGGTGCACTGGGATCGATCTCATATGTCTCCACCTGGTCATTGTGTTAGCTCACGCGCAAGATGAACTCTCGCCAGCGAGGTATGATTCACCTTCTGTAGCAAAGGGATCAGTTCCTGAGAGTTCCAACCAGGATTGTTGTATTCATTCGCCCAATCATCGAAGTCCGATGCGGAGGGGCGGTTATATAATACGAAGTTCACAGAGGATCCCCCGCCAACGCACCGCCCAGACTGGATGATGGCAGAACGGCCTCCCAAGTGCTCGCTGGGCTTGGCAACATTATGGGTTATAGTCGTCGTTGTAGGAACAAGATGGGTGATGTAACGACCTGGCTGTACATGCTCAGGCATGTCCTTCGTCAATGGGCCAGCTTCCAGAAGGAGAATTCTAAGTTTGGGAGCAGCAGCGGCCAAGCGGCCTGCAGCAACGCCCGCGGACGCGCCGCCTAGGGACACATCTAGGTTAGCCTCTAATATTATCCATAGTTGATGAATGTTACCTCCAACGAAGATAATGTCGTATTCAGGATTAAAAGTCGGTAGAACCATGTCTTGTATCGCCGATGAGGGGGCTTTGATGTAGGATATCCCATCCTTTTGAGGCTTTATATCTCTGCGAGTTGGGGCATCATCATCTAGAGCTCCTGTCTCGTTCCCCTCTAACCCACATTGCGAAAAGGAACTTGATCTAATCACTACCGCAAATATGGATAAACAACCTACTGTGTGGGTGTCGAAACTCACGATGGCACATCGGCAACCACTCCCACGTCTTTCTAGAAGTACGAGAGATCTACAGCTGAAGCATCAGCGATAAGAGTTTGAAACCTCGCACCGCGTGGGGGCAGCTTAGTGTCCGTATCTGACTGAATCTCACACAATTCATCTTCCATGGCAAGGACCCATCAACTTCACCTTGCCCATCAACTGATGCTCAATGGCAATACAGAATGAGCCACCTGACACAAACGCCGGTCGTTGGTGTTAATTCTCTATAAGGGCCCCTCCTCCGAAAGGACTTAGTTCCTGGTCTCAACCCTGCGTTACGCGCGACCCTCCGGAAACATGGCTCCCCCACAGTCGCCCTTCATCGCGAGCATCCCTAACTTGTAAGTCCTAATTCTTCACTACCGGCAAACTTGCACAACTCATGTATCCTCGCGACCAGTACTGGACCACTGGTGAGCTGCTGTTGCCACTATTGTATCGCTCGATATCGTTAACGCTCGGGTAGGCATTGGGCTACATGTTTGGCTGCGGATTATTTGGCATGCTTATCGTGCAAATGTGCAAGTCCGCCACCGCCCTAAACAGTCTCAATGCTAAGCCAACTTTACAGCCGTTTATGTCTCCCATTTCCCGAAAGATAATTGCTGGATCAAGCTACTCGGTACGTTTAGTGAAGCTGAGTGTGCCAACTAGTTACGATGGTGAAAACAGTCTGGATCGTCTTCGTCTGTGAGGCCGTCTTTACCCTTTTCACCACCATCGCTGCTTGGAACAACTTTGGCAAAAATTGGGGTGACGTCGAGACCCTCCTGACCATTGACTGGTCTTGGGATCCTTTACCGATTCTCAACGCGTTGGGTACGACCCCCCCTTTGCAATACCAGAGCATGGCTAATCCCTGACAAACTAGTTGCATCCATGGTCCAAATATTCTTTGCGTGGCGTATCTATCGGTTGTCTAATAAGATCTGGATATCGATTCCGATTGTTTTGGTCAGCCACTTGCAGTTTTCGATAGCTTGCCTATCTAACTATCTAAACTGTTTCATAGGTCTCGTTGCTCCAACTCTGCGCGGCGACCTATTACGACGCAATGGTACGTTACATCTCCATCGACACTCGTTTCAATTTCACCTCAATGGAGTGACCAGGTCATCAAGGAGAAAAACTCGATCTTAACCCTCCTAGCTCTTACGGAGTGGGTGGATGTAGGTGCCCGCCGAATTCCCCGCGTATTCTTACTTATACCCTATCAGACTTGGCTCATCAGCAGCGCTGTGTGCGACATCTTGATCTCAACGGCGATGATTACTATCGTGCGTTCAACCGTCCATGACCCACGTACATGTCTAACTCTCTTGGCATCGTAGCTTGCTCGAGCTAGCTTGAAGTCGCACTTCCGTCGCTCAAGTTCGTCACTGAATCAGATCATCAAGTTCACAATAGAGACGGGCTTTGTCACGACAATCGGCGCCATCATAGAGGTTATCCTGTGGCGCACGATGTCTGAGAACAGCTTTCACTTCATCTTGTGGGTGTTGCCATGATTGTTATTTCCCTCTACTAATCGGCGATGGCATCACAGCTTCTTGACGCTCGGTAGACTGTAAGCACCACTTTGTTGTTTGGATACTGATACATCCTCCTGATGCGTGGTCTAACCTGATATAGGTACTCTTAACGTTCTGCTTGCGTCGCTGAACTCCCGTGCAATCCTATCCGCTCGTCACGGTGGCTATATAGACGTTTCCGCAAGCCAAACCCGATCAGTCCTTTGGTCGGACATGACTTCCACTCTCGCCGGTTCACGTGCGGCGAAGTCGGCCCCCGCTACCATCAACGTGCAGACAACGAAGATCGTACACCAAGATACAGAGCTTGATGACATATCTAAGGTACTTGCACCTGATTTTCCATCATTGATTCCCACTGATATAGCGTAGCATAATGGAACATCTTCTTTCTCAAAGCCAGCAGCGACCGAATTTGTGTGATTTACGTCAAATCCTGTTGTAAATACTTTTTTTGGATAAGATAGGCCTCCCGTACGTATCATGTTGTTTCTTAATTTATGGCCGTGTCTATTGTCCTAGATCATACCATCAACACATGTGTGATTCGGAGAACACTTGGCGTCCGTTGAGGGATTGGTAGAATTCTCTTGTGTGTATCTAGAACGCACTGAAGCTGTACCCAGAGAAGAATCTGATGGTAAGTGTGTAGTGTGAAACTGTAACGTGACGCGAGGGGGTCCTTGAGGGTACCTCGGCGGGAAGCAGATCGCTCGTACAAGAAGTTCCTTCAAAGTTAACTGACGGTGCCGGCTCAGTGGGTGAAATATGATTGGGTACTGCATGATTGAATCAAAGTTCTTGTGTTCTTGTGTTGACTAAGATGTGATGCTCGACGGCAAAAGAATGGTGAGGTATGTCCGCCGAGAGCCTGATAGACCAATGGAAAACCATACCTATTTATACAAGACCATCAGTCGGAGGACAAGTTCACTGAGCGGCATGATGTGTGGACCACACAACCAGCACAAAGGAACGGGAGTCGAATCAGGGCGGGAGAAGCGTAGTGCAGAAAGGCACAGACTGGAGTGTTTGAAGAGAGGAAAAGCCCTGGGGTCTGATAGAGAAGAGTAACAGCGCCTGTGAGTGCCGACTATATGAATACTAGGTAATGCAGAGGAATGATGCAGAGGAATGGATACCGTGATTTACTGCGCCGTGGGTTGCATGAGGAAGAACTTCCTGCCGTTTGGCGAGGTTCTAGTCCGCAACAACGTGAAGTTTCTCTGTCATTGACCGCATGCTACTAGGGTGAATTTTCTTGACGGCTGTAACTTGTTACCGTTGGTGCGTCTTCGACTTTTGATGTCGTTCTGCCAGCCATTCAATCGGAGTGACACGCCCTGTCTCCTGTCGTCCAACGACTGCAGATACACTGTAGTGTCAACGCTTCCGTGGTGTAGTCGTTCTACTATGTAGAATCTGGATATCGATTTCAGATGATGTGGTTTTTGATGCCCTGCACGCAGCCCTGCTCGTCTTTGGTCAGTGAGACTCTGAGACTCGAAACTCTTAATTACGCAAAGCTCGGGGCTGCGGAACTCAATACTGGGAGTACATTTACAGATACACACACATATATTTTGCCAGATGAGTCGTCCAGATGAGCATTATGGCGAGCATTTTGCGCCACTGAATTTGAGGGTTACTCTACGGTATGTCGGGGGCTTGAGCGCTCACAATTACGGATACTTGAAACTTCCAAGTTCTGCCTAGTCCGAGCATCATGGCATGCATCGATGCATCAAACACCTCAGCAGCCAAGTGACCAAGTTCAAGTGGCTAAGCCCCGCGCAACCACCGCCGATACTGAGTTTGCCGGCCATGTCATTCTACGACGGTGCTAGGGTGCCCCCGGATTGGTAATGACATTCCGTCTGAGAAAGCGATTACGTTGCCCGCGGGGCAGAATATCATCATGTGAAAGCTTATATAATATCGCGTTAAGGTATATGAGAAAAAATATGTTTTTACATGGGAATTCCCACCTAATTCATGCGGGCTCGCCTAATCAGAGTGTTAGTTTGATACTTTATAAAAATTGATTTATATTTGCTTCGTGAATAGGGACATAAGTATAAGACCGGTTGATACCTGGTCGGGTGGGTAGATGTCAAGGTAATCTGAAGGGCACACCCAGTGATGATAATTGATGGTTTCTGGCAGGCACAAGCTCAGCAATTCATGTATGATGTCTAGCACAACTATTGCTGATTCATCCTGTACTATTGCCGGAGCTCTAGAGGTGCATTTATTCCTTTATAGAAGCCAAATTTGTATCTTCTACATATTTACTTGGAAATTCTTTGATATATACCCAATAATACCCCTTACCCCTTAGGGGTATTAGGAGATGGCGTGTTATACTGACTCTCAGATGTTTGAACACTCTGAAGACTGTCAGAATTCAAGAGAGACGGTGCAGTGTGCTCTTTTGCATATTTATTACCTGTATACACTCATGATAAGAGGCACAGGGCTCATATGGCACTACACCTGCTCTTATTCTGCAAAAGCTACATCTGTAGCAGATTTGTTTCATATACCATATGTACTGCTAGATCCATTCTTCTTAATGGCTGGCTAATTAGTGTTGGCTCCAGTTACTTGATCCTAAACGGGACTCAGCAGTAGAAAGAAGAATTACACTAGTAGATACGACCCTATAGCCCCTTAGGGGCTCATCAGGAGCAGGTTTTGGGCAATCTCTTAACAATTCCTTAACTGGTATCTAGTTCTGATTACTCCGAGCAGCACCAATCTATACACTATATACTAAGAGTCTTCTTTAGTGGCATGTTCCCATAATTGTGAACTGTGAATGGCAAGGAAATGGTTGGTGAAGTAATTGCTCAATATCTACTCAGGCATGCAAAGCTAACTGATTTCCGGTTGGCTCAGTAACCGCGTTCAAAGCGCTGCAGAAGGTTTAAGGTTCTGGAGTTTTCAAAGTCAGCTGGCAAGAAACGCGCAAGTGCACGCATTCTCCCACGGAGTGACCGTTTTGAAAGTCAGCTCGCAGCTTGCGCGCAAGCCAACAGAGCAGCGCATATTCTCACGGGGTGACCATTTTACTCACGGGGTGGTCATTGGAAGGCACCCCGGCGATAAAATACTCTGTATCGAAGGTGACGAGCAATGTACTTCTGATGCACCGATGAAGCAGCATAGTATTCAATTCTAGGCTTGCGTTGTTGGTGACTTCGGCGATTGCCGTGAGCTGGAGTTCGATACGCGAGGGCACGTGATTCTAAGTCTCTTCAACTTCTACTTACTAGCCGCTTCAATGAATCAAGCTATGAGAACCGATGCAAATGCCTTACCGCTCTCATTTGCAGAGGGTCACAATCCTCAACGTGTCCCTCGCTCGTCGGACAATCTTCGACTCAGTTTCGAGGTCTTGGGTCTCTGAGCTTAGCTGCTTGTGATCTTCTCACGGAAATGATTCCAACGTGGACCACATACAATGACCAATCAATTTCAAGCCAGAAGGCTGCCGTACCACCGGGGACGGAGGCATGGCCGATTAATCACGCAAGGAGGGACCTTCTCGAGCGCATAACTTCCGTTCGTGAGTCATCTTACTCCAAAGGTCTTGATGCATTGATGAGCCTCATATATGTATCGCCCCATATCCGGGTGGGGTTTCCGCCAGTATGACTGCGCTTCCTCCAACTGATGGCTCTCTGTTGCTCTCGCAAACAATCGACTTCCACCTCAAATGCAATCCGACGTTTCCCATGTATGTGTTTGTAGAGGAGGGTTCAGAGCGCGTAATAGTTGTTACCTTTCTGGAGTTTGCAAGAGCATGTCACCGCGTCGCCCACCATGTGCGCCCCAGAGCCTCACCCCAACAACTTGGTCAAGTAGTGGCTATAATTGCGTCCTGCGACACAATTGTTTACCAAGCGCTGGTCTTGGGGTGTATAAAAGCAGGCCTGGTGGTGAGTCGTATTGCCTGAAGTAAGATTCTGTACCCTCAGAAAAATATCCAGCCTTTCCCTATCTCCCCTCGAAATTCGCCTCTTGCAGTAATCGGGTTATTGAAGGCCGTGGATTGCCATCGTATTCTGGGCACGAATACATCACTGAAGGGCCTATTTGCAGGCATTCGAGCGGAAGTTGATAAAGACGATGAAACCTTCTCCGTGAGCATCGAGGAGATCCCCTCTTTAAGGGAGGTGTATCCCCACCTTGGCCAAGAACGGGCCGGTGACGCATTTTCTCCCTACCCAGAACATCTTACAACAGCAGGTCTAAGTAGCATAGCTCTATACCTGCATTCATCTGGAAGTACGGGCTTTCCGAAGGTCATCCCGCTCACCCAGTTGGCCATTTTACAATGGGCTGCCCTCCGTGAGTTTTCTGGCTGTCGAACCTGTTTGCCTTGCTCTGACCCCAAAAACCCATAGCAAGTGTAGCGGACATAAAACACTCCTCGCATCGGTTTGGGAGCATGGCGCTTCCCTCATTTCATACGCTCGGCATCTACTTTCAAGTGCTATGCCCCATTTTTGCTGGAGTGACAGCGGGAGTTTATCCACCGACAATGACGTCGGCTTCGGCGACGCCCATTATGCCTACCCCAGATAACATCTTGGATCATGCGCGCCGTGTTCAATGCGATGTGATTGTGGTTCTCCCGACACTACTCCAAATCTGGTCTCACTCGCCTGACACCCTCGAATATCTCAAATCGCTTTACCTTATTGTAAACGTTTTCTTTGCTCAGAAATCTCCGTCGTACTGACGAGTATATAGGTTTGGTCTGGTGGTTCTCCCCCGCAGAAAGTAGGAGACGCTCTTGCGGCGGCTGGGGTGGCTTGCCGCTCGTTGTATGGCTCGACCGAATTTGGTGCTCCTCTCCGTTGGCTCTACAGAGATGATCTAAACGATTGGGAATATATGCAATTCCCAGAGAGTGATCATTTTCGTTGGATTCCTCAGGGCGCTAGAAGATATGAACTCCACATCCTCGTGAGCGTTGTCGACTCACTCTCACATCCGCCTACTGAACTAAAACGTTTCTAGTCAAGCAAAATAGGACATATCAACGTGCCCAACTTGCCGGATAATGGTTATGCGACATCAGATTTGTTCGAGAAGCATCCTACGAAGGGTAATCTGTGGCGATTGTGGGTGTGCTCCTTCCGTGCAATCTGGCTTTATGATAGATTGGCATCCGCAGAGTTGCCAGGGTGGACGATCTGATAGTGCATGCGACTGGCGAGAAGACGGTGCCCACGCCGATGGAAACGATTATTGGAAGCCATCCAGCGTATGTTTACAGCTTTTCTATGTACACATTCAGTAATGGAGATCCACAGAATCCAAGGTGTTGTTATGTTTGGCGAACGCCAAATCCAACCTGGAGTCCTCATTGAACTGAGGGATCGCACTCGTTATCCCAAATCGGACGAGGAACTTGAGTCGCTTCGAAACTTCCTCTGGTAAATTTATCTTCCTTCGACGTATATACTCATTCAAGTGGCTGATCTGCAGGCAAACGATCGAAGAAGCAAATAGTACTGCCCCTACCTTTAGCCGTATCTACAAGGATATGCTTTTGTTCGTCTCTCCGGACAGACCTCTCCCTCGTGCAGGGAAGGGAACCGTCATGCGTAAAGCTGCCATAACTCTCTACGCTGATGATATACAGAAGCTGTTCGTATACACTTCTTTGAATCATCAAGTCCCTCACGTTTGCGTAGATACGACACTATTGATGCTGGAGTAAGCTCCAGCACTGTCAAGGATCCTGAAGATTGGTCACCCGAAGGTCTGCGCACTTGGCTTACGGCACAGATACTAGATTTGAGGCCAAATAATACCTTGCCCGTGGAAGGAGACTTATTTGAAGAAGGGTTCGATAGGTGGGTTGATAGATCCTCCGTATCATCGCAACAATAGCGTTCTGAATTATTGGCCTCTTACTAGCCTGTCCGCAACGCAGCTACGCCACCGTATCGCTGCAGCACTGCGTTCTGATCCAGCTGCTCTTCGGCAAAGCATTGACATTTCGCAGACCTTGGTCTATGACAATCCCTCCGTCGGGAAATTGGCAGATACCTTGTCTAGTTTGGCGTCTGGGCGTGTTCCGTCCACTGAAGACAGAGCGTCCCGCATCGAGGCTATGATCCAGCTGAACACCTCAAAGCTTGAGCCCATCAAACCGCCTAGCGATGTCGTAAGTAGTGGTGCGACGGTACTGTTGACGGGCTCGACTGGGGGACTTGGCTCACAGCTGCTTTGTGCGCTGTTGAAAAACGACTTCGTCCAGCGAGTTTTCACCTTCAACCGCAACGCTTCTACTCCTGCCAGTGTCAGACAACGGATCTCTTTCCTTGACAAGGGATTGGATGTGTCGTTGCTAGCGTCTCCTAAGCTGGTTCCTCTTGAAGGCGATTTAACGAAACCTTATCTCGCATTAGAGCAGGATATGTACGATAATGTGAGTCGATGTATATTCAGCTACTCAGACGGCGTTGATTGTGGTCTGTTACCCTCAAGCTGCGAGATTCTGTAACAATCGTTATACACAACGGATGGAGACTTGACTTCAACCTGTCACTTCCATCCTTCGAACCGCTCGTCGCTGGAACGAGGAACTTAGTCAACATGGCAAGGACCGGGCCTCGAGCGTCGACAATCCGATTCCTATTCATGTCCTCCATATCCTCAGTGCAATCATGGCAAGGCGACGGACTTGTTCCAGAAGATATCATACCCGATGCTAATGTCGCCATTGGTGCTGGTTACGGCGAATCAAAATATGTTGTGGAAAGGGTACGCTCACCAAGCACTGCCCTTTTTCACGATCTCACGAGTGCATCAGATTCTTGCTGCCAGTGGGATACAAGCATGCTCGTTACGGATAGGGCAGATATGTGGTGGCGAACCCAATGGTGCCTGGTCATTCACGGACTGGGTCCCCATCCTCGTGAAGTCCAGTATCGCTCTCAAGGCCCTGCCTGACTCCCAGGGCGTGCGTACATTTGGACTCGACTTACCCATGCAGCTGCTGAATCTTTACTAGACTGTGTCGTGGATCCAGATGGATTGCGTCGCGCGAGTTGCCCTTGATATCGCTTTCTCCCAGTGCAGCAGGTTGCCTTTGGTCGTGAACATCGTACATCCTCGACCCGTTACTTGGACCTCAGTGTTCACAGCCATCCAACAAGCCTTGCATGCAAATACTCAAGGCCGCATCACCCTGCCATTGATCCCCTTCAAAGAATGGCACGAGTTGCTGCAGACACATGCCATGGGGGCAGATGAGAAGACCATCCTTCAGATTGTGTGTTATTTTTCTCTCTAAACTCCCATTGAAAGTAATCGCCGTTCTTGCAGCCTGCCGTCAAACTTCTTGATTTCTTCGGCCACATTGCCAATGCCCCTGGGGAAACGAAAGGCGCGAGGGAAAGTGGCGGTCTGCCAGCACTATCGGCAGCGAAGGCGCAGGAATTAAGCCCTTCGTTAAGGGAAGCAAAAGATGTGGCGGGTATGAGTGTCTTGAAGTGGTTGGGATACTGGATTAATGGAGGCCTATTTACCTGAGGTGATTATATGGTATAATGCTCTATATCAAGGTACCATCTTGCTACTCCAGAACCGAATCATCACGGCTTCGAAGCAACAATTATAACTCGTGCGACTCTCAGCGTCGGGGAGCATATTAACCGACAAGAGCCGACAAGCAACGCTCACATCGCGGTCAGATGGGTGCACCCTTTACGTGTTCTTGGTGCTTTAGCCGCCCTTCGCCCCATATTCCCGTCATCAGCGCTGATGGACTGCCGCCAACTTTGCAAGCTTTATTTTACTCTTGGGACTCGGGTAGCAACTTGTGTGGATATTATCCACATGCACGGCCCCTTCCTGTGATTCAATGCCGTGATTCATATCAGCATTTTAGCAAGCTAGGTATAATTCAACTCATTTGGCGTCATGAGGAATTGTATTGATAGTTGGTGCCAGAGATGACCAGATGACCAAGACCCGAAGAACTTCTATGATCGATGAGCGGCGAAATAACCTCAGTCTTCGGATACTTTCGATGCAACCTTCGTTCCGAGCTGGCTAGGGCCCCAAGCTTGATCTAGTCTACCCACGTATGGGCATTACCATGGCTCTTGGATATAAAGTTGAAGTGTTGAAGGCTCTGACACCAATACCTCCAATCCCAGTGCTCTAACTTCAACACGATGGTCTTCGCGCTGTTTCAGCTCCTTAGCGTCCTGCCACTAATTGCTTTTGGTGAGCCTGTCGAACATCGGACCAGAGCCTTCGCGCGAGGGAACTGGACCCTTACACAAGAAGGGTTCGTCGCTGTCCATGATTTCCTCCAAGCATTGACCCAACCGAGGTTATTTGCAGTACAACTGGTGTTAGCGCAATGCAGCTGACTGTAGTCTCTGATACGAAAGCCATTGTCTTCGACAAAATGTACGAATAGTCTCTATCAAGTGAACAACGTTAACTAACTTAATCTTCTACGCAGAGAGCATAATCCCTTGCTGGTGAATGGACATCCTGCATGGGCTTCTGAAATCGATCTCCCGTCCAGGACTATACGGCCGCTGAACCCACTCAGCAACACCTTTTGTGGGACTGGAAGTTTCCTCAGCAATGGCACATTCGTCCATTCTGCCGGCAACCCGATTGAAATCGAGGTTGGCGCTCCCTACGGTGAGTATTGGTGGGAATCTGGGTTCAATGGGGTGCTGACGCGTATGAAGCTATAAGCGGTTTGCAGAGCGTACGCTTGTTCACGCCATGCAACGATGGGAGTTGCGATATCATAGAAAATCCTAATAGGCTTCGACTCGCAACTAAACGATGGTATACTGCATCGGTGGGTTTGATACGGCATGGATGCATCGCAGTTAATTTACCTCTGAATTTATAGACTAGACTTGAGGATGGCTCTGTATTGATTTTTGGGTAGGTCGGCGCATTTGTGTACCTTGGACCCAAGCTTACTATTGGTGCATAGTGGATCCGTCATCGGCGGGTAAGCGTCGTCGGAACATCAAGACCGTGTCCCAGCCCTAACGTTATGTTCAGCTTCATCAATAACGCGTCGGTGAATAATCCAACGTTCGAATTCTTCCCGCCAAAGAACATACACGGTCCGTATATGCTCTATCCATGCTTTATTACCATCGTCTAATGCGCGCGCTAACTTGCGAAGGTTTCAACGGTCTTCAAATCCCTAGCAAGTTTTTGGTAGACACTTTGATTGCGAACCAGTTCCCCACTGTGATGTCCCTTCCCGATGGAAATCTTTTCGTTGTCGCTAACCAGGAGGCAATGCTATTCAACTGGAAGACTAACAGAGAAACACGTCTCCCTAGATTGCCTAATGGCATCAGGATCTCCTACCCTTTCTCTGGCGGCGTCGTCATGCTTCCATTGACAATCGAAAACAACTTCACTCCCGAAATCTTGACTTGTGGTGGCGCCGCTATCTCCGACGCGCTTCCAGATATTGAATACTCCTCACAATCCCCTGCTTCTACTCAATGCGCCAGAATGGTACTGAACAAGGCTGGGATCGCGTCTGGCTGGAAGGTGGAACACATGCCTCAGCCGTGGACAATGGTGGAATTGGTCCTTTTACCCGACCGCCGAGTTCTACTAGTGAACGGAATGAGATCTGGCGTCAGCGGATTCAATAGCGTAGGCCCACACATGCTCAAAGAGGGAGCCGCTCATAGATTTCGAGTAGGTCCATGATCCAGTCGGACAAAGTAACGCGGATCATCCAAACTTCACACCATTCATTTACGACCCAAATGCACCAGCTGGACGTCGCTTCTCCTCTGCTGGCGTCACTTCTAAAATTGCTAGGATGTATCACTCTACGGCTACCGTTATTCCTGATGGGTCAATTCTTATCGGTACGTCAGACTCTCACCACAATTCGAAGTTATGGAGACATGTTCTTCATTTACAGCGGGATCAAATCCCAATGCCGATTTCGTGGCTAACGCCACGTTCCCATCTGAATACAGGTATGAGTGTTGTTCGTGATATCACCGCTCCACTCACAATGACAATGGCAGAATGGAGTTCTTGTCTCCTCCTTATATGTTTGAGAATCGTCCGACGTTCAGGGGCCTCCCGGCTCTCGTCGACTACGGCAAAACCTTCACGTTGGATATCACCTTGCCCGCTACGGCCACGGGGGTTACAGGTCTGCCCGTCTTTGCGAATAGTCGGACATGCTGTTGCTCATTATGCTCGTCCTGTCAGTTGCCTTGATGGACTTCGGCTTCGCTACGCATACCGTTCACATGGACCAGAAATTTGTAGAAATGAGATCTACACTATCTCGCGATAGGAAGTCCATTCGCGTCACTGCACCTGCAAACCCACGTCTCTTCTCTCCTGGCCCGGGCTTCGTCTTCATCGTCACTGATAAAGGCGTACCTAGCGTGGCGAAACGGCTCATCATCGGGAAGGGTGCGTCCCCACCAGTGGACCAAGGTGCTATTGATAAGTACGGGCTTCATTACCTCTTCTTGACAGCTTCGCTTATCACCGTTTGTAGCCTTCTGAAGAACACGGAGCCGCCTACAGCTTGACCTATTCTATTCAATCTTCTATCTGAACATTCTCCGCATTCTGCCCCCCTTCCTTGCCATGTGAGTGATAAATACTAGTACATGCACCTCGTCTACAAAAAATCTTTCGTACAACTGAGTGTATACATTTGTCTTGTATGTATCATAATGACTACGCACTTCCGCCTTCTTCTTTACTTACGCTGGCGCCCACCTCTTCGACCTCATCGCCTTCCATGTCGGCCTCAGGTTCTTCAACAGCGACAGCTGGCGCATTCTTTTGTTGTTGCGCAGCCAATCCTGCAACCGTTATATCGGCACCAAACAAACGAAGGCTTAGCGCGCTATGCCAAAGAGTCAGTTTGTGCTTCATCTGCAAGCTCTTCAGGAGTACCTTTTGGCCTTCTTATCGACCATCAAGCTTATCGACACGTTTGATTTCCAGATCGGTAGAATAATGTCGTGCGATAGACTGGAGACGGAGGGCTTAGCACCTCCAAATAACAGAGTAACTACAGGAACTCACGTTACTGCAGCATACGTCCCCGCTAGGTACCCTGAGAATATGATTCCCGATATCTGGAGGATATTTAGCGATTGTTACAGACCTGAATGAAGAAAGGAGGCACCTTTCGACTCAATCTGACTTCGGAAGGGTTCCTCAAACGAAGCGCATGTTGGATGGTACGCCTTGAGCAATATCCTCAATGTACCGACTCCGGATTCCATTATCGTGGACGGATCGATGTACGGGAGCACCACCGGCAGCCCCTCTCCGAGCACTCTGAACTGGGCGTCTCCGTCCCTCCCCGCCTCTTGCTTCGCGAGGACTTTGGTGCCCGCGGTAGTAAGCCTTATGCGTGTATAGTCATTGTTCAATATGATGGTCTTGACGATGTCATTGGTGAGGTAGAGTGAGCGGACGGCGTCTCCACCGGGATTGCGGACGAGAATATTGGAGGCAGGGAATCCGTCTGTCAGCTTCAAGCGGTTGCTGAATTCGGTTCAGGGGCGGTAACGAAAAAAAGCAACACCAAGAAACATACATGCAACTGGTCAAAATAGGATCCTTTGACGATAAGAAGGTGTACGGGTTCTCCTTGAAGTCGTAAGATATGGGTTTTGAGTCGCCATCTTCTGGGGTTTCAGAGCCGGCAGGTTCGGCGGCCACGATGGGCTGAACAGGTTGCGCATCTACGTCGATCGCGCCCTCGGTTTCCTGCGCCAAACGTGGCTTCTTGGCGTCGGGAACGTCGCTTGGCTCTGCTGCCTCGCGTTTCCTTTCTCTGGGAGGTGCATTGGTTGAGGCGCCCTGACGGTAGAGAAAGAAATCTCGTACTTCGTGTCAGGTCCTCCCTGCTGCCTTTTCTGCAATACAGCAACGAAGAAACCGCCAGTGTCTTGTAGGTGCGGATAGATGCGAATACTACAGCGGGGGCTGAGATTCACGTGTTGGAGGAAGGAGAAAGTCGGTACCACCGTGTCAGGTTTAGATCTGCTACATCCGACGGGGGCCAGTGGCCTTTCGTTAACTTCACCGGGTCGATGCTCGATAGAGAATCTCGGTATTCCTGATATGTATTGAAATACGTTTCGGCTGTCTTGTCAGCGGTGGGTGTCCATGATGTCAGACCAGGACATCTCCTCAGCTCTGGATACCGGGATGATACATCGACCAGTTCGTACTCTGTCGTTGTGTTACAAATCTACGATGATGCACGAAGGGGGTGCAAGTGTACCTGGGTATGTCTTAAGTGCGACGGCAATGACGGCCTCGTTTTCAACGGGGTTGAGCGAGCAAGTGGAGTACACGATCCTTCCAGACGCGTTGACCATCCGCATGGCCCGCACTAGTATGCGAACCTGGAGTCTAAACGACGAAAGTGAGCTAGAACTTGCTAGTTATCGAGAGACGAGCGCAGTACGCATGTAACCCATTGCCGTCGCCCGGCTGCCATTTGCGCCATATGCCCGAGTTCTTCCGGATGGTCCCATCGCCGCTGCAGGGCACGTCGCAAAGGATCCTATCAAATAGCAGTTGGTTCGTGTGGCGTTTGGAGTTGCTGCCGCCGATTTTGATGATGGGGTAGATCGACGCGTCTAGGTTGGTGACCATGAGCGCTGGGCTGGGCAGTCTTGCCGACTGATGGATCAGCAAGTGCGTCCGCTTTTGGTCGCTGTCGTTGGCTATAAGGAGACCTGGTGGAACGGACGTTGAGGTGACTGTGTCATCGGCATGCAGTGCCTCGAGGAGTTGCGCTGTCTAGGCATGACGGTTAGCCTTTGCATGGCTAATTAAGGTGAATGAAGGGGTACCTTGGAACCGGGAGCAGCGCACATGTCCATGACCTAAAAGAAGGGGGACAGGAATTGGTTGTTTAGAGGGGCGGGTCATACCTTGTGGTGGGGGAGAACATCGAGAAACAGAGGGGGAAGCATGCTGACGGCTTCCTGGCGGGAGATGTTGCCGACTTCTGTCTCGGAAACAAGGAAGTAATGGAACTTCTTGAACTCGGGCTGCTTGCGAAGAACAGGCTTTGCAACATTGAATTGCCAAGCCAGTCCTTCTGGGTACCTTTTGTGACGTTAAGATTCGCCACGCGCGAGTCGAGAAACGCATACCAAGGAAGCTGTTCCGGAGGCGGTAGCGGCTGTCCTTCAAACAGCACGTCCTTCAGACTGGGCACGTAGTTGTTTTGTATTAGTTCGTTTATTGATTTTGCGGTCCTGAGAATTCGGCGATCAGCTACGCCTCGTCTACCTCGGGTTCGTCAAGGCTCACTGTCTACTGCCTGCAACTCGAAAGGTAGTGGGCAACGGGCGTCGCAGAGACTGCATGAATTCATCCCATGCGTCGTCTGGTATTATTTGCTGCTTCTTGTAGTACGAATCGAGCCGCTGATTGAACATTTCCGACTCGGTGACAACATCGGTACGAGTGTCAGCACGCGACCCCCCTCGGCCACCACGCCTGCCTCCACGTTTCTGCAGATAATTGAGTGGCGATGTTGATAGGAAAATGAGTAACAGACTTTGTTATTACGGCCCATGAAGTGCGCCTTGTGTCACCGCTAGTAAAATGCCCAAAAAGGAAGGAGGAAGCTCAGCACGCCTGCTTGTCCTTGTTTGCCTCAGTCACGATCACGTGCGGAGCCCTGAATTCGCAACAATGGAGTTGGTTCAAGTTCAATTTCTCACCTTCACTTCATCATGGACCAGGAGAACATCCCTATCACCCGGACTCGACCAAAAATGTCTGAATTGGCCGTCGCCAAGCTCAGTCCTTTGAAGAGGTCGGACACTATCAACGCCGACGAGACTTTGCAGTTGCCATCGCCACCTTCAAGCCAACTCAACATTATGGACATGGATTTGAGGTCAATGAGAGGGTCGTCTTCGGACGCATCAAGGTCGTTGATCAGTCCGCCTCCAGAAGAAGCGTTGAGGGGAATAGACGACGCAGTAAGTACCCCAGTTCAATGCCCTTTTCGATGGAGTGCGTGAACTCCACTTCTAGCCAACCTCGCCCTTCACACCGTCTCTCGTGGCAAACTCGCGTTCCAAGGCCTCAAGCTCCAAACGAAAGCGCACTGCAGCATCTACGTCTAGCTCTACATCTAGTTATACCACATTCCGGGCGACACCCATTCTGGAAGCAACCCCGAATCCCAAACCGCGCAAGCAGCTGAGGAAGCACACACGAGCACTATCCAACCAATCCTCGGAAAGTGATACCGTCATGACGTCCCCGTTGGCTACAGGAAGACGACGGACGCCCACTCTACGAGTTACAGAGTATCCAGAGCACTCACCAAGCCCACAAACAACGCCAACACGTGCCCAGCGAACGTCTCCGATCAGACGCACGTCGACACCAAGCAGGTCGCGAACCACATCACCGAAGACTTCGCCACATAAGAGCCGCCCTCATTATCTACAATCACCTCATGCGCAGAATCCGGAGGCCAACTATATCCCGCCCTTTCCGGTTGCGGCACTATCATTCGACGAATCTTGCAACCGTAATACATCTATCCGCCGTGCACGACGCAGCGCGACACCGGTTATACCTCCATACGAGCCCCCGCCAGATGTTTTCACACCACCGAAAGTCGTCGTTCTCAGCCCGCCAACCCAATCCCGACGTGCGAGCTCCAAGCCCCGGATGTCGCGAACCAAGAGCGCAACGCCGAAACCTGAATTAGGAAAATCACGAAAGAGGGTCACTGGCGTATTGACCATCAAGACTGAAATGCCTGAAATAGATCTCACCGACCCTGCTCCCCCGCCTTCACCGACCGATGATCCCTTACTCCTCAGTGGGCCTGTTGACGTGCCGAGCTCCTCACGGTCGCGACGTTCTCGCAACAGGACGGAAGAGTGCACCCCCACAGCGCGCAAACAACTCGTCTTTTCATTACCGAAGATACCTGACTTCAAATCCAAGACTCCACCCCTCCAATTTCCTACGTCGCCACCTGGTGTACCAAGATCAGAAGAAACACCTCCAGCCAATCCCGCCTTTCCAAGTGACCTCCCAGCATCATCTCCTTTGCCCAGCAGCGACGACGATGGCTGTGATGATGGCCCTTTGGAGTTCCTTCAGCATGGCCCGATCCAGGAGTTTGAGACATCGACGGACATGGATATGGATTTACCCATCTTCAACTTGGACCCCAATGCAGCGGACGACGCATTCTCTGATAGCGACGATGAATTACCTCCGCCCAACCCTGTGAGCAAAGCGTCTGTAGTTGACGAAGGGGAAGGCGAATACACCGGGCGGTGGAAGTTGTTGGCTGTACCAACCAAGAACGACCCACCGTCCAGCGCGACGAGAGAACGCATGGACAAGTGGGGCAATCCTATCAGTCCATTTCCACAACGCTTGGCTAAATCGGTTGAACGTCTTATATTCAGCCCGGACGTTGAAGCCGAGCAGACACCGGCAACCCCTCAACAATTACCCCCCGAGCATCCACAGGCCGTCGAGCCCGAGTTGGAGCTACCTGTGGTTACCGAGCCAGAACCTACCGAGCCAGCGCCCGTTGGTGCCTTCGACTTCGACGTCAGCTTTGAGTCCGCTGGTGGGGGAGATAACGTAGATCATGAAGACGACACGTTTGCTTTCGGTGACCAGTCTTTTGAAGTCGAGCTAAATGATGAGGGTGCGGATGAAGAAGCTGATGAAGATCCCTTGTTTGTCCACCAGGGAGATGAAGTAGAGGTCGCCGACATGCAAGTGGCCGAAGAAAGAGTTCATCCGGCGCCACCTTTGCTACCCGCTGAAGATAATGAACTCGCCGAGCATCAGGAAACCGGAGGTGTTCCTATGATCGTCGAGGGTCCCCCAGAAACTACCGACCTTGAGATGCAAACCAAGTCCGAAGATGATTTGCAACCTCTGGACCTCAGCACCCCGGTTGAATTCCACGGATGTGAAGACGAAGCGATGTCAAACGACCCACCAACCGCGCCGGTCGTTTCGCCAATGCCCACCCCGGAGGAACATACTAGCATTTCAGCAGATGACGAGATGAAGGTGGTCCCAGACGTAGATTCGAGCGATGAAAGCGATAACGAAGTTGGTGACACAAGCGTGGTGGAGATTACCAGCGAGGATCCTGTAGCCGCCGCAAGAGCAGCAGCGATTTTGAAACAGGTCAGTGGTACTCGACCTGCGTAATAAGTCTATGTTCTGAGGCGTTATGGGTAGCATGACTACGAGCTCTATAGCAGAATTATCTTGCAGCACCGACGAAAATCAACAGCCAGTAGGAGCTCGTCGCCCAGCGGCCTGGATCAAACGGCTCGACATTCACGACGACGAAGCGCCTCCGCAGGTGGTATCAACAAGTCACGCTCGCCGAGTAAGCGGGCAACTTCGAGAAGACTTTCCCCGCGCGCCGTTGGTGGCATGATAGGGGATGCTGTAGTGATTCCAGGGAGCCCAGTGATGACTCTGCCCGAATTGCTGCAAAAAGCTGAACGTGACATTCAAGTGGAGTTGGTGCGTCGCGGCGCCGTTGATGCCATTCAACGTGAGAGCCCCGCCTGGCAGGATCCGTATACGACGCCGTGTCCCCCTACTAGGCGTTTCCCTCTACCATCGGCTCCTCGAGAGCAAGATGCGGCTACGCCCCGCGTGTGGTTGAAGGACGATTGGAAAATCCTGGACTCTTGCTTCACCGACGAAAGGCTAGAATTGGGCGCAACTGTTGCGCTCGGAGAGGATATTGAAGGCGACTTGGATGTATTAGCCGACGTCGACGATGTATCTTTAGATGATGTCGTTGATCGTTTCATCGACCAGATAGGCGGCGAAGCTGTAGCTAAATCCTATGGTGATGGCTGGAGCCGGTATGTCAATTCCTTAGGTACCCTGTTAGAATGTTTAACCATCCTCCATCAGGGATAACCTACTGCGTAGAGCAAAGGCTCTCCAGGATAAACAGCGCAAAGGCCACGTTCCCCCACCTACGATACCTGCACACGTAAGGACGCCTAGTCCATTCACCTTCGGCAAGATACGATCGCCATCCATGGAGATACCTGACTTCACCCCCGCCGCCATGCGCTACGTACCCCGCACCCAAGCAGAGCCTTCGAACCCCTACCCCCAACCATCAACTGACCTCCCTTTCCAAAACCTCCCGGCGGAGAGGCCAAGGACACTTCCTGCCACTCTCCTTGCACCTCGATATTCGCATCTACTCGATGAAGCTATAGTAGTCAGCCAATCTCCGTCGTCTGGGTCTTGTCAAGAGTCTACATCAGAATCAGGAATCAGCGACGGACCCATGCAGTCAGAGCTCCCGCCTCATGAACCTTGGACACCACATCAACCGATGACGATGGGGAAGCGTGTAAAAGGGATGTTGTTCTCGTATCTCCCGTCACTATCGAAGACTGCACCTCAACCTTCTCGATCCTCGAAAGCTGTCTCTGGCTTACCACTTCCTCCTCCCGATATCTTGGAGAAGCATCGCAAACCAGTCGTCACGCCTGTGCGGCCGCCGCCTCCGAAGGTCACGCATCCGAAGGAACTCGTCAACTTGCATCCCGCTCCAGTAGTGCCCAAGAAAGCTTCCCTCCTGCCCAAGCGGGAGAAACCGAAGAGACTCGTGAAACTCCATCCGGTGACTCCTCCCGAGGTTCGCTCCGAGCCAGCCGCCTTTCCTAGACCAAGGAGAAGCAGTGGAGGTAGTGTCAAAGATCTAGTGAAGAATTTTGAACAGATAGAGCAGGTGGCTGGCAATGTGGGTGGTACTTTGAAGAGGGTCAAGAGTGTGACAGAATTGAGGAAGGGTAAACATCTAGAGCATGCACGACCTACCTGGAAACCTTGATTGTATTAATGAGGATATCATCTTTGACATTTAGTCCTTTACGTATATATTAGTAAGCTTTCCGTTGTATGCATATGTACCATTAACAATAGCATTTTGCTTGAAAAGTAAGAGTCATCAAATTGCTGCCATCCACCTATATGAAAAAGGTCTCATCCTACGACTTGATGAAAGCCTTCTCAGGCAAATTGTGATATAAGCCATGGAAAATCATATTGAATCAAAGCGAGATAGACAGAAAGCAGGGGAAGCGAGTCCATCGAGGTAGAATGGGCAATTCGGCTGAGAAAAGACTACAAAGAACCCAAAAGCGACTGAATCCATGCATTTTGTTCTAGTTGTGGCCTGAAAAGCTCCACGCATTGCCGCAGTTCGTCAAGCTGTATCTCTGTCGAGACTTCACCATCCATGTCTACGTCGGCGTCTGTGCTTGAGCGCGAGGCTTTTGAAGCCCAGGTACGAAGTAATTCTTCCACTATCGTGATGCCTTCCTCTGCGATGACTTCGGATGCGACATCTTGCGTAGAAGAGTTTTCTGTGACTATACAATCAGCTTTGATTCGGATGCATCCAAGACAGCTATCACCCCCTCCGAAATCCTCAAGCTCCTCAGCTTTGCGTCTCGCCAGCTGCGGACTATCAGCACGACAGATGTATGTCTATGCAGACGCAACCATACCTTGACGACACTCTCTGGGAAGTTAGCCAGTTCTGCAACGTGAATTCCAAAGCTCTGATCGGATATACCTAGCAAGAAAACATTGTTAGCCAAGGAAAACTTCGCTACAAGACGAGAAGGGCACCAGGCTCTACTTTGTACAGTAGCGTGATATCTCGCTCTTGATTCGTCGTTCCAGTCTGAGTAACATGGGCTACGACGTGTAAATTCTTGACGTGTGGTATCTGTTGGTCCAGCGCTGTCAGCTCGTGGAAATGCGTCGCGAATAGGCAGAACGCGTGAATCTGAGACGCGATGTGTCTGGAAAATATCGTTACATTAGCAGAGAGGCTGGGTACACGAGGTTTGGCTCACTCAGAGATCGCCCAAGCAAGTCCGAAGCCATCGTATGTTGATGTTCCTATTGAAGTTATTTGAGGGCGGTTGCTTTAACAGCAGATAGAAAAGGCGAATACCTCGACCTAGCTCATCAATGATGATCAAAGAATCTTTCGTCGCGGACTTCAAATCACGGTTAGACCATAGGCCTACTTCTACAAATATAGCGCTCACTCGAAGAATAGTAGCAGTTTCCAGCATCTCCGCCATAAAAGTGGAGATGCCCTTCAACTGACTATCACCAGCTCCAACTCGGCAGAGGACAGAGTCGAAGATAGGTAGCCGAGCTTCGGAGCACGGTACAAAACACCCTATCTGCGCCATGAGAGCAATAACGCCAGTCTGACGGATGTATGTCGACTTTCCGCCCATGTTGGGACCAGCTAACGAGGAGGAAGCCGCGTAAATATGTTACCTCTGACGCAATTGAAACGACGCACTGATTATCTGGAATTCACTTTTATCTGAGAGCGAGTAAGAAGACGGGGTGCAACGAATATACCCAAGCAGTCACCTCTGATCATCTCGATGTCATTGGGGATAAAGCTGATATCATCTTGCACTTCCAGACAAGGATGTCGGGCATCCCGAAGAATAAGATTGCCCGAGCCTATATAGATCGTGTTAGTCTGATCATGAATACGATCCAGGAGAGCGCTAACCCCGTTCTACCACCGTTGGTTTCACGTACGGTTCCGGGGCGTTGACAGAGACATGGGCAAAGCTTAAAGTAAGAAAAAATTAAGGAGTTGTGGCGAGAAAACGACCGATTCCCGTACCTGACTATCACATCAAGAGGAGCAATCACTGTGTCCAACAAATCCAGCACAGGGGTGTAAGTAGCTATGGCACTCCATGATAGGTATCAGCTGTCTATGAACGCTCTCTATGCTCACCAGCGATCTCCACGACTTGCTTCACGACACTACTTTGAGTCTTGGAGTACTGAGCAGTATAAGTCACGTATTCTTCGGCCAGCTCCTTTAAATCAGATGTAGTGAAGAAGACCCCTGTCTTCAGCGTGGTGATCTCAGTATACTTTTTGTTCTTGATTGCTTTGGCATCCTGGGATACTACTTAGAAGTGGTTGACAACAAAAAAGGGGGGCGAACTGACATTCTTTGTGACGCGGAAACAATAACCATAGGTGGCGTTGTTCTCCAGATGAAGCTTCTTGTCTAGCTCGAGGTCCAAGTCTCGCCCGACTTTACGATGCTCTTGGTCCAAGCCATCGCGTACCTACGCAAAGTCAATAAGTTCGCCGTAAACAAACCGTGGAGATAGTTGTCCTACCTCTGTCAGCTTCTCCGAGATTTTCTTCAATTCATTGTCATATTCAGGCTTGATGACGATATTGTGGTTGTCCAGCTGATCTAAATCAATCGTTTCTTCCACCATTTCGCCATATTTCGCCAGGCTTTCGGTATATTCCTACTCTTACGCGTCAATGACTCGCTTGGGAGTAACAGAGAGTGGTTTCATACGCACCCTGAGTGACCTGAGGAATACTTCTTCAATCAGCTCTTGTCCCTTCGTTGAGTCAACGTTCTCGAGGACAACAACCATATCGGGGAGCTATCCCTATTTGTAACGACTTGAGCATGAGACGTATGATCAAGCACACCTTCAACATGACTTGATAGACTCGGACAACATCTTCTAGTGTAGCAAGACCTCGTTGGAATCGCTTGCTCAGACGACGTAGGTCGGGCATATACTTCAGATATTCATCCTGGGGATTGTTCAGAGTCAGCAAAGTGAGCCGTGCTAATGGTGGCACACGACACCTGTAGTGTCCGGCGAGCATTCGTGGCTTCAACAAATATCTCAACGAGGTTCTGGCGTTTACCTAGTATCGTGAGGGAGAAAACGAGGACGCGTACGGTCTTGACTTACGAATCTCGTGAAGGTTAACCAAAGGTTGTTTCAGCCATGTCCCCAGGAGACGGGTACCTTGGGCTGTTTTGCACTTGTTGAGCAGCCCCAGCAGAGTTGTATTTCGAGTAACTGTCCCCTAAAAGTTCGCCTTAGTAACCCATCCGTAAGTTAGTGAATATCACTCTACCGAGTTTCCTGGCGCTTCAGTTAGATTGAGGGCGCGAAGGGCACTGGCATCAAGTTTCATATACTGGGTTAGGTCATGAGAGCGGAGGGTATATGTTTCGTGGTTTGACATGTCAGAAAGAAGTTGGAGGTACGTAATGAGGGCGTTGAGGGCTCCCGGTGCCACAGGGAGGTCGAGATGGGCTAAAGTATACATGTTATTGACGTAGCCTTCAATGATGGTCGCTTTGGAGGACATACGTATGAGTTTGGCTGGATCTGTTGATGTACTGGCCGACGGAGGAAGGGATGCGGGGGAAAGTATACGAATGACATCCTCCGCGACATTTTTGGACATGAACTCGCCTGGAAGAACAAAGTGAGAAAGGGAATCTTGGAGAAAAAGCGCTTTGCAGACTAGGTTTGCGTTCAGTGATGACTACACCACATCGGTCCAATACCGATTTCAGCGTGTTTAACTCAACATCTCTGTCGGTTTTCCCGGAAGATGTACCGGTCTGTACAATTGCTTCTTTGACAGACAGTTGTATTATTAAGGACTACCAATATGTCAAGATCTATTAGCAACACGCAAATGTTAGCTTACCTCAGTATTTGAGAACAGTTCGTTATCGACGAAGTCAGCAACCCCGAGTTCACGGGCATTGCTATCTGCAAATGCAATACCGACTGTCTTGGATTTCGCCTTGTCGCCAGTAGACGAAGGTGCGTTAGCGACTTTGATGGCCATGACAATTGGATTAGTGGTAAGATCGGTGGATGAGAACAAAAGCTCTTCAACGGCTTGGAGGTTTCCCGGTGAAGCCTACACCGATTAAGCATAAACTCATGCCGCTGAATAGAGAGCTGACCTCTTTATCTAGCCTGAACTTCGTCGACTTTTTGCTTTGACCAGGCTCCGGTACCCATATTTCTACTTTCAACTGTTTGGTGGTAAGAGCGTCGCGGAGCATCATCGTCGCCATATTGGGTCTGAGAATGACAGATGGCAATGATTTTGCTCCTATCCCAAGATGCTTGATGACCGAGTTCGTGTGGAAGACGTTGGTGGCAACGTAGTGTGCGTCGGGGCCGTAGCAAACGTAGAATTCTTCGCGGAAAAATAGACGAACGGTGCCAGTTTCCGGGGACTTCTTGGGCAAGCCATTGTAAAAGGATATAAATCCAGGATCCACGGTTGCAGCGGTATCCTGCTCGACATCTTTTTCTTTACCGTACATGAGAGCCATAGTTAGTGGTCAGTGTTGGAATGAAACGGCGCGGCGCGACAGACTAGTACATCACATCACGTGCGATGTGACAGTTCGCGATCGCGACTTGCCCGCTGCTGTCGAACCGTTCAGCACTATCATTAAGGACGGCTGTTGATATGATCATAATAAACTACGCTTGCAAGAGTCGCAGAATGGCATTTCGACGGTCTGATGGGGGTCGGGACCGCTGCGGCCAACGTCCAGACGGGCGCTTTTCCTTTATCGGGCTCGTAATCGGAGCTTCAATACTTGGCCGTAGCAGATGGTGCTGTGCACCGCAGTCCTTTCTTGCTCTCAACCACGAGGAACAACCTCCTTGTGCATTATTGAATTTGCCATATATATAACGCCCCTTCTGAAGTCTCTCTATTTGAATATACGCCATGGTTCGCTCTTCAGACATCCTCCTCATCCTTGTACGTGTCCAGCATGTATCGCCGAAGCTGTGAAGTCTGACATCAGTATGATAGGTTGCTATCCTCTTCCCCCCAGCAGCAGCGGCATTCATCACTGGCTGCAGTTGCGACCTTCTCATCAACATTTGCTTGACAACGTGTGCCATCCTCTTCTCGTACGCTCCCAAGCGCTAATACTAGTTTCTCCTAGGCTCGGGTACCTCCCCGGACACTTGGTGAGTCTTACGGTTTCTAGAGATGAACCCAACTAATACCGCTATACGTTTAGCATGCTTTCTGGCTTATATATAAGAAAATGCAAGCTGAGGAACGATACGGCAGTGGGGGCTTCATCTGTACGTCATTGTTCATCTGGGTAGTGTGACGCCCACTGATAAGCCTTTAATTGCAGATGTTGGCAACGGCCACTACGAACCGCTGTACCAGCCAGCACCAGGTCAACCACAAGCACCTTACTACGGCGCAACTCATCATGGATAAACTCGTTGCCTACCAACGACAATCATATCACTAATTATTTGAAATCGTGTAACCTATTCCTTGTTCTACACCATCCGCAATCATGTTGTCTTGATTTTCATATGAATTGATTTCGGTCTCGTAAGCTGGTCGAATCCTAGTGTCGCGTTATGGCAGGAAAGAGACATGGTGATTCGCAGACATACCGAATTTACTTAGGCTAACACCCCTTCCGCTATTCTTTACACCCGTCCATGCGAGGGCAGGATCAAGATAGTCACATCTAGAAATAATCTGAACGTCTGGATCCTGAGTCAAGTGTGCTACCAACCGGTTCAAAAACACCGTCCCCGTTTCGATTGCATCTGCGATCTTCAAAAAGGCTTCCTCAGAGTCGGGATTGGCAGAGGCGTTTGTCCATATCGAAGCCGTTAGACCGTAAGGAGAGTCATTCATTAACCGAATAGCTTCGTCATCGGATGATACCTGCTATGAATGAGCAACGTTGTCTTGTATACAATAGGGTGGGGGCAGCGAACCCTCTGTATGCCCACAACAGGTCCGAACGTCTCCTCCTGCCAAAAGTCGATTAATCTGAAGATACACAGAAGGAGAGGAAGTCTTACCATCATAATGTCCATCTCTGTGTAGGGCATTCGTCAATCTGCGATTGTATTTCAAAGAGAGTGCTCGTACCATGATTGACGTCAACCAAGACTTGAGGAGCCACGTATGTGGTCCCACTATCCCAACGTCAACGAGGAAGAAGTAGTACGTTGTACTAAGACGTACACTTTAGCGACCGGGAACAAATCTTCCGGGACGAGGGCTTTCGCGCCAGCGGCGACTGAAGAAACATGGACCCATGGATCAATGCCGAAACTTCCGACGATGAGAGGGCAGCGTACCAGCATCTGCTATCTGCTTTCGAATACGCTCCGCGCTAGCGAGACTAACTACAGGTCCAAGATTAGTACCCTTCTCAAGGGGAGATCCAAGTTTGTATTGCTGATAAGGATGAGTTCAGTTAATAACTTGACGGATGGTTACTGAGAACTGAACAGCGAGGACGTATTACCTTGACAACATCGACGAATTGTGATACGAAGTTCTCATAGATAGATTCGTGGACGTAGATTCGCTGAAGAATGAGGCTGTCAGGGGCTATCCAGGAGGAAGCAGTACAACATACGAACCTCGACGGCGCAGCAGCTCTGACCAGAGTTAAAGAATGCGCCTGAGTGATATGTTAAAACTCTAACGCACGATACACCCGAAGATAATCAAGCATACCATCCACGAGCTCAGCAACAGTATATTGCAAGTCTGCATCGGCCCTAACGTACGCCGGATCCTTGCCGCCAAGCTCCAGGGCGACGCCTTTGAAGCCAACTGCTTTGGATTCTACGGCAGCTTTTTCCACACCCTGACCACCCACAACGCTCCCCGTGAAGGAAACAAAGTTAACCAGAGGGTGCTGGATGACACGGGTAGTAAGCTCGAGTGGGAGATGCAAAACTTGGATAACATCTTCTGGAAGTCCAGCAGTCCTGAAGCAGGTAGCGATTATCTCGGCCGTCGTGGGTGTTTGGGGTGAAGGCTTGAGAAGTACTGAGTTCCCTGCAAGGATGGCGGGGAGGACGGAATTTATCGAGACAAGATAAGGGAAGCTGGACAAGACGGTGAGATATCAGCCTCTGTAAAGGCGAAGTGGATACGTACTTCCACGGCGCAATAATGAAAACGACACCGTGTGGCACTCGTTTAATAAACCGCTTGAATCCCGGCTTGTCGGTGTCCGTCAACGCAACATCGGAGAGAGATGTCGAAGCAATTGAGAGAAGATATTCCGCTCGCTCCAGGAAGCCTCGTACCTCTCCTGGGCCTTGGGATATCGGCCTATGCGATAATCTAGGCTCCCACCCAGCAGACTGTGATGAAAAGCACTGACCGGCCCATCTCCAACGACAATGACTTGGGAATTGTATCATCTTTGCCCATTTCGCGAAATGCACCCTGCATTATGGGGTTGCGTATGAGCATGAGAACATGATGTTCAGGCTTGACATACCGCGAATTTTCTACCGATAGCAATTCTCTCCTCCAAAGGAACTTTCGCCCATCTAGTGTGCGCGACGGAGGACTTCTGGATTGCGATATCTAGATCGGAGGCGGTGGGGTATTGAAGGGTAAGTAACGGCTCTTGTGTATGAGGGCAGATAGTCGTCTGTATGTTCGCCATGTTCCAGAAGTCCGATGGATAAGAGGAGGGAGCACTGAGTCGGATAACTTGTAGTTCACGAAGTTCTTGATCTAATCTAATCTTATCTATGATCTCAAGTAATTCGCCGCACGTGGGGACGCGTACTCGATCCCTCTTCAAATACTACCACCAATGACATCCTCCGTGTTCTCGCAGCCAGGATTCGATTTCTCCAATGAAATAAGGTATTTCTTGGTGCGAGCCCATAAACGTCTTGAAATTGATTTTGATGAACCCCAGAAACAACTTCTTGTCCAACAAAGGTGTACACTTACCCAAGGCGACTAGTACAGGAACTACTATCGTAGGCTGCCTGTTTAAAGATGGCATCGTGCTGGGTGCGGATACGCGTGCCACAGAGGGTGACATTGTAGCGGACAAAAACTGCGAGAAGGTTAGTCCTTCATCTCAACTGTTTCCGAGCTTGCGCGTTGTTTACTGGCTGATCATAGATCCACTACATCTCGGAATCCATTCGTTGCTGTGGAGCGGGAACTGCTGCTGATACCGAGTTTACCACGGCACTCATATCCTCCAACATCGAACTACATGCTTTGACTACCGGGCGCAAGCCACGCGTTGTGACCGCGATGACGATGTTAAAGCAGATGCTCTTCAGGTTTGCCTATCTATGATATGCGCCATCACGCAGTAAATGTGACTACGTCTGCAGATATCAAGGCCAGATCGGTGCAGCGCTTGTTCTCGGGGGAGTGGATAGCACAGGAGCACATCTTTTCACCATTCATCCGCATGGTTCAACGGACAAGTTGCCATACGTGACGATGGGCTCGGGAAGTCTCGCTGCTATGGCAGTCTTTGAGAGTGATTGGAGGCCCGACATGTCTGTGAGTCTAGAATCCTTCACTCAGTCACACCATCTGATTGGGGTACATAGCGAGACGAAGCATTAGCCCTCGTCACCGCCGCAGTCTCAGCTGGTATCTTCAACGATCTCGGATCCGGCTCCAATGTGGACGCCTGCATCATCACCAAAGACAACACGGAAATGCTCAGGAACTACGTCAAACCAAATGAACGCGTCGAGAAAGAGTTGAGATATATATTCCGCAGAGGCACGACGGCGTTCAAGAAAGAGTCTATCAGGAATCTCATTGTAAGTGAAGAAGTAAGGCCCATCGGTGGAGATGCGATGGATACAACATAACTTCGTGGAGAAGCCATTCCATTCTCTACCACCAGATATGCGTGCAACGCCATGTACTATTCGTTGTCAAGTCAAGAATTTCTCCGCGAAACCCATTTTAGTCTCTGATATTGGCTTTAGCGCCAGTACGCTTGACGCTCCCGCCTCAAATTCTAATCGATGCCTCTCCTCCACTAATACTGATTCCTGAAAACTCCTTGCTGGACGCTTCTACCCATTGAGAGCATATGACATATGACGTCTACGAACAAGGTTCGAGATATGTAGCCCATGGGCCAACAGCGCGTTAGGGAGTGAAGCTTACCTCAGAGTACGAGGACGGATTCATGCGAGCACGTTGGAACAATGGTGACCACGCACGCACGAGCTATACTTCTATCAATAGTTTATTGCAGGTAGGCATTTGTTGGCCATTCGTTTGTGAAAATTGTAACTTACGAGTTGAATAGTCACGATCATCAAGTCCACACCTGGAACTACCATCGCACGCCCACATTCATTAGAATACCTCGGGGATGTCTGGAGAAGCAGCGCCTCACGTCTGTGTGCGTAACGAGTACGAAGACGAGTCACGACACGGCACACGAACGCCAAAAACGAGCTATTCAGTGCAACCAAAGATAGCCGGACAGTAAAAGAAAGAAATCGGGCAGCCGAACAGCAGCGCCAGCATTGCTGCCGTGTTCAAATGCGCTCAGGCGAGCAGCGGCATTAGGTGTAAGATAACAAACATTTGGTCCTAAATGCGGTTGTCGTCAAACAGATCATCGCGTATTCCCAGCAGGCTCGTCTCTGACATCTCCAATGAATCAACAAAAGTGACACCGATTCAAGTCCCCATCTAGATGTGGGCTCAGCATCAGTTTAGCTTCGAGCGCCGCGAATCAATGCCTTTAAGTGACTGAGGTCTTGGATTCGCATTTGGCCACCCATCCCTGCCTCCCCCACATACAACAATATGAACAGTGCTCTTGAAATCGTGAACTTCGTGTTTGACACTCAAATTGTACCAACACAGAACACCCCGCCGACCGTCTCTCTCAAATTCACTGCGAAAAGATATCGCAACAAAGCAGGCCAACGCCTAGACCCCGCCGACAGCGCTCTGACGTTGCTCTTTGTACACGGCGTTGGGTATCGTGAGTCTTAACTTTGCGAGCGTAAATGATATAAGTGTTTTTGTTGATTGTGTAGACAAGGAGTCATGGGAGCCGTGCATCGAGGTCATCTTTCAACACTTCAACGCGGACAAGGCCAAGGCCAAGCTGACGGAGATTAGAGAAGCTTGGGCCATTGACTGGCAAGATCATGGTGACGCTGCATTGCTGAATAGGCAAGCTTTAAGAGCCAGAGGGGATCAGGGTATACGTGAGACGTTCCGAATTCCCTACACCGTCGCCTGTCTGATGACCATCCTGGAATATATTGTAGAGCCCAATGAATTAGCGGTTGCCCTATCCACGTTTGTGAACTCCCCCCATGTCAAAGGGCACATCCTTGTGGGTATTGCGTACTCCCTTGGCTCAGCTGGTCTGTGAGTGGATTACCCCTTATGAGACACTTACATTGTGCTCAACTAGATATCCTCGTGATCCAGGCTACTCTCCGTAGGCAACGGGACGGGGAATGCGCAAACTTACTGTTCTCTTGTTCTCATTGATCCCATTGTTTTAACCAAGGAGCTCTATCACAACGATCTCCAGTATCAAGCTACCTCGAAATTCCTCATCAAGGGGGCGAAGACACGTCGGGATGCTTGGCCAAGCAAGGACATTGCGTCTGCCTGGCTCAGCAAGAGATTCCCGTGGAGCGGCTGGGACCCTCGTTTCCTACGGTCATTTGTGGTGCGTTTTCTGCGCCCGTCGCAGCCCATCAACTGTGGGCGAGTTCTCATACTCCAAATATTTTCAGGAGCACGGACTTGAACAAACACCTGATGATGTTCGCCTCAAGTGCGACAAGAAGCATGAGGTTTCTTCTTATTCGCCATCGGAAGGCATATTTGAAGCCGCGAAAGCTTTCTCCCGTATATGCCACAATATGCCTATTCATGTTATCTGGGGAGAAACTCCCGATCTTACGTGAGACTCTGGTATAAGTCCTGACAATTCATAGACTGACGCGAGAATTGCAGTAGTAAGGATATGCGTGCAGCCTTGTCTGATGCATCCCAAGTAGGAGTAACGGCTTCCGTCAGTGTTGTTCCCGACACTGGCCACATGGTAAGTTTTCGCTAGTCTCGACCCCCTCCCTTGTTTCGTACAAACCTTTCGGGCTTTATCTTTCTGATCACTCTGATAGGTATTGCCACAGCACCCCAACGCTGTCGCCCATATAATATGTGGGATTTTGGATCAAACTCAAAGTGCGCTCATCTCGAAACGAGCCAAATTATAGTTACTGGCCGCGAGCTGGGTTGGCGTTTCCCTGACTTGCATCGTTGATACATACTAGAATATACTTCTTAGGGGTCGTGTTCCCAGTCACTCCACGATCTCGTCCCCAAGAGTAGTTTCAGGATTCGTATTCTTGCTACGGGCTAAAGATGCATGCAAGGAAGTAATCAAGGTCCTACATCGGTACTTCTACGCACATCACACTTGAGCGCTGTGGGTCCACCGAGCATCAACTCTTGTAATTGAAGCAACAGCGCAAACTATGGCTGTGACATTGCGTGTGAGGGAGGCCGTTGAATACACAACTAGACTATTTGAGACCCCTTCCGTTTTACCAGCATTTGTCGTGCTACAACAAAGCACGTAAACCCTACCATCGTAGCCACCTAGATGAGATTTAGAGCATCAGCTCAACGGCGAAGGCCACATTGATATCGCAATAGCTTACCCCGCCGAAGATAAACAGCTTGGACCATACAAAGGTATCGCCCAGCAACGCACCAGCAATGGGCGCGCCGGTAAGCGCGCCGAAGCTGGATATGAAGTATAGGATTCCGAACCGAACACTATTAAATCGGTGTCGTTGTTATGAAAGGAGGTAGCCAGAACGGCTCAGAGTGCGTACCCAATTTCGCCCGGATTCTGGGCAAGCGACGCAGTCGCGGGCCCAGCAAGGGATAGGACTGGCGAGAGTAATGAGCTTCTGGTGCTGTTACGATGGGAGCGCAACCTACAAGCACCGGAGGTGAAGCCGTAAATTATTGCAAAAACGATGGTAGACGCAAGCGTGTTGATTCCAAAGAGGGCGAAGATCAGAACGCCGTTGGCGAGAAGGACGGGAATGATGTTGTTGAACGGTCCATAGCGATCTGCTAGGAATCCTGGAATAATTCGTCCTGGAATTGAGCCTGCATTCATAATGGCGAGCTGGGAAAGGGTGACGAAGATCAGTCATGGCCGTCGTGACAGGACAACACTGACGGTGTAAAATGCCGTGTTCGGGTCCACGCCTTGTAGAATGGCGTAAAGTTGAAGGTAAAAATCTGGAGAATGTATGATCACCTAGCGCCTATGAGATATGCATCATGCACATACACGGTAGGAAGATTCCCCACAAGATGAAGAACGCGCTAATTTCCGACTGTCAGCAAGACTCTGATTCAGGTGATGAGTCCTGAAAGGTGCCCACCCGATGGTAATGATCACGTAGGGTATATCTGTGAAGATGGACTTCACGCTTGGCTTCTCAGCTTGCACTTTCGCAGCAGGATTATCCGCCATGAGTAGGTTCCCCACTGCCAACAACCCAAGAACAATGAAGGCCGAAGCGCGAACGCCCCATTCAAACCCGACAGAGCTTTTGAATAGCTGATTCAGCATGATTGGGAAAAATATACCGCCCACCGAGGAACCTATCGAAACACGCCGTCAACAAGCGGTACTGAAGTGACATGGGTGTTGGTAAATACCAGCAGCTACAGCGCTCATAGCAAGAGCCCTGTGTTTCCGCCAATGATGAGCTTGCACAGCGACTGCAGGGACGTAGAGCAGGCCGGCGCCGATACCAAGACCAATCCCCTGCGAAAGATACACTTGATAGTATATTCCCGGATGAGCGATCGACACCATGAAGAGCCTATCAGCAAACAAATGTCAGGAAAGGCAAAGAGCTACATGAAAAGGTGACGGACGAGAATACATATATTAGGCTGCCTATCAGATTGGTGTACCGCATGTATCCCATGTCTAGGAGCTTTCCCGCCGGAAGTCCCATGGCCAGAAGGAAGAAGAGTTGTGTGGACCCGACCCAGCTTACATTGGAAGCTGAGGCCGCGTGCGAGCGAGTGTAGACGTCTTGGTATACGCCGAACGAGTTTGAGTAGCCAAATGTGACGACAACGACCAACACTCTATGAGATTGTGAGTATTGCGTGCAACGAAGCCCTGAATGAGTACCCACCCTCCAGTGAGTGTTGCCCAAGCTTTGTAGCCACCGTCAACTTTGTAGCTTGGTTGTGAACGCAGGCTGTGCATCTCCTTCTCTGCAGAGGAATGTAATAAGTCAGTGTTGTTTAATGGCATAATGGAAGTCAAAGTAAAAACTCTGCTTGGGAATTCAAGAACACACCGCATGAACGCGTCGAGCCAGATGGTAAATTTAACAGACACAGAAACGTGAGGGAAATGATTCGTTCAGTTCTCCGCTTCTGGTACAAACGATGCCCTACATATCACTGATATGTGGACACACTAACGTCCTTCTCTTCGGGGCTTTGTGTTACGCGGATGGCACCGCAGTCACCGTCTCTGTAGGCCACATTGATTGTAGATGTGTGTGCATTTGCCCTTGATAAGAGGGATTCGGAGTGGGATTTGTTGCTGGGCGCTGTGGGCATAATATGGGTCCTAGGGTTTCCAAAAAGAGCCGAAGGGCGTATTCTAGACGATTTTGGCGGTAGTCAGCAGTGTGAAGCATTAATACGTTCAACTGCTTAGCGCTTAGCTCCTGGCCACGAATCGACTCGCAATAGGATCATCGCTATCGCCCAGTGGGATTACGGCTGACGAGTTCTACCCGTGTGGACTGGCTTGTGGTCACTCGTAGGTATGTAAGAGCGACCCATAAGATTAGTTCCGATACTAGTGATACTTGTAGTTGTTCGTGTCTATGTCTAAGCGGCGCCATGCGTCAAAGAAAGATGAATCCGAATTTCCCCGGTTCTCACGGTCGACAGGTTACTTCTCAGTTTTTCGAACTTGCCCCATCGCTTGGATCACGATATATGTTTCAATGGCTCTACTTGAGCCACAGACGGGTGTTACTGCTAATCAACACCAATTCGCTACTCAATCTCGATTCTCAAGATTCTATTCGTTAAGGAGAGATCACGGTGAACGGTGAACATACTTCCATTGCAAACCCCACGTTGCTCAAGCTATGTAGGTCCGTCATTTAGTCTCTGTCTAGTCTCTAAGTGATATCAAATTATCTCCTTTCAAGCCCGGACCTTTTGTGTCGGTGGATGCAGAAGCAGACTCCATTTAACCTCTGGCCGTCCCGATATTCATGTTTTGTATCAGCGGACTCTCAGGATATCGCCGGCGTATCAACTCAACCGCCGGAACAACGACGATATATTAGCATGATATCACTCAATGGGTGTTTTATAACCCCTACGATATCCCGAACATGAGTGGTGTTAGCAACACTCTGGGCGCAGTGCAAGCTGCTACAGGTGCGAGCATCCAAATTACTTCACCATCGATTCGTCCGATCACGTAGTTAGCTGTCTCCGGGTTCCTCCTTGGATGCTTAATTGTCCAAGGATACGGGTACTTCAAACGCTATGCTCACGACCCATGGGGTATCAAATGTCTTGCTAGTATTCTACCACTCTTTGTTGGTGCGACACTTACCTAATTCACAGGTACTCTTGCTATTGCGAGTGTCCATTTTCGAGTGATCACCTTCATTCGGTTAATTTTGTTGTTCAGGACGCTGGGAGCTGCCCAACAACTGTCTATGGTGGCTGCCGATTACAACATGTCTATTGACAACTTTGGAGAACGTGATATTCTCGCGAGGCTACCTACGTCCTTTGGCGTAGCGTTCTTCCTAGACCTCTTTAATTCACCTCTCGTTGAAGTATGTTGGTGCTCTCCTGATGATCCAGGACCTCTATTGACCCTCTCTCTCGTAGAGCTTCTACTTTTGGCGAATCTATAAACTGACCGATAAGCTCTGGCCCTGTGCAATAGGAACCGTCCTTTCTTGGCTTCGTTGCGCAGGATGGACCGTGTTTGCAGCTCAGGGAGCGAAGGAAGGTTACAGTAATTTCTCCCTCCTCGACAGTCACACGTGGCTGCTCGCTATAACCGTCGGATACGGCCTGGTTGCCAACATCTGTGTCGCAAGTATCATGGTTGTCTTCCTCTATCAAAACAGAAACACTACTTTTATGCGGTATGGCTCCTTATCTCGTATCGGGAATGTTCTGAACCCCTTGCTCGCATAGAACTAAAGTGATCATTGATCGCCTCATATTGTACACCGTCCGTGAGTGCTGCTTTGCCTTTGCTACTGGTCCAACTTCTCATTCGCCTTACGCAGAGACTTGTTTGATTACCGGGTATGACAGAAAGCTCGCTTGATCACTCCGTTTCATTTATCGAGAACTTTAGTCTTGGCTATGGTACTACGCTCGTAACGGTCGGTGATAGGTTTCTCTGTGCTTAGCTTATCACGGACTGACTTCTTCATTCAGTTCCTTACAATGAAGCATACTTGTGGGTCTACAACTCGCTATCGTGAGTCCCAAGAAGACCCTCACCGCTTGTTATAGTTATCTGGCTAGGCATCTTAGCTTGTACTTCCAGAGGTGAGGATCTCTGTTCATCGAAGTCCGGCCAAGTATTGATCCTCGACCTTCTGAAGTCTGCACGAACTGTCTATTAGCCGAGTGCGATCTTCTACTTCGTCCTCAGTTTACGGTCCTCATTTCTTTCAGGCTCAATGATCGCCCCATGCGCCCTCGCCTAGGCTGCGAAATGTATAGGTCTGATGCTACGCCTGATACCGATACTCCTCTGGAAGAGGTAGAACATCATTACTCCAAACTTTTCCAGTACTCAACTCGGGAGTAGATCACTAGTTCGCCCATTGTGATCAACATATCTACGGAGCGTGCCCTATACGTGGGCTCTGACCGCCACGGGACGTCCGTATCACCGAGTAGAGAGGTAGCTACTATCCTCATGTATGTTGAGGCCTCTAACCGATCCTTTTAATCAACAGGGGAAGATGAATGTAACCTAATGCCCGTGTGGGCTAGAGGATGCCGGATAGAAACACAACACGTGTTGCATGTTCATGCCCCGCACTTTATCTAATGCAATGACTTGCAGGGAGGTTAATGTTGCTTGCAGCAACGAATATGGCTCATCGCAGAAGTCAACATGTGCATCTTATAATGCTCATAAGGAGTCTATCAAATGTACGTCCGTCAGGCTTCTGAATCAAATCACCGATACGGAGCTCCATTGTAATCCAACACAATGGGCACCTCATGAGTGACATCAGGCTCCTAGAACCAGCACGCATCGTATCGCGAGAAGGAGCTCACTCGATGTTAAATACGAACCCCGTGTGAAAAATACAAGCAAGAACAAAGTCAAACTAAGAGCTACAAGACTGACACAGACGCCCGAAAAGCGCCATCCTTGGCACTCTTATCAGTATCGCATATTATTGTCATCGTCTTTATCTTGCTTTGTTTATTTAATGCAATTATCCTTTCTGGGTAAACGACGCGTCGCGTTAATTACTCTCAACCTCTACAGGACAAACACCAAATGTCCTCTAATTAACGATGCCATCAATAGACTGGACACCTCAGCGAATTCGCGATGTCGTCCAGAATATTCGTCGTCGTCGCTCTCCGAGTCTGGATCAACGTCCTCCGATAGGTCAACATCTGCTGGACAGAACTGCGCCAGAGCTGCTTCGCGCGCAGCAATTCTCGTTTCGTAGCGTTGCTGCTGGCGTCTCTCACGTTGTCAATTTATTGATGGGTCCGCGCTAAGTAATTGGTCGTAGCATCTCCACAAATCCGGCGCGTCACTTTGAAAGAGATGAGCAAGCTCGTCCAAGTTGAACTCCTGCAATGACAATGCCGTGGCCTTCGACGCTCCACTTGACCAGCGTAGTCTTGCGACGCAGTTCGACATGCCCACTGCCGAATATCCGTGATTGATGCAGGGTGCGAGAACAATCCATCCATGATGCTTGTCGTGGTATTGGCTACATCGCCCATGCTCCCATTCAATGATTCACTAGCGACGAATGCGACGAGAAGGTCTGCGATCGAGATGCTGTGATCTCGTAGAAGGGAACGAAGTCCCGCGACAGGCTGCGAGGTGAGTGGCATCCTTGATCCGTTGATCGTCCCTGGATGAAACACACCGCCTTGCGCACAAACCACCACAATCCATAGTGATCCTTCGCTTCGCTAAGATTGTTTCGCTGAGGTTAGTGCCGGTATTTCATCTGTTTCTTGGAGCCCGCTATGGATTACCCATCATGATTTACAGTCTGCTAAAGGTCCACAGTCGAGAAAGACAAATTCGTGCCAATCATGCAGGTACCAAGATTGACAAAACATGGACCCACATACGAAATCAATACACTGATGTCCATCTTCGTCGTCGTCGGGCTCGCTGATATAAGTAAGTCACGCAGCACCTGGGCGTTTGCAAAAGGACAACATGGGACGACCATGGATCATAATTATTGCGAAACGATGCTAACAATTATCAGCGGCCTTGTAGGTAATTCTTCCGCTACATACTTGGTGAGTTTAAATGATGTTTAAAGAATAGTTCGGAATCATCAGACTCCCCTGATCATCAGAGCGTTGTGAAGGGGCCACATTTGTCCGAGTAGTAAATGTGCTATCGTGGAGCAAGCTTTCCCTTGCTTTCAACTTTCACTTGTACAAGGTTCACAGTGGCATTCGGTGCAGACTCACAGGTATTGTTGCGGTTTAGAAATCATGGCCAGCCAAGAATTCTCCAGTAGCAACACTACGGGCAAGTACCCAGTCTCCTGTAGCTGCGCGAAGTCTAATAATGTGGATAGTAGCAGAAGCAAGCACTTCCAACATTACGCTAGTTGCTATCTTCGACTTCACCCAAATATTTGGATTAGTCTTACTGGGAATTGTACTCCTCACGGCTGCGTTGGCACCGTCTATTCGCCGGTCGCCGGCTTGGTTCAACTTCCTCTCGACTTGGGTTTTATCTTGTATTTCCTACCTGGTCACGCTCGGTCAACAAACGGGAGAGGAGCCGGGTTTCTCGGTGTGTTTACTGCAGGCAATGCTAGTCTACGCCGCTCCAGCAGTGTGAGCCTCAATCTCAATCTTTAATCTAGCTTTGTCGACGTCCGCTTTTCTTTAGCACGGTCACAGCTGGTCTGTGTTTTTCGATCGAGGTGGGTGGGTTGTTCATTTGGACATAGCTCATTCGACTAATGTGCACCAGATGTGGCGGATCATTACGCGCCCAGGGGGTTCATCAGGAGGAGGAGCTTTGTCGTTTAGAGACTATGGCGCAGTGAGTCATTGGCCATTCTATTCTCTTTCATCGACTACCTCTCTAATGTGTTGGTCCTAGGTCATCATCGCTCCTTATGCCGTCCATTTGTTTATTTGTGGCGAAGTGTTAATTGTATTATTCGACCGATACCTTTGATTGCTCCCGTCTGATTCTTCGCAGTTAGGCCTGAAGGAACGCGAGCTGGTCAAACGCGACAGAACACTCATGTTTTGTCACATAGATTCTACTATACCGTGAGTCCTCTAAATTCATACAGGCGGACATATCGGTTTACACGCTGTCTGCCAGCGCGTATGTTACTGGTGTTGTGGTCATCTGTGTGATTCTCATTGCGATGGGCTTCGTTGGTGCGTGTCAATAACCTTGGAGCTGATTCACATCCAACGCCTTCCGCCCAGCATCCATAGCCATCTATATACGCAGACACATGGCGGCCTCTCGCCTTTTTCAAGGCCGGCAAGTCGTGAATATCCAGAAGATGGTCTTCCGTTTCGGTGTCTTCACAATCCTCCCAGTGTTTGGGCTGGCGTGAGTGTTCTGCTACTTGGGTATGATTCATGCGAACATACTGTTCCAGTCTTTCTATTACCCAAGTTTCATCCAAGCGATCTGGTCTCGCTGATGGCATACTGACGATCACAATAGGAACACGTTCGTTTCTTTTGACTTTTGCATGCGCCCGCAGCTAACCCCTCCACCCCAGTACCTGCCGGAGCGGCTCTCATTTTTGGAACGCAGAGCGTAAGTCAAAGTTTGATTGAGACCACTGCCCCGGTTTATCGTGCCTTCTCAGGATATCATGCGTGTCTGGATGTTCTGGAAGAAACCGTGCGCTTCGAACGCGCCGCTCGAGTCGGCAAAGTTAGCGATAGCAAGTGTATGACACCGTGCTCTGCTTCGCTCTTAGCTACGGATCGCGGTCCCATTCTCCGTTGGTAAACAGTTTGCCTTCGTTTCCTTGTTAACTTTTGTACTGCATATGATGAAAGGATCCCAAATACCAATTCGGAGTCCGGACCGTTGGCTGTCATTCTCTGGGTCTTGACTCTTTCCCAAGTGCGAACACTCCTTGCTTCCAAGCAGGCCATGATAGCGCGTTTCCTGGTAATTAATTCGCGACAGTATCAAGTTAAATAGACACATATCCCCATTCCTTGAGCCATAACATTTCCTCCTGCAGGTCTCCTTGAGGCATTCTTACAACCCACGGTACACAATTCGAACGCAACCATGCTCAATGCCCAGCTGAAACCATTTGCAGCAAATTGAGGCGGTGACCAGGAAGAAGGCCGAAGCGTTGATGTCGTACCGTGTGACGGTACTGAGTCTGATCCCATGTGGGACCCCGGCTACCTGTTATCCGGAGGCAGCATATACGCGAGGGCTCAAGCGCTCACAGCAGGATATGGACAATATGATTCGGATAAGTCATTTATACTTGTCCGAATAGAACCATTGCCCCTCATTTGGTGATATCAGGAGGACGGGTTCTGCGACCGCCGCCGACGGGGCTGTTCATTCTCATGCAGATTTTCTATCCAGTTGGGGAGCAATTGGAAACTCGTGATGGGGAAGGCCTTGGTGGGACCAGACGCAGTATTGAAAGTGGATGCTCGGAGATACAAGGGAGTGTCAAAAGCGCAGGAAGACAGGCATTACGTGTCATGATGCCAGCACATGGTGGGGGTTGAACGTTGAAGGTACCGCGCTCTTCTCAGATCTCAACGCCGATAACTGCCCGCAGAATTGCAGAAATCACAACTCACAATACAAACTTACAATACGGTCAGTCGGAGGTTGATAGAGTCTTCCAACGAATCCGATCAACATATCATGATGTTGGGGAGCTTCACGCTTTGGTGCTTCTAAGTACGGTGTTCAAACTTCAAATATAAAAGGTTGGCGCCTTCGTTCCTCCATTCATATCGTTTGAACTCAATTCAGAGCAATCGGCAAGAAATGTCGCTGGTGTACACAACCCCTGAAAAAAGCACACCATTGTACAAGCCAATAACTTAGTGAGTCGGATTCACATTGCACTATCGTTTTTTACAAGCTAACACGACATGCGATGGCGCTCTGGAGCTCTCTCTGCGAAATAAGAGATGCTATTCCCAAAGGGCTTTTTGAAAGGGACATGCGACGAGGACTAGCCTACTTGGGACGTGATTTGACATTTGCAAGCTTCGCGGTGTGGTCGATTTGGGCGACCGATAATATTTTGTTGCAAGGACCGGTATCTCGACTACTTCATCCAGCTGGCGTTGAAGGCCTACGGTGGCTTGCTTGGATTTCCTAGTAAGACCCTTTAAATGAAGCCCGATATACGCTCCTACTCAAAATAATATTTTAGTTGGTGGTTCCAAGGGTTGATATTGACCGGGCTATGGGTCATCGGCCACGAGGCAAGTGTGAGCATGCGTTGGTTTTCTCTCATTGGCTGACCTCCTGTAGTGTGGTCACGGAGCATTCTCAAGGCATCGGCGAATTAACGATGTCATTGGTTTCGTACGTCCCGTGCGCATTCATTATTCATAGGCTCAGGCTTATGTCGTTCCAATGTAGATCATCCATACGTCACTTTGGACTCCGTATTTTAGCTGGAAGGTCTCGCACCATCGCCACCACATTAGTAGTGGCTCTATGGAAAAGGATCAAGTATACGTTCCAAAAACACGCTCCGATTTGGGCATACCTCAAAAAGCGACATCGCTAGACTATCAAGAAATCTTCGGAGACACTCCTCTATATACTCTGTTCACCCTCATCCGCCAGCAAATATTGGGTTTCCCTGCATATTTGTGTATGTGGTATTCCATGTCATCGCGATGTCTGCCTTGATTCTAATGTTTGTCTCAGGCTTCAACATTTCAGGTCCAAAAGAGTATCCTAAATGGACGAACCATTTCAACCGTAAGTCACGTCTCCCTCCCGCACAATCAGTTGTTCTGAACTACGAACGTTTGGTAGCTAACGCGGTCATATTCACTCCGTCGCAATGGAGGGTAGTAGTAGTATCTGATCTAGGCATCGGGTTCATGATCTGGTTTTCTTACATCTTGTGTTCTACATGCGGCACGGTCAACGTCCTCAAGTATTATGCTATACCGTGGCTGATGGTCACAAATTGGTGTCTGTTTATTCGCTTCCTTGCAATGACTTTGGACTCACTCGAACTGTGCCTCTAGTTATTATGGTCACGTACCTACAGCATACTGCACCTGAGGTTCCACATTATCGAGGAAATGCTTGGACCTTCACTCGAGGAGCAGCAGCCACTGTTGACCGAGATTTCCTCGGTTGGCAGGGTAAATTTTTCTTCCATGGTGTAGCTCACTATCATATCGTTCATCATGTTCGTCACGTCGTTTATACTTATGACATTTGCAACACTGATCTTTATTCTCCTTCAGTTTTTCCCAAAAATGCCGTTCTGTGAGTAAATATCGAGGTTGCTGATATCTAGAACTTAGTCTTTCTATAGACCATGGAGAAGAAGCTACCCGTTATCTCAAGGAGTTTCTAGGGATTCACTACATCTATTCTGATGATCCGACATTCAAATCATTGTGGGATACGTATAACAAGTGTCAGTTTGTGGAGGACGAAGGTACGGTATTATCTGCTTGAATCAGATATTGACCGCCAACAACACCTTGTCTGCCGTAGGCGGGATCCTGTTTTATAGGGATAAATTAGGTCGGCCGTCTCGACGGGCCACACAAGAGATAGACGGCGATTTATAGACACGAACCCCGGTCACCCCCTGTACGAAGAATGTTCCTGAGCCTGTATATTGCATGAAAGCCGATGTCTCATCAACGTCTCCCCCCAAGGCGGTGATAGCCAGACATGTGGTCCGCGTACATCTTTTTTTTTTTCACCCGTAGGTAACCTGAGGGAACGCAGTCAAGTACTCAAGCTCTAGAGTCAAGCGTACATCGCCAAGGCTCCTTACCTTTACCATTGTCATCACATTCTCATCTAACGGAACTTCGGTCTGCAATGGAAGGCAATATGCTGAACAGCATCCCCCTTGCCCTCGTCATCGCATCCATTGGCATGATGGCAGGGGGGAGTTCATCATATCATCATCAAATTTGTGCCGTGGCGACGAGCCGGCGTTGTTGAAATAGCACGAAGCCGGGCATGCTTCACTTTGTTTCCTTCCCTCGCTTCAGCGGCGTAGAACCATTGGTTCCAAGGTAGAAAACATGGCTGGCCGACTGCAAGAGTTCCCCAGCAACGTTCCTCTACGTAAGGATTGATTGGTTCTGGTTCAGCTCTCTAACACCGTTTATGATCAGAAGCAAGCCACGCCCCCAATATCGCCCTCATTGCTGTCTTCGACTTCACACAAATTTTTGGCTTCAGTCTATTGGCCATCGTCCTCCTCTCGGCCCGATTAGCGAAGACCGTTCACAGGTCCCCAGCTTGGTTCAACTTCTTACTCACTTGGGTCCTTTATTGCATCTCTTACCTCATCACGCTCGGCCAACAAACTGGAGAAGAGCCGCATTTCTCTATATGTCTATTCCAAGCAATGCTAATATACGCTGCCCCAGCTGTGTGAGTCCCGATCTATATTCTATTGGCATAACCGTCATATTGTTTTCTCAGAACCGTCACGGCCGGTCTATGTTTTTCGGTCGAGGTATGTCTGTTCCGTCAGTCTGTCGCTGTCTTGATTCAATACTCTTGCAGATGTGGCGGATAATTACGCGGGCGGGTCGAGGCGCATCGTCGTTTCGGGACTACGGAGCAGTGAGTTGTTCCCTTCCCTCCGTTGACTCGTTTCCGATTTGTTCATATTAGATCATTGTCGTTCCTTATGTGGTTCACCTGGCTATCTGCATTGAGGTACTCACTGTAGGTGTTAATCAATGCTTTCGCCGAACGCCCGTAACTAACCCAGCGAAGCTAGGCTTGAAGGACCGTAGATTAGTCAAACGGGATAGGACGTTTGCGTTTTGCCACCTAGACCACCCTCTTCCGTGAGTCTTCCTTCACCATCTAAACGATGTCTCCCTAATTACAGGACTAAGTGCGTATATCACTGGTGCTGTCGTCATCTGTGCAATCGTGATTGCGATGTCTTTCGTTGGTCAGTCTTACATGTCGCTTCAGCCCCATGACACACCTGACTCGTCCATCTAGCCTCTACGGCGCTCCACATTCGAAGGCACCTTGCTACATCCCGTTTGTGGCAAGGCCTACAGGTTTCCAATGCTCAGAAGATGGTCATTCGCTTCGGCATTTTTACCGTCCTACCAGTGGTCGGCTTAGCGTGAGTCCGGCACTACGGCTATAGCGGCACCTATCGCTTATGATTGAACCTAGCATTTCAGTTGCTCAGGTCGCTGTCAAGTCCAGCCTCATCGCTGATGGGATTCTGAACATCGCAATCGGAACTCGTATGTTTCATTACACATGTTGCGTACAACCGTCTCAATGTTTTGTATTTTAGTTCCTGCTGGAGCTGCCGTGATCTTTGGAACGCAGAGTGTAGGTCAACCCTTTCTCTGGTGATAGGTACTTCAATTTATTTTAGGACATTATGCGTGTCTGGTGCTTCTGGCGAAATCCGACAACAGAGTCAAAGAATTCGTTGCCGAAGTCTGAGCCCTCAGGAAATGTGTAGGATAACTTGAGCCCAATAACCTACCGATCATAGATTCATTACGTAATAAATATATTCCTACCGTTGGACTCCACACGCTGCTCCCTTCAATCAAGGCTCTGTAGGTCCCAGTGAGCGCTGATGCTGAAGCACTGGTAACTGATGATCAATGCATCAAGATAACCTCGTTGTGAGGGGTGGCTTTGATCAATAATCAGGATGCTTAGAAGTAGCTGAGGAGCAACTTTCGGCTTGTTCTGCTTCTTCCACCTTCCACCCACGCGCAGGACGCCACCATATCGAGCGTGCTACGGACTACGATTTAACGATCATGGCTAGCCAAAATCAAGTATCTAGCAGTAGCAAGTACCGTTCAACTTACTTAGCGCCTTGGGTTAAATTTCGTGACCAGGTTCTCCCAATATTGCCCTTATCGCTATCTTCGACTTCACGCAGATATTCGGGTTCATTCTACTGGGCATTGTATTGCTCACAGCCGCACTAGCAACGACTGTCCGTAGGTCGCCGGCCTGGTTCAATTTCCTGTCTACCTGGGTGTTGTCGTGTATCTCTTATCTTGTCACACTTGGTCAACAAACTGGAGAAATGCCGCATTCTTCTATATGCCTACTGCAAGCGATGTTGGTATACGCTGCACCAGCAGTGTGAGTGCTACTCCCTTATATCAATCCTTCAGGAGTTGTCACCCATTTTACAGAACGGTCACAGCTGGTCTGTGTTTTATAATCGAGGTGTGTGCGTACCCTGACAATTCGGACAATACAATAATATGGCTGTAGATGTGGCGAATCGTAAGCCGTGTGGGTGCCTCTTCAGGAAGAGGAACCGTGACATTTAGGGATTACGGGATTGTACGTGTTCTACACTAAATGGTTGATTTGTGATCCTGACTTTCGTAGCTCATCGCCGCTCCTTACGTCGTTCATCTGACCATCTGCATTGAGGTCCTCGTTGTACGTGACCCAGAAATACACTCGCCAATTAGCTGATTATCCTTAGTTGGGGTTGAAACACCCTAAGTGGGTTACTCGAGACAAAACATATATGTTTTGCCACCTAGATTCCGCGCTTCCGTGAGTTTTTCACCTAGAAATATTGTCTCCTTAGTTGAATTTCTATAGTGCATACATCACCGGCACTGTCGTTATTTGCGTGATTGTAATAGCGATGGTCTTTGTTGGTTCGCACGTGTCATGTACGATATATTCATGGGTTTAACTCGCTCGCAGCCTCCACAGCCATCCACATCCGCAAACATATGGCTGCTTCTCGCCTTTTCCAAGGTCAACAGGTTGCTAACATCCAGAAGATGGTTGTTCGTTTCGGCATTTTCACCATTTTACCGGTGTTTGGATTAGCGTAAGCCTTAACATACCGCTGAGCCCATCACCACTCACGTACGAATACAGCCTTTCGGTGGCCCAAGTCTCTGCAAGGCCGAGGGGCGTCGCTGATGGAATTCTAACTATCGCTATTGGAACGCGTGCGTGGAATTGCGTATTTAATTCGCGATCATCTCTAATGTTTCATATTTTAGTCCCTGCTGGGGCCGCTCTTATTTTTGGCACACAAAGCGTAAGTCAAAACCCTGGTTCTGGCAACGTGTACTTGATACACCCCTTAGGACATCATGCGTGTTTGGTGCTTTTGGAAGAAGCCAACAACGTCGAAGGGCCCACTCGACATGCCTGCACGGAAGGTCTCAGAAAGCGTCTGACACTCAAGCGGGAAACTAAGAGGAGGGCTTAGGTTGCGCTTCCGCTTCTTCATTTGTATTTATGTCTCTATGTACAACACAGGCATCAATCCCAACGGATGGCTGGGGTCACTTCTCACTCTTCTGTGGTCCTAGTGCAGTCCTGAGCCTTCTGGAATATTCAGGGGGGGGGCACCAAAGGCTGTCTTCATCTTCAGTGCCAAGGATCCTAATCATAGAACAACGTGCGCAAACTACAGTGATCATCGACAGGCACTTCCTGTTGATGATCGCCACCGTATCACTAAAAGTCACATTAAGTGGCAACACGGGTGAAGGTCAAGGAGGGTGTCAGTCGGAATCGTAAGTGATCATCCCTTCACCGTCCGGTCTTACGATGGTAGAGGATATTGTCCCTTCTAGGTATTGCGCTGGCATCCTGGCTCATTCATTCTAGACCCTGAAGCGACAAGAATATCTGTGCAAATGCCCTCTTACGATGAACACACCTTCGTATCAGTCACTTGACGCACATCACGAAAGCATATCAACGCACGATTGTGCTCATTGTCGAATATCTTTCCCGCGGTGCGACCTCTTTGTGGGTGCAGGTGGGCGCGTCCCTCCTTCTGGTCGGTACGGATCCTATCGTCCTGGTATTGATGGCTATATTGGCAGATAGACGCCGCCGTTCAACTTGGTGGGAAAGTACCTTGACCACCTTCATCCCAGTACCGCACTAGGCCAAACTGAGGGCAACCCACGTAAGTGGTAAATACTTACGCATATCAGTGCTCAATGTGATAGGTGATATGTTCCTCGCAGTATCGTATCATGGGAATGGTCATCTGGTGCGACGACGACTGTAACCGCCTTGCGAAACATAGAGCTAATTCGGAAGTGCTACCTTACTTAGGTATCCAGCTGTCGACTATGTATATAGACTTGCACCCGTGGAATAGCCTCACAGCATTCATCATGCTCTCCTCTTCGCACGCATTCTCGCCAGGACCAACCGCGTATGTCGCTACTGCGTTTCTAGCGTACCTCTTGTGCGCCCGATGGCTCCGCTGGAGAAACTATCTTGCCATCCACCAAAAGTTTGGGGGCAAATTTCTCAACGGAAGCTTGACGATCCAAGACGCGCAAGAGATTGTGCAAGTCTCTGGGATATGGGACATGCCGGCACTCCTCTACTTGGCTCTCTCGTACGCCACTATCAAAACATATGCTATTGTAGGTCAACGGCCCACGTAGAGTCCTTGACGTCTTGACTGACGTCGCTGCATAGCCGTCTATATCCAAGATCCTACTCTCTACAAAGCAAATCTCAACCGCGGAGCATGCATCCAGACGCTACGCAGACGTATGTGGCTCTCATTGGGGTGATAAGCTGTTCGCTCACTACCAATACTTCTGTAGACTAGTATCCTGACATGTTCGTGCTCCCTTCGACCTCTCTTGCTGCTTACGAGGTCAGATATTTTCATAGATACTTGGATTAGCTGCCCTATACTTGGGAGAGAGATTTCGAATGGTCGAGAACACTCAGATCCTAGGTCGATGATAGCCACTGGGAGGGTCAATTGGCTCCATTCCAAATATAGGATCGTGAGTTACTAGTTATATATTAGTATCGACTACCTTCGTCTCATCTGAATATTCTAGGCAAATGATGATTACCTGTATACCTTGTCTCTCTATATACTGGAATATCTGGTTGGCTGTTTGCATCCTACTGTTCGTTCTTCCTTTGATATTTGATTCGGAATCAGAGATGGACAGATAAATATGGCTGGCGTCAGCTGTCGGCACTGGAAAAACAGGTAGGTTCCATTACAACAGTCCTCGCGTTGCTAATCTGGGGAACACCGGTAGGCGCTACTGATGTTTTGGTCCGAGATTGGGCGCCGTTTGGAAATCCAGGATATACCTGAAACCTTGAATGAGATGCGGGACTGGGTGAAGGTGCGCATAGGTCGATAATCACAGCTCCGCTGTCTAATCAACTTCCCAGAGTTACGAGCAGACTCGCCGGTGCCAAGCTAAATCAAATATTGACATCATGAGCTTTACTATCGACTATAACTCGAAGGTCTACCCCTGCCTTTTTGGTCTGCGAGGCTTATACAAGTCCATCATAAATTGTACCTTGGAATACCCGGTCCAAACTGCCACAATGCAAATACCCTTCACATGAATCGATCTCATGTCCTAACGAATACTTCATTTACAGGTCGCCTAGGCCGCCGTGGTACATGTATGTACTTACCGACGGTCTATTTTATGGTATGAAGTACTATCACCGTTATCTGGCTCTACCTCGATGCCGTCCGTCCTCGGTGGTCTCACTCGAGCTTCCCGAGAGCTCAGATACCAGAATGCACCCGACAACGTAAGCCCAATCCACGATTTGTTGAAATGCATTCCATAGATCGCATGCGTTGAAGCTTCGGTGCGAAGCCGTGGTACAAACCTGAAGGGAGGGTATTGACTTGGATCATTGATCACCTTCTGGTATGGGTGGGGTACCGGGAAAGTACTCCGGGGGTGCAGTTTAAGTCTCAAGGTTATCGCCTCAAAGAAATTGTCAGTAGAATTTTCTCCCTAGAAGGTTGATCCTAACCGTTATTTCCAGGGCCCTCAGATTTACGAGCACCGTAAGTAGGCTGAGTTGGTTACTCTCCAATCTCCTAAATACCTTTCTAGTTGGGCACAATGAAGTTATGCAGACTGCTGAAAGAATATATGGATCCCCGATCGGTGCACCTTGAAGGATTGGCGAGAGAAGTTCGTAGCATGTGGTGCTTACTCGGTGTACACAGTTGCTGCTAGATGTACCTACGAGCAACGTGCTGTATATGCACTCCCTCTTTCTTGCTGGCGTTGACTTTCAAGCCTAAGAGCCGAGGGTAAGGCACGATTATTTGGCCCCTGGTCCCCTGTCCCAGTTTCGCTCCTAACTCGGGCTATGGTTTTCCCACAATCGTCTCGTTTCTTTCCTGCAGTGACTGCGAGGTCAGTATTTGGCGTAATGGTGTCCGTCTCTCTCTGAATTTCTAGGATAGATGCCGCTGCCATACGACCTTTGCGCTCGCGTACAAAACGCGTTCCGCGCGCGACACCATAAAATTGCTCTTGACCACAACACACAGAATCTCGGCATCCTCTCTATCCTTTTGCGCGCCGGTTTCATCTCCAACCTCAGTCGTGGCACCATCGAGACGCCAGACCCGTCGGAATTCGACAAAGCGTCTGAATCCCAGCGGAGGATATGGGCCGACCTCAAATACCGCGACGACCGGCCGGTTTTACACGACATGGAGCTTATAAGCAAGCCTAGCAAACGCGTTTTCATGGACGTGTCGGAGATACGGTTGATATGCTCGGGACGTCGCGCCCAGAAGGTGAAGCCTTTGGGAATGGGGGAGATTGCTGTGGTGAAGACGAAGAACAAGGAATTTGAATGGCTGGAGGCGAGGGAGGCTCTGCAGTTGAAAATACCTGGAGAGGTAGTGTGTCGAGCACGCTGATCTCTGGTATCCTTCTCTTCAATCATCTGTCAATCTCATACGACATAATCTGTACAGATTATCCTTGACCAGGTTTATACTTGGAAGGGCTTACCATCTTCATTTTCCCTCGACATCGTAGTCGTTGTGGCTTCAGAAACTACGCTTGGTCTCGGTACATCATACAACTAGCCCGACTCAAGCAAGGTCAGTATGCCGACGAGACTTGGGGACATCGCTGGGGTAAGGCGCAGGTGTTCGATAAAGGGCTCCTGGTTGTACAACGGTTACGACCACTATGGCTTTCGGGCCCTCCCGTAGAGTTCACTCGGGTGGCGTTTGCTCCTCTATTGTTAATAACGCGACCATGGGACATATCTTTACAGAAAATCGTTCCGTTGTCTCGGGCAAAGCCTTCAAGCCACGCATCTTCGTCGAGAACTTCTGCGAATCCAGAGGGGCAAGCAACACAGCTACGCATACAGGATTCCAGGCCCAATACGTGTCGGTGGACCAAATCCGTACGGTATGAAATGGCGTCTTTTATATACCATCGCGCAAAAGAGTGAACTGGATTATGGCACCAATGACGGCTATCAAGTTGGTCTCTATTGGAACTTGATGTTTTCATGAAGAAGTCGATCACTTCGATACATCTTTGACGTTCACTGGATGAGCTAAAGGGGTTCTAGAGAAGAGATATGATGTGGATTAACTTCCAAGAATGGCGAAGACCACGGTGACTACGATCTCACAAATCGTGCCGCAGACGACGCAAGGAGGCTTCACGTAAGGCAAGAGACATACAGCCCTCTATTCTCAAAGGCCCGACTGACATCCTCTCATAATACAGGCCCCATATCACTCGCGTCGATGAGTGTGACATCTAATTGGAACGTACAGATTGCGCCGCCGTGTAGGTCTGGTCAAGGATTCCATATTTTGAATGTACTAGTCATCTATTGCTGATGCAATCCAAGCGCTCCGGTTGCGTGAGACACCTTTGTACCAGTGCTACCATCTCCTGCCTTTCAGCATCTCAAGACCTCACATACCAAGTACTCAGTTGATACACTGTCACCCCGACTTATGGCATTTCGCATATATGATAAAAACAATGGAACTATGTGAGTACCGAATCAACGGCGATCAATAATTCCCAGTTGAAGTTATTCGTGGTTCAGAACCCAATACTGGATATATCTTGAAGGTACTCGTTTCGTTAGGGTTTGGTTGGGCGAGTGGGCTTACAATTCATCCTAGCAGTCTTATTCGACTTTGATGATAGTTGGCGTCCGGGGTCAGAGGCCGTGATCTGTGGGGATGGACTATTCCATCGAAGAATATAGGATTTACAATTGCTTAAAGTCTCTAGAGTGGGCGCCTTCTACACCTTTGTGAGCCTATATAACCGCGCAGCCTGGTCTGATAATCATGCTGGAGGGACACGTAGGGTTCTCTGCGTAGGCGGAGACGTAGTTGTGCACTACGACAGGTATGCCAGTGGATGCCCGCGCACTGGTGTCATCGCCGAAGTCGAAAAGGTTGAGGATCTTGCACGACAAGCGGAGTATGAGGCATGCATTGCTCACTTGGAGTTGAAACGTGATGTTGGGTTTGGGATAAGCACGGTCAGGTTGATGGTTCGTAAGGTAAGCATATGTGATGCGTGCCATACGATACACGCTCTGGTGCTTACATTGCGTAGATAGGGTTTTATGATATAGCCGAGATTTTTGAATTGAGCGTTATTGTTGAATATCAATCGCGACGACTATAATAATCTTGTCAAATTTCAACAAGAAGTATAATTCTCTCTCATTCTGGGTTTACTCCTTTACATAATTTGTCTGTTCACAAGGACCCTTCGCTTACGGACAACCACATCGCTCAAAATCTCCCTATTGAGTGGAGAGGTAACGAAGCTATCATTTCGCAGGTGCCGTACCAAAACCAGAGCAGCGATGTTATTGATGACATAAAGCGTGTCGCCTACGAAATTCTCCCTCTTTCTCTCGAACGATGCCACGGTATGGACCTGCTCAAGTGCTATTCTCAAACTGACACCCTAGTCTAGCGACATCCAATGCGATTGAACGCGGTGTTTCGTATTCCGACTTTTTCATGGGAATTCCCCAATCATCGTGAAGAAAGGATCGTACGCCATAAGAGCGCCCCCTACTCTCAGAGAGACCCGTATCTGCGTGCCCTCAGACTTGATATAGACACTGCGGGTTACATGTTGGATATCAATAATACTCTCAATTCGTTCATCTATCTCATCGAGTTGAATATAACCCCAATCCCACCCCAACACCTTCTCCTCCCTCAACAATCTCCATCTCGATGCACCTTATGCAGCACCGGCAGATAACATCCGCGATCCTTCATATCACGCCCAGACGCTCAACATCTCCACGAATGGACCGGCGACATTGACCGGTACCAATTCCACAATGACCGGCACTTGTATTACCGCCAATGGCTCCATAATCATCCTCAACGTCAATGGTCCTGTGACGGGCGACATCTTTTCTGGTCCTATCTACGGTGGAAATGTCGGAGGGCGCAAGAATACCAACCATTGTACGTCTTGATCTATCGTCATTTTTACTCTTACCTCTCTATTTATCAGTTACAGTGCCGAATCCACGCCCACCAAGCCGTAGAGACGACGGTTTATGTTTCCTTCGACGATTCGAGTTCCGGGCTGGGTTGCAAGGCCTTTTTCGAGCTACTAGGCGAAGGAGGGGAGAAGCGCTGTCGTAGGAGGGAGAAAACAGCGCGCAATGAATCTGCGTAAACATTGAACACGCTTCTCTGAATTGCTGACGTGTAGTATGTGTGCAGGGGTTTGCTTTACTACATTTTCACTTCTGTATTTCACTTGTATGGGTTGTGTGCAAATAAACGGGTGACAAAGGCACAGCGCCGGCGAGCGGAAAACCATTGGGTCGATGGTGGTAGGACGAGAACGAGGGGACGGAGTTCGGCAGCCATATCACCAGTGAAGGGACGTCAGTATGTATAGGGCACGCTCCGCGAATATGTTGATCACAATGGGCGAACTACTGATCTACTCCGAGTTGAGTACTGGAATTTGGAGGGAGGGTGTTCTGCCTCTCCAAGGAGGCCATACATTTGGCGGTCTAGACGAGGGCGCGTAGGGCGATCATTGGGCCTGAAGAAATGCCAAAAGGCGTAGAAGGAGACGGTCCTAGAACTCGAACGTCACCGAAATGGAGGAATAGGAGATGTCCGGAGAGCAGGATTCTGCGGTAGGTTGTGATGAATTCGCGCGTTTATGAAACCTCCAGCCGCATGGTGACGAAAATCTACCGTAATGGCAACATGTACATGGAGTAAAACATTAGATGCGCCTTCACTGAAAAAGATACTGCTGTTGTACAGACAAAAGCGGAAATACCAGATGACTCGAGATTTAACCTAGCAGACCTTTGCTGACCCAGTACCCAACCCATCGAGATGTGTCCATCTTGCCCAATTCTTTGGCGTTTCTCAGTGTTGGACTGATGAGATGGGCTTGGTTGGTTTGAAGAGAGGGGAAGCCTCCACTTTCTTGCGTGTCTTGCAGATGTTCATCGACTGCAGCTATGTGTTGAAAGAATGTCAGGACCTTCAGTGCGGGCTATGGGATAGGAGTTAGAAGGTGCTCAAGTCATACGTGAACACGTACAAGTTGTCGAAGGTCTGGAGGATTCTCCTGATTGGCAGCGGATTGCAAAGTATCGAACCACTCCTTGAAGGAAACTATACGAGGGGAGAAGACCCCACGAGTGGTTTCCTGAATGGTGTCCTTGAGGGACGCGAAGAGCGAAGACCATTTAACGGGTCTTGGATGAACAACATTTATCGTGGAAGGCAGAGGGCCATCCGTAAAAGCGATATCCAAGGCGGCTTGTGCGACGGTGTCAATAGAGACCCATGATACCATCTACGGACCCAACGTGAAGAACAACACATATGAGTTTATGCGAATGAGGTACGTACCCCTTTGGCGTTGGGTAAAGCGTTCAAGCTAAGACTTGTTTTGACCATGATCGGAACCCAGTCAGTCATGGACCATGCTCCGGATAGCTCCCCGCCGCATACTTGACCAATGCGAATCGAGCAAGAGGGGATGTCACTGGCAGCGAGGATCTAACAAAGGAGTCGAGCACCACGGACCAGTGAAGACCAGATAACTTACCCGTTCAAGAACGTACTTGGACTCGCCATACCCTAGGCCAATTGCAACACCGGCGTCAAGTATCGTCTCTTCCGGGACGGGTTTGTCTGATTTCCAAGATTGAACAGCCGAGATAGAGGAAGAAAACAGGAACCGTGTAGAGGAGGCGTGTGGCCCTTGACGCGCCAGATTGATCAAGTTCACCGAACCAGTAATCAGAGGGTAAAACGCAGGCAAGGGGAGGTTGAAATCCAGCCTCCAAGCATTGTGTATGATGATAGTGACAGTATCTTTGAGCTACAAGTGCTTTCATTAGCGAAAGTTGACATAAGATATTCCACGACTTACTTTGGCGTATACCAATGAATGTAATCCGAGATCAGACTTCGTTAGATCCCCTTCCAGGGATACTAACTTCTTAGAATCCAGTAGAGAGGCATCTAGGCCACGATCTCTGAAAGACCTAGTTTGTCTTTCAGAAACGGCAGAGATACCGGGCCGATTCAATGTATATACCGTAGCCACGGCGCTGCTTTTCAGTAAGCCTGATAGAATATGAGAGCCAAGGCCACCAGTAGATCCCGTTAATAGAACGATCGTGCCGGCATCGCTAGGGGGCGATACATTGGTACTTCCCATTGGCGCAAGTCTCGAGATATGGCGTTCGATGACCGAGTTGATAAGTGATAGTCTATCTACCGAAGAAAGGTCTGAGCCCAAAACGTATGCGGCCATAGCGCGGGCAAGTTTCTCAATGGTTGGGTGGTCGTAGACAAGTGTCTGAGGAACGTCTTGCTGGCGTGACTGGAGTGCTCCAACGATTCGGTGCCGTAGCAAGGTTCCAATAAGACTGACGGACGTCGTCAACATAAATAGACAAGGGTGTACTCGCATCATACCTGTCGAATCCTTGTTCGGAAAAGTCAATGGTAGGAGAGATGGTAGCATTGGGCACTAAATCTGTAATTTGCTCTGCCAACCATTTGCGTAGATGATCTTCAGTCCACAACTCGGGACCACCGCCCGCACTTGATTTGACACCTTCGATTGTATCATATCTATTCCGGAATTAGAACCAACATCGATTATTGATACGAGCATACTTACAAACTTTCGATTTCAGGCGCGTAAGCGACCAGAGCCGCCTTTCTCATAATCGTACCTTTACCTGCACGAGGGAAGGGTTTGTTGGGCGGCACAAAGATTATCATGTCTTTGTAGATGTGGCTGAACGTTGGCGCAATGGCGTTAGCTTCTTCAATGATGGGCCTTTTTGTGTCTATGTAAGCGGTGATGATTTTGCACTCAGCATGAGGGACACTCACCAAAGCTCATTGCGAATGGATTTGATGTCCTCGTCAGTCTGAGGGTATCGAGTCCCGTCTTTGAGCTCGATAAGGACGCCAGGATGGTTCTGTTGCTCTCCAAATATGATAACCCCTTGAATTCTGATAAAAGGTATATTTGAATCACGGAATAGATAATGAAGACAAGTTCTTACCCCGGATGACTTGAGATGATACCTCCAAGGGTCCGGGTACGGTCTTTTCCCCAGTCGTGTGTACGATTACATCGTCTTTCCTCCCGACCCTGATAAGTATTTTGATAAGGAACATCCGTATCAGAATGATGGGGTACATACATCTTCCACAACCCTTTCTTTGTTGGGTGCTTCTGGAAGAGATCAGATGAAGCATAGCCAGCATTGTCAGGCATATTATACACATTGATATGGTCCGTATCGCCCCGCTGTATTGAGGATTGTTACACAATGTACGGAAGGGAAAGAAAATTCTTACGAGTACGCAAAGTTCGTAGGTGCCATCACCTTGCGGGACCATTTTGAACTCAACGTTGTCACAAAATCGGATCCACTGCCACTCGCCATTCATACGCTCACCGTCGGAAGGGACCCAGTGTGTGGGTGCCCCGAACTCTGTAGCACCATAGATCGGACGAGTGACAACACCTGCTGCAGAAAGGGCGTTGCCCAACTTGGGTGGTGGGGCACCCCCTGAGTACGTCTGCATGCAGTACATAAGTCGTTTGAAGTACAAACATAAAAAAAACACTTGCTTACGACGATGCGGAGTGATTGTAAGAAATCCATAGATTTGGACGAATGCGACCATATGTACAGAAGGGTGGGGATTACAACCAACCCGTCGCACTTAGCACGCCGTGTGTGGTCCAGAATATTGTCGGGCGTTGGTGAGAACGGCAAGTCCGACTCCTTCTCTCTCACTGGTGGATAAATCGCAACAGGTCGTACAGAGAAAAGGGGAGCTAAAAGTTGGGCATATATTGCTAGCGTGTGGAACGATGGAAGCGCCATGGCCGCTAGGAGTGAAGGACCATCCTGCGTGATAATGTCGGTCACAGGCGCTGCACACCGTTCAGCACCATATTGTTACATGAACGGGTCAACTTACGAAGCTTTGCCCAGTGTAGGATATTGCGCTGAGTCAGTGGTATGGTCTTCGGCAACCCAGTACTCCCAGAAGAGTGCAAATACAATGCAATGTCAGATAATCCTGGCCTGACGGAGTATCCAGGGTAGGGCGCAAAGGGGTCCTTTTCGCTTTCGGTGCCCAGATGTGGGAAAATACTCTTCAATGACGGTACTTCTTCGACATCGACCAAGAAAGCAGGCTCTTCGTTGGCAAGCTGATGAATGATCCCATCGAGGAGCGGTCGGAGGGTGAACAGTGTGGAAATCACGCGGTGACAGTTCGTTTCTTTCAATAATTTCGCAATAGCAGTAGGTGAGTTGCGTGGTGAGATCGGGTATGGCTAGATCATAAAGTTAGAGTTGCGTCAAAAGTGTCGACCTTTTAGCCTACTCACGATCATCCCTGCTTTGTGAATTCCAAGCACCAGGGCCTGATACATGATAGTGTCACAGAGCGCTACGATAGCAACAACGTGGTTATCATTTGGTCGAGGTCCAGACGGTTCAACCGTCTGGGCGATGCGATGACAAGACCTCGCAAACTCCAGATGGGTGATAGTTATAGTGTCGTCAGACGCTTCATCAGCGTAAACATACATAGGCAGGGTCGTGTTGTACTTCATGTTGAAGTCTACTGCCTCCGAGAGCAGGATCGAGCCATCTGTAGAGGGGTAGGAGCGCATTGCAATCGATATTCAGTGTTGTTCGCTGGGGCGGATGGATATATGTAGAGGCGGTGGATGTAAAAAAAAATCAATATGGAGAGAATACATCAAGAGCGCGAAAAGTGCACCTACCTCCACCAGTCAGCAGGACCCACCGAATCAGCTTCTGAAGCTTACAACCAATGTACTTCTCGCGAACCACCCGGCCGTATTGGCAAATTCTAGCGAAGCTGTAAATAACACGACCCACAGTGTGTAGTGGGCGCACATCTGTACATCAGCGGCATGGGAAATTATCGCAAGACCAGCACGGCCCCCGAGGTGTTTGAGCCAGAGTTATTTTGTTCTGGTAACACATCGCCCACGCCCACATCCATCAACGGTGTGGTTCAAGTGGAGGTGGGCGATGTTTCCCAGAGTGAGCGCCGAATACCAATCGTGAAAGTAAGTATTTGAATGTCCGACTCAAAAATTCTTTGTCTGGCGCTTACTCAAGCGCTTGATTCAGTTAGTAGTCGAGAGTGAGTTGCGAGCCTACTCGAGTACTCTCGCGTCAACGTACCCTGGCGACCTTCGAGGCGAAAGCTGAAATCTGAAATGTTGGGACAACCCTCACGCGGATAACCTAGATAGCCTAGGCTGAATAATCCCACAGTCGGCGTCGAACCAGCATGTACTATCATCTCCAATGATAGAGAGAAGCATGATAGTCCCCATGTGAGGTCGATGATGATCATTCTGCTGCGCCCTCACAACACACCCCCGCCTGGAGCAACATCTGAGTATATTACACCATAATGGGGAACATGTCGCCTGCAACCCCTTCATCCCTGGCAAATGGATCAAGCCGCTAGAATTGACTTTACACTCATGTACGTTGAAGTCTGTAGTTTAAAATTTAGTCTCCTCCACTGAAACGTATCGAACATCCACAGCTCGGGCCCATTGGTGAGCCATGAACTTCAAGCCTTGGCAGTCAGGCTCACCGAATCAAATACTATTAGGCACTAGGCTACATGGTTGGTTACTTCTTGTACGGGATGTCCGTGGTGCAGTTATGTAGGTATCAGTGCTGTGTACCTGCTACACCCATCGTTGATCATTGCTAGTTCTGTATGTCTGTCAAGAACTACCCAAAAGACGCCCGCTGGATCAAGATTACTGGTAAGTGGTACTCAACGAGGATGAAGCAGTAATTAATAAGGGTGACATTTAGTTTGGTTGGCGTTTGCAATGGAAACGGTCATCGCTGTACTGACAGCTATTGCTACCTGGAATACATTTGGTGTGGGCTGGGGAAAGGTCGAAGCGTTGCGTATCATCGACAAATCTTGGTCCCCGTTGCCAATATTCAACTCACTTAGTACGATTCCCCACTCGGACTTTGAGGTCTACGTGTTAACTCAACTCTCCTACTAGCTGCGATGATAGCGCAGACCTTCTTTGCATGGAGGATCTGGAAGCTCACTCATAAGATTTGGATATCAACTGGTATCACAATAGTATGTCCAGTATATCCTCCCCCTGAGGATCCATCTCAGCATTCCGCCAATAGCTCGCAACAGCTGGAAGCGCGTTCGCATGGTATTACAATATCAGGGTATATACAGGACTTATTCCTTAGATCTGCTCTCACAGCCCGTGCTTAGATCGACTTGATGGGACGGCACGTAGAAGCAGTTTCTTCAGTCAGCGCCTTCATTTCCGTAGGTTTGCACCCTTGCAGTGGAGGTCAGATATTCAACTGATCATCCTGCTTTCTAGGCCTGGCTCGCCTGTAACGTCTTGTGCGATGTGTCCATCACAGGGGTAATCGTTTTCACGGTACGTTTTGACCTTGACATATGCAAACCAATGATTGAGATATCTACCAGCTATACAAAGCTCACACGGCTGCTGCTGTGTCCAATACGGCCGCAACCCTAATGAATATTCTCAAATTCACCGTTGAGACAGGTCTCATCACCGCCGTTTGGTCAGTGATTGAGCTTTCGCTATGGCTGTCCATGCCAGGCAACAGCTTCCACTGGATTTTGTGAGTCTAATTGTTATAAGCCGCCATTCTGCTGATCGCCATGTTCTCATCTAGCTTCTTGGCTCGTGGGCGGATGTATGGGGTCTCCCATATCGTTCTGTGACAGCCGCTCACTTTCACTATGTAGATACAATAACTGGCTCCTCGCTACCCTCAATTCGCGTATCTACGTGTCAAATCTATCATCGTTAACTTATGTTAGCATGAACTTCGACCAGCAGTCAGCGATGTGGGCGGACATGCCTACCAATGTTGATGCTCCGGGCAGTAGGGCCCATCGCTTTGGTAGAGTCCATATAACAACAACAACGGAAGCTCACATAGACCAGGAGATGGTTGTTATCTCAGTACGTTGATCATATTGATTGCAAGTCTAATCATTGCTGAATGTGTCTACAGTCAGATTCCCCACCACAAACTAAGGCCCATCTCAGCGAGGCATAATTAAGTGCTTCATCTAGACCGTTATGTACATTATCATCATATACACGGTCATTTCAGTGGAATAGACAGCCCTTCCTTTGCTCTGAGCGCAATCTCAACTACTCCTGTAGTGAGAAGATGGTGACCGCAACTGTATGCGGGAATTCTGTCACTTTCTGACCAGGAAACATGTGGGTATATGGGTATACGGGCTAATCATACATCCGTGAGCATAACATCCTAGATAACGTGCCTACTCCTTCGTGATCTATTTACGGTCCCCGAGCGTTCTACCGTCGACTTCAACGCCCTGACTTTTTGGACAATTTCATCTGGGCACAATCAGATATGGATACTGCATGCCTATGAGAGAATGTTCACATACTAGCGTACTTGGGGCTCTCCGCCTCGTAGTCGTACTGCTTCTTGCCGGAAGAGCGATTGACAACTAGCCTGAATATTGAGGAAGACTTAGTGGATTGCTGACAGTCGGCGATGCTTTTAATGTGATAGGACAGCGTCCTTCCGCTGTCAAATACATTCTTCGCCTTGTTTGCTGACGGCATGATCTAAGGATTGGGTGTGAGTATGCTTCCTTGCCGGCGGAAGTTAGTGCACTTACATGGAGATACACGCCATCAATAGCAAGGGTACGCTCTTGTCTGGTCACTAGCATAGGCATCTTGCGGTATATTGTGTATTTCTGAACGCACGACGATTAGCTAACCATACGGAACCTACGACATCACGAAGCCCACCTTGTAAGCCAGGTCATACTCTGACGTAGCAGGATACTGCGTCTCTGGCACATCAGACATGCGCTTGAAAATGGAAGCTGGTCGAAAGGGCTAAGTAATCGACGAGAAATCATTCATGTGAGACGCACCATTCGGATCCGTAGTGCGTCCGGGTTCCATAACACCCCCCAGTTCGGTTAGGGCACTCTTCTTCATCAGAACGAGTTCTCGTGTCCCCGCCAAACTGGCGACCGTTCGGTCGAGAGCGATGACCAAACTCTTATCCGCCACGAGCAGAACATAGTCGTTGGGGTTTGCTAATTTTCTTTTCCGACACACCAGCTCCAGAGCTTCTTGCATATACATGCCAGCAGAGCTATGAAGAGGAAAATTAAGTAAACGTAGCAAGGAAACCAACCAGCGGAGGGCTTACACATTGATGGTGGTGGAGATATGGACAGCGTCAGCAGTATCAGCAACTCTGATGCGCAAGAATATTTGAGGGCCATAGGACGACGGGCCAAGGGACGTAGACAGAGGCGCAGAAGAAAAGCTGGAACCGAAGATAGGATTGCTTCCGCTAGGGGTAGGAACGGCCAGACTTGCAGGTGGCGGCTTATCTGAGACCTTGCGAGCGGCAGCAGTAGTTCTAGATGGCCTGCGCTGTATCTTCCCCTCCAAAATCTCATTTTGTTGTGCTATCGTAATTTTGATCAGCTACAACCGATCGTCCGCTTGGAGAGAGGACTCACTTTGGGCATGTGACGCTTCGAGTATAGCGAAGGCGTCTGCATCCTTGAACTTGAGAATCTTCCCATTGCGATCCGGAGCTACAGGGACGATCGTTATGTTTGTTCTTCATTATTCCGAAACAACCTACGAGGAAAGTCATCGTCCACTTCGCCATCCTCTTCAGCCAGCCGCATTATCCAACCAATAGCGGAAAGCCGAATCCTCCATTTTGGGTCGTCTTCTCCAGATAGTCCTTCGTCGAGTTTAGGCAACCAGGCTTCCTCCCAGTAGCTCCACAATGCGAAGCCTATGACTTCTTCCACTGATGCATCCTTCCTCACTACTAACTGCATGGGCTTGTCTGGCTGTTGCGAATGCGGGAAATATACTTGCAGGGTTATTGAGGCAGTCTCAGCTCGGCCGGATATTGCAGCGTAGAGTTCCGCGAATGGATTCGTTGACCCGGCGGTCGACGCAAGCATAGCAGTCAATGCCGATTTGAGAGGTTTTATCGGTGCTACTGGGCGCCTTGCAAAGAACACGTCTTGAGAAGGGGGAGCGGTGGTTTCGGTAGTCTGGGAGGAGTCACGCATCCGACCACCTGTGTCTAGTTTGCGAGGGGGGTAGTACCGGTCCGAATCGCCTGCTTTAGTGTAATGTGTGTTTGACGACCCAAGATTGGCAGAAGCCTTGGAACGCAGGCGAGGTGGACGGATTGATGGGACAGTAAGGTTAATATCGGTTTTTCGGGATGGCTGGGGGGCTGGGGGGGAAATCGGGACAGAGGAATTCGAGGTAGACGGAATAGAACTGGACAGTATTGAGTTGACATCGGACGGGCTATCGGAATTGATCCCTGGTGTTCGTGAGGCTGCGAAATCGCTATTCTAGCTGTTAGCCATTGCAGAACGCGCTCAGAAAGTGGGGGACTTACGGGTCAAATTCATCCTCCTCATCGATATTGGCGGGCACACCAAAATCCGAATCAACATCACTATCGTCAAGACTCTCTTCTACAGGTGGAGGAGGGTCGTCTTCGTCAGATGAGTCGATCGCCAATGGGGGCGGTTTCGCAGCGCCGGGTGCCTGCCGTCGAGCCACCATTCTTGCCTTGCGCCTGGCCTCCATTTCTGCTGCTCCTTTGAATTTGGGAATAAACTGCACCACTTTCGGCGCAGGCGGAACAGGTTCCGCAGGCGTGGGCTCAGCTCCGTCTACGGACTTTGACAGAACAGCTGCAGGAGCCCAGTTCCCATTCGCCCCCTGCTGGTTGAGATTGCTGCTTATGGGTGCCGCGTTATTCAGAACGTCCTGAACGGGCGCACCAGCCGACATAAAGTTCTGCACATCTTCTTGCTTGGGGGTTCCGGACATCCTCTTTGACTCCGACTGCCGCTTTCCATGTACTCTGTAGCCTATTGCTCCTGATTTGTTTCCCATTATCGTCCGAGTATACTTGAGTTTCGCTCCGGGAAAGCCAGAGGGCCGGTCGGTTTCATCTTCGCTAAGTGGAGGGCTGGGTGGCGCTGCAATCTCCGGCCAGCGGTCTGCGTCTGCGAGGCCTGAAGCAACGATGTACGGATTGTTGTGGTACGATGGGTCGAGCGATATTACGCGCGGGCCGTAGGGGTCGTCTACATCGCGAAGGTAAGACAACCGAAGACGATGGATCAAATAACTGCAGTAGATTGGAGGAGTAGCGGCATAGTATTCGATGGCAACTCACTCTGTATCTGTGATCAAGGACATTCTCTCAGTCCAATTGACGAGTTCAAGACATGGCCTTGGGTGGAAGAGGTGAGTTAGCTGAAGTGCTCATCACCTGACGGTCACACGGTAGCCAGCCTGAGAGTGACACACAATTGAAGCTCTCATATTACTTGCATGAGTCCGATCCTGGCACTGTCAAGGTCAAATATTGGGTACTTAGGTTATTCAGAAGCTGGAGGCAGTCTAGTTTACAGGAAAGCATGATAACTATACTTGCATCACAAAACCAATTATTGATGCAAGCATTAGAAGAGGGCATCCGCGCCCCGGGCGGCCCGTGTCTTGCTAGATCATTGTCTATTATATGGGCAGTCAGTGTCTACGAGCTCGCGTGCTAAATACTCAAGTAAGGATGCTTGAAAAAGTGCTCAAACAATGGGTTCGTGTCCCTCAAGCGCAGACAAGTTTTCCTCCGGGACACGCAAATCCAGCACTTTCAGGTGCGCAAGGCTGATAAATGTGCAGAGAAGGTCGTCTAAACTTGCCCGACTGTTGTTTATTCTTATCTGTACGGGCATGCCAACCCTTTAGAGCGTATCTCGCGAACATGTATGTGCTCGTGTGCCCTTCACCACGACGGGCAGGACACCTACAAGGGACGAATCGATCAGAACAGGACGAAGGGAGGGTGAGGGAGGGAAAGAATGCTCACCGCCTGTCCCAAGCGAGAAGGAAGGTCTTCCAATACTCGCCAAAAACCCATTGATCATCCCGCTATGCGCCGTAATCGATATGACTAGGCACTCGAAACAAGTCAGAATCAAGGACCACTACAGAAGCGTCCGTGGACCGAGCAAGAAGACAAAACTCACAGTCCCCCCTCTCCTTCTCGAACACTACATCCAATACCGTCTTGACTCTAGCAGCGACGTGGTCGTTGGTCTCCCTCTCGTCGGGTGTCCATAGTTCATCGTTCTCCGTCAAAGGGAATGGAGAGTGCGTGTCCAGCTTTGGAGGTAACGCAGTTATGTGGGAGAACGTAGAGAAGATAAACGTTCTTGAACGCCGGAGGTCGCAGGTGTGTACTCCGTATTGTTCTCTGCAGGCCTAGTAGAGGGTGCCCATCAGACCGGCCATGCCATCGACATAGGTGCGAGAGCTCTCACCTCTAGGACGGTCGCTTTCTGGATTCTGCCCTTCCCCTTCTGCCCGACCTCGAAATCGTCTTCACCACGATGCCCCCCAGAGAACAGACCATCAAACGTAATTTCGAACGTCCTCAGTGCCCTTGACAAGGGACTGACATACGTCGCGTCGGGGATCCTGAGTCCGCTCGCGAATTCAGTCGCGAAGGCGTTGTGTGCGGTTTGGGCTTGAGAAATGCCTAGGGGGGTCAGTTCGGCGTCGGCTAGATACGAGGTCATTTGGATATGCTCGGAGGACTATATGCGGCAGAACGTACGCCCCCATACAATCTCTCCGTCGCCGTCGAGTTTAGACCAATGCCTACGAAGATGATCAGAGAAGCATAATGCATCGTGATAGAGCGAAACATACGCGTCCCATGCAGGTGTACCGTATTTCGCCTCAGCGACGTTGTCTATCAGGAGAATATATCGTGTTAACACTACATCCGTCCGAATGTCGCTCATTCCACTCACGAAACCCTTCTCCGTGTCTTCCGAGAAAGAACAACTTGAACTCCACCTCAGAGCCGCCGTGACTCTTAGATTTGCTGTTCAGCTCAGCAATCTGGTGGAAGAGTTTAGTCCATCTGTCGGGAGATGTACTGTCGAGCAGCCCAAAGCTCGGGGGGATCTACAATTGAAAGCTGTGAGGGGAGTCGCGATCAGTTGGGTGCAGCGATGGGTACCGGATCTGAGACTGTGGCGTTCGGATTGTCGTGAATGAAGAACCCAGGGACGGCCTGTATGAATTTGTCAACGTCGCAGTCGCGCCGACGATCATACAACTCAGGATACCTCGTACGCCGTTGTCACCATTGAGCAAGAGGATCTGGCCAACGCCATTGGAAGTCAGTTCGACGTTCGGGGAGGTGGTACTCGAGCAGACCGTACCTCGCTCACTGCTTTTATGTTTAACGTGTAGGAGTCTTCGGACAAACGTGCGTATGAACCGCGCTGTACATTGATGGCGGAGGATCATATCAAAGGTTTAAATGTTCAATAGGCAGATAAATCCCACGGTAAGCAAAGTCACAAGAACGGTTAAGGTGAGTGTGTTGGCCGCCCAAACTGAGATGGAACGAAGATGCAAGCAGCAATAGAAGGATGGGCGCAGTCGTTGAAGGACTGTAGCCGACGTTTACCGACGGCTTCTATACCTGGGAGACCCGTATTAAGAGTCGGGAACAAGGTTTCCTAGCTAGCATGGCTCAAGGAGACCACTCTTGAAGTATGAAGATAAACACGATTCAGCATGCCAATTTCGCAATACCGGGATTCATGCATCTAGATCAACAAACAATAGGATGCGTAGATCATGTCGAAAGAATGCTTGAATTGGTCTACAAGTGGATGTAGGTGATGAAGGCACAAAGCCACCTCGTTTCCGGTAGGTCTAGTGTTTTGCTTCCTTCTCTGCTTCCGCAATATATTTCCTGATGCTGTCCACCCTATTAAGTCAGTACGTCGAAGATTCGTGCAGGAACAAGGGGGGTAGACGCACAATTGCTCTTCCTCGCTATTCATACGAGTTAAACGACTAGAGTTGAGCAAAGTTGTATTTCAGGGAGGCTGAACGAAACGTACCTCGAGCCAGCATTTATAGGCACGGCTTCCTTTACTGTCTCAATGATTGACTTGCCCGGGGCGGGTATAGGCTCGGCCTTCTTTCCACCAGTAAAGAGAGACGCGACGCCGATGGTGGAGAAGATGGTACCAAGCGCAAGGTACTCCGACTTGATGGCGCGGCCGAGGATGACGCTGAAAGCACGCAAGGTAGGGATATCGCGATTTTTATGCGGTTATAACCAAGCAACAATGCGAGTAGGATAGCACGAGGAGATGAGAGCAAGAGTCCAGGTCAGAAGGCGGTCAACAGCAGGATGCAGAGTGGCACTCACTAAGACATTTTGACGGGAATAGGAAAGGGCACAAGTGTTGCTGGTTGAAGTGGATGAGCTCAAGACGGAGAAGAGCGGAGGAGCGCGTTATGAGCGTGGGAAATGAGTACTGATCGTGTGAAATTTCAGGTTCACTGACAAAAAAATAATTCGATCATACATCGAACGGGAGTCGAACCCGTGCCGCTTGCTCACAGCAATGGAAGGCAAGCATGATACCGTTTCACCATCGATGTTACGTCTATTTGAATCTGCGTTTTCAGATATACCAATTCGCTCTATGGAAAGAACTTGCAAGCGTGAACTGATCGGTGGCGTCGGCCTCGTGGAGAGCTCGGGGAGGCGAGGAGCGATTGCTGCTATATGATGCAAGATGTTCCCCAAATGCTGTTGCGCAGTGCTAACTCAACAGTATCCTTTTCCCCTCTGCCCCCCTCACCCCGGCGACAATGTTCGGCTTTCTGCTGTCGTTGACCGTAGCCACGATCACTGGTCCGACTTCAGTCGTTTCCTATGATTTGGTGCGAGACTACTCGGGGCAGACCTTTTTCGACGGCTGGGATTTCTTTGGGTCTTGGGACAATTTGACCTTGGGTACGTCCCTGGTGTTCATTCTCTCGGTCCTTGAATTGACAACTGAGAATATTTGGTAGGAGACGTATGGTGGCTGAACAGGAACGACGCGTTCACGCAGGGGCTGGTATACATCAACGACGCCCAGCGCGCCGTGCTCAAAGTCGACAATGTCAGCGACGTACCTTTCAACGAGAAGCGTGCTTCTATCCGGATCACGACCCAAGAAGCTTACGGCGTCGGAAGCCTGTGGATTCTAGATGCAGTTCATTTACCATTCGGATGCTCGGTCGGTGATCTCTCGAGGCCATTGTCATCAAATTGCACGCACTGACGCAGAGCAGGTTTGGCCCGCCTTCTGGACGAAGGGGACGGGAGAGTGGCCTGACACAGGTCAATCATCATCACTTCTATGGTCCGCGCAGCCTTCACTGACGAGGATGCAGGTGAAATCGAGTGCGTGTTTCTTCCCTTGGGGATCGCGACCTTCTCTGACCTTCACATAGCATAATGGAAGGGATAAACCTGATGACCAGCAACCAAATGGCGTTGCATACACTGCCTGGCTGCACGCACACCACGCCCCCGAACCAAATGGGCATCACCCGCGAGAACGATTGCTCGGAACCCTCGGGCTGCGTGGTTGCAGAAACGTCGCCCGGTAGCCTCGGGGCACCGTTCGCTGCGGCCGGCGGGGGCGTTTGGGCCGTGCAGTTTGATGTAGCCGGAGTATTGTGAGTAGCACTCATATCGAGTATCGACTGCATCACGCTGACGCAGTTAAGGACAGCATGTGGTTTTGGAGTGTGAGTTAGATTGTTTGCCTCGTGTTGCCCCGAGACGTCAGAACCACTCACACCAATCCAGCGCGCCAATATTCCGCCTTCCGTAATTCAAGCGACGGCGACATCGCCGATGGATGTATCCCAATGGGGCCCGCCCTCCGCTAGCTATCCCTCGACGTCATGCAACATCACCCAGTTCTTCAGCGCCCAGAACATCGTCCTAGATATCACGCTGTGCGGTAGCTGGTAAGCCTTCGTGCTTCATCATCCTTCTTAGACCCCGTCCAACACGCCGTGTGATGTAGGGCAGGCCTTCCGGAGCAGTATACACCTGCATGTGGCAGTTCAGGCCCTACAGGAATATGTGTAAGAGCTCCTGTATGTCCGTGCATGCACGAGCGCTGATATACACTTAGTACAACGACAACGTCGTTGGCCCCGGTGCCCGCTTTGACGACGCATTCTTCGAAATAAACTACCTACGTGCATACACAACTGGAGGCGTCGCTCCAACGCCTAGTGCCGCCCCCACTGCCATTGGCACGGCTCTCATTGTAGATGGGGCGGCTACTATCACTGCCACTACCAATGTCCAGTTGACGCCCACCCCAGTCTCCCGTCCAAACGGTGGAGTGCCTGCAGACGATGGCGAACCCGCAGGAGAAGTCCCTAATACCTCATTAGCACAACCATTACAAATCCCAAGGATATCAGTGCTCGCATCCCTTGCGGCCCTATTGCTTATTGCACTTCCTTCAGTCACGATTGTATGATCCTCTGTATCTTTGGAGACTACGTATACATCTTGCTCCCCTTCCGACCTCCCCCTTAGACAGGTACTCTACATGATCATCGGCACTGGTTGTCTAGAGTTTCATAAGTAACTAATCGCTTGATTGTATCATTCTGACTCAGACATTGTTTTGTACCCTGCTATGTTCCAGCTAATTGCAAGCCTGCGGCATCTTCTGAGTGAACCTTCCTGCTTGCTATTTCAGACTTCTTTTTCTTAAAATCATGAAAACATCGATTGACACAAGTTAGACTAAAACCAAGCAAAGTAGTGTTTAGATATACATCAGTAAAAGGGCACAGCGGGTTCGATGACACCTAACAATATATACCAACACGTATCTGAGGGCAAGTCTAATCAGTGCTCGGCGTTCTCAGAGCGAAAGGAGGAAAAGCCAGCCAGTAAAATCAGATACCGTTGTAGAAAAAGTATACTCATCGGTGCCACGGTCATTTCGACCAATGGCAACGTCGTACAGTGTGAATATAAGAGTCATCATATACCGTAACTGGAAACGAACAAGAGGGCAAAGAATAGGGACAAACGGACTCACTCGTCTAGATGTTCACGGAAATGTGGGCCCGAGAGAGAGGGAACTAAGAGAGAAGGTAAGTACGCTGAGCATCCAATATGAGAAGGCAAGGAGGAATAATAGATAGGCTCAGATACCGTTGTAGAGGAGTATACCCATGGATATTATGGTCGTACAGTGTGAATAAAAGTGACATCGTCGCCGACCACTAGGAGAGGATTGACTCACATCAAGCAACGAGTTCGCATTTGGCCTGTGGCCTGGCACAACGAGCCCCGAACGTAGCTACCAGACACGCAACATGAATCTATGGAATGATGGATCAGTATTTGATAGGAAGTCAAAGCAAGGCAAAGGAATAAGGCATAGTTCAGATACCGTTGTAGAAAAGTATAACTCATTTGATCGTCTATGCCTCTCGAGGTCATTGACAATATCGTACAACAAAAGACTTGACATCATAAGAACGAAGCAAATAATAGTACACACCTCAAAGGCGCTATATGATTCGATGACTTGGATTTCAACGCGTTGAGGGCACGCAGCGGATATTGCGAGAACGATATGCATTGAGAACAAGGTCCATAGCGGGAAAACATCAATATCCATTATGGAATCCCTACGAAAGTCAGTATCGCCTAGGGGAAACATCAAAAAACGCGGGCGCACCTATAGTATATCCCGTACAATCCGATAAGAAGGTAGCTAACGAGTGGTTTGAGGTTTCTTGAGTTTCCGAGACTTCGAGCGACGCTTCTTCCTCCCCTTCCCTTTGTCCTTTAACTCGATGTCTTTCGATGTCGGCGTCGGCGTGGGGTAAGTACCTCGTAGCCGTATTCGACCATCTTTCAACGTTTCTGTGATGATGGGGCTCGCCGCGGGTCTAAACTTGTATTCTTTCGAATATCTGCGCCCCAAGATCAACGAGATTTCAACAAAAAGGAAGAACTGGCCTACGGACCTCTGTGCGTATACTATCTCAGGCTCCTTTTGTTGCCCGAGGCCGAACAATTTAGCAACCAGGAACCAGAACAGAAAGCCAGTAAATACGAAAAAGATGGTACGCTTCAGCGGAGAGGGAGGGGGAGAAGGCCTGCGCGACGCTTTGCGTTTCTGCTCAACAGAAACGCTTTCACTGTTTGTCACCACATTGGTATCGCCTTCTGCTAGCTTCGTATCCTGTTCGCTCTCCATAAAGCGTGGTTGGTAGTCGAGGAAAGAAAAAAATACACCAAGCTAGGCCTAAATAGGTTGATTTGGGCGCCAGTCATCCACGTGAGCTAAGATCTAGGGCGCTTATACGAATGCCTCCCTCACCTCGTCTGGTCATCCTGTATTTGCAAGTCAAGGGCTGTGCTGGGCTGAATCTTGTTATCAACCGAGTTCACGCCTTTGAACTTCGTCGCAGGCCGCAGCTGGACAGCCTTCTCGAATGTTCGCCCACTGATTTCACAAGAAAACTGACTCGTTACGTGCGTAGTAGCCTCAGCCTTTTTGTTTCCGTTCCCTTTGACAAAAAGCCTCCGCTAGGCCCTGTATATCCAGAGCCAGTTGTTGGATCCACAATCCTGATATCCTTGTTCACGGCACTCGGGCAGTGTCGCTTTGATTGTGGTGAGGGTACCGTACTTGATCTGAACTGGATTGCTTATAACGAACTACCATCTTTACCACACAACTACTTTTTCGACATGGCCCACTCTCATCTTTGCAAGCTTGCTACTGCGAATAATATCATCATGTCGCGGTTCGATCACACCAGCTACTATCAATCGAACCTTGCCGCTTCACATAACGCATATCCATCCGGTTGGCAACCACCATTCCAAGGACCTCCCCCCATCCCAGCGGGCGCGAACATCAACCCCCAGGTATGGAATACTGGACAATGGATGTTCAATCCAGCGTATCAGCATCGCCAGCCCTCTCAGATCCCAAACCAGACAGCATGGATGGCAGGTCACCAGTGGTCGGCCCACGCCGCAGCGCACGGACAGGCTGTTGCCCAAGCCCAAGCTCAAGGACAATCACACAACCCTTACAAAAAACCTATACGTCCCCCGAGTGCTGAATATCTTAGTCAGAAGTTGGTGGATAATCCATTGGGTCTATCTGACATGACACCAAGGTGCGTTTATGTATTATGCGGAAAGAGTTAGAGGCTTAATCCTCGGCGTACAGGGAAGAACTCTACGGGACTGCCACCGATGGCGCGCAGCCCCACACCCCATGGATCTGGAATCCAAGAGGCTTGGTTGAGACGAAGGAAGAGGAAGGTATCATAACTGCCGATTACAGAGATTCCAACGGGCGTCGCATCGCACAGGAGTCTCGAGGCCTTGCGCCATCCCGACAAGGTTCCATAAACGGCAGAAACGGGTCTGATACGGCACGGTCCGCGTCTCCAGCGGCAATGAGACACTCGACAGATCCGTCGGTCTCTGGTCCTACTCATCGACGGCACGAATCAGCGACTCCTGCCAGACATCAGTCTGAACCGCCCCAAATATACGCAAGTGCGAACGGTCATAGCCTCACGCCGCAGCGACGTGGGTCCTCACAAGAGCGAGCACCATCGCATGCAGACCGAATCAGGGATGAACCGCAGCGGCGGAACTCTGATGCCGGGATATCCAGCCGTAACCAGCCGCTATATCACGAAAGTTTCACGTCGCATACAGAGCTGAAGCCCACTTTCCCCTCCTCCATTGTTCGGACTCCAGGGCATTACAGTCATCCGCCATCGCGAAGCAATTCTACCCCAATCTATTCCAACAATCCGTACGCGAGTGCGACGGGGGTTGCACAAGCCGCGCAACTTGCTGCTCAAATAGAACGCATGACCCTAGGAGGCTCAGGCAGGCCAGGAGGTGCGGAATTATCGCGTCATTCGTCATTGCCTACCTCAGCGTATGGGTCTTCGACGCAAACGTCGCATCACGCATCCTCCTCCTCCTCAACATCACTCTCTGATGTCAACGCGCTCTCCGACGAGCCTACAGCTATGCTCAGCCCTCTCATGCTCGGCACCACGCCCAAGCCCAGCTCCCGCAGCCTAGGTCGCACTTCGTCCATCCCGGGCGGATCAGGTTCATCCAGTCTAAGCTCAATACCGGAAACATCTTCACCTTTGAATCCTAACATATATTCTAGTACTAGCGGGCGAAATAGTGCATCCAGCAGTACCACCCATTCTCCCATTCGACAGTCACCAAGTAGTCGTCAGTCGTCAGGGTCCAGACGTACATCGCCAGCCCCAACCCCTCCGCAGCGTTCACCAAGTGATCCTCAATTCAGCTATCAAGCATACTCTCAGCCATCCTCGAGTTACCACACTCCGTACTCGTCGACTTCTCACCGCTCACCATCTCGGCACTCATATGTCAGCCCAAGTCATTCGCAGAACACCAGCCCTGATCATCAACCCCAATCCGCACCCCAGCAGCAGCAAACCCGACCGCCCAACCCGCTGCCAGCTCCTCCGATGGAAATTCGGCCGCCACTCTCCAATCCGTCGCCACGCAAGAAGACGCCTCCAGTTGGCTATACTCGTCGTGTGCGTAAAGGCTTCTGGAACAGACGTGGGGACCATCTCACTCGAAGCGGCTGCATCGTCTACGCCCCTGCGGGCAGGACGTCTCCTGACGAATTGCGCGGCTACCCCGATCAGTACGAAGGTTACCGCGATGAGTTCGGCACCTTTGCCGACTACGATGGCAGCAGACCAGAGCTCCCCGAGTCTTTGCCTTATCATGGAAAGCCACCCTCGAGACCGTATGACTCGGTAGGTCCCCCGTTGATGTCCCACATATGATTTTATACTAATGCGATTTCTGCTAGTTTATCGAGTACGACTATCAGTATCAATAATATCCTGTGCTTAATGTTTTTGACTTGTTGTTGCAACCTTTGTTTAAATTCCGTGCCGTCTACTTGTTATTCCCCTCCGCTAGTTTTGTTGGAATGCTTAATATTTATACCCCGTTCGCTGCTGTTCCCACACATGAGATCTGCAGGTAAGCACCATCGTGCTTTTCTTATCCAGCCCCATGGTGCATCCATTACCTTGTTTGAAAACCAGGTTCCACGACGTAGAAGAATGCAAGACTGAAATCCGCCTATCATCAAGTAGCCCAGTCGTCATCTAGAATGTTGTAACATCGAAGTACTTACCAAGAAGTACTTACCAATAATTTCAATTTGAACTTGAGCTTGACTCCTCGCGTCTCCAACAATTCAAAGTAAAGGCACCGTAGTTAGCGGATACCTAGCGTTAACGTGAAAATGGGCTGAATCTGCGGATTAGTATGACCCAGAATTGCCTCGACCGGTTAGATCGCGTTCTGCTCATTCCCGACCGCTCCATCTCACAGAGTGAAAAACTACAAATACCCGCATTTCGGATCCTCACAGCTACCTAATTACCACCATGACTTCGACGAAACCTATGCGCCAGCGCGTCGAGGAGTATATCAGGGCTCTACAAGAGGAGATCGTAGGCGCTTTCGAAGCTCTCGACCCCAACGCACCCAAATTCAAGCGCGATTCATGGATCCGCGCTCAGGGGGGCTCGGGGCAGTCCTGTGTCTTCGCCGTACCCCCCTCAGTCGAAGCAGCTACTGCGAAGAATACAATTCTGGAGAAAGCAGGCGTGAATATCTCGATCGTTCACGGAATGCTCCCTCCCCCTGCGATAAAGCAGATGCGCGCGGATCATGCGAGTTTACCTCTACCAGAAGATGTGAAAGGCGCTAGCTTGCCGTTCTTCGCCGCTGGCCTCAGTCTCGTGGTCCACCCGCGCAACCCGCATGCCCCCACCGTTCATCTGAACTACCGATACTTCGAAATAACGGAGCCCACTGATGCATCGGAGACCCCCAAAGTGCTCGCTTGGTGGTTCGGCGGGGGATCCGATCTGACGCCGTCGTATCTGTACGAGGACGATGCCGTGCACTTCCACAAAACGCTGAAGGAGGCCAGTGATAAGCATGGAACGGCGCTGTTCCCCGCATTCAAGAAATGGTGCGATGAGTATTTCTACATCACGCACCGAGGGGAGACGCGTGGCGTAGGAGGTATCTTCTTCGACGATCTCAGCGAGGGACCCCATGCACGCCTCCCCTCGTCTTCCGACGGCGCCCGCCCTGCCACCGCCGACACGATCTTCGAACTCATTAAATCGCTTGGGTCCGCGTTTGTCCCGTCTTATCTCCCCATCCTCGCGCGACGACATGCAATACCGTACACCGCCGAGGAACGCAGGTGGCAGCTCCTACGAAGAGGCAGATACGTCGAGTTTAATTTGGTGTATGATCGGGGGACAAAGTTCGGGCTGATGACACCAGGGGCAAGGATTGAGAGTATATTGATGAGTCTCCCCGAAGAGGCACGATGGGAGTATATGAGCGACATGGGGGAAGCTGGCACTCGCGAAGGGGACCTAATGGAAGTCCTGAGGACGCCGAGAGACTGGATTTAAACATATCATAAAGTCTTACTACCCCATTTCAGTCCATATGACAGCTAACTGCAAAATCGCAGACATTCCCTGGAAAAAATGAGATGTTTGAAAGATGTATGAGTCAGCATACCAAAATAGTAGTTTCGTGATGGCCGCCTTGCCGCACGCAGACTTGGTTTCGCCGGGTGCCGACGCTGCAAGGTTCGATGACTGCGAGTAGACAGCCGGACATAGGGAGGTTGGCCAGATGGTGCTTATGGACGTTGGTTGTGTCGAGAACTGGGTCGCCTCAGAGGGTCCCGCACGGCTAGATCGGCCATCACAAAATTTCCGTGTTTGGTATGCCGACGACCTTTGCGGATTTCCATCCCAGTAAACCTCAAACCATGATGTTCCAGCTCTGGTACTTGCTTTGCAATGTCATAGTGTCTGCATCTGCAATTTCATGGCCTGGTCGCTCGACTCAAGGTGTTTCTGCGGTACGGCCGTCGGTCAATGACCCAGGTACGCATATACAAGGTTTTATGGACATTGTGCAGCAATGCATCACCCCCCGTGCACGTTGATCATGTCTCAAATCTAGCACTCGTGGAGTTGGGAGAAGACGAGATCTGGATTTCTGCTCAGGGTATCTCGCTACGCGCTGATATGTATCAAGACTAGCTGAAATCTCCTTCACGCAGAGATCTCGGACGGTCGCGCTGGAAAGTCGGACTGCTTTCGACGCGCCACAGGACTAATTCGCGCGTCTTGCTCACAGTTGGACATGGTAGAGGACGAACGCGTCAAAGGTCTGTCCTTTTTGACATTACGCGTCTCTCGGGTTGACTCTCGGCTAGCCGCGATAATGATGACCTTGTGCGAGTTATCGACAGCGCGGCATCATTCTCTGCCTATGGAGTGCTCTGCTTTCGCTCCCACCCAAGACTTGGGACATTTTACGGGGAAACACCGTGAGCAATCTCAAGGCAGCTGCGTGGAGTCAGTTTTTCTACCCTATGACTTCCTCGAGGGTCTAACTTTCCATATGTAAAGTGCACTTTCGCGGAGTGCGCAATCCTGGTCCAGTTACTCGGGATATCTTCGCGACGTCCGTGCGTGTTACCCTTGTGGTTCATATCATCGGAGGTTGGACTTTACACTGTCTCTAGCTCAACTCTGTTCTACATTTTCAAAATGGAACGACATCGGTGCGTATTTGCCATCGCAAGAACGGTGCCTAGCTGAATGTCGCTTTCCATGGGTAGACCTGGCCCGAGAAATATACAGAAATGCAACACTGCTGAAGATCAAGCTGATACGGTCCCTGAACACCCGCGAAGAGAAACTACAATCGTATATGCGCTTATGGGACGAGAACCTGAAGGTTATCGTTCCGGATTCATTACCGGACTTTCCGTTTATAACCTGCTTTACAAACAGGAAATGCGTAACCTTCAGGCGTACGGCGAGGATATGCTACGGAAGGTCACTGCAAACTCACACGAATCTATCGAGACTCTCAAAGGATCGTACGACGCGGTAGGTGCAATTCCGACGATTTGTTTGTGTGTACGGTCGAGGACGGGTTTCACGTTGTAGTCGTTGAGCAGTATCATGGTCACGGCGGGCGATGCACAGCAACGCATGGAAGCGGCATTCACTAATGCTATCGATAGGGTGAGTTCGTGGACCCTCGTATTTTGACTTCCACTGATCTCATCCACCGCAGTTGACACCAATCTTTGATGACATGTCGAAGAGAGTGAGTCGCCGACCATAGTTCTTGGCCCTACTGAATTCGTTGCAGCAAATCGGCTTCCTTGAACGCCTTTCCCCTTTACTCGAAGAGGCCCTTACAAATAAACTGAATGAAGTTTACGCTGTGGTGCACGCACGCCATCTACAGTTGGATTCAATTACTGTAAGTGCCATGGCGATTGCCCCCGACTAAACGACTTTCCTTTTCTTAGAACGGGACCATTCGCCGTTGGCTCGAGCTTCAAAGTAGCTTCTCGACAACGCAACAGGTAGGTTAGGACCATCCTCTTGCGTAACCATTACTTAGATCCCATCTCCCGAGACTGTTTCCCAAGCATCCCAAGCTGCCGACAGCATAATCAAGAAAATCTCAGTCTCTAGTGAACAGATGGATACGATTCGACAGCAGCAGACCCGGACCGTCCATTCAGCTGCTCTCTTGGCTGACTCCATCCAAAACCTCAGCCAAGCGGCAACCTCAAGCTTGAACATCATAAACGAAACGGCCACGCAAATCAAACTGGAACTCAATCAACCCGTCTATCATTTTTCTGGAGTTTGGTGGATGGGGAGGCGGGTCGCTGAGATGCTTTTCCGAGGTGAAGCACCTGCACCCGATCCCCCAACGCAATGCTGATCAGACGCTAGTAGATCCTAGTGCCCTTGAATGCCTCTTCGACAACCCGACGATTCGATTGGTCTACAATCTTGGCTGGTTTGTGTGCTACTTCATCAAGTCCGGCGCAATATTCGCAGCGGTCCGTTGCCTTTCATCCGTTCTTGCCTCATCTTGCTCCACTCCTCAGCTAACGCCCCCGCTTCGTTCAGAGCGTGGTGATCGCCGTTTTCTTTCGCAAAGCAAACACCAGCGAAGCTCAGTGCGTGCATACCTTTTCGTCGGTGTTTTTGTGCTCACCGTAGAGTCTACTACACTCGAGCAGGCAACAAGAGACTCGAGCCCCGCTTGCTGTGCCGACAAGGACGGACGCTTCGATTTCCCTGTTGGCTCCTAACGCACGTCGGCCCTGGTCTTCTTCGAACTTGCGTCGCTGGCCTCCTCTCCGACTCTCGCGTATTCCGGATCGACTGTGCCATTCTACATGATTCTCAGGCTACTGCTATCTTTTCTGTATTTCCTCTGCTCTTTGCCCCCCCTCGGACTCACTCCCTCGGACTCACTTCCCAAGCTGTCTTCGCTGAGGTAAACACACACCTGGCCACCCGATACCTACTGGAACCGTGTTTATTAGTTTAGTCCCAAATATCGCTTGTGGTCCTCAAGGCTGGAATATATTGTATTGCTAGTGGAATGGGGTAGATGAGACATACGCGTTCTTGGTCGTAATTCCTACTCGTCGGCGACTAGAGATGTAACCGCAGGTATCTCCTTTTCTTCTGAGGGCTCCAACCTACGATCGTCGTTGAAAGCTGAGCGCTGAGCTCTGAGGCCTGAGGTGGGAGTGGGCCCAGATGGACAGGGGGTGAGTAATTGTTATTAACTGGTGAACAAAGTGTGCCGGCGAAAAACCATAGGTAATAAGAGGTAACAGTCCCGTGGGTAGGGTAACCGCCGACAGTCACATGTTGATCACATGACAGAAGAACTCCGCAGGCGCAGCGGCACTGACTCTGAGTCCGGCGCTGCCCCGAACCCCGTTCCCAAGCCCCATCCTCTCATAAACTGCGCCGCCAGACGCACGTCGCAGTCCACGCGCATCCTTGACTCCTGTGACGATGGCAGCGCCGTCAGTCCCGAAGTCAGGTACCACTCAACCTACCACACCGAAGGACAGCCTTCAAAATGGAACGAAAGTCGTCAGAAATCACCCTCAGATTCACGCACGACGAGCCCCTCCACCAGTGAGTTGCTGCATACTGGAATTGTATCCGCTGGTTGAGGAACTTGTGCCTTGCGCATGCCCAGATAGATCCCAAACCACCCTTACGAGTTCCCAATGAATCCACGTTAACCACAATACCGCCCGTATGTTGGCCATCTAGCTTCGTGGATAGTAGTTGATGGTGTTCCTCATGTCCACAGGTGAACTTCGCCCACACGCAACCCCCTCCTATACCCGTCGTCGATCATCCGACACCAACAGCACCCCTTAGACACATAGAACCCCAAAATACAGTACGTGCTGAATTTCTAGTTCGTGTAAATCCTTCCTCGTAAAATTTACACGTCTCATCTTGTGATCATTGTCCTAGTCTATGATCCTAACTTACCTGTCAGGAAAATGAACCCACTACCCAGTCGAAGCCGCAGGTACAGGTGACCATTGGAGAAACCACTGTCAGTGATTTTATGTTTTGTTTGTCTGTCACAATGCCGACTTGTTGCTAGTACCTCGTCTCGAATCCATACGCCCGATACCAGGACATATGCCGAAAGGCCCTTCGTCAACGATGCGAATTCGGTCCCAAATGTCACCGACTCCATCTTCGCGCGGGATTATTCCCTCGAGAACACCTCGACATCATTCACAATGTATGTTTCTTGCCAAATCGGCCCTTGACTGTTCTCATCTTGGTTCATAGCATCCCGACCTGATTAAAATCACCAAGGCCGACCCACCCCCGCCCACGCCGAGTTCAACTGTGAACTCCTCCCCGCACGTTTCCAATGAACCGACGCAGCCTGTCGTGAAGCTCCCGCCGCCCCATTTACCTACAAAGCCAACACATCATCCTATTTCTACTCCCCTTCCTGTATTGCAGATGCCTGGAGCGGCCACTGTACCTGCTGTCAAGAAGGCCGCATCTACCATTGATCCGCTTCTATCATCTCAACCAACTCCTTGTCCACCCAGAGACCTTCATCCTCATCTACGGCAGGCCTCCACTACGGCGCTTCCAAGTAAAGTTCTGGCGGCCAGCGACTCTCAATCTACGAAAGTTTTGAGGGATCCCCCACAGCCTCGACGCAAAGAGTCCATACTGACTGTAGAGGCATTTTACTCGCAGATCTACGTGGACGACGATTCGGGATTTTGGGGTTGGAAACGTGACGATAGGGACGCTTGGGATGATACGGGTCAATCTTCAAGCGACGTATCCATGGTAAGTGGATGTATCTCCTGCATTCTAGCTCCTCCTGAATGTAGCTCCAGGATACTACCACCTCGGATATGAACTCGTCGAGATCGAGTTTCGAAGAGTTGCCGGAAGCGCACGAGAACTCAAAGAGTGACAGCTTGCCAAATCGGGAGCGTAGTGGTATCCCACCTTGTGCAGCGTGGCTACTTGGCCGCTGCGAATATGGGTCGTCTTGTTTATTCGCCCATACTTCGCCGCCTGGGCTGCCAGGTCGGCCTACTCCCCCTGCACCTCCCCTGCCTCCAGGACTACCATCTCGTCCCAACCCCCCGGTCGTAAAAACTTTACCGCAAGCGAAATCACCCCCTCGCTTAACCTCGATCGAGCTTACACCACGTCCCAGACTAGGCGACGAGGGTTCGAGAGATCGAGAATTGTGTAGAGACTGGGTGCGGGGACGATGCTTCCTCAGAGATCGATGCAGGTTCGCTCACATCACCCCGCCTGGTGGTGCTCTGGCCTATTCGTCTCATCATATCCGACCGGGTCAGGCCGAGAGCAGTTCATCTCGGTTATCGAGTAGCAAAACGGCTCCTCCCTCGACTGTGGCCGCGGCGGGTCCTGCATCTGTTGTTTCCAGCCATAGGTCGGCTCCCTTGTCCACCGCATCAGCTGGTAGTGGTAGCGTTACTCGCTACGCGATATCTGAAAATAAAACCGTGGCCCACACAGTGACGTCTACGTCGGCCACCAATTCGACGGTGTGGAAGGTTCGCGTCCTTGAGCATAATAGACTACAATTGGGACCCGGTTTCGTTGTCGAGAGCCTTATGACTGGATTCGAAACGCCTTTCGTGCTGTTGGAAGGCATCCCATCTAATGTCTCCACCGCTCTTTTGACCAAGACGCTGTCGGATCATGGTCGGGTTATGGACATACGCCCCGCTGGGGTACAAGGCAGAAATCACCGAGTGAAGTTCGGTTCTCCGAAGGAAGCCCAGGACGTGATCAGCGAATTAAACGGCTCAATACTTTTCGAACGTAAAATTTCCGCTCGCCTCTTTTATCTTTCCAACCGGGAGGCCATCAATGGCGTATTCACAGATACGGTTGTGTTCGTCAAGTGGGAGGTACCTGGCAAAATTGCGTATGGTGGATATGACTCGAAGATGCGCGCGACTAGAGCAATTTCCGCCGCGATAGAAGCCGGGTATCATGCCGTGCATCATGTGGGCCTACCAGCCGTGGGGCTGAACACCGTGCGCTTTTACGGGATCCCCGCTGAAGCTGAGAAGGAGTGGTTGTCCCGCTTTGGCAATCCCGACGACGTCATGTGGGAGGAAGAGAAGTACACGGACATGCAGCGCGCTCTCGCCGCTATCTATAACCGACTCACAATGGATGACGATGTGATCGAATTTGACGTCTTCCCAGGCCAGAGGGAGGGGTTCAAGAGAGGGCTTGCTTACTTCGTGTCTCCAGAGCAAGCCAAGGCTGCTTGCACACGATTGAACGGGTGGAGGCCCTCTTCAATTGGGCGGGCTAAAATCTTCGCACAGCATAGGCAAGAGGTGTCTTATAGCGTCCCATCCGTCGCTTTTTCCAAAATATCCGACGACATCTCGGCCCTCCAACAATCGATACTTTCACGAGACGATCAACGAATCAAACTTTCCATCATACACAAAGGGCCGCCTGGCCTAAGCGACTTCCCCGTCAAAGTCCGGCTATCTGGGGACGACCTCAAGGAACTGGTGCAGTACAAAACAGAATTTGAGCAGATTCTTCGGGGAGAAATCGTACGGGAGAACGGGCGACTTGTCTGGGATCGGTTCTTCAAGTCGCGTAATGGGACCGCGATGGTGAAAGACCTCGAGCATCATTATCCTGGCGTATCCGTCGAAGTTGACATTGTGCGACAAAACATCGTGCTCTACGGGTCGGCTGAAAAGCGAGCGGCTGTTCGCCAGTGTATCTTGGATCAGGTGCACACACTTGGGCGAACGAAAATCTTCCACCTTGATATTCCCTTGGACAATATGCCTAGTTTGTTCAAAAGTCCGGACATGGACAAGCTTCAGGACGAACTGGGTCGCGATAATATCTGGTTTGAGCTCAAAAATCCCAGAGTGATGATCCGGGGCGACACGAAAGCACTCGCGCTGGCGAAGGAGGCTGTCGTTCGTACGCAGGAGAGGAGGATGAAGTCGCAATCAAACCGGCCGTACGATATCGCTGCCTGTCCCGCCTGCCTGGACGCCGTGACCCTTCCGGTTACTCTCAACTGTGGGCATTCCTGGTGTAGTGAATGCCTGGCTAACTATCTCAAGGCGGCTGTTGACGGGGGGTCCTTCCCGTTAAGCTGCTTCGGAAACCAAGGGAAGTGCTCGGAGCCTATTCCATTGGGCATTGCTCGGGACTGTCTACAAACCCACGACTTCGACGCGCTCGTCCGGGCGTCTTACTTCTCGTACGTCCATTCCAGGCCGAAGGAGTTCTACTACTGTCCCACCCCCGATTGCCAAGAGGTCTATCGGACCGCCCCCAAGGGAACTGTCCTCCAGTGTCCGTCCTGCCTGCAGCGCATCTGCCCGTTCTGTCACGTCGAGTATCACGAAGGTGCACCGTGTCCCGAGCGAGACGAAGACGATAAGTTGTTAAAGCAGTGGATGAAGGATCACGACGTCAAGAACTGCCCCGGGTGCCGCGTACCAATCGAACGGGGAGAAGGGTGCAACCATATTACGTGCACGCGATGTCAGACGCACATATGCTGGGTCTGTCTTGATACATTCCCCAGAGGTGACGGGATCTACGAGCATATGCGTACGATGCACGGCGGTATCGGTTTGCGTGCTGATGGGCTCTGAATAGACTGTGTGGATGGATTATGTATGTTTTTTATATTGACCCCCGGCTATTATTGTTGTACTTGTATTACGCTGATACTATATGGTAGTATGTATTGTAGGTGCTCAACCTCCTCTCAATGCAGTAATTTATATTTCGGTTTCTTTATCATAGTTCACAGAGTCTTGTCATAGTTCACAGAGTCTTGTCTTGTATGGGTCTCCTGGAGGTCCTCGACGACGGTCACAATGATGTCAGAAGCCACGGAGGCGGCCGTCCTTACTGTGCGCGAAACGGCCAAGATCTTGACTCGGAAGCCGTCGAGCTGGCTGCTGAATTGCACGATGCTAAGAACCCTTAAGAACCCCACAAAGAATGGTGCCATGTGCAAGTGATCAGTAGTCGGTTTGAATATGATGTGTTTCAACGGTGTTTCAACAGCCACTTCCCGATGCTATCTTTCCCCGACCACGCTTCGGCCACGCTTCGCCATGCCAGGCAGGGTTCAGGGACTCTCAGGGCAATATGTTGGAAATCAAGTTACGATGACACTTGCATATGTTACTCTCTGTTACTTTCGCAGGCTCTACAGTATAACAAGTCCCTCCAATCGTTGCCAGTACAAATTAGCAGCGACGAAGTTACGAGCTCTCACACACTGTAGATGACAATGACCGGCGGGACCGGCAAAGCATATCGCTAGCAGACACTAGCTGACACTCCGGTGACCATGTACCCGACCCTCTCGGTTCTTCGTGGGGGCGCATGAATTGAAACCCATAACTGACTTGATTTTCACCCACTACTTTTCAACGAATATCTGGAACCATTGTGATACGGCGGTTCAAACGTTCAACGTTCAACGTTCAATCATCAACAAACACCATGACCATAGTTGTTCATCACCTAAACGATTCACGCTCCCAGCGCGTCCTATGGTTGCTTGTACGTGGTGGCAGTTTACCGCTGCCTCAGTTCATCCTAATAGGTTGCCACAGGAGGAATTGGGGTTGCCGTACGAAATTAAGAAATACCAGAGGACGAAGCAGAGACTAGCACCTCCCGAACTACTAGCCATCAACCCCCTCGGGAAGTCACCCGTCATCACCGATGGCGATGTCACCTTGGCGGAGAGCGGCGCCATTGTTGGTAAGTGAGATTTGCTATCATCACCAGCGCCAGTATGCTTATACAGCCTTAGAGTATCTGATAGGGCGGTATGGGAACGGTAAAGGGCAGCCTAACGAAGCCGGTAAAGTAGACAATCTTTACTGTGAGCCCGTTTCAAGGATCATTTGCGTTGAGGATTGTTAACTTGCCACTTTTGTGACAGTTACGCACTATGCGGAGGGATCCCTAATGCCTATCCTCGTACAGAGCATCATCAACAAGGCCGTCCGTAGCCAGTCCCCCTTCCTACTGCGGCCGATTGTCAACCTCATCTTCAATCAATTGGATACTATGGTGAATAGCAACATGAAGAAGCACCTCGACATGGTAAGTGATCCAATTTGCGTTAACGCCAATGTGTATCCTCACCCAATGATACTTACGGTGATTGATCACCCTCTAGATTGAGTCTCATCTCGCGAAGTCTGGCAATTTCTTTGCCGGCGATACTGAGCCCACCTCCGCTGATTATTTGATGGCCTTCCCGCTGGAAGCTCTCGCTGCCTCCGCGCCGGAGATTCTAGGGCCAAAGAGTAAGGAATACGTGCAGAGGATCCACGCAAGGTAAGCAGATCCCTCGAGCTCATAGTACCCTCTCAACAAATCGGTTCACGTTTCAAAGGCCTGCCTATGCGAAGGCGCTCGAGCGCGGGGGAGAATATGCATACGCCAAGCTCTAATATGATCGTCTTTGTATGATTGTTTTCGAGTCGTTTTCGTACTTCTTAGGCCGTTCGTAAATCTAAAGGGAAAATTGATTTCCGTGGGTCTAATAGGAAAGACTATGATACAGGTATCTCCGGCTGACACAGGGTATACAACAAAAGTGCTAAGAATGCCACGGGGATGGGTCGATGCAGTTTCGGGAGGGGATACAGATGGGCAAGGAATGCAAGTGACAAAGGAAGGCGATACAGTGCGTGGACGAGGAATTAAGAAGATGATACAGTAAAGAGTGGAAGCTAGTAATTAGGAAGCCAATCCAGCGTTTTTGCGGGATGTTGGGTATTACATCTCTCCTGGAGATGGGTTTGGGATGAGCAACCACTTAGGCAGTTCGTTTCCGAGAGCTGGAGGGTCCAACCTGGGCTTTCTGTTCCCAGTAGGAGTGACCTTCTCCCTCGAGCCAGTCCCCCGTGACGGGGTCCCGTTCGAAATCGCCATCTCTGTAGCCGTAACGCTGTTGAAGGAGCTTCAAGAGAGGCTTGCGCAAGGCAGGATCCATGCGCACGTTCTCCCCTGGGTGGTAACTCCCCACCTCATGGCGAGATAGAGACTCTTCAAACAGTGCTTCCTCGTAGGTGCATCCGCAGTTGAGGAATCCGGGAGGAGCCATGCGCGGGGGGAATGCGCGTCTCTCCCGTCGCGAGTCGTGCCAGGCACAAAGAGCGTTGCCGGCGCGATTAAGCGAACAGAACATGCGGATACGAGCCTGGGTTCGGGCTTCCCAGGATCTCTGGAAGGATACAGATGGTGCGGGGGTGGTGACGGGAGAGGGCAGGCCGTGGAGAACAGACGAGCCGGACGATCGAGGTGCATATACGAGTTGCTGGACTTGAGCCTCCAGCTCCCTGGAGCGCTGCTCAGCCTGCTGTTTGCGCATCTGCAATTCGTGCACCTTTCTGCGGAGGTTTTGGATCTCTGCCTCGGCATCATGTGGCGTGCGAATGGGGGTCCCCGATTGGTGCATTGCTGCTTGGGAGGTCATCGGAAAGGTGAGGTCGTAGTTGGTGGACGGGGGCGTGAATGGGGGCGACTGGGGCGACAGCGATTCGGGAGAATGGTTACGGTAGGGAGATGGGTAGCTAATGTATTGTGGAGAGGCTTCAGAGGGATAAGGAGGGATGTTGAGACCTGCGACACCAGGATACACATCATGATGCATGGGATCAATCTGTTGTGATTGTTGACTAGGTACCCAAGTCATGTCCGTTGGGATGGATAGGTAGTCTTGATCGCCAGACGTAGGCGAGGGCGCCGCACGGGAATGGGAAGAAATGTGGGTATCTCCCATGGCGTTGGAGAGGCTGCTGGTCGTCAATCGAGATCGGGGGCGCGCGAGCGATGGGGCTGTTGGCCAATTGTAGTCTGGTGAAGTGGCCATATGGGAAGGGTCGTCGGGGCGGCTGCAAGTGTCGCGGGGCAAAGCTGGATAGGGACGTGGTCGCTTGGGACTGAGTGAATTAGAGTGACGTCGTCGAGTAATATTAGGGATAGCTGAAGAGACAGGAAGTGAAGCCGGCCGCAAGGATAGCGCAGGAGAACAGAGCAAGGAATGTGTGGCGTCTGGCGGAAAGGCTTCCAGTTTGATGGCTATTGCTCGGTCCTCTGGAAGTGCGGTTGGACCCATGTTATAAGAGCTACACATTTCGTAGGTGATGTCGTTGGCGGTGCAGAGAGTACAATGTAAGGAGACGGAAGCAACGACCAGATTAGCGGGACTCTCAACGCTAATTGAATGCGTGCCCGATCACAGCAGTGCACCTACCTGGAGATGCAGATGGCGTCAGTTGCGAGGAGCGGTAAGATCAGTGCAACACTACACACCAGACGTTGTGAGGGTGATTCCAACGAGAAATCCCTACAACGGGCTGTACTTATTGCTGATCCCTAATGGCTCAGCCGGAGCTCGGCAGGACACTCCGTCGATCCCTAGAGAGCAAATTCCAGGTCGCTCCTACATTAACATGGTGCAATTCGAATTTCAAAAGCACGTACCCTGAAGCTCTCGGGTGGTAACCAGGCTTTGATGGAGAGTTTCCTAATATGTACACCAGATCAAAACATCACCCCGAGCGGAAACTATCTGATCACTGATACACCGTCTTCCCTGCCCCTGGCCTGCGCCCTCCACAAAATAGCCACAACGTGAAAACGAGACCAAGCCGGGCACTAAGTAAGAGACATCAAAAGGAGGCATACCTCCTGAAACAAATACCACCCTGGAGGGGCCCGCTTCCTCCCCGTCGGCTAATCTTGGTCCCAAAGCTAAAGATAATATTGCGCGACCATTGAGAGATCGATCAAGCTCAAGGCCCAAGATCCATTGAGATTCACGGATTGTTCGGCTTCGTCCACAAAACGTGAGGAACCGTCAAACTGACGTTGAGAAGCGAAAAGAACAAAGTCACCACCCACCATTGAAGCTGTCATAGGCCCATTGCGACGCGTCGAAAAATTTGCACAGAACGTAAATGTCACCGGCGCAGAGGTGAGATGCCTAGAGTACAATTGTGAGGCCATCATGATCCCACCAATAAATCAAGGATGTTAACGGATCCGCCAACTAGTGTCCATAGCGTTGAAGGGGGAGTGATAAATGGATTTCCTGATGTACGATAGCTACGCGAGAGAGACGAGAGCGACAATGGGCGCATCGAACTGAGGGACGATCCTATGCAACAAGACGCACTTGCTCCAGGGATCTTCGTTTCACCGACGGAACTTCGTCTACTGTCCTGAAAGCTGCGATATTCAGGTACTGAGCCCACCACCGTGTCCGCTATGCACTAGAGCCTTCGTATCTTCGTATCTCTCTCCAAGGGCGCGCCTCTGGAATTAACTCACTAGATTACCCGAGAACATGCATATGGTGAGAGTCTAGAGGTGGGGTAATAGAGTACAAACTAAGGAAATGACTAACCCCGGTTTGGGTGGTAATTCCACCTCACCTGTGTTTAAGTCCACTTGAACGAATTTTGTTATCTCCACCGCTGGTTTGCCCTGGCACCTACACGTTCCGGTTAGTAGCAATTTCACCTTCAGCCGGTACTGACTACTGACAGTCGAAATATCCTGGGTATCGGAAAGCAATGGACCAGAGGCTTGCCTTCGGACACAGTGTGGTCGCAAGTGTACTGCAAAAGCTCCGCTATTCGACACTTGTCCTTGGAAGACGGGTACTGCGTCGAGGGTCGTTCACCCATCTTCGTGATCCGAGAACCCGGGGTTCACGAGTTTGCTGTAGACCAGAGTCAAAAGTGAACTGGAGGCAGCACGTGCTAAGCCCTTAAAAACCAAATGGTCGAGGAGGGGCCTCCTTAACCTCCTCAACCTCCTCCCAGATATTGTTTTCTTGATCGAAAATGGTCTACAAAGTCGCTGGTGGGTGAAAATGTCTTTGATCGTGTCTATAGTCCAATCTGATCCTGAAATATTCCATAGACATCTCCTTGGCTGCCTTCGGCCGCAAAGAAATCGAGATTGCTGAGGTAGGATTCTACGCGATCTAATGGTATTCGAGCTCATCGCGTGCATTATTGTTGTTGGGATAGCATGAGATGCCGGGTCTGATGTACTTGCGCAAGAAGGTACGTGAATTCTACGCACATATTTACCCCGTTAATTAACACCACATTTAGCACGGCGCTAACAAGCCGTTGGCTGGCGCTCGCATCGCTGGATGTCTCCACATGTGAGGCCCGTTATCTGCGAATCACCGTCACCAACACTGATTGCATATTTTCAGGACCATCCAGACGGCTGTACTGATCGAAACACTCACTGCTCTCGGCGCTGAGGTTACATGGTCGTCTTGCGTGCGTGGTGATCTACTTTTGTCTATGCGGTAATCTAACATCGGTCCAACAGAACATCTTCTCTACCCAAGATCATGCCGCTGCTGCGTAAGTTTGAGTCGTCCCCCTTCATGATGGGCTAATCGTTTACCTGGCTCGTGTAGCATCGCTGCCACGGGTGTCCCCGTCTTCGCCTGGAAAGGAGAGACCGATGAGGAGTACGAGTGGTGTATTGAGCAGACCGTCGCTGGCTTCGCTGGTGGCAAGTCTCTCAACATGATCCTCGACGACGGTGGTGATCTTACCACCCTTGTCCACACGAAGTTCCCCCAATATCTCAAGGGTATGTCTTCCCCGAGTGAGCCCATTTGTCCAACCGCTCATATCCCCGTCAACATTAGATATCCGTGGCGTTTCGGAGGAGACCACCACCGGTGTCCACCATCTCTACAAGGCCTTCCGTGAGGGGAGATTGAAGGTTCCTGCTATCAACGTCAATGACTCCGTCACGAAGTCCAAATTCGACAACTACTACGGCTGCCGTGAATCGTTGGTCGATGGTATCAAGCGTGCTACCGATGTTATGCTTGCTGGAAAGGTCGCAGTCGTTGCTGGTTACGGTGATGTTGGCAAAGGCGTAAGTTGTCGGCGCCATCCTTTCCCCGTCGTTTGACTCACAGGAGCAACAGTGCGCCGAGTCACTGCGATCGTACGGTGCCCGTGTCATCGTGACAGAAATCGATCCCATCAACGCCCTCCAGGCGGCCATGGCTGGGTACGAAGTCACCACCATGGAGGACGCCGCGCCAAGTGCGAACGTCATCGTTACCACCACTGGCAATCGCGATATTATCACCGGCAAGCACTTCGAGGTATTGCCCGAGGACGCGATTGTCTGCAAGTAAGTGATGATTACGCCCTGTACACGATGCCACGCTAATATCTGCACGTATAGCATTGGTCACTTCGACGTCGAAATCGATGTTGCATGGCTCAAGGCAAACGCCAAGGAGGCCGTGAACATCAAGCCTCAAGTTGACCGATTCACCATGGCCTCTGGAAGACACATCATCCTCTTGGCTGAAGGTCGTCTCGTCAACCTAGGGTATGTGCGACGGCGGCGACGATGATCAAAGTGTACTAATAATGTTGGTAGATGTGCAACGGGCCACCCATCGTTCGTCATGTCATGTTCATTCGCCAACCAGGTGCTTGCCCAGATCGCGCTCTGGACGACACCGGAGAAGTTCCCACTCGGCGTGCACATGCTCCCGAAGGAGCTCGACGAGGAGGTCGCGCGTGCGCATCTCGCACAGCTCAACGTTAAGTTGACTACCCTCAGCCCAACACAATCAGCCTACCTCGACATCCCCGTCAATGGGCCATACAAGGCTGACCACTACCGCTACTAAGCGCTTCTCGATGGCCTCAACGCGCCTCGTGGTGGAGGATTCTCTCTTTCGGATTGCTCAACATGATATCCCATTCGCATTTGCATGAAAAGTAATGACTACACTGTACCTCTTAGCTACAAACAATCATGCCCTTCAAACTGGGCGCTTAGAACTGATCCACCTTGTTCTTAGTAAACCATCAACTCTCCCATCACCAAGCACCTGAGGACCATCTGTTGCTAGCGGTTTTAGAGCTTTTTTTTCGGTAGTCTTCTGGTATATCCGAAGCACCAGTGAACTTGCAAGCGTAGGTCAAGCGACTCGGATCTGTCTGTTCCTTTTCAGCTCATTGCTCAAGAGCCTTCGATGATGCGCATGGGTGCCTTCGAGCTTTGAGCGCGGCCAGGCAGTGAGTACAGCCACAAGGTAGCATGACGGTTAACTGAGTACTGTTTCAATGCATGATGGTTTCATCAATTTGTGACATGAGAAGCCTACGGTGAGAGTACTACGTTCTTGACCAAGCTGGCATGACGACAGTGGTAGCTCAGCCAACTTGGACAAAGACACTTGTATCCTTTTGTTAGACCAGCACCGGAATGTGTTGATTTACGATGGTCACCCTCGGGGTCTTCAAGTAATCATGGAGAACGCCGTCTCGAAATGGGCGCCAGGGCAGAAGTCTTTGTCTAGACACTCCCACCAACTCGGTGATGTTTAATCAAGAAGCAAGTTCGTGTGATGGACTTACTCGACTGTTTGGATTTTGCGTAGGCCCTACTTGGTGTTCGAAAGTTACAAGCCAACTCGTAGCCATGAGCCACTTCCCATCATCTGGTTCTGATAAAGTACGTCCGTCTTTTTTGCGAACACTGACCGACGCGTGTTGCTCTGGCACGGACTATAGAAGACCCCAAATCTGTGTTGCACTGAACTTTCAAAGCCTCCGAGGAAGCCTAAGGCGAAACATTATCGGACATCTAGTCCTCTTCTGACACCGGAGTCTGTGACGTTGCTAAAGCGGGTTTCCTGTTACGCTGATCGCGCAGAGGAAGTCTATCAATAGTACTCGTGCAGCCATCGCAGTGTCTGGAGAAAACTTCTTTGTCTCTCACACTCCATCACGATGGCATATCATGCTACCCACAGGCCCTCCCAGCTTACTATGAATCATCAAGATATTATAACTTGGCATTAGGCTTGTGCACCGCCATTCCGTCTAGCACTATGTTAGACCACGAGTCATGGAAGGGGGCGATTCTAGTCATGAACGGAATCCGGCACCGCCTTCCTTAGAGCATGAAAATGCCGCGACGAACGAACAGCAATAACAACAACACCCTTGTGTCCTTTCACATCTTGACGAAGCGAGAATCAAACTATGGTCAAGCGAAGTCCCGAAGACTATGTATTTTTCTGGACCACCAACCACGTCAAGTGCGTATATCAGTATGTAGTCGGCCCCAACTTATCTAAGATAGTCTTCTAGTGGTTGGGCATCTCAGTGGTACCCCGCCTCGTTCACTGTTGTGGTTACCATCGGCGGCTCGGCTAAAGAGGTCACCTTTCCAAGCACAGAACATTGGATGATGTTCCAAAAGGCACTTCTGTTCGACGACGAGGCGATCGCAAGAGAAGTAATGGCATCGAATGGGACGTCCAAGGCAGACATGGCCTACGTTAAATCACTGGGGAGAAAAGTGAAAAACTTCGACGACGAAACTTGGAAGCTGCATCGAGAGCGAATTGTGTTTGAGGGGAATCTCCATAAATTCAGGCAGCATGCCGAGCTGAGAAGTAAGCTACTGGCGACGGGGAAGAAGGAAATTGTAGAAGCAAGTCCGCGCGATAAGATATGGGGGATTGGCTATAGCGAACAGGCTGCAATCTTGAAGAGTGGGTGGGGCTTGAACCTGCTCGGGAAATCGTTAGTACAAGTGAGGGAGGCTTTGAAAAAAGAGGATGCGGCCGGACGGGGATGAAAGTGAATGGCGCTCTGCCACTGTCGAGGTCTTCGTATATAATAACAGGGTGGCAGCTTTAGTTAGGAAGTAGGAAGTAGGAAGATATAGATACAATTGGACATTATAGTCTTGGTAAGATAGATTTGTCGCAGTAATAATTTACTAAGAATCGTGCCACAGGCAATTCATACGGTAGAAGTCCGAATTATGAGCGTGGTTTGGACTGTAGACGTTCAATTAAAGCAGATGTAGGAAGGAAAGGTGCACCATACTAGCTTCAAGTACCGGCAAAGTACGGGGGGCATCCTGGAAGAAGCGTTAATATAGGGAATCTCGCGTACCGTGCCAGGGTAATAAATGACTGTCGACTCACTATTGCACAAGCCAGATGGCTGTAAACTTTTCGAGAAGGGGGAGAATGTTGTCGATGTAATGACAGAAACATTTCTTGCATGTCTGTTGTTGAGCAATACCGAGTCAGTAATTAAACACCATATCGCGGGATAATCAAACTAACATTTTGCAACGGTGGCCAAGTCGTTTGGGCGGGATTTGAAGCTGTTTACATGTTTGACGAATCTGATACCAGACCTCCCTTTCTCGTTGTTTCCTATTAGTTTCGATTCCAAGAGATCCATCTTATTGAGAAGCAGGACAAAGTCAACGGCTGACAGCAGCTTATTGGAACAAAGAGTCTGCCACAGAAGAAGGCTGTCCGTCTAAGTTTGATATGTTCTTTTGTTAACGGTTGCATGTGGGGGTAAGAGATGATCATTTACCAGACGGTTGACATTTACGTCCTCTGCCAATGTCTCATCAAAAGCTGAGAGCGACGCAACATAGAGTACTGCCGTAACTGTTTCAAAGGGAGTTGTCAGGTAAGGTCAAGATATCTGACAGGCTGACGGAGTCCATACCGTCTTCGAAGTATTGCGCCCATGCGGCTGGTTGCAGGCATTTAGGGTGAGGTTTCGAGGATCAACGCGACTTACATCAGTCTAAACTTGCAACTCTAAACAAGCAAACAACTCACCTCGCTGACTACGTCCCCCGCCAACATCGTAGATAATCCACTCCGAATCCGGCCGTGCTGCGAAGATATCAACAAGGAAAACATATACCGTCTGAAGAACATAATACCTTCCAATGCCAAGCGGTATTCTTCTGCCGATGGCGTGCTAACCCTGGCTCGTAGAATGTCCTCTGGAGTATATCTAATATGAGGACCGCACCATAATGGGTGAGCAAAAATTGTCACCTGCTGTAGGCCGGAAGCCAGGTGAACAAATTCGTGATATGTCGTCGAGGAAGCTAAAAACGGTCAAGTTAGATCCGGTGTAGCATGTCATAGGAAGATTTTCCGATATTTACAATCCAGATTGATATTCTGGATGAACCTCGCGGGCCTCCAGCTGCTCACGGGTCCATTCATGAGTCCATAGGGCTACCATATCTAGGGCATGCTCTTCCAGAAACTGCTTAGTACGGTCGTGGAACGCGAGAGACGGTGATGTGGCGTCAGCGTTATGATGATCTATCAATCTCTGTTTAAGGACCCCCGGACGTATTGATATGGACGAGGCTCTGCGCGAGATATCATGTCGTTTAAGAGCGCCGGGACGGTCAACGGCGACCCTAGAAGTGGAAGCAAAGGTAGGACTTGATGGGCGAGTAACAGCAGGAGACGAAAAAGCGGTAGATGGCTGGGAATGATAGATGTCCATATCTAGCTCAGTTTCTATGATGCGTAACTGTCTCAGGCGCGAAATGATCTCCTGAAGGTCGGTAGGAATGTGTGCCGACGAGGTGCTCGTAGATGTCGCGGGAGCGTCCCCGACGTAGAGGAGGGAGTCCGTACCACAATCCCAGGATTCGAGGGAATCTATGATCGAGTTCAACATACGAACGACGTTGAGATAAATGATGGGAAGCCACGAGTCGACTTGGGCTCGGAAAGTGGTCGGAGAGAAGGCCATTTGAAAGTTCTTCAGCATCGTTGACTTTCCTGACTCGGAGGGCCCTGTTCACCAGCGTCAGAATGTGGCTGGTAAAGTAGAATTTCAGGAAGAACTCACCCAATAACAAGATCTTTGTCTTCGGCTCCGCCGTCAACTTCAAGCGTTCTTCTTCGATGGCTCGATCGATGTTCTCGCTTCGCTTCCTCGCCTGCGCTTGAGCTGACTGCCGAAGTGCTCTCTCAGACGTACTCTCCCTGAGCTTCTGGAACGAAGGCCAAATGGATTTGTCCTTTCTGTGCTTCGACATGGTGGGGCGTATGACTTGGTGTCAAGAATTAGGTCGTAGTAAATGTAAAGAGAGGACTGTAACTTTTTGAGGGTTGGGAAAACTGCGTGCTGGTGCCAGTGCGCTTGCATCGAGTTACGTCGGCTATATGAAATTGCATCAGCCTTCACGGTCCAGGGCCGATTATATACGTGACCGAGTTAGAGGGGCAACTCTATCGGAGGCCGGCTCAGAGGGTCAAAACATGCAAATAACGGTACGCACGGAGTAGCAGAACACGCGGCAGGACTTCAACCGTTTCATGTTATTTCCATCGGTCGTACCCTAGTGTCAAATCCAGATCTTCAGACTGTTGTCAAGGCCGCACGTGCTGCCATTCATTGAGTTTGTGGTATTCATACGTATTGATTCCGCTGTTGCTTTTTAGTAGGACAGGTAATGTAAAAAAGGTCAAATTTTGCTATATGCGGAGCTACAAATGAAGATTCAATAATGTTCAACCAACACCGGGCCAACACCCAACACCGGGCAGCGGATGAAGCCACCAAAAATTATTACCCACCTCATGAGTTGCGGGTTTTCGAGAACCAGAGAACGATTGATTTTATACTTGGAAGTATGTGTCAAAGCTCCAGAATCACTGCCACTGGGGTGGTCCTGATCAGGTAACGTTCCATTTGGAAGAGTTGATGACTCGAAGAACTTCTGAGGATCTGAGAAGGAACAGGCACGAAAGCGCCAAATAAGGCGTCAATAACTCCTAGAGGCTAGCTGCGTATACGTATTACTGTACGAAATAGCAACATTGACTGATACCAAAATGATTACCTAGAATAAAAACGACGATAATGCAACGCCACTTTAAGACAGTGTTTATGAATAAGGCGTAGGGAGGAGAGGGTCGTACATAAGCTGTTCCATAGGCGAAACACGGTGTAGATGATTGATGGGACATGAAAGTATGGCGCTGGTGATGCAAGATGCGTAAGGAGACAATAGTGGTGTATGTACAAAGACAGAATGATAGCATGAACGTAAACACAGATAGACAACCTAGGTAATGTGAAGAATGAATATGAAATGTACACGACCATGAGTGGTAAGCAGACGAGATGGAATAAGGTGTAGATGCGGAGCGTGCGTATTGTATAATCGGGAAAAAGGAAAGGGTGCGCTTCGGAAAGTAGTAGCATGGATGCGAAATATGAATGCTATGGCATTAGGCTCGCTTACGGTCCGGCGACCATCGTTGGGTTTCATCATCCAGAACAAAAACAACGTCTTCTTCGTCCTCGTCCTCGTCATCTTCCTGGTGGTCAAGCTCGTTGGGTTGTAAGGATGGTAATTCCGCAGTCTCAGCCTCTACAACGCTCGGCTTCGCATCAGGCAAGACAAACCGTTCCCAACCGTCCATTCGAACCCAGTCGTTATTCACTTGAACCACGGAAGATAGAGAGAGTACCTCCTTCACGAGTTGGAATTCGTGAGTTAATGCCGTAACTCGTTTGAAGGACGCAATCAGGTGGATGGATATCCAGCCTTTGGAATCCATCTAAGAAAAAGGATTGGCATTTAGCACACTTGCGTTTAATTTCGGAGGAAATTGCAGTACGACGTACGTTTTGCCGCAAATAGAGATCTTGTGCCATATTTTGCGGGCTCAAGTAATACTCCAGTTGACTCAAGAGGAGATATCGTGTTGAATCCAAGTGATAGTTCACATACAACGGTACAGGAACGGGGGGGCCGGTTATTTGACCGCTTGCCGCCGGAAGGTGCTGAGGGATAGGTGCATAGGCCTCGTAGCCAACCTGGGCGTGGGTATGTATGGGCAAATACGTCGCCATGCCTTGATGGTGCGAAGTGGGACTTTGCGCGGGGAGGTAGTATCCATTTGTTATATTAGGATCGTTGTACTGCATTAGCGGCCGAAATTGTTGTTGTGGAGGAGTCACAGTAAACGGTGGCTGCCGCGGTTGTGGAGGAGCATGGAATGAAGCACGAGGTCGATGCATGGACCTGCCGTATCCGCCAGGTCCCCCAGCTCTGCCTCTCCGCCCGCCATACCCGCCACGTTCATATCCATAACCACCATAAGAACCCCTCCGAGGTCGCCCCATCATCCCACCGGCATCCCCATCTCTATCTCTATCTCTCCCTGGGCCACCTCTTCCACCCCTATCGTAGTCGAATTCATCCCTCCATCTCCGCCCATCCTCGCGAATCTCTTGATCCCTCATCATGTCTGGTTCGCGACGTCCATCCTGGGGTAGTTGCTCCCCTTGAAGGACTCCCATCCCATACCCAGGGCCGCTTTCCAGACCGGAACCATACCTGAAGTCTCTAATGGCAAACTCGTCGCCCAATGATTGAGGAGCAAGTGCCTGAACAGGTCGCTCATTTCCGACCATATGTGGTGTAGGTTGCAGGTCCAGAGGAAGGGGCGGCAGTTGCTCGGAATCGCTGATGTCCATTACGCCCAAAGGCTCACCTACTTCCGCAGTGGCAGAACTTGGGTGGACGAAGTGTGTACCGTCCAAATTTGAAGTGATGATTTCTGGTCGTTCTAAGGTGGCATTCACATCGGTGCTACCGAACTGCCATTTCTTCTCTGCACCACTCAAATCCACGGGGCGGCTTCGATTTTGACCGTCGTTGACCTCTTGATTCCCTGCACGATTTGGCGATGCCGAGTCCGCCACGACGGTCGGGATATCCTTGAGATCCCCATTGGTTGAGTCCGTTTTAGCTAAGGGCTTCGCCGAACTCGTTCGTGAGCGTATCCGCGGAGGTTTTGGCTCATCGGGTGTAAGTCCAATAGAGAACGCAGTAAACGCTTTGGGCAAGGATTCGATATCAGCTTGCTGGCCGGCTATTTCTCGGTTGATCAACCCATCGAGATCGGGAGGGCTGCTAGTGACCTCCACCCCTATACTACCAAACACGACGGAGCCTGGTTTTATGGATGAGCCGTTACCATTGGCAGTACCATTCAGGTGGGGACTACTATTGAACGAGCCAATTTCCCTGTATCCAGCAACGGGTTTTGACTCTTCAGGCGGTGGGGGATGATCGATCATTGTGGGCGGGGGTAGTTGTAATTGTTGCTGTTGTTCCTCTGAAGGGCTTACTGACTTTCGTTGGTGAGAGGGAGCTCCAATGGAGGGCTGATGGGAAAGAGGTTGAGGATACGCAAGCAGATGTGCATTTGGAGGATAAGGACTCTGGGCTGCAGAGGGATGTGAGGGGAATCCGTGACTATTTCCGTTCCAATGGGAATAACTAGCGGCCTGCCCATGGGCATATTCTGGCATTCCGCCGTACATATGAGGGGGATACACGTGTAGGTATCCCGTCGGGCCAGGAGGGTAAGCAGAAAGTGGTTGTGATGGGGGGATAGAAATGGGACTATGTCCGTGAGTCGAAACAACGTTTGATGGTGGATATCCATTAGGTCCACCAGGAGGCAAAACATATGGAGCGGATAAAGGAGAAGCGCTGTAAGATCCCTGTGTGGAGCCTTGCTGGCTAGATGTTTGCTGGATAGGAAGGGGTGGTATAGAACCATGGTCGTGAGACTGTTGAGGAAGAGCGTAGTAAGGGGAACCAGAAATGGGGACAGGGCCATACAGGGGGACAGAATAGGACACTGGGGGGTCACTAGACGTCGTATCGACATATGTTACAGGCTGAGTGGGAAGTTGGGTAGGAGGGTTGATATTGCGGGGAGGAGCATACGGCGAACCATTGAGATTGCTGACGTTGATATCAACATTGTTGGTTATCAAACTAAATGAATCGTCCTCCAGTTTTCTACCGCCTCTCGATAGTCTAGGACTCGATTGCGCGCTGGTAGAACGACTTGCGATCCGAGAATGTGTCGTAGACTGAATTCGACTATGGGCTTGAGATGCAGCCCGCGACGCGTTCTGTGATCCAGGCTGGGCGGTGGAAGTGTTAGGATTATTGCTCCGCGTAGGGTTGGTACCTTTCTGGGATTGCGCTCGAGAATGCGCCCGCGAATGTTGTTTTGATGAAGAAGACTTGTGGTTTTGATTCTGTGCGTCGGCAGCTGCTTGAAGTTCTGCGGCAGGTATGGGCACCCACTTCTGCTTCTCACCTGATGGTCATTTCGCGAATACACGTAACAAGGGGAATATGCACCCAAGTCAACAAGAGTTAAATCAGATCAACGGAGTGAACGCACCCTTTCTCAGTGTAGGCTCCTGTTCTTTCCAGATAGTCGAACCCTCCTTAGAGTCGGCCGGAAACGTAGACTTTCCAACCTCGGGCCAGCTCTCAGAGTCATGAACTAAGGGCGGGCCAGGTCGAGGGGGTATTTGTACAACAAATGGGTCTTCAACAACGACCTCTGAAGATGAAGGCATCGCAGCTACCTGCTGAGTTGACGATGATGATGTAGATGTGGCAGTTGTTCTTGATACCATTTGTTCCTTACGACGATTCCACACGTTGTCTACAGGAACTTTAGTTGTCGCTGGCGTTGTTGAAGCTAGATCATTGAGCGGTGTCTGGGCGCCCATATTCGGTGACGATGCGCTCGTACTGCTGGCGGTGGTGGAAACATGGCCATTGACGGTATTCGCGTTGGCGACACCGGTGTCCTGGGAAGTTAAGCTTGAACTTGGTCCTGCAGCTACAGGTACATCGACACCTGATGATTTTGAGTGTGATTTGGGCGTAGTAGATACTTGTGGCGTAGTTGGTTGTATAGGCGACGAAACGGACGTGGAGGGGCGAATGGAGGTTGGGGCTTTGATGCTTTGCGCTTTCTTTGCACGCTCCGCGTAGGTTGGCGTTTTCGCCACAGATGCTACCATCGATCGACGTAGAATTAATGATTTTGCGTAGTCGTGCGTTCCAGGTGATATGGACACAGAATGCCAATGGGGATCGAATTTAGAGGGTACGACGAGGAGAGGATGACGATAACTATTCAATTAACTGCTGAGGTAAATCTTTCCACGGTCATCAGCAGGGAAAAGGGGTGACTCCTATGCTAATTCCTGTGATAGCAAAGGAGTGCTGAAGAACCCTTGCTGTGCATCGGTATAGTAGAATGTGCATTGGTAGGGTATGGGTAAATATGCCAAAGAAGAACCATTATTAGAAACCGCAAAGCAAAATAGGGAACAACCGAAGACCGTCGTAAAACAAACTAGTCAGATAACAAGAGAAAAAGGTCACTTTTCAGGCCTGCGGAGACTTGGGTGATTTCGGACTCGTAGGCATCCTCGCTCCCATCGTACTAATCCTTTTGCTAATGCTCCTCCCGAGTCCCCCTAACCCCTCTCCCCTCTCCATTTCCTCGCCATTGTCCTTCAACCACAACCCTTGTTGGAATCCATAGAACACCGAGCGCCGCCTCAGCCCTGGACTTGAAGCGTCCTCGTATCCGTCCTCGCCCTCCATAATGATCTTCATCGTCAGCGGTTCGATACGGAACTTCTTCCCGCGAAGGACATTGCTGAGGTCTTTCTCACTGCGCTGGCCGGAAAGAAGCTCTCCCGCGGATGTTTGGCCACCAATGGCGACGGCAGAGGCAATGGTCCCTGGTTCGTGGCGAAGACGCAAGTTGCGACGCGAAAAGCGATGCCAAATCTGGATGAATGTACTCAAGAACGCGAGGAGAAGCATGAAAGGAGCCAGGACGTGCACAGAGACGTCACTGGGGGCTGGAGGTAAGCACGAAGCTCACATGGATGCAAATAAAGAAGGTAGGCATACCTGAGGAATAAGCGTTTAACCCATTGCTTAACCTGAACATTGATGGGGCGCCGGTCATTGGGATAACCCAAGAAGTACACTTCCTTCGCAATAAGCGTGAGGTATGTCGTCTATCACAATGATAGACAATCAGTAGCTGTTTGTCTAGACAAGTCAAGAAGTTGGTGCTCACATAGACTCGAGTGGACAATTGAACAAAACGGTCTGCCTGGAAGGAGCTCTCGAGCCCTTCAGCACTCTGACTCGCTGCTTGGAGAACCGCCGCGGGCATTTGTAGGCGAACGGAGTCTCGTCTCTGTCTTATGAACCTTGGGACACGAACACGTTAACGATGGAGCTGAAAGCAACAAGTTGGGTTGTTTGCTTACCTGTCTGGGTTGTCCAATGCAAATGCAAAGTCAATGCCATTGTACGCCCTCCCATTCAACGGAGGTCCTGTGACGTTCCCAGCGAAGTCAGAGAAGTTCGAGCTCGCGGCATTGAACGGCCGGAGTTCAGTAACTTGGGTTAGATTTTGCGACGCAATATCGACATTAACGTTGACATCGAAGAGGGAGAAGGAAGGGGAGCATATTGTCCCTGAAGCCATCGCGGTTGGCTGGTACCTGTAACCCAAAGCAATGATGAACGAGCGCACAACTGAAAATATGCAATGACATACGTGAAGAACCAGAATATGACAGGCGCAAATTGGGGCTCTGTCTGTCCTTCACAATTTGGGTTGTCCACACCAAAGAGTGTCGTCGCATTTCTATCCACAGACCAAGTGAAAGTGCACCCGTTACTGTTGACGGAGTTGTTCCATCCACTGCCATCAGCAAGTTGCAGCATTTGAATCTATGCTCAGAAAGGTCACACCATCAGCACGGAGATTCGAGTATGGTCATTCGACTGACCTGAATGGGCCGACAACCGGATTCACTCTTGACGGCTGTTGTATTGGTGACGACGGTTCCATTGCCAATGCTGTTTCTAGGAATCTCGAAAGGCGCGATAGTGTAAGCACCGTGAACAAAGGGTGGTTCAGGGAGGTTGTACAAGATGGAGGCGGCGGCAAACCCGGCGGCAGTTACAAATGCTATGAATAGCAGAATATGTTTAACATTCGTAGGCATGGCAATGAAGGGCGAGATTCGGGAGGCAATGTCACTCACTAGTAAGATTTCCGAACTCGTCGTTCTGATTGAGACCAAGCAAAGCTAAGTTGTTTACAGTAGAGTCGGGCTCTGTCATCCATGTATCTTTGACGACTAACAAAGCGGCTGCTAGGGGCTGGAAGGAAAGCGATAGAAGGACCATGAAGGAGGTGATCATGACGAGGTAGTGCTTGTTTGACACAGCATGGGCCCATACGATGAAATTACTACGGAGAAAAGGGGTTAGGTCGTAAGTGAGGGAGGAGGAATGGAACACTCACTTGTGCCGTGTGTAATCAAGCAACAGACTCCTTTGCGGCGGCGAGTCCCCATGTACAAGGTCGACGTAGGGTTGCATCTTCTTGATTTCGATATCCGTCCAAGTCCACATAGCGACTAACTACGAGGTATGTTCATAAACGGGGAGAACGCCGCGCAATTATCAATACTTACGAAGGCAGCGACAGCAACAGGTGGTAGGGTCTATAGCCATTCATCAGCAAGTCATAAACTCGAGGGCTGTGAGCACTCACATAAACATAGTGCATAACATCTTGCGAGTCAGTAATATCCCCTTTGGTGGCCCACCCTGAGCAACGTTAATTACCTACCTCCGAATGAATCACAAAGAATCGCACCTTGGTTCTTATTGCTAAAGTGTAGCGCAACCTCCAGAGCAATTGCCCCACCCGCCAAGAATACAACCAGCGATAACCAAAACCACGTCCTCAATGGTAGCGGGACCCAAGTATCCGAACGATCACTCTTCATATCGACGTCATCAGAATCTTGAGCGACAAAGTTTTCGGGGTTGGGATGTCTAGGACGAGGTTCCGGTTTCTCCGCATCGGTGAATTGCACATTACCGCCGGGCGCGCCCCCACTGCTAAGCGGAACATTGGAGCTACGTCTGGAGGGTGGGTTGGAGGTGTCAAGGAGTCTCTGGGATGGAGTCGAAGGTGGAGAGTCCTGAGAACAACACTAAGGAGGAGCAAGAAGGCTGTTGGCCGAAGTGAAACCTACCGAACCGCCATATACACCCGGCAACACTGCAGGCATAGCTGCTCCCTTTGGTAATGCAGGTAAAGAACTCCTCGTACCGGACTCATCTACGACCGTAGAATCAGAGACGGCAGAGTGATACGATGTTATTGGGGGTTTCGAAGGCGTCGTAGATGAAGACATGGCGATACTTTTGTGTCGAGAGTCGTGCAGGGGAAGTCGCCTGGCGTGCCAATATATACTCTGTGCTAGGTCCTTTTACCCTGCGAGTAGGGTTGCTTTCAGGATACCCGCAGAAATAAGGATAAAGGATGTCGAGCAGTTATCGAGCACTAGCGTGGCTGGGCGGTGGGGATGACGCCTCGTTTAGCGAATGGAACAAAGCAAGGAGGCTCGTGTCAAACCTGCGCAACAATGGAAGAACGTCAGACACAAATCTAGCCTCACTTTTCGGCAGCGAGAAAAGGGAAAGCCTGTGGAGCTGCTTCTTCGAATTCAGAACTTCAAAGCAAGTCTGCTGATGGCCGTGACCTCGAGGCTGAGAGAAGAATGAATATATGTCTCAGACAGACAGGCCAGTCGAGAGAAGGAGAAAGGGGTTGCCCCAAGGTTGGTGGGAAGAGGGAGTAAGCAAGATGTGGGCTTCTGTGGGCACGTACCTCAATGTCAACTGTGAGACAGAAACGTGAATTCGTCCGTGAAATCTGATGCTGATATGATTGGATCAGTAAGAAGAATTGAAGCGCCTGCGGACAATAGATGGCCTGGATTTCTCGCTATTTGGAGGTGGTAGATCGAAGGCAATGAGCTGAGGTGCAGTGCAGCGGGAGCATAGCTGGGCGCATGGCGCGGCGGCTTCGGGAGTTTCAAAGAATGTAGCGTGACGTGACTGGAGACAGCGCGATTTGCCAAATTTGTAGCGACGCATCGTGATGTGACGAGCCACGCGACCAATGTCAACTGACTACATTGTACAAGTCTTAGACTGCGAGGCTCGAGCTAGATCTTCCTATTCTTTACAGGCTCACAGGTCAAAATTTCAGCATCCCATAGAGATGGATTCAGTGCGTACATGATTCCTTCAGTCAAATTTCTAACTACGAAGGGCTCCGCCAACGCAACGAACGAGGTAGTAGAACGGCGCGGCGAGACCCATTCACATCAATCGCTTGTGAATTTTTTGCAAGAACGTCACAAAAACCTCCCGCTTTAATTCTCCTACCTTTGTTGCCTCAGGTATTATTTCGATTAACCCAGTGATTCAGCAAACGCATCGTCCTCGTACTTCGCATATTCCTCCGCAATGCCGACCTCCTCAAACACCTTCTTGACCTTACACTCTTGGCCCCTCCCTTTCCCCCCGTAGTTCGCATCTAGGATAGCACGTTGTTCTGGGTTGGCTAGAGCAAGAGCCGTGTTGATGCACCAGGAGCACTTGTTGTCGATGATGTCTGTGCCGACTTTGCCAATTTGTTCGACTGTTCCAGCGTAGTCAAGCCAGTCGTCCTGCACCTGGAAGTATTCTCCGAGCGGGATGAGAATCGATAAGGCAATTTGATAAGGCCGGATGGCGGTGGCGGGATCAGAGTCTAGGATGCCAGTAAGACGCATCGCGAGTGCGACAGGCAGATAGAAAGAGTAGTAGGCCGTCCTGTAAACCACGATTTTGCGATGCCTGAGGACAACACCTAAGCTACCTCAAGAGAGAACTTGCTGAGATCGACGGTATCCTCAGATGCCGTAATGAGATCCACGAGCTGACCAGTGTCTGTGTTGAATGATACCTGACATAAGGGGCATATTTGCATTAGGGACCATCTGGGGAGGGGAAGGCATACGTCGTGAAAGAGTTCAAGCACATCGACATAGTAAGTCTCTTGTCTGAAGTGTTTCTTGAGGAGGTGGAATATGGCGCTGCGAAGCATGCAAGCGTCGTTTATTGCAATCAAGCGTACGTGAGGTAGACGATACCAGCATGGCTGTGTTCGCCGGACCAGACATTTGTCCATAACATCGTCGGATACGAGGCAGAACGCCTGGAACTGACGGCAGAATGATGATTCAGTACTTGCGTATCAAGAACAGCAACTGATTTACGCACTAGTTCGATGCACCATCCGAGTACGGCTGCTTTGCCATACTCTGCATCTGTGAGGGATCGACCAAGCAGGATCTCGGCGGAGTCTATGACAGACATGCCTCGATTGAGTTTCCCTCCGAGCACATTGTAATCGAGATTCTAAAGGATCAACACGTCAATTCGAGTTGTCTCAGCAACGAGCGAGAGTTTTGAAAAGGAAGAGCTTGAACAATGCAGCCTGACATTTCTATACCAATTACAAGCGTCTTTGGGGAGCTGTTGCTGCTCCATATGCTGGACTAGTTCATCTCGAATGGGTTCCCACACGGAGAAAACCGGTCTCGTCGTGATGCTTGATCGTCGTTTTGCGTAGGTGTGGATAGGGCGCTGTTCGCCATGCGAGCAATGCAAATCAGGAAGAGAGCTCCGTTCTTCGCAATGATATGCGTTGAAGCGCTGACAATGTCGAGAAATAAGAGAAGCCTACGATTATATACATGTTTTTGTCAGGTAGAGCGCTTCAATGACAAGTATCATGCACCATTGACTCATCTCTTCCTCCGATGTTCGCATTCCGTATCTGGCGGAATGACTACTGGCTGATGACTCCAAAGGTGCGATCAGTATGCTCCCAGGTTGGTTCGGGGAACAGTAAGTGGGCCTTGGGTATTGCGCATAAGAGTTGGGATGGGGGTAAACGCTACTAGACTTCTCGCCGCAAGTAGCATTTGTATACCATCTTTACGGCCGCGCTGAACCTCTTTCGTTACCTAAGATACTGGGTGAGTGGATTGTGATTCGTCACTGCGGAAACGCATGGCCCAGGTTCTACATGGACAGGCGGTTAGCAATGAGTGCAAGTGAACCCTGCTAGTTATTTCCGTTCGAGAGGATTAACACATTATACCCCACACTTTCCCCGACGTCGAATACATGACATGCGATATCTAACCAGTGCGTTTCGGGATCACGTACGTTACGTTCCCGTCATCGAACCGCTAAGGTGGATCAGAGCATGAGTCACGCAACGAGAGTAGGGAACGTACCTTAAGCCTGAACATACACATCATGTAGCCCGCCTTTCCCTTTGCTTCCCACCACTATCAGCATAGTTAACGTGGGGGTTAAACAGCAAACGACAGGCATTCTTACTTCATCGACAACATATAAACCGTCGTAGCGGTATCTTCGCTCTAATCAACCCACGGATGTCCAAATAAATACCGAGACGTACCTGTATTTGCCTCCCGGGTTTGGGGCATATATTGAGTTCAACTTGTCCCCTCTGATAACCCTGATAGGAAGGCGAGTGGTGTAGGCGTGCTAGAAGAGACCGTGAAAAAGAGACACAACAAGGGGCAATCAGCTAACCCTCAGAGCTGCATTCGCTCCCTTCCACTCTTGGTCTCCTGCTTGAGGTCGCCCACGTGCCTATTTATTGTGAGCTACGGGGAAAGTCCTGCTATCTAGTAGGTAACAGCGATAAACCCACTGATTCCCCTGTCTTCGCTCCTTTGCCTGATGTACAACCGAGAATAAATGGCTAGACATCACGACAAACCACGGAGGCTCACCTTGTCCCACATATATACTTACCGAAAGTACGCGTCAGTCAATACCACGCCCGTATACCAGGACACTTACATCTCCTCCCCGTTATCAACATCGTCTTCATATCCACCGCACAGAACGACTGAGAAGACCTCATCGCCTACGCTGTGGATGCCTTGTACAAGTGGCAAGTGCACTCCAGTCCCGCTCAGGTGTCTCCGATCACGGAACCTCGCTCCAGGTTTGATATTGCCAACGTCGCCATTGAATTCCGCACTGCATGGAGTTAGTCAAGCCACGGAGAGAAAATGTTAGTAGCACCCACAGTTCCTTTGCTGTTTTCTCCGCTGCTGGCATTAGGTTTGGTAGTGGTTGACACAATGAAAGCTAGGAGAAGATCAGAACATGAATGAATGCGGCTTGGCCTGTTGATAAGCTCTTCCCATGCAGTGCCCCAGACATGTGCTCAACCTGACGAGTATAGTAACTGCACGCAGCCGGCGGTATTAGCCACAGGAAGGTGGTGATGTGCGGGGTCCAGCCCACATCTCTGACTATACGAGCGCCATTCAGTGGATTACTGTAGTGTGAGCGACATAATTTCTTCGTAAACTTGGGAGGAAATGCCTGATTTCACAAGTGGATAATGCAAGCAGTGAGGGTGTCGGTAAACCTGCGACCTGGAATGCAGAATCAATTGTTCGTGTTGTGCAAGGTAGAGTCATGGAATGAAGAGTTCGTTCAGACTCCGCAACCCATCATTCCCAAAACCGCCACTGGGCACCCAAATAAGGTTACCTCCTCCGAAGTTCGTGCGTAGGTTAGGAATTGCGGTTCTCCGTTGTCTCGGACTACGTGGTATGATCTCAACTGCTATGGTGCTATTGTAATTCCCAAGGCTTATAGGTGTTGCTACCAGTTATTATGAGCGATTTACTGCTTTTTTTTGGATGGGCGAATACATTGGCAAGAGTCTTCATCTTCATCTTCATCTTCATCTTCATCTTCATCTTCGGCATCGGTAGGTGCAATGCAGGCTAAGCACGTCCATCAATGATGCGGGTGAGTGGCCAAAGAATTGACGGCCTGTTGGTACTAGGTACTAGACAGAACAGGGATAGATTGTCCCACCGGGGTGCAGTAAGCTGACGCGTACGGATGTCCACATCCCAACATTCGTCGCGCTAAACCATCCGGTCCAGAAATACTATCAACGATTCTCTTTGAATAGGAGTATGCTGATTGTTCTAGGTGACTCTATCGTAAGACAATTCTTTGCATTTGAAGCGAGCTCCCCTATATATTATATATTCGTCTCGGTAATCATGGCCCCTTCGTCTAGGTGCTCGCCCGCACTTCCGACGTCACTTACCCCTCGTCTCACATTTTCGGTCCTCTCTCGACTCGCCTCCGGCCGCTCAGGCTTAGAAAGAGATTTCTCCCCAGTCCTGCGTGCTCTCGTGGGGAGCATTTGAGGTGATGCGTTCTGTGAGTGAATCAACAAAGGTGGTAGCATTGGTTTTGGAATGAGTTCGGGACAGTGGTTTTTAATGATACGAGTAAGCTAGGCGTAGTGATTATCGTGACCAAGTATCTAAGCCCCTAATCTACGCCCCCTAGCGTCGTACTTAGGCTGTCAACGTACAAGTGCTATTCACCCTGGAGCACCCAGTCGGGCAAGTGGCATTGACATCGTACTGCCAGAAGAATAGGGGATTCGTCTCGTTCGTCAAGATGCCGGGGATGAATGAAGTGTTGGAGGAGAGGGCGGACGACTGTCGAAAGATCTCCTTTGAGCTAATGCTGATTTGTCCCCAACCGTTGTCTATCAATGCCTTGATGCTCGTGCCGTAGATATATTCCCGGAAGCCTGCCCAACGGACGGCGGATGCACACTAGAAGGAGGGAAGTACGTCAGCAGGGGGACGGATAGCAGATCACTGGTGGATGGCATTACCATTGGGCAGGACTCTGCGTTCGTGTAAAGGCTCAGCTGCTTGAAGGCTGAAATCGCGTCTCTGGGGCTGAGTTTATACGGCCCAGCAGGGTCGGTCAGGACCTTTGAGCAATTTTGAATTGCCGCGATTTCTCCTATAGTCGTCGGAGTGAGTAAACCTCGACTTAGTATACGGTGGGAATTTGCCACCATGGAGCGTTGGGTCTCCGTGAAGACTGTTGGAATTGATTCCGATGCAGACGAGCTCGCCTAGACCTCCGGCAGTATGATTCACGATGGCTGTCCCGAAGGCGGCAAATGGACACGGAGACGAGAGCTCTGCTAGCGCTGCATTCGCCCTACGCATCCAGTGGATTCGAGTGCTGAGAGGAATGCTCGAATTTTTAGCGTGGTCATCGCAACCCAAGACTGAGATGACCAGCGACGATAAGAGAAGCGTGAGGATGAACATATGGGGCAAGATCGCTGAGGAACTGAAGTACTGCTGAAGCCTGTCGAACTTTATAGGACGTAGAGTATCTATAGATTGGTTATTCACATAGCGCCCAGACTCTTTCAAGCCTCCTTAATTACAATATATTCCGCCTTTAATCGTTTACCAGTCGGCTGTGCTCGGGAATTTCTCGGATGCCGACTCTCCTTTGACAAATCAACACCAGTAGCTTGTGGTGACATTGGTAAGAGGATAAGAAGATAAGAAGTCCCTCTGAAATAGCGGGGGTGGTCGGCCGTATGAAAGTTGGCCAAGGACGAACAGGCATAGGATTAATTCTAAATTGTACGTAGTACTCACAGCGTATGTAGAAACGAAATCACAACTCCATCTTATCCTCCTTCTCCCATCCAGGATTTTTCTGCAGTATGACAAATCCTTCCAGGACGTGAGCAAACGGTATATACTCTTCCGTAGCTAGTTCTGCTCGTTCCGTTGTTCCTAGTCGTACAGGGGTCTGATGGGTCTGGAAGCCCGATATCGTACGTGGTTTGCCGGCTTGGCCAACGACGTCGAGTGCCTGACCCACACGGACAGTCACAGGGAGATTGTTCAATTCCTCGTCCAGTGTGATCAGGAACCGTGGATACATAGCCGTGGAAATGAAATAGAGCATCCAATGATACTTGTCGAGGACGACTATGTGACGTGTTAGATAAGGTAGACATTGGTCAGATTGTCATTACGACTTACAGGCTTTTGAGTCGGTAAATGCGGTTAATGTTGCCAATAATCCGGCGACAGCAGAGGGGCTCATGATATTGCGGTCGCAGAAGAATGGATTGACGCCGATAGTACCTTTGCCCATGTGTATCAGGCCTTGAGCAATCCGCACCATGAATAGGCAATCGGGTTCCTTGTAGTAATACCCAGCTAACTGCCGAAGCATTTGTGCGAGCCGGGCGTTGTTGGTGCCGGCACCGACCAAACCCATAGCAAATACAGCATTGATGGCGACTTGCAAATCGCTGTCGTGCGAGTATTTCGACAAAGTATCCAGGATGGGTAGTTGAGGGTTTGAGGCGCTGACTAGTCCGATGGCGAGTGGAACTGATTTACGGATAACAGGCTCGCCGTAGTGCATCTACGAGGAGATACGTAAGATTAGACACTTTAAGGAATCGTTTAGACTTACGAGGTGGTTGAATTGCCGTAGTGACATCTCAGCACCGATGTCTTCACCCATTGCAATCATAGCAATCGCTATCACTGCGAATGCCTGGAAGGTATCGTCTTGCTTCTTATCCTCTTCCTTCTCTTCCTTCTCAGCATCCTTATTCTCTTCGGCCTTCTCCTTGTCGTCCTTGTCGTCCTTCTTCTCCTTGCCAGTATTCAGGTGCTCGTCGCAGTGGTGGAGCATCGCTTGTACTTTGAGGACGTTCCCAGTTGCTGCGAATGCACATGCTTCTACGAGGATTTGCGCAGTTTTAGACACAGGATGTTCGATCGCTTTCAGCGTCTCGATGGTAGCATCCGAAGCATCCTGCTTGCCTAATGTAATCTATCTCAGTCTCGACGGGTTCGGCAGCAGTGGATGTCCATACCGAGGTAGAGAAGTGCGAGACCAAGGACCATGAACCGCGACCACTTCTCATCGAGTGCCTTCTCATCTCGCTCCATTAATGTCTGCAGAATCGTGCTGGCTACGTCACCGTGTTCGCTACCAACAAAGATGAAACCTAGAGAGAGGGCGGCCAGACTAGCTATTTCCATGGACACGGAGTCATCTGCGACTTGAGGGAGAAGAAGAGATAGTAGTTCCTCCCGATGCGAGCCAACATAAGCAAGCCCAAGACCGATGATGGCACTGGTCTTCAACGAAACGGCCTTGTTCTCAACGTAATCGCCGAGGAGCGCGAGGGCGGCGTCGGCCTCACTACGTACACCAGTATGAAGGATGCCTGTTGCTAGAAGGGCGCCAGCCTAGACACCGTTAAGTCTTAGTGACAGGGCGGGTGAATATCCAAGCATACCTTGATGTGCTCTTCAGCCGAGTAGGTATACTTATCTACGTGACTAAGACCAATCTCCGTGTCCCACAGCAAACTCAGACCAAGAGATGCGGAGGCGCTCATCATCCCTTCAACGCACTTGAGCTACGGACCCGTTGGTACACAAAGGAAACTCACCGTGGTCCTTGTTTTTGTATATCCAGCTGTTGCCTTCCTCGGCCTCCACCATCAACTTATCGTTACCGAAACCGGCGTTCACAAAGGCGTTCACGAAGGTACCGGCGAGATTACCCCGCGCTGAGTCGATATGAACAGTACCACCAGCCCCTAGCATAGGTTAGAAGATTCAGCACGGTTCACGGAGTCATTCAATAACTTACTGGTATTGTCGAGGTGCGATTTGTATATGTCTTCAAGGCTCTTGGGATCAGAGACACCAAGCTCCTTACCGAAGTCCCGGAAGTGCGTGCTCAACTTGGCGTTTGTTAAGCACTCAGCAAGGTCCTCGGGTAACTCGTCCTGGAAGTCGCTTTCTGCATCTTCGTCCTCTGACGGCGGCTTAAGCCATTCGATAGGAACCTGAGCTCGTGCAAGCAAGAAGGCGAGTTGTCGTTTCATTAATCTATGCAGGCAGTTGAGCACATATGTTTTCGACCGAGATAATAAACAGGACTTACGGGTTTCCAGGGGCATTGAAGTCTTCGCGGACTAGGTCTTTGTCGCCGATGCGTATCGACAAAGAGAGTGCTTCGGGGAACTTCTTGAACCGCACGTAAATTTGATGAGCAGTACGCAGGAACGAGACGTCATCGGGAGGGGGGAGGAGATTTACACATCTGTCAAAGAGTTAATATATTACGAGGATGCGGATAACGAAACGGACCAACCTGATCATATATTGACAGACACGACCATATGTATTTTCGTCTACGAGGTTCGCCAGCTCTTCCACAATCTCCATTTCTTGAAGCAAGTCTACAGCATCGGGCTCAGCGTTATGAGTCAATAAGAACGTCGCGCATTCTTTCGCTAGCGCTCGAAGATCATCGATCGTGCCTGTTGTAGACACTGGCTTCGCCTCGGTGGACAGGTCTTCCTCTTCTTCCCGAAGCGTGAACTCCTCCCCGAGTTCTGCGGCGAGATGTCGAACGTATTCGTGACCCCAAGAACCTGGATCTGATAGTGGAGTGGATGCGGGGCGAAGTGAAGCGGCGAGCAGTCGATAGCGGAGGGTACCACGGGGCTGAGTGTCAGAGTATGTCATCGCAAGGACTGAGAGGATGTCTGCAAAAAGACTCTACATAAAAGTTCAGCCCTGGCATCGTGCAAGACAATGGGTCTCATGATCGTACCTTCTCTTCTGATGACGGCCATGTTTCGTAGAGAACTTGAAGATCGGGGTAATGAGGACGCAGAAATTTCAATGGTTTTGGTACAGAGGTCATAGAAGATGTAGAAGTTCTGATCAGCGTCCGAAGTGTCTCGAGAGCCGGCTTATACAGCTCCGTATTGGGTTCCTACAAGCATAATGTAGCTGAAGCCCAGTGACATGCAGTCAACGTACACACCTTCAAGCGTTCAACAAGCATTTCAAGCTCAGTCTTGAGCTGCAAGTCCTCCTCTGACTAGAAGAGCTTCACCATCATTCAATACTGGGGGAACAATGAAGGGATATACTGACTAGCTCCTCGCCCTCGCCATTGGCATCGTCCTTCTGTAGCTTTGATTCGTCTACTTTTGATTCATCTTTCTGGGGATCTTCCTTTTTCTTCGGGTCGTCAGAGGTGACTCGTATGCTGAATTCTGTGGGTTGTGGCATAATGCAAGGATGCAAGCAATGAACTCGCGAGGACGCGACGCGCGTCCAGGAGTTGTGGCCAGAAATAGAAGGCTACACCCACGCTCGCTCGTGGGAAATGGCCCCCTGAAAGCTTTCTATTGGCTGTGACTGCACGCACGCCGCACGGAAACGGCGCACGACATAAGTATTTACTCGCACATTCACATAGAAAATAGAAATGAACAGGTCAGCAGCTTGTATTCTACTTTATAAGTGTATGCTGATATTACACCAAGAGGTCCGATTATCCTTGTGCGTTCTGAACCAGTGAACTATCCTCCGCACCGCACTGATCTCCACGCACAGACGATAGACGAGGCAGAAGTAAGGTAGTTCCATTCTCTGCAAGAGCTAAAGGGGCCTGACCGGGTGTGCGGCAGTACCTTCTAGATCAACTGGTGAGCAAATGCTATTTATTGAACTTCAACTGGCATCCATCTGAATCCATTGATTGCGATAAAGCCACCTCCTTCCCCTGACGACGACAATATCCTCCAAGGGCTTCGGAAACGCCTGCAGATGCTTCTGTCTGACCTAAGAGCCGGAGCTGAAGGTGTCTTGCCATCCGATAGATCATGATGCATCATCTTTGGGACCGGCTTGCAACATATAGAAGTGTATTAACATGTTTTGTCAGCGCAAGGCGGCGAGTCTTTCGAAGATGGTAACAGCGGCTTTACTCCCTTGCATCCTGACACAGACGAAGAGTCGAAGATGAACGCAACAGATGCTTCGGTGATATCCTGGTTCCTAACTGATCAATAACTGATCAACAACAGTTATTTGCAATTCTTTTACGCGACTCTCATAGTCCAAGAAGGCTACATCCAGCGCTCGTCCGACCTTACTTGTTAGCAGTTGCTTGCGCCTCAGCGCCAGCGTTTGTCTTCCACTAGTATGCTGAGTATTGTCTGCTTACAGGATGAATGATGTTCGATGCATGATGCATGATGCATGCTAGCTGACTTGCTTCATGTATAATTAGAAATGCAACCCCGTTGCAACCTTGACTGACCTAAGATTATGACAAAATTGAGAAGTCACCCCAATTTACATACGCAACATGTAACTGCCGAGACTCCAAACTTCACACATTTCGCTTCTCCCTCTCCTTCTCTCTCCCCCCACCACTAGCCATTTCCCGCTGTTGCGGACGACTCCCATTATTCTATTCGCCTAATCACTCAAAGTGGTCTTCGTTACGATGTACCGCCCCGTCACTCTTTTGTCAATTTCTTTCTGCGCGTTGAGTACCCTCACAAGTCACTTTGTGCGGGCAAGGCCGTGTGTGGCCTTTGATATCCAATGGAATCTCCTGGCGTTCGGTTTCGACGGGAAGGATTTCAGTGCCGGTACACAGGACACCTGGGCCAGCGGTGAGTACGCCAACCCGCTTTCTCGCTCACAGTGACTGATGGCGAGCAGGAAGCACCACGGACATCACAACCTCTGGTCGCCCGTGAGTACTCGTTGTCGTCCGCAGCAACTACTTGTATCTGACCCACTGTCGAAACGCCTAGGCCATTTGACGGCGCGAATACTACATGCTACCTTTCTCAGGTGAGTTGCGTGGCCGTCATTTGCATCATTCTCCGCGTAGTGCTGCCCCGCCTGCGACAAAGCCCTCGTCGCTTCCTTTGTGTGAATGCAGCGTGTGCATGCGTGGAGCCCGGTATTTCGGGCACGGGAATATGTTTTGAGCATCAATGATGAGAAGCGCCGAATACTGACATGTCCATATGCTTGCCTTTTTAGTTCGCAAATGCCATCTACGTCATGAACGGGGACGCCTCGAACCCTGCATCGGTCCATATATATGATGCCACAGCGAAGTCGTGGTCGACGCAGGCGACCAATACGGCCGGGTTCGATCCCACAGACGCCACCGCTATTCTGGACCATGATACGAATGTTTTCTGTATGGCTTTCACTCTCATCATGGATTATTTCAACGTTCTAACCATAAGATCTGTAGATGCTATCTCAAAGGGAGAAATGTGGTCGCTTAACATGGATCTCCTCAAACAAGCGAATTCGACTGCTATAGATTGGCTGGATAACAAAGCCGTTGAATTTCCAACGGATGGATACCAGCCGGTTATGGCTTTGGCACAGAATCACATACACTTCCTGAACGTACCCGGAAGCCCACCCGGCAGCGCGAATATCTTCGTAATTCACTGTAGGTTCGGGTTCTCTTCATCTCAAGGCTGGAGTCTGACGCACATTCCCCTTCAACGTAGTTTCGTTCTTCCAACCAGAACCTCAATCGTATGGCAACTTCCCTGCGACCCACGGACGAGCGTTCGATATCTTCAAGAACGAAGGGGTGAGTGACATTATGATTCATATGAACGACACTAAAATAACCACATAAACTGCACAGGTCCAAACGGAATTCGCATTCATCCCTGACGATGGCTCCGCCACCTACATCATCAACGTTGAGGTATGTGCTACGCCACTCTTCCTCCGAACGTTGTACTAATGCACCAATCGTTTAGCGCAATGACACTCAGACGCTCCCTGGTCCCTCTACGAAGGACCCCTTGGCGACGTACTTCGCCTCCCCAAGCGCTCTCGTCCAACTATCTCCGTCCACAAACAGCGTTACGTTCTTCCCGTACGATCCATCTAACCAGGGAGCCAACAGCAACGCAGCGTGGAGCCCCATTCCGGCGCTAGCACAAAGGGCTGTTGCCGCTACTGGCGGTGGGCCTGGTGGGACCGCTGCTGCTGCGTCGAGTTCGTCGACGGCGACATCGGCGAAAGGGAGCTCGGCGACGGGTGGTGCGACGAAAGCGAACCAGGGCGGCGAAGCTAATGGCTCACGGCATTTGTTTGAGATGGCTGGGTTGTATGCAGTGGTTGGTCTCATTGGGATGATGGTGGTGCTCCTCTGAGCTATACTGCGGCGCTAGAGAGTTGGAAGCTGGTCGCTTTGGCTGACGCTTCTCTATCTTCGTTTCGTTTCGTGACTTCTACTCACAGTACTCTTGTGGTCTCTCACCTTTACTACGTACGGACTATCGGATGTTTGGACATTCCGTTTTGGACAATTTATAATTAGCATCGATCCCTATTTTTGGCTTTCGACGCTACACAACCTATTCACGTTTTCATAGACGATTTCTTGGATCTCAATATGTATTTATACACATTTCACTTAGACGTATTGGCTTGTCTTCTGTCCCATTTCCCCAGGGGGAGTGCTTGCGTAGACGCGTTACGCTGTGCAGCAAGCCACCAAGCCCCTGTTCACTCCTGACCGATGGTCAGAAACGCGATCATGTGATAGTGTGCTAGCAGGGTCCTACCCGCGCACGATCGTACTAGTGCTCTAACTCTAATGCTCTTCCGCATCTTCCGCACGAAGTTTTGTAGAAATCTGGGGGAAATTCGCGTTGGCGTTGCGTTGGCGACGCTGAGCCCCCTGAGCCCCTATTGCACGGCGTTGGGTATATAGTCTCTGCGTTTCCAGTCTGAGGACCTCCAGCAGCCCCTGGTCTTTCTTCCTTTCCTCGATTATCCCCCGCTCACCTTCCTCCCTTCTGTAGATCTACTCGTCGTTGTCGTCATCCCCAGGGATGGGACGAGGATGATCCCCAGTCGCTGTAATGGTAATGTACCTCGGTTATCTCCACTAACCATGTCACTGATCATATATCTTATCTTATCTAGGCGGTTATCGAACCAATATGGCCGACTCGTCTGTATCCGCCGCTGGAAGGAAGCTACCAGTCCCCCGTTTCCCTCGAAGACATTATCGTCGTTTGCCAGAGCGTTTGCTAACTTCGGTGTCATAATTAGGACTTCAAACCCCTCAACAGGTCCCGACAGCAAAAGCTACCAGTCCCTTTTTATTTTTCTTTCTTCATCTACCGTTCCGTTGAATTGTCCCTAATTCCGACTTCGCCTTTGTAGGCAGGCCGACCCTTCTGCATCCTCCTCGGGACGAGCTACCAGTCCCCTTTCCTTCTGAAGAAATTATTGTCATTTGTTAGGCCTTTTGCTAATTTCGTTGTCGTTCCACAGGCCGGCCAACCCTTCGCAAGACAAGCTACCAGTTCCCGTTCATCTTGAAGACCCCTTCATTGTTTATTGAACTGTTGTTGACTTCGTTCTCATTTATTAGGCCGGCCAATTCCCCGACATCCCCAAGGACGAGCTGCCAGTCCCCTTTACTTTGACGATGTTCTTGTCATTTGCTACAACTTTTGCTGATTTCGTTGTCGTTCCACAGGCCGGCCAACCCTTCGATATTATCAGCAAGACAAGCTACCAGTCCCCGTTATCTTGAAGACCCCTCCATTGCTTGATAAACTATTGTTGACTTCATTTTTCATTTATTAGGCCGGCCAACCCTCCGACATTCTAAGGACGAGTTGCCAGTCCCCTTTTCTTTGAAGATGTCCTTGTTTTGAACCTTTGCTAATTTATGTCGCTTCTATAGGCTGGTCGACCCTCCGATATCATCAATAAGACGAGCTACCAGTTCCCGTTTCTCTTGAAGACCCCCTCATCGTTAGTTACCGTTTGCTAACTATAATGCCCTCTGTTAGGCTGGCCGATTCTCAGAATGAAAGCTACCAGCCCCCTGCCACGAAGACTGCCTCTTCCTTTTGAATCGTCGCTGACTTCACATTCGTTTTTTTAGGTTGGACGATCACAACTCCCCACTTCAAGCAAGCTACCAGTGCCCTAAATACGTCTATTATCAATTATATGATTGTTTGCTAACTTGCGATTTTTTTCGACAGGCCGGCCAATCCGATCGTCCCCGCCGCCAGAAGGAAGCTACCAGTTCCCTGTTTCTTTCTTTCTTTCTTATATATGGTTATCATCTTTTGGCTTTCTGCTAACTTTTCATGCATTTTCAGGCCGGCCGACCCAGACCCCGTTCGTCAAGACCAGCTACCAGTCTCCTGTTTCTTTTGAAGATATAGTCATCATCCATTAGACATTTGCTAACTTTCTATCCATTTACAGGCTGGCCGATTCATTGTTTCGCCCATCAAGAAAAGCTACCAGTCTCCATTTCTCTCGAAGCCTGTATCATCATGCATCAAACACCCACTGACTTTTGAACTCCTCCACAGACTGGCCGACTCGCCTCCATTTCGTATTCGCCATTAGAAGGAAGCTACCAGTCCCCTATTTCTGCTGAAGACTCGTCACCATCTGTCAGACGTTAGCTAACTTTCTTCAATTTATTTCTTTAGGCAGATACATTGCTCGACGTCTTTGCAGATCAGCCAATACGACCATGACCCAGGTCCGACTCGCTTCGGTTTTTTCTAACCTCGTTGAACCCCCGCTGACTTTGGGCCTTCTCCCTCAGACCGGCGCAGTCTTTGAAGAGTCCTGTTTCCACCAAGATCGTTTCATCGTCAAAATAACTTTCCATCCAGAAGACAGGTCTACCAGCCCGCACCCACGCCTGATATCGCCACCAGTCGACGGTTTCCCGCTCCTTCTGAAGATAACGTCACTACCCCACGCTTCAAACCTTGAAGACCGACGTCAACGTGTCAAGCAACTCCGAGAAAGTACAATCGGATCCTTTTCACCATGGTGCCGTAAGCGCTTGCGGTATCATGTTGAAAAGGATTTGGTTAGGTAGCCGGCCTCGCCCATACACCACTAGCATGCTGTAAGCGCTTGCAATATGCTGGTGGTGTAAGGGCTGGGCTGGCCACCTGGGAGTTACACGCATTGGGAACACGCCTTTCCTTAGCACCACGTCGACAGTCTCTTCGTTCGAGCACAACTTCAACACGACAGGGAGCAATCCAGGGAAGGCCACGAGATCAACTCCGTCTATTGACTTCGCCCGGAGAGGCAATCCAGATGCATCAATGTACATCGATCCCCCCAGCACTGTTAAGAGGCAACGCGGCACTATGCCGGTGTCACTCATCCATCAAGCCGGCTCCTCTCCTCTAATCGCGCTCATCCGTTTCTGGGCCGGGCTGGTCGGATTCGAACGGGCCGTTGGGGTCCCCCTGCTCCGGCTCTACACCCTGTTCTGGCTGTAGCTCGCAAACGCCACCTGTGATTGCAGACCTTAAAGCTTCAAGCTCCACGCCCAAGCTCTTGACGATTGTCCTAACCTCCGACGAGCCGAACCTAAATGCACATTTCGCCTCTTTCTGGAGAAAGGCGGATCGGCTGCCCCCCTTACATTGGCTATGGCACTACGGGCTGATCAGCACAAGCTTCGAGCGTCAGTACCATTTCCAGATGGATCAATCAACGCACACTTCGTGCGCTCGAAACCGGAGTCCAACAAACGGCAGTTTTTGTTGCCGGGCGGCAGGGGGATGAAGTCCAGGACTTTCCGTCTGCCGTGCATGAGGATCCATAGTGTAAGTGGGCACTGGGGCCCCTTTCCCCTTGTTTATTATTCCACCATCCATCATGTACAAATACATTGCGTGTAACTTATGGATATAACTGCCCCCAAGGGTGCAAAGAAGTTTCCATCATCAGAGCCCAGGATTTAGGACGATTCATACACCATCCCATCTATGTACGTTTAAATCGACTAAGTAGAAAGTTGGCATGATTCTGAGACCTAAGTACTGAGGGTGAATTGAGTCATCACAGCGATCGAATGCATTTTCAACAGACTCCGCGCTTGGCGACGATTATGCGCTTTACAGATCATATTGGATAACGCCTCCTGCACGAGGTCGAGCTTGCTACCTCCGGACGCCTCCACAAGACCTGGCACGCTTATCGTGCGCCAGCTTCCTTCTCATTACTACCTGCAACTTTCTGCCAGCACTCTCCTTAGCTGAGAGGACAACGAGCCCATCATGATCAATGAACGAAAACCGGTCATAGGGGTGAAATATACGCCTTCGTCCATGGACGTCGATCGCCAAGAGCTCGACATCCACAATTTGCCAGGCATTAAATACATTCGAATTCAATGGGTGGACCTAACGAATGCCATTTGCTATCGTGTCATCCCAATTTCTTACTTCATCAAGATTCTTCAATCGCCTCGCCCAAGCATCAGCATAACGAAATCGATCCTGGGACTCGTCCATCTAACGCTTGCAGAGGGCTTTAGGTGAGCCGAGCGGAATGTTATCCAAATAGGCGGTGGTACTAATTTAAGTGACGAAGCCCGATAGGAGAGTACCTTTACGTTCCAGATATCACTACATTGAAGTTGTGTGGTTATGCGCCTGGATACGCGACCTTAATGGGCTACTTTGAAGAAAAAAGCCCGAAGCAAAACGTACCCAGATCCCTTGAGTACAAGGTCGACCTTTGCCCTCGTACCATCTTGAACCGCATCGTGGAGTAGGCGTCTCGATTTGGAGGAAAGCCCCGCGTTCAATTATGATTGATGCTCATAGAAATTCTGTCCAGGGATGCTAGGGTGTCGCTCGGCCTTGACTTCCTGGTCGGCTTTGAAACGGAATTTATACTACTGAGCTCCGTGTCTCCCGTTAAAGCAGTAAACGAAGCATCCTATGGTCGAGCGTCAGGGCTGAGAACTGGCAGCCCTGAGTACCTTGCTCTGGAAGAGATGCTGGACGCCCTTCATCTCTCCGGTATCGAAGTCCAGGCGCTTCACAAGGAAGGGGCCCCAGGTCAATACGAAATCGTCACAGCTCCCCTTCGACCCCTTCAAGCGGTCGACGCTCTCATCCATACTCGGGAAACTATCTACAACATCGCCAACAAGCACGGCCTGTACGCAACATTGGCCCCACGAGTATACGGTAATAGCTGTTAGTCCCTTCTTCACACCGCCAAGTCTGCAACCTGATACTAAGTCGGATACCGCTGTATGATAGGTGGAAGCTCGTCCCACGCTCACATCTCGGTCCATGCACAAGGAGAGTCGCCAGTGTCATCGGTTTCTCCAAATCTCACCGACGTCGAAGCTTCATTCCTGGCATCTGTGCTCGACCACTTGCCAGCCTTGATAGCCCTGACGCTCCCGATCCCAGAGTCGTTCAAACGCATGGCCGATGGCGTCTGGTCCGGCGGTACATACGTGTGCTGGGGGACAGACAACCGCGAGGCACCTTTGCGTCTGTCAAACGCAACATCGCCATCGACGCGGAACTTCGAATACAGAGCACTAGATGGAACAGCGAATCCTTACATCGCTATAGCAGGAATAATTGGAGCAGGAGTAGAAGGTGTACGCGATCAAGTTGAACTGAAGATACAGGACAATTCTGGTGATATTCCAGCGGCCAATATGGATGACCGAGAGAGAGGGGCGCTGGGGATCACGAAGCGGTTGCCTTTGTCCTGGGATGAGGCAAGAGAAAATTTAGAGCAAGATGAGTTAATGGGAGAGCTTTTAGGGGGGAACTTCGTGGCCAAGTACCTCAATGTAAACAAGGAAAGTCTTTTTCGGACGTCTTTATGATGGCGGACCTGATTCCGGGCGCAGACCTTAGCCGAGAGTTTCGATGTTCCCTCCGAAACAGAACGTTCAGCCCGCTTGCTAGCCTATTACTAGTTCTACATTGTTTCTTGTGTCAATGGTTGGGGTTTGGACGGGCAAAATTTATCAATAAGTTGGCTTTGGTAGAGTTATACTAGAGTATAGAGCCTAGTGATTACCGCGTTGCACGGCGTTGGAATATAGCTGGGTAATGCTCTAATGCGCAACAACCGACATGTTTCGGGGTGCGCGTGAGGCTTGAGTCGTGGGCCCTAATCGCCATTGTCATTGGTGTTTGTTACGCATCTCGCGGAAGCGACATGGCAGCGTGTTCTGATGGTGTCGAGCATTATTTCGACGCGTAAGTATTGCATTTTCCCAAAATTCATGTCCCTTGAGGAGAAGTTTCATGTTCCATATCGTCGTAATCGCCTTCTTGTTCATCGTAATCGTCTTCTTCCTCCTCAAGCGCTGCTTCTGCCTCTGCTTGCGCCTGAGCTGCCAACGCTGCGTTGGCAATGGCTTGCTCCAGCATTTGGGCCTGTTCCGCAGATAAACCGATCATAGACAACGAAGGAGGGGCATCGTCGGCCTGAGGCGATATCTCGATGGCATCAGAGGCATCAGGTGTTGGATCCGTGGATGATGGCAAGCCACTCGGGTCGCTGGTACTGGCACCTGAAGGCAAATTTGACTGCGCCCTTGCGATAACGGAGGCCAGGGTGGCTTGCCCAGTGGGATCTGACACTGATACGGTGGGTGTCGTTCCAGGCTGGTTACCCAGAGCGTGAGCGACATGCGCTTGCAACAAACCATGCATCTCCATCATCACAGATTGAACATGTGCAATGACACCGTATGGTATCTCCCCTTCTTCCAGCGATCCGTCGCTCGGCTGGACGGGGTAACCCACCGATGCCCTAACATTAGCATTGACCTGCTCAGCAATCCCGTTCCACATCTTCGCTCGCCGCTCCTCTCTCGCCGATTCATCCCCTTCATGGCCATCAACTTCAACTTCTTCCACTTCGGCATCCACACAGATACTCCCGCTACCGTCCTTACTTCTCGTATTATTTTTGTGCCGTTTGATCGCGTCTCTTCGAGAAAAGAGCTTCCCGCACCCAGTGCATTTCCAGCCTTTCCTGTCATGAAGCTTTGTATGCCGTTTGAGGTCGTGATTGCGCACAAACGAAGCGGGGCAATGACTACACCGGAAAGGTCTATGGGTGGCATGAATCCGTTGGTGGGCTCTCAAGCTGAAGAGACGAGCAAAAGTCTTCTGACAACCTGGCACAATGCAAGGATATACCGCAGTGAGAATATCTGCAGGAGTTGTTGTCGTGGCCGAATGAAGCCAAGACGCGTTGTTCGACCCAGCAGTAGGACCAATCTGGATGCCACTCAGAACACCCAGGACTTGAATCAGACCTGCGATTTCCTGGAGAGCGTGCGTGTAGGGACCTCCAAGTGCCGAGGATGTGACTGCAAACAAGAACATTTGGTGAAGCTGTAGCTGAATAGATATCACAAATGTCGGATCTATCAACTCGTTCGGAGGACGAGAATTCAACGCTTGTGAGACAAAGCGTATTGCCTCAAGTATCTGAGCTTGCATGTCGGATCCTGATGTCGGTGGGGGATAGAAAGGACGCTTGACTACGCGAAATCCTCCGTCGTCCATTTCTCCCTCCCGTTTGCGCTTATTCGAGTCGGTTTGATCTACCTGCGCAGCGCCCGAGACGTGCCGGACTCCGAACAGCGAATCCGAGGCCGCGAGCGTCATGACTACCTGGCTCAGAACCCCAGCAAGCTCTTTGGCAACTACACCTGCGCCTGAGATCTGTCTGAGTACATCGAAGACGTTCGCACCGCTGGCGTCGGGTAGTAAAGTCGCTTCAAAAGTGCTCTTTGCTAGCGGGTCGGTTTCGAGGATATTCAGAATGTTCCGAATCGTCGAGATTGCTGCCTCAACCTTGGCTGAGAGGGGAGCCTCATTCGCAGCGGGACCAGCGTTCACCTCTGGAAGCGAGCTTTGCGCTGACAAGAGGGATTGGGCTAAGGCAAATCTGCTTGCCTGGTCCGCTTGTACTTTGGCAATTCCGGCAAGAAGTTCTTCTCCGAGTTTGCGGGCAATGGCTTCTGCTTCTGCCTCAGCGTCGGCGTCGTCTTCCTCGTCCTCGTACCCGTCTTCATCCCATTCCTCTTCCTCCTCTTCCTCTCGTTGTTGAATTACGTCCATCGTTGAGTCTGATTGGTCCATATGCATAGAAGTCCATGCAAGATGATATACGATTGGAAGAAATGTATACTTTAATTCAGGCGCCCAGACTCCGTATGGGGCGCTTGTCGATATAGCAGTGACTCCTAAGTCCTAACCGCCTCTTTCCTACGTGCTTGCACAACTCTGTGGAACACCACTACGAAGCCGCAAACATGGCCCCTACGGACCCGTCTGGTTCTTTGGACTCTATAATACAGCAAATTACAACCAGCAACAATATCAGGGCCTTAGATCAAACGCTGCGTAACAGTCTACCCAAGGAGGCCAGGGAGACTATTCTTGCTAGTATGCTACCAGGAGGGCAGGATCCATTAGCAATACTAGACCCAAGGGCGAACACACTGGGCGTTCTATATATTCTGTGCGCAATCCAATACTGCTTCATTGATTGTGCTTGTCTGAATTGACTACTCTCTCAATCAGATCAGCGCGACTCAACGTGTCTGCGGCACAATCGCCTGCACCGCATTTGATTCATGCGTTTTGTCGCACATTCGACCGCGATCAAGCCTATATAGCTCCCAACCGAGGTACGGATCCCTGGAATATGCATTCATGTGACTAGGACTGAGGCATCGTATACATTCCAGTTACTCTTCTTGCCAAAGGGATTGTGCACCTCGCTGAGGAGAGCCGTAACGTGCGTTAATCGTATCGCCCGTGGCTTCAACAAGTCTGACAGGATCGCACGCAGCCTCGATGGGCTATTGAGCCACTCTATGACCTGTTAACGCGATACGCGCCGAACCCAAGTTATCTCACTCCAATACACCCTCTCTTCCTTCTCGTAAGTTGCACCTTTCGTGTTAGTAACGTTAATTGAAACTACTTGGAGGCATGCGCACAAACACAATCATACACAGCCGCTCTCCCACTTCTCGCAACACCAATCACATCAATAGACACAACACTCAGTCCTGATCTGTCATACATCGATAACCTAGTATACCATCATATTGGGGGTATGATATTTGCTGCGCTGAAGCAATGGGAACAAGCAGAGGAGTACTTTGAGATCTGTGTTACGAGCCCTGGCCATGTCCCAGCGGCACTACAACTAGAGGCTCTCAAGAAACTCGTCTTGGTACAACTAATTTCCAAAGGAAAGGTAGGCGCGTTTTTACTCCGGTGCGGGTTCCTTCTACTAATACTCGTTCATGATTAGATATCTGCCCTTCCGAAATATGCCAACCCTCAACTATCGCGCTTACTCAAGAGCACCCCATACAATGGGTTTATCAGCGCCTATCCTCGAAATCCCCAGCAACTTCGATCGATCCTCGACAAAGAACAAGCCTATTTCTCCAATGTAAGGATAAGTATTTGCACGATATACCCTGAAACCGTTACCATTCGGAATGTAATCTCACGGCTCGATCTTCACAGGAGAAGAACATTGGTCTGATGCTACAAGCCATAGCCCGCGCACCGCGGTGGTCAATAAAAAAGTTGACCGAGACCTATGTTACGCTCAGCATTTCCGAAATCGCGAAGTCAGTCAAAATAGAAAAACACGATGAAGTTCGTGCCTTGATTTTGGACATGGTGCGTTGCCCCTCCTTCGACCTATCATACCGTTCACCTTGGCAATACGATTTCAGGTGGAGGCTTCCGACATAAACGCGAAAATTTCAAGCGACGGGACGGTCACATTCTCCGACACTCCCCCAGCTTCCGCAGAACTGAGCAAATCCGACGTCGATAGGCTAGTCAAAGAGGCACAAGAACAAGTAGCGCTACTCGCGAAATTGGATCTTGAATTAGGGAAGAATCGGGACTACTTGACCAAGGTGACTACTCACTCGCTACCGCCCTATCTATTAACTAACGCGCTCCCCAGGCGTTGAAGGCCAAGGACGATCCTTGGGCTGCTCCTGGTGCTGAGGAAGACTTGTTCGGGATGGGCATGCCAACTTTGGGCGGAGGGTCATGGACGGAAGAAGCGGGGTATGCATAAAGTTCCTCTCAGTCCGACTACCGACATTCGGTGCGTACGTAAGTCATGGTACAGAGCATGGGCTAGCATATAACCATCACCAATGAAACCACCTCAAGTTTCAACGGATACAAGCGAAGGTAGTCAAAAGGTTAGACCTTTGGGCCTGGTGTTTAAATTTCATGATGTCTACTTCTATAAGACAAGGTTGTGAAACTACTCCTGCAGCGAGTACTTGCGAACAAGATTCAATCTCAACTTGTTGCGGAACAGTGGAATCGGACAATGATGACTCGAAACGTCTTTTACCCATATCCACTTCACCCTGGGTATGTGGTACCGGGTTGTAGGGCTGTGGGATACTTACGGTAGTGGCCCCAGAAGGTGGGGCGCTCGGGTAGAAGTCAAACTCTTGAGACGGGTACATGTGAGATGGAGGCAATGTACAACGCGCGTTTGAATCGCTCAATATGTCGACGAATGGTACTCCAGGTCCTGAAGCTAGCTTGAAGCCGGGGATGACTGTCGGTTGGTTTTACGAATCACAATCGTCGATGCATGGTGGTTAGTACATGTACATAGGGCGCAACTCTGCACATTTCCGTGACCTTCAGCTTTCTGGATCCTGAACTGACTCACCAATGAGTCGATGAGTCAGCACAATTGCGCAGTGATTCGTACAGAATCTGTTCAGTTCTACCGTCATGTTCTAGCAGTACCAGAAGGGTATGCAGTACATCGCGGCCTCGAAATTATGCGAACCCGCGTTCGCCAGAAGCTGACGAATGATCTCAGCGACGCATGGCGATGATACAGTGGCGAAGGCAACGAGTTGGGCGTCAGTCAGCTAATTGATTTGCTGAGCCTTCTTCTCTTCTTTGCGTTCTTCACCTTCGATTTTCAAGCCTCTGAGCCCCGAAGGAGTTCAAGGAATCCGTCAAAGATTGGCAGGCGACTAGAAGAGACAGTTCTTACCGGCTATCGTGGGAGCTCTTGGACAGCAAATTCCGGTACCCCTTACCATTATCTACAGCAGCGCTGGGCGCCCTCAACTCGGTTGAACTGTAACCCTCTCCTTGGTCGTATACTCGACATCGCCAGTGACAGAGGCCAGCAGCGTCGTTGTCCAATTGGCCAGGTGGACCATCGAGACCTTGTCGAGAATCCAGGAGAACCCCGCAAAGCGTCTATATATAGGCACCACTGTGAGTCGGGGACTCTGTCGTCTCCACCACCTTCCTTCCTTCCTCTCTGCTGCCGTGATGGCTTCAGTGCCAACCCCGTCGCAAGGCGATTCTGCATCACAATCTGCATCACACGAGCCAAAGCTTAATGCTGAGCAAGAGCAGCAGACTCCGTCGGACCATGCTCCAGCCAATCATGACCAGCCAATTGCCGCACCTGTGCCCCAGACACCACAGACGTACTTGACTTTTCTTCTGGTGTCGGGGAGGAGGAGGACGATGTCGTTCGACCCGGAGACTACCATTGGGAGGGTGAAGGAACTTGTGTGGAATGCGTGGCCCAGTGGTGAGCACAAGGCGCTTGCTTCGATTTCCATCAGGCAATCATGACCTGGCTGCGTGTAGAATGGCAAGACGAACGACCACCAGCGCCGTCTTACTTCCGGATTCTTCATCTGGGAAAGATACTGCTTGATGACGATACCCTAACGAGTACGTGGATGCCTTTTTTGTCGAGGTTTCACGCAATTTCTAACACAATATACACCTAGAACTATCATTACCAACTTCATTACCGCCGCAATCACCACAGCCTACCGATCCCGCTGCTTCATCCCAAAAGCCTCCACCTGAAGCAGTGTCGTCCCCTGATCCCGTCCCACACGCCCCCCCTCCCCATGCAACTATCGTCCATTTATCCATCCGCGCTTACGCACCGCCCGCGGATGATGACTTGAAGAAGGACAAAGGCCGGAAACCCAAGTGGGGCCGGACTCCTACTGCTGCAAGCAATGCCGTTGAGCGAGGAAGCGGCGAAAGTGCAGTAGCCGTAGTAGATCCAGATAGCACTACTCCTCGTGGGTGTTGCGGATGCATAATATGTTAGGCGACTGGGAATGGTACAGGATAGCTTCTTTTATTCTCATCCTAATTTTCCCTGCCATTCACCGGCTCCCCATTCTCCAGTTGGAGTTGTCACTCTCGCCTTTGCCTGATTCACGTACTGCCATGGTTTGACGGATTTTCTTTGCTATTTGCTGCATCATTTCCTCGCATTATATTTCTTGACGTCTTCAGTAGTGTAGACCTTCATATAGCTTGCCACTTTGCACGGATCGCGACCTATCCCGTGTGATGCCGGCATATCTGTTTCATAAATTTTCTCCGTGGTTTCTGGATGAAGAAGAAGATATGATAATTGAGTCCGTTCGCCGAGTGTACCGAACGAACCGCGCCATACATCAGTCTGTCCTTGGCCGCCTATGCGTCACGTGCACAACACTGCTTCATTCTGACTTCGATCTCAATTCTGGCGACGCGGATCCGCCTTATTACGGCCTGAAATCAGAATCGATCGATACCAGCAGCTCATCCAGCCAACAAGGTTAGGGCTCCTCATCGAACCGGTTAGATCGTCGTGCGCCACAATTATTGGAGCTATCCCGAATATCGCATCTCATTCACAGAACGTGGCAAGTACCAACTCAGCCCGTCCTTTCGGCCCTACACTGACACACCCAACAGATCGCGTTCGACGGAATAAATGCGATCTTATCGCAAAAATATACCGCAAATGACAATCTTCTCTCGGTCATAACATTTGACTATGTGATTAATAAGTGAACCGTGCTCCAGGGAAAGATATGGACACGCCCACTGCTTTCCCCTTCCTGCACATCTGGTGATGATGATTAGCTGGAAGGTGGGTGATGGCACGGCGTCTCTCCGGGAACGGACAGTTGTCACGGCGCACGCCTATCTCCGTCGAGACCATACGAGTATTTAAATACTTTGGAAGGATGTTGCGATGCAAATCATCTACATCGCATCCCCTTACCCGCCAACCTCTCTCTTCGCTTCCCGTCCAGAAGATTCATAGGGCTCTACCGGCGGCGTAATCGCACTACAGAAACCAGCTGGATCGTACAATGGGTATTGGACTAGGCAATCTCAATGGTCCTGAATACGAAGCAAGGTAGGTTGTGGTTCATAGCGCAACCGTATCATGGCTCGTTAACAGGGCATCTACTAGACTACGAAAGCCGTTCGTGCCACCATCAGTGACTTTGAAGGATATACACGCCGCCGTGCCTAAGCATCTCCTGCGCAGTGAGTCTCCAGCGCCGAATTCTTGACCGCTCGAACTCACGCCACCGCCAGAGGACCCCCTTAAAGCCACCTCGTATGTCTTGCGTGACATTGCCCTCACCGCTCTCCTCTTCAAATTCGGATCATGTATCAACCCTTGGGCTGCATCGGCGTTTGGCGGCAGTCTCAGCCCGGGGTGGCAAGTGTCGATAGCAAAAGCTGGCTTGTGGGCGATGTACTGGTGGACACAAGGCTTGGTATGGGCAGGGATCTTCTGCTTGGGACATGATGTGAGCACCACCATCATTCTACGAAGGAGTCATGATCGCTGATATCATTATTGTTGATCCTGAAACTCGACTATTAGGCAGGCCATGGGACTCTATTCAACTCGTCGATTCTAAATAATGTAGTTGGATTCATTCTGCATACGGTGAGTGTTAGTGGATCAGGGATGTGGTTGCCGATTGTTTACCCTCCCCTCCAGGCACTGTTGATTCCATATTTCGCCTGGCGATCGACACACCATGCCCACCACGTATGTCTTTTCCCATCTCATCACGCATCAAAAGTTTTTTCCCCTCCTTCTGAATTCTGATCCCTACACGTTTTCCACGTCGTATAGAAAGCCACATCGTCCATTGAACGGGATGAAAACTACGTGCCTTACACGCGAAGCGATTACAAGCTCCCACCGAAGGAGCAAGCTCACAAGTTCGACTATGCGGAAGTATTTGAAGAGACGCCGATTTTTACCCTAGGAAGAATGTTGATCATGCAAGGCTTGTGAGTAGCATTTTGATCCTTGATCTTCAAGAACCCGTTCATATATCATGCAATCGAAGCGGGTGGTGGGTCTACCTTGCAAAGAACACCATGGGATCAAAGATGTATCCTCCTGGCACAAATCACTTTGACCCGAACTCCCCGCTATTCAAGCCCGCGCAACGTATGTACCCGTTCGTCTGGTACTGTTCTTTATTTATCAGTCGACGGGTTTTGATTATGCAGGGAACTCAATTATTATATCTAACATTGGATTGACGTGTATGGTGTCATTCCTGTTTTGGTTGGGACCGGGCCTGGTAGCCAAATACTACTTTATTCCATACATGGTGCGCCTTCCTTTTCCCATGGGTGCTTAGACCATTTCGAGCTAATGAAGTGTTGGTCCATGTCGATCCTTCAACACACAGCTAACGAATCATTGGTAAGTATCATGAACGCCTGCTGAACGAAGCTTATTACTGACCCGTACAACTCGTAGGATCGGTACGCCAACGTCATTGGCCATCCAGTGGGTTTAAGACAACTGATCATATTCTCCAGTGATGTTTACGTACCTCCACCACTCTGACCCCACCATCCCACATTACCGCAAGGACGAATGGACCTTCCTACGCGGGGCTGCAGCTACGGTCGACAGGCCCTTACTAGGGTGGATGGGCCGATTCTTTTTCCATAATATCAGCCACGACCATGTCGCTCATCGTACGTCGACCTCATGTGATTGTCCCCCACGAAGGCTCTAACACATCCCGGAATCTAGACTTCTTCATAAGCGCTCCTTTCTGTACGCTCACGCTCTTTGTTGTCTCGTGGTGATTCCTTACATTTGCGGAACCAGATAATGGGCCACAAATCACCGATGCCATCAAAACTGTCTTGAAGGATGATTATAATTATGATTCGACTGTGAGATCCCTTTCCTTCGCTCCTATTTATAGGTTGTTCATGGTCTGTAACCAACAGCCCTCTTTCTATGCTCTTTGGAGATCCTTCACTCAGTGTCTATTCATCGAGGAAGACGAAGATATAGCGTTCTACAAGAACAAACATGGCGAAGCGCTTCGGGTGGTAGATCAAGAATACGAACGGAAGAATGTGTCGAAATCAGGTTAGATCAGCTAGTCTACAAACCCTGGTAACTCGAGCAAAGTCTGATGTGGTTCCCTTCTCAATGATGTCACAATTGTTGACGAACAGTGTAATGCAGTGTATGTCTAACGTCTAATTTTTTTATCCACTATTATGTATGCTATAGCATTAGTAAATATGTTTATCAATGGAGAGAGCAGATTCATCTGACGAGAAGGAAGTACAGTATGGCCTCCTATGGCCTCCTGAGTCACATGATCGCGTAAACGAGTTTTAAAGCCCCGACGCTCGTTGATTGACGCGACGCGCCCGTTCCCACGGCCTGGTGGCTCGAATTCAGCCACAGTGCCGTTCGGCGTTTACCCATCTCTCAACTCTTCCCTCTTCTCCTCGTCCTCCCCTTTCTCCCTGCGCCGCCTCCGTTTCTCTTGCTCTCTCTGTGCATCTAGACGCCTTCCTATCATCCTAATTCTGAGACCTGCTTTTTCACGCGACTTGGATTGAGGGGAGTTCTTATTGTTATCAATTGAATAGGTATGCTTCTTTGCGCGTCTGGGATCAGAGCTTTGACCGACGTAACGTGACTTCGCGTAGGAAGTGCCGCTGTGCATATTATTCCTCTTCGTGTCTTTTCTTCACCGCCTCCACGTATATCGTCTGTCGGTCACACATCATCTCAATGACCCTCGAGAACTCGGACCTCAACATGTCAAGACTATCGCTAAACTCATCCAGTTCTCAAAGCGAAGACTGGGATAGATCACTTATATTAGAAGACAACGAGCCCCCGTCGACATCCTCGTCATCGACTACCGAAGACGCTACAACGACATCGGAGTCGATGGCCTCTTCAACATCGACGATGACCCCTCGGAACTCGGTAGCATTCCCGGCTGAGAGTGAGGGGACACCACGGCGACATGCACGAGAAAGTAGTGGGGGGTATACTTTGGCTGGGAAGGGAAAGAGGTCGCTGAGCGAGCTCATGAGGCTTCACGCGGAAAAGGGCACAGATTGCAAATTCAGCCCCGAGGAGGCTTCAAGAGTGGCAGATGTACTTGGACAGTGGGTACGTGCCGTTTAACTACCCTCCTCTATCCTCCCTGTATATATGTCGATGGTCGAAACGAGTCATTTACTCATTTATAACATTTACTGTAGATCAATGCGTCTTCGTCTCCATACGAAGCCGAAGATGATTTCTTTCGCTCTCAAGATGACCTATCATCGGTTCTCTCGAAACGAGCGAGTCGTGCGGATTTGAACGCGCGACCAAGGGGGCAGAGTGAGGGCTGCTCGCGATCATCATGATGTAGGATCGTCATCGGCATTGCTTCCCAGTCTAAACACCCCTAGTGAGGTCCAGGAATTCTGGTTTTTCTTCGTTCTCGTCTTTTATGTGCTGTTTAACTATCATTAACTTATTTAGTCACGATCTTTACGACTTTTTCACGACCCCTTCACGATGATTACGACAACTCACGTACCTATCTATGGCCATTACGCTATCTTCCTAGATTAGTTATTTGAAGAAGGAGTCTCTGTTGTATGTAGGGGAACGGTTGGTGATTCCAGTGTGGGTGGAATCCACCCACACTCTCTGCCCAGTTCAAGTCACCTAAAGAAACCTTTCAGGAGTAAGGTCAGGAAAGTCACATGATCATTACGTTATGAAAGCACAGTGTCGATCGGCATCTACTCTTTACTTCCTTCTTCACGTTGACAGCCACCATCACGACCAACCCGAACGTGGCCAATCGTTGGCCCCTCCTCTACCCTTTGGGTCTTCAGGTACGCGTCCAGCGTTGCATCCCAGGCATTGATTCCACCAACCCGATGTTTCAAATGGAAGGACTCAGGAGTGCCGCCCACAGGTGCTTGATAGAACCACTTCGTGTTATAATCATCGTCAATAATGTCGTTATTCTCGTATGATTTCTGCAGATCGCATTCAGAAAATTTATGCTTGAGAATGGTTGCCAGTACCCACCCCAGCCATAACGATTCTAGCAGTACCCTTGCCTGCGCCCGCAAGGGAACCATGCGAGATGTAAAAGTCGATCGGGGAGCCGTCATTGACGACGTAGAAGCTAACGAAATGTAAGTCACATTCGACCTTTTCCGATTCAGAGTAAAAACTGACTTGATTATCTCGCGATAGTAAACATGCGACTTCTCTTTACCGAAATTGACCTTCGTCTCACTGATCACAGTGAGGTTCGGTATCCTCTCGCCTGGCAAGATCACAGCGCTCGGAGTAATCAGGCCGAACTCAGCCCTGGCACATGAGGTCAAGGTGAATTCATTCGCTCCGGAGACTAAGATCCGACTTACCAGTCAGACTCGACATGCAGAGTCACAGCAGTTTTGTAGACGGATGGGTTGTTTAGAATGAACAAGAAGGCAGTTTCGATCCTGGCCGCGGCATCTTGTAGGTATTCGCTGCTCGAGAGCTCCATCACTGTCCAGAGCTCTGTAACAACCAACCCAGAAAGCTGAGACGCGTGGCTATCAACGCTGTCGGCCCACTTCTGGAACTCGTCGTATTTGGATGGATTCTGCATAATCCTCCCTGCAGTTTGAGGATCCCCTCCTTGAACCGAGTTGGAGTACTGAACAATGTTCTTGAACGTCTGGTAATGTGCCTGTTGCTTCACAGACTCGTCATACTCGCCGCCGCTGGGGATTCCTCCGTAATATGCCCTAATGTAAGCCGTCCATTGAGCGTTAATTGTTTGATCGGAATTATCTCCCCAAGCTTGCTGTTCTGTATCAGTGATGGATTTCCTCCGTCGTAGCAGCCGAGTCGCTCACCAATAATAATCGGGACCCTCGACGAACTTTGGTGATGAGATGGGTTCCATACGTGTCAAAGAAGTTTTTGTACGCAGCAACCGTAGTCTTGTTGTCGCCGTCAAACTGCTCTGGTAGTCGCCGAATTGCTGCCGCCAAGGGATTGACTTGTAGGAGACTGCCGTAGTTCTTCAGCTGTGCCAGGTACCTATTCTTATAGAAGCAGTAAAAGGCCCATTGGTTGGTGTTTCTAAACATCTTGTTGGTCGCTGCGTTGACAGATGCATTTCCTGTGACCCCGCAGTACAAGGATGCAAGCGACCCGTCATTCTGGAACGAAAAGCTTGCTTCGCCACCGGTCTTGTAGGTAGTGAAAGTGCTGCTAATGGTATTGGCGTCAGCAGACACGCCTATAGCCTTGGGCACGGCGTAGGTAACTCCATCTATCGATGCTTGTAAGTTGGCCCGTGTGTATTGCAAGGGGCGATCCTCACCGACTTCATAGGGTCGAGTGTCGTATTCGTCGTAGTCAAGAAGACGGACAGGAGCCCGTATGGACTCGATCACCTGTTGTGATGTTGAGTACGGTGCAATACTGGCGCACAGGGAACAGCTCCTACTGCGTCAACCTTCAAGGGCGTTGTGGTCAACATGTTGAGTCCATAGCCCAGCTGTTCGACAGGCGGGAATTCCATCACCGAAAGAGAATCTGAGTATTCTTGAGAGGCAGGTCCTGTACCAGAGCGATGGTATAGTGAGCCTCTACTGCTTGGGTAAACTTATATACTCCTCCTATAGCCCTAGAACCAGTGTCGTATCCGTTATTCGGACATCGCCTTCATCCGAAGGCAGGGAGATTGGTAGGTGAGCATAATGTTCTTCCTCTTCGTTTCCGCTCTGAAAGCGCCGCGCGTTATCGCTTGTAAATAGGCAGTGCCCCCTATGTCCGCCCCCGAATATCAAGGCGTGGAGTCGTAAGAAGTACAAACTCCATCCGTTCCAGGTTGGAACATTCGGAAACAAAAGGTACGTCTAGAAACAATGTAGAACATGAGAACCCCCGTGTGTTGGTCTCATGTCACGGAGCAATGTTGTAATACTTCATTTTGGGGTGACGTGCTCTGATGCATACTTCGCCTCCGTTGACTTCCCCGGTCCCAGAATTTTCTATCCACTCCTACGGAGCGTGGTCAGTTACGTCAACGCACTCACTACTTCCTTCAGGTCCGTTCCTCAACACACGTTGTTGTCATTTGACAGAGCCAGGTACGCCACTCTTTGACCGCATCCAGAGGCTAAACGGCACTAACGTTCTCATACATGCCGTTGCACTTTGATTGTGTCCTCTGAAAAAGAAACAAAAAAGGAGCAGCGACCATTGAGGATCATATTCAGCTACACACGCCCAATCCATACATGAAGATTAATCCACTACGTCAGCAATGGCCCCCTTGAGTCGGACATCTCCCTCTACGGTTACTGGAACATGGTAGAATTCTCGGGCGTGTTTGTCGGTATTGGTGTAAGTAGTCTGGGCCAGGATGAGTTCGTGTTTCCCCACATGTTAGATGAATATCTTACTCCATTTACGACGACTTTCGCGTGTCCCACATCACGCTTGATAGAGATATCAATGGGGCTACCATCGTTTACAATGTAAAACCTGCGAAAAGCAAATTAAACGGGGTTGACTGAAAGAGCGGCTAGACGTACGGAACGATGCGAGTTACTGGCGGAGAGTGGGCTTTCCCGACGCGTATCTTAGTTGAGCTGAGCCCAATTACATCCTGGGTTGTAGGGTCGAAGGCAGGCAAGGGGCCACCGACGCCAATAGTAGCGCCAGGAGTCAACAAATCGAGCTCCGCGACACCTGTCTTGCCTTCCAACACAACCAAGGTCGTGATGATGCTTCGCTTTTGCTGCGCAACTATGGCATTGAAAGCGGCCTGGAGCGAGTCTGCGCTATCTCGTAGCTCGGAGACGTCAGAGTCGCGAAGCAAATTCCAAAGCTCCATGGCAGTGATGGAGGACAGTACGGAATGGTCTCTGGCAGAGTCTGCCCATTGTTGGAAAGTATCGAAGTCGTAGTCGTCTTGATTGAGTCTCTCAGCTAGCTGGGGGTTTCCGCCAATGGCCTTGAAGATGGTCTGAGCAAGTGTATTGAAGATCTGATACTGTCTTTCATTGTAGACTGTGACGTCGTATTCACCCCGGTCGTTGAGTCCCTTCAGGTGTGCGGTGACATCTCTGGACCAATTATCGTTGACATCGGGATATTGGTTCGACCCCCAGACGGCCTACCTAGCATTTGAGCATGGTAAATTTGGAGAAGGGAGGGTAGCATACCGCAGAGCAACGGGCACCGAAACTGGTACCCATGATGACATGGGTTCCAAAGTCCTTGAAGAACTTAGCATAAGCGTCCATAACGTCTGGGGTCTCGGTGAACGGCTTCGGGAGCGCGGATACACTCTCAAGCAGTGTGCCTTGATTAATCAAATCCATATACTCCCGTAAGGAAGCGGTGTACGTGTCTGTCTTGTAGTTCCAAAAGGCGAACTGGCTGGCCTCTGGAAGAGACTTCTCGAAGGGGTACGAAGTCAGATTCGTCTTCACAACTAGTTGGTCGGTGACACTAGTGCTATCGAGGAAAGCGCGAAGAGCCTCGGCACCAGATAGGTAAGTAACGTAGTTCGAATTAACACCAGACTTCGCACTGGCGCTAACTACGCTGGGGATCGTATATTTCACACCGTCTAGAAACACGGTGAGCATGATGAGTTTGATGCCAATACCACAGCGTACCAATAGTAACGGTACGCTCTTTGAGGTCTTTGTCGGTTTCAATGATGAAATGACCTTTGACAAGCCTTTCGACCTTTGACAATACGGTCATTAGTGAGGAAGTCTAGTGCGATATAGAAGGTATCTTACGGATCTGATGTTGAAAGGAGTCAGCGAGGTCATGTCGATTCCCCGACCCAACCAGTCAAGTGCCCCAAGGCGCGGGGGTTCTTCGTCGAAGGTGCTCATGTTGAGGTTGAAGTTGTTTGCAAAGTCTACAGAGTCAGCAGTGAATTTGGGGGGATGTGATTCTATCTACCACTCTGTATATGTGACCCCCAGGCGAGTACGACGAGTCTGGACGGACGCCTGTATGTCAACTCCGTGTCGTAAAGATTTGCATCTCAGAATCCATTGGGCCGAATAGAATGATGGTATGTTCTCTTCTGTTCGAGTGGTGCAGATAGACGGGGATGCGGTGATTGAACCTTGCTTCAATGTTCCACTACTCGCTCGGTGATTCGAACGCAACTCGGAACCGTGCTCTTGACATGGGAAGAAGAGCAGGGAGAACCACGGTAAAGAGAAACGTTGCACCATTCTGTATCCTATGGACGTAATACAGTAAAGAGGAGTGCGATAAATACTGGGATAGCTCACCAGTTGTTTTCATTGTGTTCTTGACCTCCTAGAACTTCACATACCGCGCCTTCCAACTCCATACACCTATCTCAAACATGGCTCGTGAACTACCCGCCGTCGAACACTTAGGGTACAGTCTCAACATGCTTGAAGTTACCCCTGCCGACATTAACTCGGTAAGACAGTATAGTGTACCTGCAGAATGTAGTCGATCGGCTGATATATACTATCCAATGCTTCTAGCTTACCGTAGCCGTCAAGAGAGGTCGCCGAATCCTGCAGTTTTACCCCGATGAAGATACTCGCGAAGTTACCATCGGTAGGTTAAACCGGGTGGTATGTACGCCCTAAGAGGCTTATCTCGAATGGCCCAAACAGGTAAAGAGGTCTATAACGTCCCCCGTTGCATTGGAATCTCGTCGATAAACAGCGTCAATGGTGCCTATACGACCTACAAGTCCGGGTCAGAGGCAAACAGCTACTTCGAAGCTGACGCGTCATTGTCTGTGCGATACCTCGGCGTCTCCGGGAGTGTCTCTGCTTCCTACGCCACCGAGAAGATGTTTCGTCAAGAGAATCAATACGCGTTCTACTCGTTCAATTCCTCTACCTACGTCGCTGTGTTGCGCGACTGGGCCGATTTATTGAACGAGACCGCGTTGAAGAGGAGGCTGGAAACCATGCCGAGGCCTTTCGATGCGAATAACGAAAGCCATGTCAACGAGTGGAAAGAGTTCTTTGACTCATGGGGCACTCATGTGATCTTGAACGCAACATACGGAGCAAGATATCAGTTGGTTGGTCTTTTAAGCCCTCTTATCAGTTAGAGATGACATACCTTCGTTACAGGAAGTTCACGCATCGAACTCGGAGAGCTCTGTCAACAATCGCTTCTCCAGTAGCGTTCAAGCCTCTTACAACGGCATCATGGCTGGCGGGGATTTCGATGCGTCAGTCAAGTCGGAGGAGCAGTACAAGACTTTTACGGATTTCAAGCAGCAAAACATTGCTGTCAAGGGTGGCGATGCGAACCTCTCCAATAGGTTGGGAGCGATACCTTCCGATTATGACCTTTTCATCGAATGGGCCGAGTCGGTCGCGTCTTTCTCCGACCTGTGCAACTTTACGATCATCGACGTCTGGACTTTAATGAGGGAGGCAGTTGCCAAAGAACTGAGGGATCTGGCGGGAGACGCAGAGAAAGCGTACAAACACTTGTCGTCGCACCGCAATGTTTACCAGACGCAGGTGACATTGACCATCGAGTCCGACTGGTGGGTTTTTTATCTGCCTTTACATAACGGCCGGCAGTGATTCGTTTCCGTGCTTAGGGCCGAATTCGGGTTACTGACTCCTAGTGCCGTCATCGTTCCGGCCCCCAACGCAGAAATTCCATCGAAGACGGTCTTCACAGAGACCCGTGTCCAATGGGGCAAGGAGTTCAGCCACCAATACGAGCGCAAAGACATCAGGTATGTCCTACCCATACTGAGTCCCCTGTGGATTTTGAGCCAGGCAAATAAAGGTTCATGATCATCAACGACGGCTCACCAATCGATTTCTACATTTCTCACGGGAGTAAAGCGGGACAAGGCCAAGGAAAGGCAACTGTGATCATCGAGTCGGTGCGTAGCTTGAAGAACCTCTGGGAAAGCCATTCATTGAATATCTTGCAGGCCCACTATACGAATGACAAGATCACCGATAACTTCTGGAACACCGAGTGGTACTATCAGAAGCCAGCCGCAGGAAGAAAGATCCCTACAAAGTTGTCTCGCTCCAAAGCTCCGCAGAAATGGTCCAACGTCTTGAGTGGGTATCTGCACGAAATCGGGTTCTACGAGCACAAGGATGCCAACGTTGCAGCTGCCGAAGAGTTACTGGAATTGGAAGAGGCCGCAGAATAGATTGTAGTTAGGTTCGTGACCATTGTCACTCGAAGAGGAAATCGCCGAGAGCGTACATATCACAGAAGAGTGTATCCTTTGAACAACCTTGAAACTTTGTGCAGCCGGAGTCGGGCGCTAAGCGTGTATGTAAGCGTGATTTGCACCCGACCTTTGGAACGCACCGTGACGTCATTGTGCAAGGCCATTCTCTTTCACTCCCTACCCCTACGGCGGCAGACGAGAGACACGATGGCTGACTATGTTCGCCGCCTTGTATCGGGAGACAAAGCGCGCTTCAAGGATGAAGACATGCATCTGGAACTCGGTATTATAATCGTTTCGTTGCTTTGGGTGATATCTTGGCTGATCTTTGTATATCCTAGACCTGGTGTATGTTACAGACCAAGTCATTGTGATGGGCTACCCAGCTGCAGGTATTGAGGGCTTCTATCGTAACAAAAGGGAAGACGCGAAGAAATTCCTGGAACGTAGACACGGAAATAATTTCTGGGCAAGCCCGAAATCAACAAGCGAATCTTGAAGCTGTACTCACCTTTGGAAGCGCAGGTATTCAATTTCTGTCCAATAAAAGAGAATTCGTATCCATCCAGTGTTTTTGGTGGGAGGGTCAGCAGATATCCCTTCCCCGACCACCAGTAAGTTGTGCTTCATCCTTTCGACTGTGTACTGATCTCGCGATGTCCAGTGCTCCACCTTTGGCGATTATGCCCTTGCTAGCCCGCGAAATGCGCGCATGGCTGAGCGGCTCGTCAGAAAGGGTTGCAGTCCTACACTGCAAAGGTGGGCGACACAGAATCTCCACCTGAATACGCCTTCAATTATCTGTAGCTGGGAAAGGTAGATCGGGAACTATGGCTTGCACCTACTTGTTATCTCTCGATGACAGCCTAGCAGCTCCACGGTCTGAACGGGGGAATGAAACAAAACTGTTAGCGGAGAGGAAAGCCGACGAATTGATGCAGGCCGTTCCAGAGGATGAAGAGGATTCCGCAGCGCAGGACGACGATGCAACTGATCAGACGGACCCGAAGACTTCACATAAGCAGTCTCTGACGAGTGTTCTTGAGCTGCATACTTCGAGGAGGATGAAAGCGTCCTCGTCCCCCAACGGAAAGGTCAAACAGGGTGTCAGCATTCCCAGTCAACGACGATGGTTGCACTACTGGTCGCTGATACTTGCCCATGAGGCGCCATCCAACCTCTGGCCCGCCGTGACACCAAAGCCTCCGTCGCCCAAGGTTCGCCTGACAGAGATGCAAGTGCGGATGCGGGAGCCCTCGACGATGAAAATGGGGCTGGTGAAAGCTGCGAACATAGTCATGGGGTATACGTCCAGTAAGAATGCGAGTATTTCGAAGTTGGCGAATGGGGGGAAGAGGGGCGGACAGATTTGGGCGTCGCTTGCGAGGTATGACGATGGGCTTGTGGACTTGTTGGAGAGGTGGGAGGTGCAGACGAGAGATGAGTTGTCGGGACATATGGGTCGTCGAAAAGCAGGATCGGAGCATATGGACGAGGAGGAGCTGAGCAAGGTATTTGAAGATGGGACGTGGGATCATAAGAAGATGGTGCGAAGCTTTGCGAGGATGGGTACCACGGAGGAGCACGCTACCACCAAAGAGGGCGAAGAAAAGGTAAGAGGTTCCATCATGACAATAACACCCACTTACAGGGAAAAGACTACGGCGTACACCTTACGACCACTGAATAGTGATGCGTGGTCTGATTTACGAAGTGGCTTGAAGCCGTCTGGTGGCGAAGGGGTACAACTGGATGGCGTTAATATCCCATCTTCCGAGACCAACTCCATCTACGACGTGACACAAACCCTCAAGGGCGATAAGGGGATAATCCTGGACGCTGCAAGAGAAGTGCGCATCAAGCTGTATATGGGCCAGGTGAGTAAACAGTGCGAAATTGTTGCTGTTACGACTCAACTTCATCAACATCTATCTCCAGGTATTCATGGGGTGGTTCTGGTTCATACCGACGTTTCATATGGGTGAATTCCTGGGACCTGCGAAATTTACCCTCAGTAAGAAGGATATCGACTTTCCTTTGGGGATTGGAAGTGCGATTCTTGATGTGGAGATACTGATGGAGTGGGTTTCTGAGGGAGAGCCGCTTCAGCCTGCGGCAAGGCAGACGAGCGAAGATGCGTTGGTGAAAGGAGAGAACGAGCCCGCAGGGTTAGCTCCAATGCTTCCATTGGTCAGCGAACCCATGGCGCCGGCGGTTGAGGTGAAACAAGCTGCAGAAGATTAGACTTGAAGATAAAATATAAAAGTGGATGGGGAAGAAAGATGTTACAATAATGGTACAATGGTTTTCATTCAAGATATGTGTGCTGGTGAATTAAAGTTACATGATTCGGAGTTCCATGCTTGGAAGGGAAACAATATGAGTGTAGATAAAATAAGCAGCTGGTCGTAGATCATGTCGTGAAGTAATGGATGGAGGTATCGGCGGGCGGAGTGAATGGATAGATGCGTAGGGATGCTGTCAAACGGGAATTTCGGCCTCTTCTTCAGCTTTGAGTCGTAGTTCTCTTGCTTCGATTTTGAGCATGGAGAGGTCGTCGGTCAGGTTAATTTCGTCGCCTTCAGACCAGTGGTTGAGCGCCCATTGGCGGACATAGACACTAACCTACGACATTGTGTTAGCCACGTGGCGTTGAAGAGCATACGCAATGAGGCACTAACCTTCATATACCGTTTAGCGGCGTATTTGGCGTAGAGATTCACATGAGGAGGCTCGCTAAGGACGTAGTTGACCATCATATTTGCGATGGGAATAACCTCCTCTTCCGAATAGGATGAGTAATGAATGAGATTATGAGTCTAGGCAAAGGAGCGTGAGTGGTGGCGTTGTAGAGTGAGGAGTTCCACGTACCCATTCCTCTCGACCGAGGACCAAGCGTCCAAGCCACATAGCTGCGGCTGCAAGAAGTGACGGGGGCGTAGCCATCAACACCCAATCGACACAGGCGATCTCCATTAAGTATTTTCCAACTGTTCGTGTTTCGATGTTCAAGTCATCGGCTTTACTGATCCTTCTCAGAAAGTTCATGGGACTCGGATAGCTGAGGTTCCAGTTGAGCGTTTTGAGCATGAACCGTTCTGCGCGGAATAGTTCATCGGTGGTGTATTGGCCGCCAGACAGATAGACCATCTCTTCGACGGTGGGGGACATCATTTCTTCGAATTTGCAGGCGACGTAGAATGCTGAGAGGCCAACTAGCTGGAACTTTGGGGCTGAAACGGGGCGTGCGGAGAGAAAGCGATCCATGAGATTAATGCAAAGGAAAAGGGTTTCTGGGAGGAGCTTGAAGTGTTTGTGAACCTGGATAATCCAGTCGACCAAGATTCCACGTTTCACATGGTCTAGCTCAGGTTGCATGTCCATGTAGTTTGGGTTCGGCATAGTGGTCAGCTGAGAAGAACGACGTTAGGACGTCTACGAGAGAACATAGAACAACGACTTACTTCCACTTCTTTAAGGTAGGCAAATATGTCATTTACGTATTCGCTAACCATCGCTGGGTCATCGTGATCTTCTTCATCCAAGTCGTCCCAGAGTTGAGGCTGCGATGGCGCCGAGAGGAGGTTAGCTACATCTTCGACCTCGATTGTGGAATTGTCCAGCATTTCCGGAGGTGACGTATGCAGCTTTTTGTGCGCACGTTGAATTTCTGGGTCATCTTCAACGTCCTCGACTTCGACAACGGGTGGCAATTTCGAGGGAGGTTTGGGACGCGTGAACACTGGGGATCTTGGCCTGTCGACTACGGAAGTACTGGGTTTCGGCTCCTCCGTAATGACCTGCTGTGCCACCTTCACCGAGCTCCGAGTCACTCTCCGAACAGGTATAGCGCTGCCCCCCACTGTCGAGAGTGGCTGACGGGTTGGCACTTTGGTGGTTGGCTTCGTCGTCGCATCATCTACAGCCTTCCCTTTCCCCTTGACTCCTTCAATCTTCTTTGGAACCTCAGTCAGAGCCTCGCGTTTGCGTTTCACGGCGGGTTGGGGGGCATTCTCCTTCTTGACAACTCTCGCTTTCGATGCTGCTGTGGGAGCTGTGGCCCTGGACTTTCCCGCAACAGCATTGGTAGAAGTAGAGGGCTTGGATGTTGCCTGAGCCTTGGAGCGAGTGACGACAGCGTTCGTTCCCGCGTTAGCATTTTCGTTAGCTAAACGACTACTTGTCCGAGTGACCCGGGTAGTTGTTGTTCGTCGTTGCTGGAGACATGGATTAGTAGAATAGAGATAATTGATATATGGCTCACCATTTAATATGACCTTGTATGTTTCCAGAACAACTTTAATGATCATCCGGGTGTAGGATATCGCGTCGATGATGGAAGAACCACTGAAGAACCCTTAGCGTGTTCAAGGAGCGCGTCGCGTCACGTTACACTATTTTCCCACACACCCTACTCTCTCACATGACTGGACAGTTTAGCGCCCCCGCGGCCCTCAGGGCCACTGCTTATTATTAGTGCGTTCTAAGTTGGGTAGCACTACCTAGTGCCGAAGACCGGTCGCTCGGACTTACTCCACCGCGAATGATCCAAAGATCAAGGTAACGTTAGACTGCCACCACATTACTCCAATACAGGTGCTGATGCTACCCGCTACCTACAGTTTCCTTTGAAATGGAGTAACTGCAGCAGTCACTGGCGGATCACTGCAACTTTCGTCCGTGCCGTAGATCGATCCTGCCAGGTTGGTGGCAGGTAACAATATTCAGCCTAAATCTCGAATGGCTTCGGATGATCAGGATGTAGCCGCACAGCCCAAGTCAACTGGAATTTGACCGTCGTTGCGTCTTTTATTCTCCCGGGCCGCTGTCTTTCACCTTCGTTGTGACGAAGCCTTTATTTTTCCTGGATATTCCCGAGGCCGCATAGCGGGTCCGTCACAAGGTCACTCAAGCATATCACTTGTGTCGCGAACTCATGAAGACTTCTCATGCATATCATATAACTGTCACTAGGTAACGAACTCTCATCAGAACACCATCGAATCCGTGCGTTTAGTAACCGACGGTCCGCAATAAAACGCTTCGTCTGGGTTTACATGTACACTGCGGCACGCCTTTGCGGCGGTATGCCTTAGCAGTGGTATGTAGCCTATATCACAGGTTGCGAGATTTCGGCGAGATTTAAGACTTATGCTCAGCCTGCTCATATATAAGCCATCACCACACCCTTTTATTCCTCGCTTACATCCCGTATGTTGCTCGCGTCACTCTTCTGTCTCTGCACGCTAGCAAGCTATGCGCTCAGCTTTGGGCTTACCGAGTCTGGCAACAGTTATGTAGTCGATACCAGCGCTGGGCTTGTCTTTACCGGTCAGTCTCAGCGGTGCTCCTCAACATAACAATATACTGACCTAATCCAAAGTGGAAAAGACGTCGGGGGATATTACCTCCATGTTGTTCAACGGTATTCAGGTGAGCTCGCCCTTGGGCCCACGCTGTGACTTGAATTGACGATATGGCGAAGGCACAAGATCAAAGCAAACGCAGCCACATTGCATCAGGGATCGGAGCCTCTTGCTCATGGACCCGAGGCGGAAATTCGAACAACTACATTACCATCACCTGTACAGCAGGCTCAGTGACTCAGTACGTCTCCATTCTCTGACTCTACAGCGTGTGGCTGAAGTCTACTCTAGATATTACGTCGCTCGGTACACAGACCCCGCTATCCACATGGCAACATAGTAAGCTTAAAGCGAACTTCTAAGGATGGAGTGTTGACCATTTTGCGTAGCATCTCTGCCGAACCGTCCGTCGGCGAACTTCGTTTCATTGCAAGGCTTAACAGTAATACGTTGCCCAATGGCTACCCACAGTCTAGCATCAGAGGTGGCTCAGCCATCGAAGGAAGCGATGTCTACAATGTCAACGGTCAAACACGATCCAAATGTGCGTCTGTCCTCCTAAATGGCAATATAGCTACATATCTGTTACTCTAGTTTATTCGTCAAGGCAATTCATTGACGATCAAGTCCACGGTGTAACCGGCAACAACATTGGTGCCTATATGATTATCCCTGGAACAGGCTACGAGGGCAGTTCTGGTGGGCCATTTTTCCGTGACATCAACAACCAAGGAGGTAAGTAACTTTACCCAAACATCCCACAAGCAAAAATGTTGAACTCTCGTAGGCGACCAACAGGAACTATACTACTGTAAGTCATAAAGCTTTACATCGTGGTGGTACACGGCGCAAACTACCTTTCCAGATATGGTATTTGGATACAATTCTCCTACTGCTTACTTGACTCTGAACCAATGAATTTAGAATTCTGGGCATACGCAAACAGAGAGTACGTCAAAGCATCACTCCAGTTTCCCCTTTATTCACTATGGTATAGGCAATCGAATGGGCTTGCATGGGCCATATGCTCTTTGGTTCACCACTGGAGGCGCTCCATCGGGTTCGATAAGTAGGATTCCTCGTCGGTTTTTTCTATGACCCTCTCATTCTGACACGCGAACCATCAGACACCCAATTCTGGGAGGGACTCTCAATCAATGGTCTCGTCCCTTTGAGTGGGCGTGGACGTATCACCGGAAAGGCAACTGGGTTCCCTTCAGGGTTCTCGTCGCTGATGTCCATCGGGTGGAGCAACTCAGCTGCACAATACTGGTAATTACACATGAATGTCCCATCTTATGCCCGACGATGCTGAATTGCTGACCCCCTCAAGGGCGAGAACCGATACCAGTGGTAATTTCGTGTCGCCGTACATGAAGCCGGGAACGTACACGATGACCTGTGAGTATCCGCGCCTCGGCGTGAATGCAACAGCTAGGTTCTGACCAGATTGCAGTATACAAAACCGAGTTGGCTGTTGGTTCTCAATCGGTGAGTGTCTCTGCAGGTGGAACGGGGTCGTCAAATATCGCATATTCGGAATCAGTAAGTTCGGTAAATGTGTTGAATTTTAAGAAGCTATAAACATCCCCAGAATCCTTCCGTCATCTGGCAAATTGGCGACTTTGATGGAACGCCTAGAGGCTTTTTGAATGCCGAGTGGGTGGCGATTTCTCGCGTCCTTTATCGCAAGCTAATGCTTTTCGCAGCAAAATAGAGACCATGCAGTAAGTATGTCAGTGCTTCAGTGAAATCGTATTCACTTGGCTTCCACGTCCGTAGCCCAAGTGACAGCCGAATGAGTAGCTGGGGCCCAAGTAAGCCTTTCCTTTTGTCCACATACTCCATCCAGATTCATCTCACTTGGCCCGCAGTTACATTCACAGTTGGCTCAAATATCAACGGCTTTCCGATGGCGATTTTCAAGGTGAGTCTACTTTTTGCCAAGCCGCCCAATTTGAATGACCTCCATGCTATAGACAATTGGCGCGGTTACGGTCCGCTTTACTCTGAACTCGAATCAACTCGGCGCCAGGACCCTGCAGATTGGAACCACACTGGCCTTTGCAGGTACTCTATCTTTGCTTGGCCCACAACAGACGGTGCTGAGGCCCTTTTGCATATAGGTGGCCGCCCTCAAGTGACTGTAAACGGATGGTCGGGACCCCAACCTCCAGCACCCTCCCAACCTGATAGCAGAGGTGTCACGCGCGGAACTGTAAGCATCCCTCTTGCATTTCTTGGGTTATTTGGGTTGATGTTAACGACACTCTATGTTAGTGGCGAGGAAACGTAAGTGGTATTTCTTGAATCACCTTGCTATTCATCGTTTCATCATCAATCAGAACATTATGTATACCGTCAACATCCGTAAGTATTCCTTCGTGCATCGAATATCGGATCTCTCACGAATGAAATACCCAAAATGTTAGCTTCGGGGACACTCGTGAGTGGGACAAACACCTTGGTGATCAACGTCATTTCCGGCTCGTCGGGCGATCAGTTCTTGTACGTTCTCATTTCTCGCTTCGTGTGGGCCAAATGAATATAACTCTCTCCTAAGGTCGCCAAATGTTGTCTTCGACGCCATTAGGCTATACTAGTAGTTAGGACCAATACTGAAAACCATGGAGTACTGATCTCTCGCTGAATGTATATGTCTTGTGTGATGCAGACGTGCTCGAGGTCCTCTGCCCATATGCAGCGCTGTAGAATGCGAGCAAGGCTCTACCATGAGCAACTAAGAGAAAGCTGGCTAAGATTGAAAGTCTTGCTGAAATTGCCAAGATCCAGCTTAAGTTTCCTGCCCATATTGCTAGCCCGCCAGAGAGGCAGGCAGGAGAGACCAAGAAGTACGGAAAATGATGATCCATAGTAGACATAGTGTACCTACGGAGTGAAAGGTGGTATCCCTACGGCTGGAAGAATTTAGTGTGTCAGCCTGTGATCAGGAGGAGCGAGCAGATCTTGACCTCTTCTTTGTGGTTGTCTTCACCGTTGTACAAGTCGTAAGCACCTCGCGGATGTCCGTACGCCCTGGAGGGTGGGATTGCCAGAGATGATCAAATGTACGTACGGGTGTTTCTGTTATAGCTTGCCCGGTGCCGTGATTCTAATCAAAGGAATCCAAGAATCGAGCGGACACTAACCATGCGAAGTTGTGGCCGTTCACATGAGTTCCCCTACCCAGCAGTTCGTGTAGCTAAAGAACGCCGCCTTCTGAAAGCAGTGCTGGGCCCAAGGTGTACGTATTGATCATCGACGAGGGACGCTGAATGGTCCGGAGGGCGTTGCCAAGAGGTTACGTTCATTCACGTGGCGCCCCTGAGCCCCTTTCTAACTCGGTTTCCAAGGTAAGTTGAAACGCGCTACTCCAACTTCGATAACCCCTTCAATTTCACAAACAGCAACACCTGCTGTCGCTGTCCGCAAGCAGTGTGTTGAACACGCTCTTTACTTCGACATTTGGGCCTGGTTGTGCCCTAGTTGGCCATGGTTTCTGACGGAATGCAGATTACGATACCAGGTGTGCCTTCGTTGTCTCGTTCTCATGTCAAATTGAATTTACGGACATTTTGTAGACTTCGACGACAATGAGTATGGTTCAGCCCCAATTCCGTTCGGCCGGTCTGCAAACCCTTTCGGAGGTGGTGGAGGAGGAGGCTTGGGACTGAGTGCTTCGTCGTTCAGTGCGTCCGCGTTTGGGAGCTCAGGATCAGGTCAGGATTCCCCGACAATCACAACGCCACTGGCGGACCGTTGGGACAAGAGCCACGGTCGCGGGGATTCTGTTGCTTCTGTGGACTCTGCAAATTCTTTCACTACCCGTTTCGCAGCCAAGTCACACAATCCATTTTCGAATCATGCCCCACAACCTTCCACTAGCTCGTCTCCATTCACGAAGAAGCCCTCATTCGCGTCCATTCGCAATGCTTTCAAAAGTAGCGCAAAGACAGCGACCTCGGATACTCCCCCGCCCGTCCCACAGTTCGACCTTCAGGCGTATCCTGTCCTCAAGAACCCATTCAACCGTTCCAATTCTTCCTTGAACCAGCGCCAAGCTGCTATGAGCCCGCCGTATGCGAGACCATCTACGCCTGGTTCGGCCGACTTCAAGTTTGGTCGTTCGCGGAACAAGAGCCACACACCCGGCAAGTCTCATCATTCGCAATCTGGGTCCATCTTCCACGTCTCTGACGCCGGGAGTGACTATGGGGCAACACCGCAATTCTCGTCGTCGCCTCCTCCAGTTCCCCGCGTCCCAAACACTTATGGGTTTGCATCTCGGAGCGAAACACCAGATATGGACGACGACAAGGTTGTGATGGATCCCAAGACGCCATCGGACTACGCCCTGCATGCCGTCTTCATGCGATTTGCGTCGGTGGCTGAAAGCAAGATATCAACATTTCTCCGTAATACCGCACAAGATCCCTCTCTTCCAGCCACACTTGCTGTCGGGATTGACCCCAAGTTCGACGACACCCTTCAATCCCTCGCGAAGATAGCACAAAAGAACTGTAAACCCGTCGTTGACTCGATCATGCGGTGGCGGAAAAGCCAGCAACAAGAGCCTGTGGGTACGGACATCATCAACATACACACCACCTCCCGTGATCGATCCTACGACATCTCCACTCTCCTCGCGGAACGCAAGGCTTTGGCGTCTATCTACATCATGTGCCGCGCGCTCATTGCAGTATTGCAAGCAGCTTCGAGGGAAGCTCTCGGCGACACACTTGGCTACAGTCTTGAGGACACAACCTTTGAGCAGTTCAGGAGACCTGACCTCAAGTTGCTCGCTCAATCTGCAAATCATCGTGCTAATGCAGAGTTATATGCCACACTCATAGGTCTCTTAGCAAACATTCGGTAAGTGCTACAGATGTGGCATTATTGACGAGAGTTAATCTCTCTGCAGTTTTGTGAGCGTGACAGACCGCTTTCTCTCCGAGCTTGGGCCTGTTGCTTCTGGCCAAGTGCCCAAGGACTCGGACATGAAATATGAGAACCTCCTTCAGGGACTTCGCCATGTCACCATCAAGGTATCTTTATAATCGACTAGTTAGTGTGACGCAAATCTCACGTTGTTGATAGGTTTGGCCTCCTGAGACTTTTGAAGAAGGAGCCGAGTTCCTCGAGTCTTTATCGAAGTCGTTCGCAAATGCGCATGGATTGCGCTTGAAGATCGCCTTCGCAGAAACATTACTTCATCTCATACACCCAATTGGCAAGGTATCGTATACTCCTGCGTTGCGGAAAACATATCTGACAACAGAGGGTAGACTGCGCAAGCAGAAACCAACAATCCACAGTGGGCGAAGGCCATTGAGATCATCTATCCAAAAGCCAAGGAAATGGTTTCCAAACCGCGATACTGGCATGCGGCGTATCCACTTTTAGTGACAAGTCTTTGCGTCGCACCCCAGGCTTTTTTTCTGAAGAACTGGCTCCCTTGTTTTGAGAGTGGGTTGAGCAAGCTGAAGGTAGGTCTCATATCATATATATACCATTCATCATGTCTTCGTTCTTAATCGAGTTCATAGGAACGGCCATATCGCGTACCTATCCTCAATGGTCTAATTCGCTTGTTGTGGACATACCTCTATCGTTGCCCCGAGACTGCATCCACTACCACGGCCAAGCTAGAAACTCTGCTAAAATCCTTCTTCCCGCCCAATCGTCTGACTGTCTACCCACAAGAGGATCAACTCCAACCGTTCGTATACATTGTTCATTTTATCCTCTCTCGGCATTTCGAGTACGGCTCCGACATTTGTATGGAATTAATGCAGGAATCCGCCGTGAAGTCCATTCAACATTCAGGGTCCACCGCATCCGTTTTGGCTCCCGAACGCACGGCCATAGCAGTCCAAGCTATTCTCCTTACTTTGCATCGTATGGAAAGTGATGAGCACTTCCCTTCCTGGCCGACATCTGCCGATTTCTCCGTTATTCCAACCAAGGCTGATTACCCATCCTCTTCCGACTTCCTTCCACCTGCTATCATGTCCAGGCCTGGCGTGCAGGAGTTGTTCGACAGATGCGGAGCTGTTTTGGCGATTCTTACTGTCCATTGTGGGAAGAGTGTCGGGTACATGTCGATCTTCGATGATCAGTGGTCCTATGCAAGGCTTAATCCCGCGTACGAGGAGTCAAACAACTACGTAGTACGAAAGCATCTTGAAGGCGCCTTCGCATATCCAGCCTCCTGCGTCGCCCAAATTACGATGCTTCAGACATGCTTCCAGTCGTGGCCGCGGTGCCTACCCACGACTATTCCTCTGGCCGATGCGATTGATATCCTTCTACGGGGTGTTGTGCACGTCGAACCATCGCTAGGCGAGGTTGCCCGCGAAGCAGTGAAGCGGTTCATGGCTGAACCTACTCAGGCGATGGTTGTCCTCTCGAGGTTTGCGGTGCTTATGTTCAGCCCAACGGGATTTCTGCAAGAGAACAACGGCCCGAGGTTACCAATCGAAGCTTCGCAGCTCCTGCAATTATGGATCGAACTTGTGGATGGCTGGGTGAAGACTTTAACCAAGCAACCGCGGACATCGTTGAACGATGACGAGACTCAGAGGTGCAGCGAGATTGAAGCCGGCGGTTTATTCTTGTTGGCCCACGAGAATCCCGGAATTCACTCCGCTGGCGTCACTGTTCTACGTTTTCTAGGCTTGCTGGTAGTTCACGTTGATGGCAGGCCTTTCGGCCCAAACGAACTTCCTGCAACGACCATGCGCTTTGTCGAAATTCTTCACGGTCGCGGGGTAGGGAAGTCATATCTTTCCGGGTATGACGAACTCTTGGAAGGGCCAGATTTAGATCGGCTGGAGCAGTGGAGGCAGTTGAAACGGATTGACGTTCCCCTTCGAATGGCCGACAGCGCCAAAGACATCGACAAGAAGCTTTGGCGATACGCTTTTCCAATGTTGTTGCAGTCATCCACAGACCAGTCGAGCCAAGTGTTGACGACATTTCGCGAGAGTCTCATCGCCGCCGTCTCCCGCTGTTTGCCACTAATATCGCATATTGCGGGGTTGAGCAGCCGTGCGCCCCCCGGAATACCCACTCGAAACCAAAGTATCGAACGAGATGGCCAGAAATTGGTTATGGATAACAAGCAGCTGATTGATCAGTGGTATATATGGGTTAAAATCCTATGCTCTACTGCAATTTCTGAATCCTCCCGCCCGGCGCTCACTCAGCTTGGGCGTGAACACTCGCGAGCGCCGTCTGATATAAGCTTTGAACGCGAACGCTTATCAACGACACGAGGCCTCTTCAGATACTTAACACCTTTCCTGGACTCTGAGTACACCCAGTTTCGCGATGCTGCTGTTCTATGCATCAGCTCTTTCCCCTCTAGTGGGTACTCACAGCTTCTGGAAGATCTCAGCCTCCTCGCTTCTCGCCAGTTCTATGACGATTCTCGAGCCAAAACTCCAAATTTGGGAATGGAGCAAAGTCATGGTCTAGCTTCCCGCCAACTCCTTGAAGATTTGCGTCCTAAAGCTGGCATGGCGATCGTTGTTGATCGTACCCGTCGACAGGAGCGATTGCACTCAGCAGTAGCTCGGATTTACTATCTTACGGCACATTACCTGCAACACACTCGATCCACAGGGCGACAGGCAGCGCTCGCGAATGTGCTGAAGTTCGTTCGCAATACTCAGGCTTTCTTAACATCTCCAGAAACTCGAGACAATCCCGCGTTGCAACGGCTTCGTCGTTACTTTTGTGGCACGGTGGAACGGCTCTTCGATGGCATGGCTTCATTAAAGGACTCCGATCGCTTTATCCCGTCCAAGATGCATTTAACTTTGTATCATCTGTGTGAAGGATGGTGCCAACTTGGTCCTCAGTCAGAGATAGCCAAGCAAAGACTCATCCTCATGCAAAGGGCGGCAGCTTCCGTTACTCAGGACTCGAAAGAAGCCGTCAAGCGGTTTCAAGCCGAGACCACTGTCTTATCCTACGCAGCTGCCGGCGCTCTTGCTTCACTAGTCGTCAGTACCTAACGTTATGTTGCCGTCCACTTTTGCTCAACCGTTCCATAGGCAAAGGCTTACTTTCCGCCCGAACAAGCTTCGAACTCGCCGACAGAGCGCCCTTCACCAGAAGATCTCAAGCCTTTGACAACTCAGGGAGTGATGGACAAGATTTCTGCTATTCTAGCTTGCAGTCACGCTCCGTCTGTTACGCGTGGAAAGTGAGGAAGCTCTGCCTACGATACACGCTGGGTATTGACTTTTTTATCCAGGAAGGCGTTGAAATTGCTTCTTTCGTGCAAGAGTCGTGACCATGCTTTCACAGCTGAAGCACTAAAGCGAGCTGTTGTAGCCGACAGCACGCTTGATTCGGAAGCAGCTCGGGCATTCGAAGTCATTTCTGAGGTTGTCTGTTCATCGGACTTCCACCCCTTTTCGTTCGCACAAGCCGTTTGTCTTGCTCTGGCGAATCTGAGTCATCCACGGATAGAAGTCCGTCGGTCCGCGTTCAGCATGCTCGAAGCTGTCCATCATCGGACGTCTGGGTTGCTTCCAATGTCACACTTCGATCCTGCAATCGGAAGTCAGGCACCGCCTACTTACCTACATGGGCATCGTCAAGTATCCGAGTTTCTGGCCGGAGAACACCCCAATCAAGCACTTGATGTACTTGCTCAATTAGCTATCTGGCTGCCGCAACTTACTCAGACGAAGCCCCGCATCTCCCTTCTCCTCCTGCAAACTTTGGAAGACTGGATTGTCAACATCGAGCTACGGGAGAACGGCCAATTTACTAGGGAAGGCATGTCTGCACTGTATCATCTCATGAGCTTGACGCTGCACTATGCGTCGACGCACACGGAACAGGTCCTAGCTCTATGGACCAAACTTGTTGAACCTCCCAACGATGACAACGGCGTTGCTACAGCCCTGTTCCTTCTACAACAGTCACACAAAGTAGGCACCGTGGAGTTCATCCAGTGCTCGTCCACGATCATTGCCTGCTTATGCCAGACTCGTTTAGGCCCGTCTATATATGCGGAACTCTGTTCCATTATTGAGCCCGCCCGCATGCTACCCACTCTGGACCACAAGCTACAATTTCCGGACGCCGTCGATATGGAGCTTTGGTCCGATCTCGATACACTTTTCGCGGGCAAGCCAAGGGTGACACTATCATCAGCCCAATACGCTTGGCTTTTCCTCGCCGACGTTGCATTTCAACGCCAATGGGAATTCAAGTCAGAACTCCCCTCGATCCTACACTCAATATTTATTCACTTGGACTATCATCATTCCTTCGTCCGTGCCCAAGCCCGCCGAATGTTGTTCCAGCTCCTCCGATCGTGGATCCCTGGTTATGACGAACTCGTGAACCGTAATGAGCATCCAAGCTGCTCTACTCTTAAAGCAATGGTCGCTGAACTCGAAGAAGAGGGAGATTCGCTATTTTGGAGGTCAGATGAGGCTGTCTTGGATGTAAAGAACAAGATGGCACGGTTATGCGAAACAGTGCTTGGTTTTCTGGATCCCCTTGTTCCACGTCTTGCGGAGCGGTGGGGATCGCTAGCCGTGTCATGGGGCACCTCTTGCTCTATCCGTGGATTCGCATTTCGTTCTCTTCAAATATTCCGCGCCATTCTACCTCGAACTTGCGCGTCGGACATGGCACTCCTACTCGGCCGTTTGTCGAACACTATCTCATCAGCGGATGAAAATATTCAGATGTTCACGTCAGAACTCATTCAAACTCTCAGCGCGCTGGTGTCATCGAAGGATTTAGAAAGCACATTCCTCCCTCAGTTATACTGGTGTTGCTGCGCGGGACTCATGACAACAGTTCAACGAGAGTTTGTCCAGGTATTGCAACTCCTCGAGTCTATCCTAGATCGCGTTGATTTGGACGACGTCACGGACATCCTTCTATCGCATCAGCCTCCTAAGTGGACTGGCCCAGTATCCCTACAACCGGCTCTGCTGAAGGGCCTCCGCTCCTCCGTCACATTCGAAGCAACCTTCCGTCTCCTGCAGAGATTTGCCAAGGTGGAAGATGACAGATTAATTGACGCATCCGGTGGCAGGGTACGCGATTTGTATACTGCCGCACTCCCCAGGTGTCTATATGCCATGGCTACAGACGGACCTTCGGAGTCGCTCAAGGAATTCGCAGAAGACATCGCCCGGCTGGCTGAAAAGGAAGAGAGGCATAGCATTCGCAAGATCATGATGTCGTTCTCCAAAGGCCACTTCCGAACCAAGGATGACTTCCTACGGCAGTCCGTGTCAAGTCTGCGCGAACACTATTCTACACAGTGGCACGACATCGACACTCTGCTCCTGGGCCTCGTCTTGAATAACGAGCGGTGGACGCGGATATACTCGATGCAAATCCTCAAAGGACTTTTCCAGCAGCGCGTTGCGCGAAATCCGTCGGATTTACTGGGCTCTGAGCTGTTGATGCCCCTTCTGCGGCTGCTGGAAACCGACCTCGCGCCGAACGCGCTGGAAGTCCTCGAGGAGCCGATAGCCATGTCGGGCGGTGGGCCGCCCGCTAAGCACGTCCTGAGGATGAGCATGCACTCTGCCGTCCCGTCTCGAATGTCGGGAACTGCGGCTGAGGTCTTCGGCGTGCCAGAGGAGTCCGGCTGGTGTGTCGCACGCGCGGACACTCAACGCTCTACCTGCCACCACAATATGACGACGGTTTTCGACACCTGTTCTGTCTCGGCGCGGCCGTCGCGCATCGATTTTGAGCCCGAGCACGACGTGGAGGGCGACCACCCGCATTTGAACGACCAGGACGACCAGGACGACCTTGGGGGGCTGGTGCAGAAACTGCATGAGCTGTCGACGTTTTTCCAGGACGATGACGACTCGCTGCAAGTGCCCGCTGCACCCATACCGCCGCCGGATCGGCGGCTGGAGGCCCGCGTCGCTGCGATCCTCGCGAAGTCGACTGCAACGGATGTCGTCTCGGACGTCCCCCAAACCCCCTTCCTAGACGTGTTCCGCGTCAGCGCCATACCCGACTTCGACGACTCCGATGGATATTCTGACTCCGAGTCTGACGACGAACCGTTTATTTTCGATAGCCCCGCTGCTGCGTTCCGTGTGGCCCCCAAGGGCTCGCCTTACCACTAATCTCGTTTAGTCTCTCTTCCGCATTTTGGATTACAGTTATAGCATTATGTACCATACAGCAAAGCACCGTGTATTATTCATCTAGTATCTCGTTATCTCGTAGACGCATCCCAATTCCTCAGTCGAAATATATATAGCTGTCGCTAGCACCGTTCAAACACTCTATACAAATCGGGCAGGTTCGCGATCTGGATCACATCTCTATCCAGGAGAGATTGCGGCGCGCATAGGTATCTGCGCATCGCGGGGAAGATCACATGTTGGATCTGCCATTCCTCGGCCTTGACTTGTCCCTCATCGACATCGGTGGCCTGGTAGCCAATCAAGGGGAGAGGACCAGGTGTGTAGAAGTACGCGAGCTCGCGGAGGAATGTGTCAAAACATTCCACTTCGGAGGTCCAGTCGACCTACACGGTGATGGGAAACCATTAGTGATAGTGGAAGTGAGGGGATATGGAAGGAGAGGGTACGTACTTGCGGTCCCAGGCGCATGAGGAAGTGCGGGAGTTTATCGAGGTTGGGGGTGTAGTCGCGCAGGAGGAGGGGCAGGCTCTCGACCGCCCCGCTGGACGATATGTGGAGGCTGAAGTACTCGGCGAGCATCTCGCGTCTGGACATCAACAGACCAAATATCTTCTATAGAATGGGGCATAATGTGAGGTTTTGTGCAAACGACAGAGGTGAAAGAGAAAGCGTACATCGACTATTTGGTCCTTGGTCAGCTTGGTTTGCTGCACAGACGGTTCGGCGTTGACTGCGATCTGGAGGAGGGAGCGAAGAGAAGGTGGGGGCTGGAGCTTCATACGGCTGAGATCTGCGAATTGTCGTAACCCGAGCTGATAGAAGAGTTCCTCTCTGCCAATACTATTGTCAGACGAGAATGATATAAACCAGGATGCGACATACGACAAAGCACTGTTGTTTACAAGGTAGAGCTTCGTAGAGTGCTGGATTAATGACAAGGATCGTTGTAGATCGACGATGCCAACGAATGTATGTTTCTCGAGTATCTCGGTCAATTCTGCGAAGGGAAAGGGTGACCACGACTGAAATAACGAGTGACATACGCCATACGTTTATGTTTTACCTTGATCAGAGCGTGCCGAAGATTCAGAACGGAGGTCAAGTAGCATTCAGACTCCTTGATATCGCGAATTTTCAATGGCGACGGTGACTGCGTTGCGGGGGAGTCGTGTGCTCTTGGGTCGGACGAGGGCGAGGGCTGAGTTGCCTGATTCACGACGGGAAACATGGAGTCTAGGGTTCGGTCTGTTAGAGAGGTTCTGACTTTGTGCTGCGACGCGATTTTCTTTGCGCGGCCTCCTGTGCTATCCTCAGTGACGGCTGCAAACGGAGGATACGATGTCGGTTACCTTTCGAAGTCGAAGAGTCGGCAGGAGCGTCGTCATGCCCTTCCGACGGACCCTCTCCTCGGTCCTCAGCGCTGGCGGCTGGTGCAGGGCGCTCTCTACTTAGCATTCCACCAGTAAGTAAAGTCTATGGACTGCTTGTTAGCTGACGCGCTACGATGATGTAGAATCTTATGTGGCAGACCTGATATTGAAAGGGCCGCGAGTGGCTTTGCTTTCCGAGCTCGTTCTGGATTGCGTCGCAGACCCGCTCGGTGATTACTTCCTCATTGAGGAAGTGTACTTCCCGTTTGGTCGGATGGACGTTCACGTCGACGGAGCTGGGGTCGACGATCAAGCTTCGCGGGTTAACTTGCGATAGCTTGTCGGAGGCAAAGGATTAGAATATACCTTAGGTAGACGAACGGAAATGTTCCCTTGGGGAGAATTGCACTGTATACCGCTTCGAATGCCCGCTTCATTCGAGAGCATTCAACAAGACGGTCTAACGCAGGGAGTTATGTTAGTGCCTACAAGTATGCGGCAAGGAGTGGTGGCGAACGGTTGATGAAGAGAAGGAAGATGGTTTTCTTGGCTTGGTAATTGGCGTTCGAGCAGAATACGTCTGCTTCCCAAGGCTGGAGGTCGACATCGCTCTTTTGCGCAGTGACATGCATCAACTCGTTCGCTATAGAGTGCCCATACAGAAGCTGGATTGTTTGTTTCACTTCTGATCCAGAGGGTGTGGTAACGTCCGGCGAGGTAGATCCTGCCTAAGAACACATAAATGCGCATGCATATCGAGTTTCAAGAAAGAGTGTTGTTTGGAGATCTACCTTTTTGCAGCTGAATGATACGTGTGGGTTATGGATCGCGTACTTGGTCACGACATCGAGGATGCGGGAGTACTCTTCGGCGGTGCTGCGCAATGAGGCTAGTCGCGTAGGCGTGTTGTAGAAGAGGTCCTCAATCTAATCAACGTGAGCCATCTATCGCTAGGCAGCCACGAGCAAGAATGCGCACGCAACTGTTATTACGGTGCCGTCGTTGCCTGCGCACGGCTTTGGATCGGGGGATTGGCCTGCTTTGGGAGGGGCGAGCGCACCATCAGCGTAGACCGCCCTAAGCAGGGATGTGAGCGACCAGAGAAGGAAGGAGCGCGGTCACCGACCTCCACGCACATGAGTCAGACTTGGTTTTCGTTACTACAGACAGCCGGGCGACGTGGGAGATCGACGCAAGCGCTTCGCCCCGAAAGCCGTAAGTTGCTATGCGCGAAAGATCGGAGAAGGTCGACAATTTGGAGGTCGTGAATCTTTCTGCGAGGATGGGCAGATCGGCTCTCTACGGGAGGTCAGCGGTCAACATCCCCTTCGAAAACTAAGACGGGTGATCAGCGACATACCCTGATGCCACAACCGTTATCCTGGATTTGGAGGAGCTTCATGCCCCCTTCTCTGGACGTTATTCGTATGGACGTCGAGCCGGCATCCAGGCAGTTCTCTATCAGCTCTTTGAGAGCCGAAGCAGGCCTGTGGATGATCTTGCGGGGAGTATGTCAGCGTTGAGCCTGAATCGCGGAAACGACGAGAACATACCTCTCCGGCAGCGATCCTATTGATCAAGGCCTCTTGTAGACGTTTGATAGGAAGCGGTTCGGCATTTTCTGTGGTCATCTTGCTCATGTGGGGGTCAGGAAACCCAGGAGTATTACTAATACTGACGAAGTCGCGACTTGCAAGGTCACAGTCATGTGACGTGACATGTCGTGTTTCTTGCACCCCCTGTATCACAAGTTCCATTATAATATATAATACCCAATCCACTCACACCTACGCACTTCCCTGATCCAAGTCCACTTGACTATTGCTAATGTTGAACTGATGATACAGTTGCTTCGTCTAGACTATAGTACGTACTGGGATTTATTTAGATTTGAGTGATTTAAATTGGAGTTGGATTTAGATTGGGGGGTTATATTTATACTCTACTCTACACCTTTATCTGTTCTTCCTACATATTAGCAGATAGTAGATTGTGAATATGGATTCCTTGATCGAATAATCGAATATTGAGTGGCTGGCCTGCATGCTTGGGATGTCGAATAGTGAAATAGATGATGACGGTGATTGACGGTTGTGAGAAATAAAATGACGGAGTCGAAGTGGGATATGGTCACGGTTGCGGGGGCGGTGGATGTCGCGAGCGCTGCGGCGGGGGGTGGGGCGGGTGCCGTGTCCAGAAGCGCAGCTGGTGCCGGACCTCGGGCAACGTTCCTACAAGCAATACCGTTCACGCGCATCAGCATCAGCATTCGTGCAAAGATAGGAAGGATACAGATAGAAGATAGACGCGCACGCACCGAAGAACAGCACGGGCGCCCACGCGACGAGCACCATGCACACGTGGTGCACGGCGAACGGCGGCGCGTGCCCGCGCGCGGCGTACACGAGCGTGGAGATCGAGCTGAGGAACTGGAGGAGGGTGAATGTCCTGGATTGACGGGGTCAGCGTCGTGAATTGTACACCACGTGAGAATCATAAGTGAGGAGTAGAAAGAGACGGGGAGGGTAGGATGATAGAACTCGCGTACTCACAGTTGGAAGCGGATAACGCGCCAGGTCGTCGGCGGGAGGGTGCACAGGCTCGGCCGGCGGGAGCGCGTCGACAGGGCTGCATAGACATACACATAAAGCACATACATAAACCACCACTCAAATTTCGCAAATCGCAAAAAAAGGAATGCAGCAAAAGGGAGAGGCGAAAATAGCAAAAGGGCAAGGGAAAGAGGACGCACCAGTCGAATACCTGGCCCGCTGATTCTTATCCCAGCTCGACCGATCGTCGTCGTCGTCGTCGTCACCGTGCGCCATCCTTCTCCCACCCATCCCGGCGATCATATTCATCGTGGACACCTGCTCGATGCTCCCCTTGCGCCACTGGATCATCTCCATCGCGCCGTCGCCGTCCGCCTCCGTGTCCGTGTGCGCTGCGTCCAGGTCCGCGAGCCGCCACGCGTCCTTCTCCTTCTCCTTCTCCGCCCCCTCGCCGTTCACCGCACCCATTATATCCCCCACACCTACACCCACACCCACACCCACACCCGTGATGTCCCCCGCCCTATCCCTCCCATCTCTCCCCGCCCTCTTCGTGTTGATATTGATATGATTGATATCGTTGTTGCTATTCACCTCCACGATCGACGGCGTATTCGACGGCGGCGCGAATGTCGGGAACGAGTCCGAGTCCGCCGAGTCGGACGACACGACGGTGGTGTCGCGCGGCAGCGAGATGCGCGACGAGCGCCGCGCCGCGCGCACGGGCACAGCCGTCAGCGTGTTGCTCGAGCTCATGCGCTCGACGTCATGCTCGTTCCCCCTCCCACTCCCATTCCCACTCCCATTCCCGTTCCCATCTCCATTCCAACCCCAATTCCCACTCCCACTCCCACTCCCATGCTCGTTCCTATTCCCATTAGCATGCTTATTGCCGTCGTCGTCACGGCGATCGCGCAGTACTCCTCGTAGCCCGCGGATCCGGGTGCGGGTGCGCGCGGGCGGCGCCGTGAACGCGCCGCGGCCGTCGGGGTACCGCGTGCGCGCGCGCGCGATGTGCTGGTGCGTCCTGTACACGCGCACGATGCAGTAGAGCGTCGCGCCGAACGCGGGCACGCACAGCAGGAGCGGGGGCCCGGCGTACCCCAGGAAGCGCACCCTGTGGAGGAGGTTGTGAGTAAGTTGTAGATTGTAGATTGGAGGTTGGAGATTGTAGATTTTGATTTTGATTTTGAAGTTTGGGAATTTGGTGGGTGGGGCAAGGGAGGGGGAAGAGGGAGGGGAGGGAGGGGGACGTACCACACGGGATCAGTCGCTTCGCAGGACATGCCGTTGCTCGAGGGGTGCACGGCGTCGAGGCGCAGCGTGACGCCGACGAGCGTGCCGAGCGCGACGGCGGGGAACACGAGGAGTGGCCCCGCATATCGCTTGCGCCATACTAGAACACTGCTCCAGCGAGCGGGCGTTGTGTCAGTAACGTATACACACCAACGACGGTCGGTAACAACAACAACGACGACAACGACAACAAGAGTATAGCAAGAAACATTGTAGATGCCGATGGGAAGGAGGTATGTATGTATATGTATGTATGTATGTATGTATGTAGACTCACTGAAGGTCGCCCTCGGCCCACGTCTTCGGGTGGGCGACGAAGCGCACTGTTGCGAGTGTCGAGGCGGCGACGGCGCCGGCGAGAACGAAGCTCGCGAGGGCCGCGATGAATGTCTGGGCTGTGTGCCATACGCCAGCCATACGTAGTATACATGGTATGCATACACGATACGTCAACGCGTCGCCAAATCCAATTGTTGATGAGATTGACGGTTGACGGTTGATGAGGTTGATGGTTGAAGGTTGAAGGTTGATGGTTGATGGTTGACGGTTGATGGTGATGGTGATGTGGTTGATGATCATCGATCGCAGTCAATAGTCAGCACCGGCGCGTATATGCGAGCGTGTAAAGAGAGCGTACCCAGGCAGAACGAGCGCGGCATCTGTGCGGGGTCCATCTGCCAGACGATACCTGGTGCGAGATGCGATGATCAGTGATCAGTAATCATTGATCCGGAATTGGGAGGCGATGCGATGCGGTGCGGCGTGGGGGGGGGGGGAGGGGCTGGGGAATATCCTGGGGAATGGGGCGAGGTGGGGTGGGGAGTGAGTGGGGGATATGGGGCATATGGGAGTGGGGGGATACGGGGGATACGGGGGAGTGGGGAGTGGGGAGTGGGGAGTGGGAAGGAAGGGGAGGAAGGGGAGGAGGAGCAGAACGCACCGAGCCAAAAAATACCTTCGAGGCATGTTATGCCGAAGCAGTAGGCCAGCGCCCACCAATACGTCTGCAGGGCGCTGGCAAAGGCCCCCAGCACGGCCCAGCAGCTTATCATACCTGCACCACACATTACACGCATCACACCACATACACCACAGACATCACAGACATCACACCATATACACCACATAAACCACATACACATACACGTACACGAAATGCAAAACGCAAAACGCAAATGCGTGCATGCGTAGTTCGCGTAGGGGGACCGAGGGGACCGAGAATCGTCGAATATTGAACCATTGAATCATTGAGTATTGAGTATTGAGTATTGAGTGTTGGCCAATATAGATCATAGATCATAGGAATAGGAATGAGAGAATGAGAGAATGAGAGAATGAGAGAATGAGAGACGGAGAAACGGGGGGGAGGGGGGCTTGGAAGACGCACCCGTGAACGTGAGCACAAACCACGCGATTTTGAGCGCCATGGGCAGCATGGCGTACGCGCCCAGCGGACGTCTGAAATCGAATCCTGGGACGGCGGTGCGTCGTCGTCCGTCGAACCGTCGAAAGGCAAGACGCAAGAGCCTGAGCGAGCAAAGTCTGCAGCACCCAACCTAAAAAGCTCCGCGCCGTTATGGTTATGGTATAGTCTGGTTGCTGGTGCAGATGAGATTGCAATATCAATATCAATACTGAGTCTAGTACAACCAAGCAGGGTATCAGGGTATCAAGGTACGACACGCGCTGGGTTCGATTTCCAGAGCTGAAGCCTGAGAGGAGTTGTGAGTTGGACTTCCGTCCGCCACAAGGCTGCGATCACATCAGCATCAGACGCCATTCATCTGCTGCTGATGCTTGATGCTTGATGGAGCCAGAGCCGGAGGGCTGACGCGCCTTATGGGGCGGCAGAAAATCCGTCTGTCGCAAACGCTTGTACATAGAATCATAGATGGCATCCTTTCGGAGTCAGCGTGAGCCGTGAGCCACGAACACCGGCATCGGTTTATTGCAACCATCTCGATTCTGAGAAGGCTCACCGAGTCAAAGTCATAGCGTGTCAAAGCGTGTCTGACTCGGGATAGACTCCCACGGATTCACAGTGGTGAGGACAATGGGTGCAGGGAACCAGGGAACCCAGGGAAGGGAGCTGGGAGTATTCGCGGATTGTGAACGTTTGAACGCTGGGCCGGTGTTTCCGATGCCCTGCGCGTACCCTGTGGCTGTTTTTTTTTCGCCGGCAACCTAGTGCTGTACCGAGTCAGCGCAAGCAATTGAAGTTAAATTGAACGTTACCAGAACGTTACTAATACCGGGCGAGCGGGTTGCCATCCAGGTGTCACTGCCACTGCACGCGGACGGGATGGCGGATGACGCGATGACGGAGTACGACTTGTAGTTGTTGTTGTTGGCAGATGGCTGCCAACAACACGCTATTTCTGCCGCCAAATCCCAGGCAGATAAGTAAGTTATATTGGGGCTGATGCAGACGAACAGGGGGTGACGAACAGGGGTGGCAGAAATAGAGAGAAAAATTAGATGATTCCCTGTTTTTCGTATGACCATACTCATACTTGATTTATATATTAAGTCAATGTGCCAAACTACGTCTATCCCCTTGGCCAAGGGAAGCCCCGTGAATATTGAAATGTATGAGGGGACTCACTGGACAAAATTATTGGCCAACTCAACTTCGTGATTGGTCAATTGAAACTCAGCTAATAAGCAATTGTATCTCCGAAAGAGTAGCAAACAACTGATAACTGTTCAATTGAAACCCCGAAGACTCGAATCACAACTGACATCTGACCAATTGAGACTCCGAAAGTATAAGCGTAACTTGATCAAATGAAACTCCGAAAGCAAAAACCTCGATGACAGTCGTGTGATTGAAGCTCCGAAACCTTCGTAACCTCACTATCAGTCCCAAGTACGATGTAAACACAATATTGTGACTACTTATTTATAAATATAAGTTGATACCAACCAAGCCTCACTTAGTCTCCATAGTAGCCTCCTGGACAAGCAGCCCAAGAGCCAGCCGTTTATCTGCTGAGAGACGTTGCCGCTTTGCTGGGTTTGGCTCTGCGGGGGGTACATTCTCCTCCACCTCCTTCTTACGCTTAAAGGCTTTGGGATTGGCCACCTTTTGCTTACCCTTTTGGATATGCTGTCGACGGCAAATACCTTGCTCAAGGCGGTCACAGATGTATGAATCTACTTGAGGATTGTTCCGGCAAAGGATTGTTCTGTGTAGTAAATTAGAAGCAAATATATATGTATGTTATGGTCCAACGTTTCTTTTCTTTCTATCTCTCCTTATCTTATCGGGCACGTGATGTATTACCCAAGCATAGCTACTTACGATACATTATTTACATCATCCGGGCCGTCTTACTAATAGTCTCAGTCAGCGCCTCGCCGCTACTGCATGGGCGCAGTCAACAAGCGTCATACCTCATGCAGCTGAGCTAATCATTCCATGGAAAGACGGTAGGACACAGCATGTAGATAGACATGAGGATGTAGCATGTATGGTAGTATATAAGTACCCTAATAAACACCCAGAGACGATAACTCGTTCTCTTGGGACTACCACTAGTATTAGTGCCTGAGTCAGTGTCTTTGTGCTCAAACCTCTTCTCTTAACTCTCTTAACTCTTTACTTCTCACTCTAATTCTTGTTGGGTCCGCATACACTTTTATAGTGTATTAGTGTCGCCCTAACAATGTAGGTGTCGAAAAGCCTACCGGTTATGCCTTATATGAGCAATCCCACAATAGTCCAAAGGACCTACTGCGTAGTCGATTGTGAAGTTAACAATGTACTCAAACAGCTGCCGTTGTTTCTCTTCTTGCAGGCGAGACCTGAGGTAAGCCTGTTGCTTTACGCTTGCCTTTGCATGACTCACTTCATATAAAGTGAGTGATCATGGAATACAGTGAGTGGGGAAATACCTATGTCAAGAATCCTACTGGGAATGTATTGGATGGGAGTTGGGGAACAATGCTCCAGAGAGGCTTGTCCGATGTGTAATACAGAGAAGGCTCAACCCAGGACCCTTGAAGCAATTTGGCTGGAAGATACAAGGGCATGAAAGACACCATAGACGAGCACGTTGCGCTCTCCCACATGTTCGGGTGAAGTTCACCTGAATGGCCAAACAACACCTGAACAACACCTGAACAACACCTGAACAGAATCTGAACATTGGCTGAATTTCTCCACCAAAACTCTTTTTTTTGGTTCAGATTTTGTTCAGGTCACCTGAATTGTTCACCTGAACATTTGGTGAATTCAGGTGAATTTGACAGGTAATGTTCACCTGAATGTCAGGTGAATTTAGGTGAAATACATTAGTACTACTTCTTGTTGCATGAATTCTTGAATAATGGCTCCTTTTAAGTGGGAAAACTGTTCAAAGAGGTCAACAATACTTCTTCCTAAAAATATCTTTTACTCTGAACACTGTGCTACTAACAAATAGTATATTGTTACAGTGGGAAAATATCACCCAAAATAGAAGTTGTAGAGCCATCTTTTCCGACTCTGCGAATCTGAAGAAGCCGTCGATGAATCCATGTATAACAAATTTCCATCGAATCAGGCCTATTGATATGTTAGATGATGTAGATGCATTCCACATGTACTCACCGTGCTGTCCATCATGGTGCCAAAGGGAATTAGGGCCTGGTACTTTATAGACACGATGCTCGATCCGCCTTGGGCCAAAACCAGTTGCTGGGGCACCATGGACACGTGTATACGATGCTTCAATTTGTGAGCGAGGAATGTGATGACCCAAGAACTTCAAATGACCATCAATCATACATCGTCCAAACCCAGGAAAGGCCTCCAAGATGTAAAGGACTGTTGCGTCGAGCTCCTCATCAGTAATTGATGAAGATGCCCCAGTGGATGATCTATAAACGCGAGTGATCGTACCATCGGGCCGCCATCTTCCCCATCCCCCTCACACACCTCAGAACTCTGGGGCCCTAAGACAACTGCCACTCCTGAGGATACACCTGCCGACAATGTTATAAAGGTGGTGCACCTTGGTCCTGATATACCCGACGAAATCCGCCCTGTGCTAGAAGATGTTCTTCGCAAACGATCCAAGGCTTTTGGGTTAAACGGTCGTTTAGGAAGGGTCGATAAGAAAGCGACGATACCTCTCAAACCGGGAGTTCTCCCCATTTCTCTCCCTATGTATGGAACGTTGCCAGCCAAAAGAGAAGTCCTCGACGCGCAATTAAAGAAGTGGTTTGAACAAGAAGTAATTGAACCGTCTAAGAGCCCTTGGGGATCCCCGTGCATGATCGTATACCGGAACGGGAAGCCATGTTTAGTTATCGACTATCGTAAGCTCAACGCGCAGACCATACCCGACGAATATCCCATTCCTCGGCAGTCCGAGATAATTCAGTTGCTGTCCGGGTCCCAAGTCATTTCATCGTTCGACGCACTAGCTGGATTCCAACAACTAGAGATGGACGAAGAATCCAGACCGATTACCGCTTTTCGATGCCATAGAGGCTTGTTCCAATTTTGATGCATGCCTCTTGGCCTCCGGAACGGGCCGTCCATCTTTCAACGATTAATGCAAGAAGTCCTCTCCCCGTTCCTCTGGATCTTC